AATTGACTTTAAATTGAGCTCATTAATTTTTGTGGTCCAATTATGCGTGTTTGCGTTGGGAATTATGATGCTGTTAAATATTACACCGACAGCGGGCTTAAATACTCAAATCAGATTTATAAATTTGCTATGAATAAGTCGAAATTAATTGATAAAACTTTTACACAATTCGTTTAGTATTTCATGAATTTATGGCAAAATATTTTTACTTATGATCAGAACTGAAAAGCCATTCATTTGTTTAATACTTATGACAGTCTATCAATTACAGACTTATCGGTACACAAAAGCTTTTGATTTATTTATTTATTTTGTTTTTTTTTGTATTTTGATTTGTATTTCTTTTGCAATGTTTCATCCTGTCCAAATGCCAAACAATTAAACAATCATTAAAAATAGCAATGAAATGTTTCAAATGGCGTCAGCTGCAACTACCAAATACACAAGTCAATTACTAACTGACTGCAAAGTAAATGGAATGGCATGAAATCGGATGAACAAAATAAAAACAAACAAACATCCTGAGTGGTGACAAGCTCAAATTGCAATGCCGGACAACAAGAAATTTTCATTAAAATAAAAATTTGGGCCAACTGCCAGGCAACTTGGTTAGGGAATGGACATTTTTCGGTTCATACCAGTGTCACTTATACTGTAAATTGCGGTCCCTCTCATTCTATCTGCCTCTCTTTCAACTCCTGTAGCAGCATTGGGCAACACTTTGACATTGACTTGAAAATCAAATCAATTTAACAACAGCAAAGAGTTCAGACACAATCCACTCAGCATGCACTTGTTGTGGGCTGCAGTTGCGTTGTAATGCTATAAATTGAATTCAATTAATACGTTTGTAAATGTCATCAGAGAGTTTCGACTGCTATTCGTCTGCTGTCGTCCCAGCAGCACTACTGTTGTGAAATATCAGGCAGATTGATTTACGCTCCTCTGAGACCAGTCAACTGCAAATAAATTTAAAGCCAACTCTCTTAAAGTGATGTTTGGCCAAGAATCACATGTTCATATTTATTATCAATAACTTCCAGTTCATTAGTATTCGAGCTCAAAATCAATATCGTTATACAATATTAGAAATAATTTTAATTGTACATCGAGCAATATTGTCGTTAAAATAACAATTAAAAAAAAAAAATCTAAAAATTAATATATAATTTAATTGCAGTCATTTGCGCACTGTGCTCTTTTTAGAGCAATTAAAAAAATTTGCTATCCGTGAAAGAGAAAGTGTCGATTATTGTACCATATTCAAACAGAAATTAGAAAACTGCCCATGTGAATTCGACCAAAAGCGATTAAAAGTCAACAAACAGTGACCATAATTAATTTTCGTGCAAATTTAATGCGAGAATCGCGTAAATAGTCAAAAATTAGATCACAACAGATGCTGGTAATGCTCCCCCCCCCCCCCCCCCCCCCCCGCGACACTTTCTCCTCGCCTGCCTGGCTCGCTTTGGTTGCCACATGGTTGCCACTGATTGCGGCGAGTTGTCAGGTTTTGCTTAGGCCTGATTCTCGTCCCAGTTGCAGTCATGAAACAATAATGTCCACAAATTGACGCCACAAGCTGTTGGCTCAACGAGAGCGCACACACATACACACAGTCAGACACATGCACACACACTGGTTGCGTCTGTAGCACTTCCTCTGTGGCGCCATATTGAATTTGTGCCTAGTGCCTAGTGCCTGGTGCCTGGTGCCTAGTACCTAGTCTCTTTGCTTGGGGGCTCCACTCCTCTTTCAGTTCGGGTTCGAGCTCTGTTTTTATTTGCTTGCTTGTTTTCTGCTGGTTAGATGGCTGATTTTCCAACTGGAGCCTCGACCGGCTCGTTGCCGCGCGTGTTGCTAACGAAAATACAAGCAAACATATTGCCACTGCCTCTTCACATATTGTTGTTTTAGTCGTTGCTGCTGGCTGGGCGGGAGAGGGAGCAGGGAGTAGGCAGCAGGGAGCGGGGAGAGTGGAGAGTGGGAGTCTGCCCGGCTACTTGTTGTTCAAAATACATTGTGGCTGTTCGTTCCAAGCATAGATTTGTGTGTGCCATGCAATTTGAAATGCATTTTTAAGTCGCATGTTGTTCAGATTATGCCAAAACTCGACTTGGTAGCTTTGAAAGTATGTATGTATGTAACTGTGCAACCCTGCAAATTGTTTACTGCTCGTTTGCAACCAGATTTTGATGACTCGTTTTCGTGATATTGTGATAGCAAGAGAACTTAATTATGACTTTGATTAAAATACAACATCCAATTTGCAATTGTGTTTACAAAATTAAAGCTTGAGTGTTCGATGAAGTAATTGAGTACATAATTACCTTACATATATTTGCTATATTTGTTAATTAATATTGCTTTATCATAAGCTAGTTACAAATCAATCATAATTTTCACACAGTATTTCTTTTAATTTGCTTGACTTAAGTGTTTTTCAATGAACCCAGACCCAAGTTCGTTACTCTGATTTAAGCTTCATAGACTAAAATTCAATAACTATTTAATTACAAGAGTATTTTGTGCTATAGTATTAATGTATTTCTATGCAGCATACGCAAACGATAACATAAAATAATAATAATAATCTATATATGTAAACTTATGCATATATCATGTTCTACTTTAAATTCCTTTCCCGTTTGCTGAAATATCGAAATATCATATTTCCCTATACAAAGCTTGTCGGTTCTTTCAATCAATTAGCACTACGACAGCTAAAATGGTCTATAAAATTTGCATGCCGGACTATAAATAACAATTACAATTTCATCCAGAAATGCAAAAACACAATAAAACAATTTGCGGTTTGCTTTGGACATGGACATTTAAAAACGAAAATGCACACAACTTTCACAATGTGGTTAAGCACTCAACAGCAAAAAACAAAAAAAAAAAAAAACAATTAAATAATAAAATAAAATGTACAAAAAAAAAAAGTTCAATGCAAATATGAGGGCAAAGGGGTGCAAACTAGGTGACAAATCGGATAAGTTTGAGGTAAATCCAACTAAAACAAACCGGAAACTACTGTTTCACTCTTTCTCCTGTCTTTTTTTCCTGCATACGCACTGTTCGCACTTGCACCGGCTACAATGTGTTTATTTTTCTCCTTTTTTTTCCGTTTACTATCCCCTTATTGCCAGTCCCTTTCATTTTTTGCTTTTTTTATTGGTGCCTCATGTTTATGTTGTCAGGTTGATTCTTTTTTTTGGCTTTTTTTTTTGCTGGTTGTGTAATCGAGTCAATTGTTTCCGCTCCGACGATGAGGCAATCGACTGCGTCTGTTTTTATAGGTTTGGGTCTGTGTTTGAGTTTGGTTTTGATTTGGGTTTGTGTTCCTCGTCCTTGTTGTTACTGTTGTTTTTGTTATTTTATGGTGTTGTTATTGCCAACATCCGTTTAGGGCAAAAGTTTATTTTTTGTATTTGTGGGCGTTTTTGACATGGGCTAATAAGCTTGTTTCGGTCTGTCATTTTTGACAGAGATTGGAAACACTTGCACTTTTTGCAGATTTCTCACTTAATGGGCCCTTATTTAGTTCCGTGTATCCGCCTTTCGATTTTGATTAAATAGCTTAAGCCTTAAAACGAACTTTTAAGATTCAAAGTATTTTTGTCTTTGGTTTTAATTTAGTTATATTTATAAGCCCACTTTTATTAATTTTTTAAACGTTCACTAATAAGAAAATTATGTAATACTTGAAATTATCAAGAGGATGTCTTTTTGACATTTATTTTATTATGCATTTGCTTATGAACAAATCACATGATAATCCTTTAAACTTAGATTACCCAAATTCAAGGAAGTTTCCCCTCAATTAATTGTTTTCACTACCTTAGTATTAAATAAAATCTAGTTTTTGTTACTTGATTCCCAACCATAGGGCTGCACATTTAAAGTCGAGCTCATTAAAATTCCTATAAGGCAATTGCCACTTACAATTTAAACATCTTATGTTGGCACTCTGAACGTCAGCTAAGAGACATAATTAACCCTTATTTGCACATTTTATGAGCAGCACCATTAAATGACCATTTTAATTACAAAGCACAACACAACGGCTTGGCCATTTGGAAAGTACTTGGCAATTTGTTGATAGCATCGAGTATGCCCAAAAGCAGGCCATAAAAGACACCAAATTGGCAAAGATAAATGTGACGGCTTTAAGGCCAAATTGTTCGTTGCGGCCTTAAAGCAGCTTACAATTTGAACGCACTGTGGCCAAGCCGCTTAACTTGCATAATCCAAATATCTGGTCAGGACGCAATGCAGACTCTTGACCCTTTTTTATTTTTACTCCTTTTCCATTTTTGTTTCGGCAGTTCCAGAGGCCATCAAAGCTGAATGCGAGTGCGTGCCCCATGCGGGCAATCCTCTTCATGAAGTGATTTGCTCCAAAGAAGAAGAATTGCTTGTTAGGTCATAAAAATTCAATAGCTAGGGGTTCAAATGTGGCAAACCACTGATAGGGCTTTAAAACTTAACTGCGACTGGGGTGCACTGACATTGTCTTCTATTGCGAATGCCAACTGATGCAACTGAGTTACAACCGGTTAGTGCTTTGGCAAAGAAACTGGTTAGAATTATATGATCAATAGTTAAGGGTGAGCTTGCACAAGCTTCAGCCCTTCAAGTTCCTACAACCCTTACAGCTGACTAGCAGGCCTTAAAGTTTTCAGCAATAATTCTCAATATGTTTAGGCAAATACCATGTATATCTTAGGCCAGTTCGCAGTGAGCAAAGTACAACCTTGTGCAGTGGCAATATCGCAAACGATGAGGTCACAACCGAGTTGCGATTATTGCTAGTTGAAAACTTTAACCAATAACTCGCCCTGTGGGAGCTCTGCTCTCGCTGAGGCAATTTTTCTAGGCTCGAAAGAGTCGACTTGATAATAAATTCGAAATAAAAACTTGGATCCTAAAGCTAAATTAGTTTAGTATTCCAATATTATTCCCAAAATACAAATGTTTATTTTTTCCTATAAATATTTTATTAAATGTTTATAATTACAAATGCTATTTGAATGAATTTTACAAGCGTTAAATGCATTCTACTCCGATCTGTTTTTCGATTTTTTCTTCTTCTTCTTCACACTGGACATACTAGACATTGGGCCGAGCGAGGAGTAGCCCGTCGAGGTGGAGTCCCGACTCTGGCGATGTGTGCGCGGAGGCTTTCGTGTCTGCCAGACACGTACGAGAAAGTTAAGCTCGCCCTTTAATGCCACAATGGGTTTTATCTACAAGAGGCAATCAATTGTTATGTATTCATTAAATAAAGTATATTACGTACCTTTTCCTTGAGCGCAATGCGATGCACATGCCACAGGAACTCTACCATGCCAATGAGAAAAGCCACAAATACGCCCACAATAAGCACCATAAATAGCCCACCCACTGCATCCATGTCAAACTGGCCATCATTATTCGTGGGACCGCTGTTATCACAAACTGTGTCATTCGCATTAAACCATTTGTTGCGCAGATTATAAAGAACGCCTCGTTCGCTCAGCTTTAGAATGCCAACACTCAGATTTGATCGAAAATTTGCATCTAAGTATAAGAATAGAGTCAGTAAATGGATTATTATTACTTCTACTCGAGTTCACTTACTTAATGGCACGGCAATACCGTAGTGCTTCTCTCCAAAACTGTCCCCCAGTTGGGTTAGCTCACAATTTCGTTGCACATAGTACTGTAGATTTGTGGTTTCCATTAGAAAAGCATAGGTGCCGCGGCTTAGTTTGACGCGATCCACACCCTCCTCATTATTTTTGGTAAAGGCATCTGGTTTCACAGATAACATCTTGTTCCAGGCCATGCGATTATCAGTATCGTTCGACTCGGAAAAATACACAGAAGTAGCGCCACCTCGAATCGTGCCAAATTGTACCTTGTTCTGATCAATCAGATCGTGCAACGATTCAATGCCGCCAGTCAATTTGGAGGACGTGAGAAAGGAAGCCAGTTTGGCAATGTATGTTTGCGAGATGAGCAGAGTGAAGAACCACCAAAATGCAGTCAGCAGGCGCATCGGAAGGGCCCTGACAATGACAATATGTTTAATGAAAAAGAGAACGCAACTAACTTCAGATGATAACATTCGATGCTGAAAGAAGACCATTACGCACCTGGGCAACAGATAACAGCCCTGATTGAGTATTGAGCCGAGGACAAGCCACATTGTATTATGCAGTTTCCAGATATTTTCGCGTTCCTCTTGATTATTATCATTCACAACTGGCGGCTCCCATTCGCTAGAATCCATGCGGCCGGCCACAACCAATGCCATTGCTGAAATTAGCATTGCAACCATTACATAGAGCCATACATCTACACCGTAGGGATTGAGGAAGCCATAAATATCCGCCTGTGGTGGTGGCTGCTTGTACGACAAGATGCTTATGCCCAGCTGCATAAATGGCACAGTGAAGTCCACAACCGAACGACGCGCCTGAGTAATGGTCAAGTCACAGATGCCAATCTGTGCGTTCTGCAAGGGAAAGCGTAGTGAACGGATTTAGCCATGATTCAAATGTAAATTTAAAGCGCACTCACGTTGTCAATTAGCTGCCTAATTATGCCATCCCATTCATCGGTAGATGCATCGTAGCTCCCATATTTGTTATCCCTCACCGGCTCAAATTCAAAATCAAATTTGCATTCCTCGGCCAGCTTGTATAACAAATCAACCGCATATCCCTCGAAACGTTCATTGCCCTCATAGTGCACGCCTTCAGGTTCCTCGCTTATCGAGTAGAATATAGAATACATCATTTTAAGCTAAGTTTCGGTATTTTTCGATTCAACACGTCCTACTCACCGCCAGCTGAAGTAGGGCTTGCCCACTCGAGTGGCCACTGTATATCGGACGGGCTTTTGTGAGAAATCTTCCTTGTTCTCCTGACGTCGCTGTTTCAGCGCCTGCGTTGAGTTCTCTCTAATCTTATCGTAGTCCACCAGCTGAAACTCCTTGTTCCAGATGTGCGTTACGCGATCAATGATCGGATTGTAAACATCCAAATTGAAGTCCTCGCGTTGTCCATCCGCTGTGAGTTGCAGTCGCTGTGTCTTATATGGCGGTTTGATCTGCTTTGGTGTCAGCTAAAATATCAAATATTTGAGTGTTGTTCATCATTAGTTTTATCAATCAACAAATGCAAACTATTTGAAATGAGTATTTTAGTTACTAAAAGACATACCTCCTTCATCTGTTGCACTAAATGCGGTCCTGGCTGCCAGAAGCCACGCCCACAGCTAAACTGTGGCGTGTAGAATCCGGTTCGTTGACTCAATAGTAGCACAGCATTGTAGAAGAGCACAATGGCATCGTAGACGAGCTGAGTGCTCAATGAGATGAACTGCGGAAAGTAATAATAAGTTATAAGTTATTATTATTGACAGAGTATTTTGAATATATGGACTCACCCTATCATCAATTTCATTATCGAACACATCGGTTTCATCATGTAAGGGCGGTGGAATATAGGAACGAATTCTCACAGCTGCAACGGCAACTGTGAACTCACGCGAATAGAATCGATCGATGCCACTGACGTGGGTATCCAGATTGGTTAGGAACAGATTCTAAGTTCAAAGTGAAAGTGAGCAAAGCTTTTCTATTACATAAACAAAATGATAAAGCTACTCACATTAAACGATCCAGTCATATTGAAAGCTATCGAGGCATTGACCACATCCACCAATATATCGGAGGGGCAATCAAGCAGCACGAACTTCTCACGAGCATTATTAATGCGTTTCCAAAGTATTCGATAATCATCGCCGCGTTGAAACTCCTGGAGCTTGATTCCAGTTTTGTGCAACTGCCTCCAAGCAAAGATATGCTGAAATCGGGCAAAGTCTAAAGGAAACAGTTCAAAATTAGACGACTTAAAATATAAATTGAGGAGACAAATAGAATAGAAAAAAATGTATTCAATACAATACTTTCTGAAAATATATTTTATCTAAAAGAAATATACTATTACTAAGCGATAATACAATTGTTTTAATATAGCTTTTAATTAAAAAGAGTTAAATTTACATATTAGGGACAAGTATTGGGCACACTAAATCTTCACGTTGATTTATATAATAAAAAATTATAATAATAATCAAGTTAGATCTTTTAACAGGCTGGTTAATCTCATATATTATTTTTCTTCACTCCTCCTACGTCTCTCAGAATTTCAATTTACTTACGTGCATCCCGCTCATAGGCAATAGTAAAGGACTTCCAATCAAAGGCCTTGCTCCGCAGAATGTCAGCGAGGCCCATAGAGAGTATTAGTTCTGAGGGCGCCACATTGATGGTCAACTGATGATTTAGACGCTCACGTGAGGATTGCTGTGGGTGCCAGTCGAACTGTAGATGCGGAATGCCCATCATATTGCACAGCACCTCGACAATATCTAAAAGCGGGAAGTGAGAAGGAGAAAATCATCATGTATACAAATCTGATGGCTAATGTATATTTTTGTTTAGAATGACTTGGCGAACTAACAAAACATACAATGAAAGTGCCGAGCAAAACAACGGAATGAAATGAACGAATATTTTCCTGGCAGCGATCCAATAAACGATGCGCAAGTGTCCCATCTATTTGGGATTGCATACATGAATATAAACACACACGTTCGAGTCTTGTCGTTTATTTACTATACAAATATGTGGCTATAATGCTTGCTTGGCCAATTTAATGCGAAACATCAAGAATCATTAACGAGGTTAGTGGCATCAATTGAGAAACTATATCGGTTGCTCTCTTTCTCTCTGGCATTAGCTCTCTTTCTCTCTGTCATTAGCTCTCTGGTAAAACACGAAAAACACTTTCTCTCTCAATCGCGTTCTCTCTTCTCTCTGCGTTTTAAAATACTCACATTTTCTGTCTTTTGTATACAGATGAAATTAGTCTACGCGCAGAGAAGAACGACAAACAGGCGACAACAACAATGGCCCCAGACATAATTTAATGACGCCGATTTTGTTTAAAAATAATTTAACTTTTCGACATTGTTAAAAAGTAAACTTACCGCTGGTCGTCTTTGAACTTGGTCCCAAAATAGCAGCGACACCATTCCCAATCAAGTCACAGGCTAAGTAAAATAATGTATCACATGAATGCCAGATAATTAGTTTGATATATCAAATACTCACATAAATCCTGCAGCACAATGCTATCGTCCACAGTAATGTAATGCTTTATGGGTTCCAGTTGTAAGTCTGGGCTTAAGGCATTTACCTCCTCGATGGCGGCATCAAAAGCCGCAGCCAGATTCATTTCGGTATCAAAGAAGATAGCCCCTATTCAAAAGAAAGAAAGTTTTGAGAAACATTCAAACAAACTTCAACAAAAAAATTAAAATAAACTATTATTTTAGTAAAAAGACATTTTTAAATTTTATTCACCAATTTTTATCACCATTCCTTCATTATTATGGGCGCCGCTGCAGAAAGCTAATGCAGCAAAGATTAGGAACTTTAGTGTAAACATCACTTATAGATAGGATCACTTTCGCATGATTGTTTGTCCCTGGTCTCAAATGACATTTATATAATGCGATACGATGCACAGAAAACAGTTCACAATTCACTTTATCCACCTATAAGTATCAAAAACATAAGTAACAAAAATATCCAAAATATATATTCCATACGCGTGATGAAGACCACGCAACGGCTACGCTTCGAATACCAAGCAAATGTACGAATCGGGATCTGGTCGGGGGCGCTGCTCACGAGGCACTGAGCTGCTAGAGAAATACATTTTTGGAGCAAAGCGATCGCTGGGAGAGTGCTGCTTATTTTAGCAGACGAATCGTAGGTGGCAGCGAGGTCCAAGAGCCATTTGTTTTATGGACAACAGACACACACGCACACGCAATACGATGGTCACAAAAGCAAGAGCAGCACACAACACACTCGGCCAGGCAGACTGTGGCATCAACTGCCGCTGGAAATGAGCCAAGTAAATGGCATGCAGATGTGGCCACAACTGGTGCGTGCCGAATATCCAAGCAGCAATGTAGGGTGAAATAGCATTAAGAAAAAAAAAGATTTGGCCTAAGGAAAAACAAAAAATAAACTATATAGAATTTCTATATATACTAAACGATATGCATGTGGCACACATCAATATAATAATACATTACTCAATAATTATGTATACATTTTGCTGAATTTCTCAAAACTCTGTTTATTCAACTCAACAAATGAATGAATTATTTAACTTATTGCTTATTAACTAGCCGTTTTGCTGCGTGTTTTCTCCTTTGAGCTGCGCCTTGACGCCGAGGAGCGTCTGGAGGATTTGTCTCCGCCACTGCTGCTACTGCTGGATATGCGCATGGGTTTCTTGCGCACCCAGAACTTGAGCGCAAAGATCAGTTCCGCCTTCAGGGCCTGCCAGGGTGTCACACGCTCCTCAACGGCCACGTTCTGCACATTCCACAGAAACTCAAAGATGCCCAAAATAACGCCAGTTACCACACCTCCAGCGAGCACCAAAAAAACACCGCCCAGCTCTATAATCGACAGCTCATCGCCATCCACCTCATGAAACGATTCGCAGGTAACATTGTGATTCTTCCACCATTTGTTCTTCAGCTTATAGAGTTCCCCCTTTTCGCTCAGCTGCAGTATGGAGACGCTCAAATTGGTGCGATAATCGGCGCCTGGAATAAATTTGATTGAAACTTATCTACAAATTTGTACATTGGTTAAAATATAAAAGGAAAATGGAACGTTTTTGCTTACATAGGGTATCAAAACTCTTATATCAAGCATGGATCTTTACTCTCCTGCCTTACATTCTTTAGAAAACTCAAAAAACTGATATTGAAATATTATAAATACAACCGGAATAACAAAATAGAAATAGGAATAATAAATATTATAATATGTGCATAATTTTTAGTCCGATTTAAATTTGACGGACTGGCAAATAAACATAATTTCTTTATATAATTCTATATGTTTGCTAGTCAAATGTGTAGTATTCTTAAGATGCTCTCCATAATTCGAATATTTATATATTTTCATTGGATATTCAGAGTTTCTCAACATTGGACTTACCCAATGGCACTGCCAAGCCATAATGCTTTTCGCCAATCTGTCCGCCAATCTGACGCAAATCGCAGTGGCGCTCAATGTTGTAAGTCATGCTAGTTGTCTCCATAAGGAAGGCATAGCTGCCCTTCTCCTTGCGCACACGATCGACGCCCTCCTTGTTGTTGCTGGTAAATGCGGATGGATTGAAGCCCTTCATTTGACTCCACGCGCGCTGATAGTCCGTGTCATTCGACTCGGAGAAGAACAAGGAGGTGCTGCCACCTCGCATGGCACCAAACTTCACTTCGTCCTGATCGAGTAGATCCTGCAAGCTCTTAATGGTGCTCTGCCATTTGTTGCTGGTCAAGAAGGCTGCCAAATTGGCTGTATAAGTGCTGAGCATCATCAGTGCAAAGAACCACCACATGCCCGTCAGAATACGCATATGAGGACCCCTGGAATTCGAATCAAGTTTTACTTTTGAATGAGTATTAATATTTATAATCCACAAATACCTCGGCAATATATCGCAGCCCTGTTGCATAATGGAGCCCACCATTAGCCAGCAACTGTTATTCACATTCCAAATGTTCTCCAGTTCATCGGGATCGACTATGGCTGGGTTCGGAGGCATCCACTCACGATAGGAGAGCCTATGGAAAAATTACATTTCAAAAGCGGATGAGGTAACCAGAAAATCACAGCTCACCTGGCAATCAGCACAAAGGCCAGCGTCATCACCAACTGTGCAAATACCATATAGATCCACACCTCTGGCGCAAATGGTTCCAAGAAGGCAAACGGATTCTTCTGCACCGGCGGACTCTTGTAATGCATTATACTAATCCCCAGTTGCATAAAGGGCACTGTGAAATCCACAGCCGAGCGACGAAGCTGAGTGATCGTCAAATCACAGACACCAATCTGAGCGTGCTAAAAGAATACAGATTTTTCATTATTAACTCCAACTTTCAACTCGAAAAGACAACTCACATGATCAATTAGCTTGCGTATAATGCCATCCCATTGCTTGGTTTCGGGATTGTATTTGCCGTTGCCATTGACAATCATGAACTCATAATCGAATTCCATCAGCTCGGATAGCTTTCGAATGAGATCCACAGCATAGCCTTCGTACTTTTCCTGGCCCCTATAATTCTCATGATCCTGCCTGAAGTTGAAGTTTGTTCAATATACATAGGAAGTAATTAAATAAGTGAGTTACTTAAAATACTTACTTCATCATAAAATAGGGCTCCTCATGGTGTGTGACAACTGTATAAACTTTGCGCTGAGTTGAGAAATCCGGCGTGGGTATTGAGTTTTCCAATTCCGGATTCAGTCGCCGGACCTTAATGCCATGATCTGGTGTCCAGACCATTAGTGGCTCATTGACAGTCGGCTTATAGATTTCTAGATTGAAGCTCGTTCGCTGTCCATACTCATTGAGTTTCATGTTTTCGGTTTTGAAGTGCGGCTCAACATCATCCTCCGATATGGTTTTCATCTCGTGCACTATATAAGCACCCATTATCCAGGGACTGCCATGGCCGAGGCCACAGTGGCTATTAGGTGTATAGAACTGTTGCATGTATGCGATCACATTACGTGCCGAATTGGCAAATAAAATTACAGCATCATAGATGAGTATGGGCAGCATCATTTGGCTGCCAAGTATTTGCTACAAATGCAAAGATTATTACAAATATGATTCATATTACATGTGCTGTGTATTATTACTACTCACATCCACTTTGGTGATGCGCGTCTTTTTGCGCTCGTAGGGATTCGGATCGACAAGTTTCAGGCGTACAGATGTTATATTCGCCTTGAAATCCTCATTGTAAATATCTTTTAGGCCCGAACTATGTGTATCCAGATGGGTGAGAAACCAATTCTATAAGTTGACTAATAAGTTTTCAAGTTTTTCACTCAGCAACGTTCAAATACTTACTCGAAAGGGACCTTGTAGCTTAAAGTCCACGGAGATTTTCAGCAACTCCTTCAGCGATTTGGGCTCACAGTCCAAAATAATACGATGCTCATGAAAAGTTTCATCCGCCTCCTTCCACAGAACGCGAAAGTCCTCAACATAATCGGCCAAACTACGCAACTTCACATAGTCAGTATTGAGAGCATGAATATTCATAAGATCTTGCAAACGAGCGAGTCCTAAAATTAATCATAGGACAAAAAATAGATGATTATAGATTATAAATAACATAAATAGAAGTGTTAACTGTATTAACAAATTTATCATTTTTGGAGATCAAACTATTTAAAAATATTAATTTTAATTGGTTTACAACTTTCTTCAATATTTCTTGGTATCAGAATAACTTGGTAAAACACAGATTTAAACTGTAAATACCTTTGGATTACTTACCCTCTGGCGTTTCATAGATAAGGGTAAATGTGCGCCACTCGTAATTGAATTTGATGATATCGTAATAGGCACGCGATAGGACTGACAAGGAGGGGGCCACATTAACTGTCATTTGGTGATTTAAGTGCTCCTGCCGCGTAGCCTCAAGTTTCCAATCGTATTCTATGTGTGGAATGCCGGTCGTGTTTGCGATTTGCGCAACAATATCTAAGGTAAAATAAACAAAATGATTACAAAACGATCACAATATGATGCTGATGAATGAGCACAATAAAACTCAAAACGGCCACTACGAACCACTAGCTGCCTTTGAACTTGGTCCGAAAATAGCCGCAACGCCATTGGAAATCAGTTCACAAGCTATACGGAAAAGATGTGCCTGGTATTAGTAACATAAATATTAAGTATTATTTGCATACTTACTGATCTGTTGCAGCAGGAAACTGTCATTGGTAGGCATATAACGTTTGATGGGTATAAATTGAAGATCGGAGAATTTTAAATTGTTGACCACACGAAAGGCATGGTCGAAACTCAATTCAATTTCCTTTTCATTTTCATAGAAAATGGCTCCTACGGAAACGTGATTAAAATAATAATAATAATAATAATAATAATAATAATGAGACAGCGTAAAAACCTACCCACTGGGATTTTTGTATGCTCATCGCCAATGGCGAGGTCATATTTTATAAATAACACCAAATAAATGTAGACTGGACACAAATGCATTTTTTCCAAAAAAGAATTTCTACTTTAACAGCGCACTCTAATTGAATTTTCTAAATGCAGCGGCCATTTCGTTGTTAAATTTTTTGCTACACATATGTACATAAATATATATATTTATATATTTTTATATATATTTATGTATACAGGCAAACAACAAGCACACAAAATTACGTAAAATTTCAAAGAATTATTTGTTTTTTTTTTCCCCTAAATTTTGTATTTAATATTATTTTCAGCTCTTGCTCCAAACAACCGACCGCAGCATCCAGTCTTGGAGCGCCCAGTACGCACACTGACCGCCCGGTTTAACTATGTCCGCTCTCCAACTGTCAGTAGACGCTGCTGCTCCGCTGCTGCTCTTTGTAGACGGTGGAAGCACTCTCATTGTGCTCTTGGGAAAGTGCCATGTGTCATGTGTGCCATGCGCCATGTACCATGTGCCTTGTGGCATGTCATTATTTATGGCGCTTGTCGATGACGTAGGCGGCATCCAGTCTGGCAAGCCTTGCCATTTTCATTCTATGATTATCGTACTCACACACAATTATGTTTGCCAGCAGCTTTTCATATTGTGTGCCAAATATTGTGATGTTCTTGCTTTTGTTTGCTCTTGGCAGCTTTTTGATCTTACAAATTGCTTGATCTATTCGAAAGGAGATGCTCTCGAGAAAAAAAACTAGTACACAAGAAAAATGTAGATCTTAAGCATATCAAAGAGGTTACAAAATTAAAACAAAATGTCACAAAATATTAAGCAAATAATCAAAATGATAAATATAATTTTAGATCAATTCAACTTTTTCCTGTCAACAACTATAATTAAAATAATATGTGTATATTACGCATAAAGAATAATAATTTCGATCATTTTTTTTAATTTCTTCGACATTTCACATTGATAATTCTAATCACTCCAACAGAGTTTTGCTTTGTATAGGATTTTGTCTAGTTGAACGCTAGTTTTTGGTTTAAGTAACTATGGGTTTGTTGTCAACTGCCTTAGAATTACTCACAGTTCACTTCTGTTCTCTCTACACAAAAAAAATAAAATAAAAATAAATAAATATAAAAAAAAGAATTTACAAACTTAAATAAAACCAAAATGAGCGACAAAGTAGTGGACACAAGTGTTTTAGGCTTTGCAACTTATGAGGATTATGTGAACTCTTTCTCGACCAAAAATGATATCAGATATTTGGGCAACATTCGTGTAGCCGGAAACCTTGCCAAATTGGGATATCGGTCCACGAAGACACCCTACTCTGAGAAGGAATTCGTGAAACGAGTCGATTTGGCAATGCTTGCGATACGACCAAAAATTACGGGCATCCAGCCATTTAGTAGATTTATGTCACCAGACAATACGGATCCAGTGCTTCTCGAGTTTAAGCGACGTGAGGTGCCCATATTCTCCAAAATCTTAGCTGTAAGACTGAAAGTTACAATTATTTCAACTTTTACTATATCTCTACTCATATCCCAAAAAGACAATTGTGTTTGCAAGATATACAGCACCCGATAGCTCGGACGTTTCGGCCTATCTTGATTTGGGAATGAGCTGGCAGAATACAGTGCGCCGAGCCATCAGGCACACGAATTGGAAAGGCGTCTATGAGGGATCTGCCCGACTGCTGCCCATGTCCCATCATCTGAGCTACAATAATCCACGATATAATATGCTCAACTATACGGATAGCGACAACTTCTGTGTTATCCACGATCATCGCTATGGATTAATGTTCAAGCACAGAGGCGATCACAAATATATACCGGTGGGCGGTTCTCCCACTCCGTTTGATAAAAACGTGAAAAGATCAATATCATCGTCACCAAAATATGGCACAATGATATTCTATGATCATACTGTGCGCAAGAAGGTGTGAATCAGGTGTATATATACAAAATATATTGAAATGTATGTGAAATATTATTTTATTTGTAAAGATACTTTAATCACTGGCAAAAGTCCAATAATTTAATTGTTCCGATCTCTTGTTTAGAAAATGTTTAGCACAACAAACATCAGAGGGTGCTCTCCCTCTATCTCTCTCTCACTCTTTCTCTCTTTGTCTCTCTCTCTCTCTCTCTCTCTCTCTCTCTCTGTCTGTCTCCTTCTCCCTCTCTCTGAGAACATTTCGCATGCTTATGCTCATACCTTTTAAAATTAGCATAGTTCAGTTGTATATATGGGCGACATAGCTCATTGTATTGCAGATCTTTGAACATCACAGTTGCACTTGTTGTAAAATTTTCGTTGCCAGTTTTACATCATCAGTGAACAAACACAACAATCATCGAAATCAAATTTAACTTAACAATTAAAATGCAAACAAGTCAATAAAATGTGGCCAAAACATTTTATATTTGTTTCAATGCTGTTGCACTGCGCCACAGCCAGGGAGAAGTTTATGGTCGGTGAGTGAAACAAAAATACATATTTACATATATGCATATATGTATGCATACATAATAGAAAACTAGGTCACATGCATTGAGGTTGGCTAAAAGTGTTTGCAAACATTTCTGTTTTTTTCTCTAGGCAGCATTTTCACATCGGATAAGGATGAGGCGGAAATTGCATTTCGCACAGCTGTGGATCGTGCAAATATTTTGGAACGCAATATTGAATTGGTGCCAGTTGTGGTCTATGCCAATACAGACGACAGTTTCATAATGGAGAAAATGGGTAAAGTGGATCAGAAGTGGAAAGAAAAGTATAAAAATTCAAAGCTACAACTTTACTTGCAGTTTGCAATCTTATTTCTCAAGGGGTTATTGCTATTTTTGGACCCAGCACTGGCGGCAGTTCAGGCAAGTTTTATGTCCACATTTTAATGGTTCTCCCCGGTTTTAACTTGATCGACTTTGATAGACATCATATCCTCGATTTGCCACACTTTGGATATACCAAATATTGTATATGACTGGCGACCAGATTATCGACATTATGAGCACTCTACAATGACCCTCAATGTGCATCCCGATCATTTGCAGCTGGCACGTGGATTTGCCGAAATTGTGCAAAGCTTTGGCTGGCGAAGCTACACAGTTGTCTATGAATCAGAGAAGGGTAAGTGGGATGTCAAATCTGGAATAGCCTCATCACAATTCTGTTACTCTGTTCTGTTTTGTAGAACTGCGCCAGCTCCAGGATATTCTTCAAATTGGTGATCCAAGCAGTAATCCAACTACAATCAGGCAGCTGGGTCCCGACGACGATCACAGACCCTTTTTAAAAGAAATTAAACTGTCCACTGATAACTGTCTGATATTGCACTGTTCTCCGGAAAAACTAATGGGCATCTTAGAGCAGGCCAATGAGCTTAAAATGTTGGGTGAATATCAGGTAAAGAATCTTAAAGGAACTGGAAAAGTGACTCTTTTTTTGTGTGTTTGTCTTTATTGCTAATTATTAAATATTTTGACTTTTGCAGAGTGTTTTTATACCCCTGCTCGATACACACACACTGGAGCTTGGTGACATCGTCAACGTGGAGGCAAACATAACCACAGTTCGCATCATGGATCCCACAGACTATCACGTCAAGAACGTGGTTCACGATTGGGAGGAGCGCGAGAAGCGGGAAGGTCGCTACTATAAAGTGCTGCCCACTCAGGTTAAAACCCAGATGATATTGCTCAACGATGCCGTCTGGCTCTTCTCCAAGGGGCTCACAGAGCTGGGCATTGTAGAGGAGTTAACAGCGCCCGAAATTGAATGCAAACGCAAAAAACCCTGGCCACATGGCAGACGCATCATTGAATTTATGAAGGCGGTATGATTCAAATATCGTTTAAGTATATACATTTACATACATACAATGAGTATATCTTGCAGCGCTCCGAGGAGGTCGCCACGGGACGCATCGACTTCAACGAGTATGGGCAGCGTAGTTATTTCAGTTTGCGTTTCATGGAAATCGAGGCGGGTGGCTTCTTGGATCTGGCCATTTGGGATCCGGTCAATGGCCTGGATATGCTCAACGATGATGAAGAGAGCGAGAAGCGTGTGGGTCAAAAGTTGTCGAATAAAACCTTTATAGTCTCGTCGCGCATTGGAGCGCCCTTCCTGACAATGCGCGAACCCGAAGAGGGGCAAGTCCTGCAGGGAAATGCCCGTTACGAGGGCTACTCCATGGATCTGATTGATAATATTGCACGCATGCTGAATTTCAAATATGAATTTCGCATGTCGCCCGACGGCAAATATGGCAGCCTGAATACAGCAACCCAAACCTGGGATGGGATTGTCAGACAGCTGATCGATGGGGTGAGAAAAAAACAAAGAAAAAAATTTCTTAAAGCGAACAGGGACTGATGTCATTTATTATATACACATTGATTGTCTAATAATGACAATTTTATTATTTATTTTATATGTATCTCATTTTTAAATTTACTTACAATCACATTTTAGAACGCTGATCTGGGTATATGCGATCTGACAATGACGTCATCTCGGCGTCAGGCAGTGGATTTTACGCCACCCTTTATGAATCTGGGCATAAGTATTCTGTTCTCAAAGCCACCCATACCGCCAACAGACTTGTTCTCATTTCTGTCGCCCTTCTCGCTGGATGTGTGGATCTACATGGGCTCGGCGTATCTCTTTATATCGTTTTTACTGTTCGCCCTCGCTCGCATGGCGCCGGATGACTGGGAGAATCCGCATCCGTGCAAGGAGCCCGAGGAGGTTGAGAATATCTGGTTTCTGCATAATACAATGTGGCTTTCGATTGGTTCGCTCATGGGTCAAGGCTGCGACATATTGCCCAAGTGAGTAGATGAGCAGTTAAAATAAATACTATATTTGATTTACTTGCACTATTCTTAGAGCTGCCTCAACACGGCTTGTCACAGGCATGTGGTGGTTCTTTGCCCTCATGATGTTGAACTCCTACACAGCCAACTTGGCTGCCTTTTTAACCAATTCGCGCCAGGCCAGTTCCATCAACAATGCCGAAGATCTGTCCGCTCAGAGCAAGATCAAATATGGCGCTCTATTGGGCGGCTCCACATTGGGCTTCTTCAGAGACTCAAATTTCAGCACTTATCAACGGATGTGGACAGCCATGGAAAGTGCGACTCCCTCAGTATTTACCAAAACCAACGACGAAGGCGTGGAGCGTGTGCAAGTAAGTCAATTTAGTAAATATTAAAAAATAAAAATAAATTGTTTTGTACATTAAAAAATTAAGGTTTCTTAAAACTATAGAGAAAAAACCTAATACTAATCTTAAATGATAAGTAATAAACAGTTGAAACCCAAAAACTTAACTCATATTCGCAAATATGCATTATATTTCCAGAAAGGAAAAAATCTATATGCTTTCCTAATGGAGTCCACCACGCTGGAGTACAACGTGGAGCGTAAGTGTGACTTAATGCAAATTGGCGGCTGGCTGGACTACAAGAGTTATGGCATAGCTATGCCATTTAGTAAGTGTTATTATGGGGACTTCATTTCAAAACCAATCTTATCGTATGCATATCAACTAGATTCGCCGTATCGCAAGCAAATAAGTGGCGCTGTACTAAAGCTGGGTGAGCTGGGAGTGCTGGCGGAGCTGAAGCGCAAATGGTGGAAGGAGATGCATGGCGGTGGCAGCTGTGGGGGCGACGAGAAGAAAAACGCCGATACACCGGAGCTGGGCTTGGAGAATGTTGGTGGCGTATTTATGGTATTGGGCTTCGGCCTGTTGTCGGCGATGGTGCTGGGCTTTACGGAGTTTCTGTGGAACGTCAAAGCGGTGGCCATCGAGGAGAAGGTTAGCAACTTGAACAGTCTCTTGTTGAGCCTATGTTAAACTATATTTTAATGCCGGCATAGATATCACTAAAGGAAGCACTCAAGACGGAGGTTATGTTTGCCTTACGTATTTGGATTACGACGAAACCGGTGCACGCCAGCGTCAGCTCCAACAGCTCATCATCGACGTCTTCCAGTTCGTCATCGAAGTCAAAGTGTTCCAAATCGCATTCAGCACGTTCCAAGCGTTCATCCAAGTCTTTGGGCATGTCCAGCAAGAGCCACAAAAGCTCTGGGGATCATGATCTGGAGTCTTCGGTGCACAGCAAGCTGAAGAAGATTGGTTCCATGTTCTCGCTTAAATCGCACAAGGCCGCGACGCCTCCCCTGGAAATTGGTTGGAAATTGGATAAATCGACACAAATGACTGACTCACCACCGCCAGAGGAGAAAGCGGAGCAGGAGGACGAGGCACCAGTACAGCGACGACATCACCATCATCATCACCACCATCATCATCACAATCACCAGCAAGATGTGGACAAGTCTTTGGATCAACGTGCTAGCAAAATGAGCAATGGAGTTTAAGAAGTTCTCAGTCAAAATTTCTCCCTTCGAAAGAGTTTTCAACTTATTAAAATCTTTTTATTTTTTAGATTCGATTCCCAAATAGAATAATTAAAGTTTATACAAATAACGAATAATACCCAAAATGCATTTACATCAAATAACTCTTAAATATCCATTTGATAAATTGAAATGCAAATAAGTTAAAAACTCTTTGATTCATACAAATATTTGAAATTGATCAACCCCACAAAGTATTATGAAATTCTAACAATATTCTTACATTTTTCTATCACTGTAAAAGAAAAAAATTACATAATTCGGTTTTTTAAGTTTTTATTGTTTTTTTTTCTTCGTTTTGTTTTTGTTTTGTATTTTTTTTCTTTTCTTTAATTGTTTGATTTTTATATACTGAAGTAATATCTATTACATTTTCTCATTTCTTGTTGTACTACACAAAAATTTGTTGTCAAATTAATTTGCTTTGCTTTTTAAGTAAATTGATGGCGAATCTCAGATTGTTTATATTGTTTTACACACTGATATCAATCGAATAGAATTCTTTTTGAATGTTGTTGCATTTTCGCTCTCCTAACCATAGATTGTTTAATACTTAATTTTTGTTGTCTTCATATTTGAAATATTTAATTAATATTTATTATTACACATATATAATATAGTTACTTGCAAAGCTAATTGAATACGCATATTGTTGCTCATTGTTTAAGGTACATTTTAGTTGATTATCTCCCTGTCTGACAGCTTCTTTTTCTTAGGATTTTGGATTTTTGAGCTTAGTTCGAATAATAGCCTATACATACAAATAAAGTAGCTCCTCACCTATTAATAAATATACATAATAATAATAATCATATATTATACAAAATAGAAATTGTCATAATTTAATTCATCGAGATAGAGTGGTATACTAAAGGAATGAGATATTTTAGGAGTTCTGATCATATATTTTAGTTGCAGTTATATACAAATTGCAGGAGGCAAAAATATTGCTTAGTAGGAAAATTAAAAATATATCTTAACTAAAATACTTTTTTTTTTTTGTAAATTTTTCTCTGTCGAGTATTTGTTTTGTTTTTTAGTTTTTTAGTTTTTTTTCTTTCTTTTTTTGGTAGTTTCACATTTTGTTGCTGGCTTAACTTACATAAATTGCTTTAAATAATTGGATATATTTTTTTTTGGGCATTTTCTAAGACTTTTTTTTGGGTTTACGAAATGCAGAGAGCGTTTTTAACCACATTGTGATTCGTCCACAAAGACAATATCCTTTTGGCTCTTACGTCTCTGTCAATCCTTGGCCATTATGGCCACGGGCGGAAACTGGCGCTCGTCGTACAGCTTTGTGGGCGTGTCAATGGCATCGCATAGCTTGCGAAACTTGGCAGAATCTGTACAAATATATTTGTCATGTTTTAGTTGAGTTGAGTGAAGAGCATTTTGCAGTATTGTGGGCCACACTCACCTGACATGGCATCCGCCTGCTCGCCACGCAAGATGCCCGCATAGCTGTTGTCCGCCACCGGCTCCGGATTCTCGATGAGCACACTGGCCGCACAGCTCTTCAGCATGGTGAGCGACTGCTGTGGCAACGTCGTTGTCGTCGTCGTCGTTGCCGGCAACGACTTGGACTGCGTTTTCAGGATGCTTTCGCTCAGCTGCAATTCGATGACGTCCTCGAGGGCGCCACGCAGATCGTGCACGGCCAGCAGCTTGCAGGCACCGCCACGCTCCGCATTGAAGTCGTGCATGTAGAGGAATCCATCCTCGCAGGCAATCAGCAGACGTAGCTCCTTTTGCACATGCGTCAGCGCACAAATGTTCTTCAGGCCCGACTGTGGCAGCACCACCGTGGCAAAGGCACGATCCTGCGCCAGCACATCGCTCACCTGAGCGGGTAGCAACAGCGATGACACAGCCTTAGAGAACATGCCACCCCAACTACTGGTCGAGCTGGCCGTTGCAGACGCTGCTTCACTGTTTGCATCCTCGGCTGCTGCGCCCGCCGCTGCTGCATCCGTCGCCTCCTTGGTCTGAGTGTCCGCCTTGGCTGCCACTTCAGCTGTAAGCGTTCATAAATCAGTTAGTTAATCTTGGCCTGAGTCCAAATTATTTGGCATGACTCACCAATTGCTTTCAGTTCGGCCACCTCCACAGCCCGCGCATCGATCTTGAAGACGTGCACCGTTTCCGTGTTGGATGAGGCGCACAGGAAGTCGCCGGCCGCGGCAAAGACGAGCGATGCGATTCGCACGCAACGTTTGACGCCACGCCGGAACTCTTGGACCCGCTGGCCGTTCTTCACGCAGAAGACGCGTATCACAGTGCCCCGCTCGGAGGCGGTGGCAAGTAGCGCTCCGCTGGGCGAGAAGGTGAGCGCCGATAGGGGCGTGTCGTGCGCCTTGATTGTCATACCCGTGCGCAGTTTGTTCGCATTGAAGATGCGCAGCTCGCCGCTGGACTGACAGATAGGGAACGCCAGATGCGAGTTGAGCGACAGTGCGCAGAGGCCCAGCTCATTGGGCGCAATGTTTTCAATGGAGTGCAGGATCTTCATGTCGCGTATGTCATGTATGTGTATGCTCTCCGCGAGGCAGACGATTAGACGCTGGCGATTCATGCGGACGCAGAGTATCTCCGAGGGATAGAAACAATTGCAGATGTCCTGTTTCTTCTTGAAGTGCAGCATTTTCAGGCAGTTGGGCTTCTGGGCGGTGACCAGCACCACCAGCGAACTGTTGAAGAGCCGCTCCACAATCCTTATCTGCTCCGTATTGTCCTTGGCAAAGATCTCCTCGACTCTATCCTGGCCCGCAATCGAATAAAGACGCAGTCCACCGCTGCTCAGCACGGATAGGGAACTGCTTGAATCAAAGAAAAAAAAATACAAATTTGAACCAAGCAACAAAATTTTTCGTGTTTATGGTTAATAAGTTACTGACAGATTTATAACCTTATTTAATTATGACAAATCATAAATAATATACGCACTTTGTCAAATTCAGATCTGCAACAACCCATTAACAATAATATAAAACACGTAATTAGTTGTCCAATGCATTCAAAAACAACGCAAGGACAATCATTAAATGACGAAACACCTAACGTCATAAAATGACGTAGCGCAGGTCAATGACGAATTTTAAACCTAAGCTTCACATTTATTATGAAATTAGCCCTCTCGGGCTTCCAAAAATTGCCGTAGTGGACGGTATTTCACGTCCCCATGGCGGGGTATTGGTTAAAGTTTTCAACTAGCAATAATCGCACCTCAGTAGAACTTCATTGATTACGATATCGCCTCTGCGCAAAGATAACCAAACACTGCTAAAATACAACTACTCTATGCACACACAGCCAGAACCAGTTGAGAATTCTATGCGAAGTAAGCAGTCAACTTAAACGTTTACTTGTGTAGCATGCTTTTCGGCTGCACTTTTGTTATTGTGTGTGTGTATGTGATTTTTTGGGCAGCACTCGACAAATGCATCCCTTCTTGTTGTCTCTCGACGTTGCCTGCGAGGGGGTGCAAGAGTAATGGGCGAGGTTTGAGTGCAGAGGCATCTGCAATGTGCAGCTAAAAATAACGCTAGCAAGTTCAAGTTCGAATATGTGATGAAATAAATAATTTGGAAAAATTATGAAAAAATAAGTTCGAATTTTAAAAATATAATTAAAGCTATTTTTGGCATTTATTTTGTTATCTCTGCGCTGGCATTTGAACTCGTAACCTGAGCTTAATTTTTTTTGCTGAGCCAGCATCGTTTTCAAAGGTTGTAATTTATAAAAAATATATACAAATATATATATATATAAATAATTTAAATATGTATATAAGTAAATATAAAATATAATGAAATAAATGAATAATTATTTATTTATGTGCCAAATATAGAAACAAATAAACAGCGGTTGCAACAAGTCATAGCAATGGAATGAGTGTATTGCGTGTGCAAAAGCGGGACAACTCTATGTGCAGCAAGAAAAAATACCAAAAGGTAATTTTTAGTTCATTTTTAAATTCGATTTATTTGTGCTTAAATTTGAATTATGCTCCGCAGAGTTTATATTTTCAATATCATAAATTTGGATACTATTTTCCCCTTTTTTTAAAATGAGATCCAATTATAAATTATTTTGGCGTATCTTTCAACTTTTCACTTTCCACTTTGTACTTGGTACTAATTGTTAAATTGGGCAGATGCTTAGATTAAATCACTGGGCGACAACTGAGACTCGCCCTCGGCCATATAAATGTGCATCGCCTTGTACAGGAGTGCAATCCCAAGCTGCTTCTTCTGCTTCATGGTCCAGATCTGGGCGGGGCCATAGTAATCGCCCCGCTTAAGATTCGTGAGATGCGCCAGACCCAGTGCATCAATGATCGATGCCTCTCGTGTGTAAGCATCTGTAGGCAGTATGTTGTGGAAGACGTGAAGGCACACGACACCGCTGCCATGCTGCCATATGTCCAGGATGCGCTGCAGTTTCTTACTGCCAGCGGGCGCCTGACCCGCCGCTGGCGGGGACTTAAACAGCTCCGGCATCAGTAAGACGCGTCGCTTGCCACGTTTCTTGTGCTGCTCGTGATGCTGCTGATTGGCGCGCGTATGTTGCCTCATTGCGTCGTACAGATGTGCATAGGGGCGCGAGGATTTGCCCTTGCCTACATAGAAAATGGCGTCGAGGAAGCGCGACCAAATGCTCAGCGGATCCAGATAGGCGCGTTCTCCCGGCAAATTTCTCGAGATGCGCGGATCAATCAGCATGTAAATGAAACTCTGCTTTAGATGCCCCTCCCGCATCCGGCGACCACCTGCACAAGCTGTGGCAAAGTGTGTGGCAGAGTTGACCTCGTGTTGCATAAACCGTTCGATGTGCTCGTAATCCTGCTGGGTGCGCAGCGTGTGATGCAGTTCCACGGAGTACTTGACCTGGGCGGCCTTCGCGTGCTTCTGCGCCGCCAGCAGAGCTGCCGTGTTCCGCTTGTACTTGATCAGCTGCTTGATATACAGACGCTTCGTGGTGTGCGTGATGGGTCCAACTGGTGCACCCAGTTGCGTCAATTCCGCACGCAGTGCATCCGTCTCGTAGTCGAGGGGCAGCGTAAGATTTGTGCTAACACTGCTGTCCATTCCCTGCTCCTTTGGCACCGTTAGATACTGCATCGGCTGCTGCTGATGCTGGTGCTGCTCCTGCTTTCGTTTTCCATTAACCTTCTTGGTCGCATTCTGCGGCAATTTGGTCTCGTAGAAAACGAGTCCATTCTCATCATCCGTATGAACATATGCCTCCGTCATTTGCAGATAGTACGCCTTGTCTGGCGAAGGCTGCTCCTGCTCCTCCTCCTCCCCATTGTGTGCCGTGTGAAAGCTCTGTTCTAGGACGCACGCCTGCGCCACTTGCTCCACCAGCTGGCCAAAGGCAGCACGTCCACTTTGAGCATCTCCAACTGCTGGCAGCTGCTGCTCCAGCAGCTCCTCCTCCAGTTCGGTATCTCGGAGAGTCTGCTGCAGATGATGCTCGTAGCTGAAGTTCTCCTGGGACATGGCCTGATCCACCAGCGACTCCACACACTCCACCTGTAGCAGAGATTTACGGGCACGTGACCGTTCTACCTTATCCCGCCAGCTCTCGATTAGGGTGCGGCGTCCACACCCCGTCTCCTGATTCAGCTCATGCAGATGATCTCGTGTCAGGGCGAATAGATTCACGGACTGCTCCTGCTCCGGCTCCAAGTCTTCTACATCTGGAAATCTGGGTTGTGGTTTGCCGCGTCTGTGTGTGATATTGATGTAGTAGGGCGAGGTAACATCCTGGTTATACTTAATGCCCGTCTGTGGCGTCAAGAGAGACTGTTGCTCCTGTTGCTGCGGCTTCTGCTTCTCCTGCTGCTTTTCCTTGAAGATGTGATCCCGCATCAATTGCAGCACCTCGAAGTGACACTCCTCAATCGCATAGTGCACGGCCAGCTTGTGCTCCTCATCCATCAGATCGGGCCGTGCGCCATGCGCCAACAGCAGACGCACCAGCTCCACCCGTCCATAGTTCGCTGCGATATGGAGTGCCGTCATTTCGCCCTCACAGCGTACATTCACGTCCACCATCTGGCCACCGCTGGTCGTGAGAAAGCGTTGCAGTATTCTCAACGCCAACTCTTCGTTCTGCATGCCGCACACATAGTGCAGCGGCGACAATCCTCGCTCGCAGGGCACAATTCCAGCGTTAATGTTGTTTCTGTCCAGCATTGAGAATATATCCGATTCGTTCTCGTCCTCGAGTGCGTCGAGCAGTGTTAGTGCCAGGAAATTGGCACGCTGCTCCATCGCGTGCAATTGATTTTTCACACACTTCGACGGCGCGAATTGCTCCAATAATTTTCCAATTTACGCTTTTTTCAATGTCAAATGCAGTCGGGATTTGTTGTTGTTTATGTTTTGTGTGCGTTTCTGGTATTTTTCATGGTATTTTTCTTGTATGGCGTTGCCAGACAACGCTGCAGCGACAGTGTTGCAAAAAGCTGAGAGCGCGCTCATTTTGAATTGTATAATTTTACACACTTAATAATAATAATTTATAATTAATTAGTTCAGTTAATTAATTAGTTCATTTTTGTATTTTTTAGTTGCTTTGCCTACGAATTTATTTATATTTTTCAGTTAGCAGTGTTATAAAATCTATTGTATTGTGGTCATTTAGTCTCTTTGTCTTTTTTTTTGGTTTTTGAGAATTTCGCACTTGAAATTACGCACTGTTTGGCCATGAGAAAGCTTTGAGCTTGTATTTGTGCCAAATGTTATTTCAGGCACGTTTCTCCGATAAGCAAGAGCAGTGAATCTCGCACTGAGCGCAACACGTGTCTCCTGCTCGGGCGATTTGATTTTTTTGTTTTTGTTTTGTTTCTTTTTTATGGGAATCAAAACTAGTTTTCCAGCACAGGCGTCTCCACACACTTAAAAAGGGGCTCAAGGCCACTGCGAATTGTGCGAGGCCCCCTTTTGAAAACCGATAACACGACGGCCTTGCTTGCGCTTAGTTTTTATGTTTTGCATTTTTTTTGTTGCTTGCGCGCCTATTTTGTGTTGTTTACTAACAAAACAACTTGAGCTTATTGTTAGTCACAATCAACAATAATATTTGTGTGTTGACTTGGCTAATGTGAATCACTGATAGGTGCATGATTAAAAATAAATTATAGAAATCAAAACATAAAATGCTCAGTCAGCACTGCAATCGCCTTCGGTCGCATTTAAAAGAAAATAAGAAACCTTTCTTTCTGCCGCAACTTAAATACTCTTCTATATTAAAAATGTATCCATATTTATATGAAAATATCGTATACATTTTATCTTCTAATTTCATACTACAACGAAACCACGGAAACGGAAATCGCGACTTCAATTTATTTAAAGCAAACAATTATGCTATCTGTAAATGGTTTTCATTATCTTTTGCTTAAAGAAATTTTTAATATAGGTTGCTCAAAAAGGCAATGAACCTTAAATTGCTTGTGAATTATAATCACATCAGAAAGCGATACATTTCATTGAAAGAATTAAAATTGTATTTGTAAATTCAAATTAAAATTGTATTTGATCTTCAGTTATATTACAGAGATGGTTTGTAATTGACGAACTGAAAGGGTAGAAAAACGCAAATAAGAACGATGAATAAGGGAATACAGCAAAACAGCTGATGTAAACAAAAACATGAGGACTCATATCATGAAATGAATTTAGCAGCACTACTCGAGACACTCGAACAAAAGCCGTTTTACATGTGTTTTGTTGTTGTTGTTCTTCCTTTGCCTTTTTGTTATCAGCGTTTCCTCTCTACACCTGCACCTGTGACCTTGAACTTGACTCCCGATTCGATTGCAAGCGAAATGTATAATTTAATTGATTTGCTGGTGCATTCACCCGCGGCGCTTCAAACGATAATTGATTTGTTCTGATTAGAAATCATTTTTTTCTATTTTTTTGCTGGCGATCTTTGTTCTTTGTGACGTGGGACTATCAGTGTTAGTAAATAACCATACGTATGAGTTCCACACGCACACACATATATATGCACGAGCTTTAAGTGCTTTCTTCTGAGTGTTTCACAATTACCAGCAATATTGATTGTTATTCTTATTGTTGTTGTTGCTTCTGCTTCTGCCGTGTGCGTCACATGCACTTTGAGAAAGAAAGAGAGAGGGAGAGGGAGGGAGGCATAGAGAGAGAGAAAGCAGTCTAATGGCTCTCATCAAGTAACGGTGGTTTTGCCCCAATATGACATCAGCTGGGCAAAAATAAACAATCTCTATGTACAAAAACAATACCTAAACAAATAATACAAGTTTATTCAGTTTGCAAGTCACAACAGAAAACAAAGGCAGCATCAGCTGTTGCGCATTAACGTATTCGTGTGTGTGAATATATGTGTGTATATATATATGTGTGTGTATGCAAACCCGAAACACTATCAAGCGAAATATAAATTTTTGAATTTAACATTTTCTACAAATGTTAAGATGACGTCAGAGGTGTTTCGTTTACATTTGTTATTAATTGTCAAAAAGCAGCAACATCTTTAATTAAATGCATTAAATGTTAATTCTATGCTGTAATTGACTTAGTTCTCAAAGTCTGCAGTTTAGTGTAGGTGAGCTAGTTTGCCATTGTCTATATTTCATAATAAATGTATGCATGTCACACTTATTAGAACTGGTTGTTTGCATGTTATAATAACTAAACAAACGACGCCAATACACGCTCACACACACACATACACACACTTGCACTGATACACACACACACTGATAGGCGCTGTTACAGTTTACCTATTAGCAGTAGCCTTGCATCCGCTCCCCGCTGCTGCCCGCGCCCAGCAGCAGCTGTTTCGCTTGTTTACTTGTCTCGTTTGTCGTTGTATCTGATTTTTTTTGCTTTTTTTCTTTTTTTTTTGCCACAATGACCTTCTTTCTTCGAAGGCTTTTGTGCTTGATGAGGATGATGAAGGATGAGGGGTGACTGGTGATTAAACGTTCAATTTGTTGTAACTTACGTAAAATCCTGGTTGAAATTCATTTGATATGCTGCCATTTTAGCAATCTGTTACAGCTGTTTTATCTATTGTTTTAATTTTTTCACCCACTTTCACTCGCGTTTTGTATTTTCTTGTTTTTTTTTTGTTTTTTTCGTTTGCTATAATTCGACTTTGAAATATTTTTGTGTTTATTGCACTTTTTATTGTATAAGAAAATGCAAAAATAAACAAAGAGATAACACTGAGTGTTGGCTTCTCTTTTATTTTTAAAATTTTTTATTGATATAAATTCGATTTTCGACGATGTTTTTGTCCGTCTTTGTTGTTTTTCTACGCTCTTCTTATTTGCTTCTGTTATATTTTCAAACAAATGTTAATATTGCCCAAATGCTCAATTGAGCTGCCCAGCGCCAAATGAGTTCTCTTTCGTCAAGTGAGTAAATTTCATCGTTCGTGAGTGAGTAAAATTCATCGTTCGTTCACATATCGTTCGAGGTTGTGTGATCGACTGAATAACCGACCTAGTGATTGTGCGACCACCACAATTAATCGGTCGTCTAATCGTCTATCGGTTCTCATGCGTTGAAAAATAAAGTAAAATATTGCTATTAAAACTGTTTTTAATTATGCCCAATTCGTGCAATAAAGCGTTGTGCATTAGGTGTACTTGAAGTTGAAGCAAATGTCGTGCGTTCTTTGCCATTGTGCAATTGCTGCTGTTTTGCAAGTGTAGTGTACAACTTTTCGAGGGCCTTACACATTTTTTTTTTGAGCAGACGCATGAAAAATGGCGGCGTCTTCAGCTACGGCTGAATGCAAAGAAGAATGCAAAGATAAAGATGACGATGCATTAACCACAACGCTCCATTCGTGTGCAAACGATCCAAATTTCGCGGTTATCTGTGCGTTTCTACAAAAATTCGCCAAAGATTTGGGCTTGGCATTGCCAAATTTTAAGCATTTGCAGGAGTGGTTGACAAACAACGATGAAGGTACGTATCTACGTGTGTGTGCATGTGTGTGTGCGCATTTGTATGCAACTGTATACGTTCGTAACTGTGTGTTGTTTTTGTGTATGTTCAATTGAGAGAGAGTGAGAACGAGAGAGAGAGCGCATTCGCTTGTTTGTATTATTGTTTGGTAAGCGGAGTAAAGCGGAGACCGTAAAAAAAAACAAATCTGCTTCAAAAACAAAACAAAAACAAAAATATAGCATTTTAGTTAACAATGCACACGCTTTAAAATTTTTTTTTTTTTGACAGTGGCCGAGCTACGCGATCTGCACATTAAACTGTTGCGCAAGACACGAAAAACGGTGCACGAGAAAAGCTGGGAATCGGCGCTGAGCAAATTCTGCTTCGGCTACTCCTTCCAGGATGCCTGGGAAATTGAACGCTTTGGCTACCGCAACTCTAATCTCAAGGTTAAGCTACGCATTCTACGTGTGAGTAAAAAAGAAAAGTTTAGAGCTGCTCGCTTGGAAATTCGAAATCTTATTAAAAAATCACTTCACGTTGTTAGTTTTTGTAATGCAAGAAAATGAAATTTTTCACGTTTCGTATTTCCAAGCGATCATTTAGCGAACTTGAAGGCTTAATTAACTGATTCTTTGCTTTTAGGAGCTGCTTGAAAGTCAATTTGAGCGCAATGCCAAATTCCGTGCTCATATTCTGACTCTAAATGCGAGTTCAATGCGTGCACAGCCCATTGGGCGCGATCGTTTGGGCCACGCTTACTGGCTGACGCAGGATGGCGACTGCAATTTGCGCATATATCAGGAGCATTTGGATGAGGAAATCTGGCAGGTTGTTGCCACAAATCGCGATGAATTCGTGAATTTGATTGCCCGCCTGCGCGGAAATGAGGTGGTCCTGCCCTCCAAGGACATTGGCGAGGCCGACGAGGACACTACCAGTAGCAGCAGCAGCAGCAACAATGCGGTGCCCACTCTGCCAGCGACCGAGGAGCAGCCGGAAGAACTCGAAGAGCAATTGCGCGAAGCAAAGGTCCCCAATTTAAAGATCAAGCTGCGAACGCCGGAACAGCAGCAGCAGCAGCAGGAACAACAAGAGCAGGAGCTGAAGCCCAAGAAGGTCAAGGTGAGTATTTTAGCTGGCGATTAGAGAATGCATCCCATTATCCAATTTAATTTACAGCCACTGCTCATAAGCCAAGCCAAACTGGGAGGTTCGCCTGCGCCGGCCAGGAAACGGCCATTGGAGGATGTGGACAGCAGTCCCACTGCTCTGGCGGCGGAGGAGCAGCAAAAGAAACAGCGACCAACACTGCTGGACACAAAACGTATTAAGAAACCCAGCCGATATGAGAGCACCAAATCCGAAGATGATAATGAGGCGGACTCGGAGGATTCCGAGCTGGATGAGGGCGAAGAGGAGGAGGAGGAATCGCTGGATGGCGACGAGGAGTCGCTTGACAGCGCTGCTGCCAATGAAGATGAGAACGAGCAAAAGATTAATGAAGAAGGCGATGAAGAGGACGAAGAAGTTGACGATGACGATGAGGATGACGATGACGAAGACGAGGTCGGTGATGCCATCGAAGAGCCCACTTTAATCGTTCGCGGCCATGGATCGGGTCGTGAGTGTGAGGCGCCGCCAGATGATGCACAATTTCAAAATGAATTTCCATTTGAAGTTGAGGAATGGGATGCGGTTGAAGGCGAGACAATTGAGGAACCTATTTACTATGTGTATGGATCAGGCAGCGGATCTGACTGCCTGGTGGGCAATGGCAAGAACGAAACGAGTGCCGAGGAGCCACCAACACAGGCCAAGGAGCCGCAAGCAACGTTCTTCTTTGGCGAGCCGGGCTGCCTCAAACTGAGTCCCATCAAACAGACGCCAAAGCAAGAATCCAAACGCAGCATATTCGATAGCATGGCAGCGCCAGAGGAAGATGGAGACCCAGAGCCAAAGCCAGAGAAAACTAATGGCGAGAGCCTGAAGAAAGTGGAAACAGTTGTCGAAAGCAAGGAAAAACCTCAGCCAGTGCTGAATGGCAATGAGTCTGTGGAAGAAGTGGAGGAGGGGGAAGAAACAAAGTGTCAGCCTAGCGCAAGTGAAGAAAGTCCAATTGAAGCTAAGGAAAAAATTGTAGAAACAAATCAAAAAGAAAAATCGCCCGAAACAAGAACTGAAAAGAGTGAAACAAAAGAAATCTCAAATGAACAAACCCATGAAATCACTAATGAAACGGAAGAAATCGTGGAACAAGCATATAAGGTGAGGGTGATTGAAACAAGCGAGGAGAAAGTGAAAATTGTGAACGAAAGCTTTAAATCTGAAAAGAAAAGACAGCCACCTGAAGTGGAACAAAGTAAAAATGTTGAGCCTAAAGCTGAAAATGCCGAAGACCTAAACAAAAATCATACTGTGAGCAAAGCAAATGCAAAAGAAGCATCTGAAACTGATGCAGAAACAGCTGCAAGCAGCAAAGCAACGAAAACAACTGAAATAACAACAAGCACTGAACTTGAAACACTATTGAACGTTAAGAAAACACACGAAAAACTTACAAATTCAAAAGAAGAACTCAAACATGATATAAAAGAAGAAGCTCAGGGCGAAGATCCTCCAGCAATTGCAGAATCAATTAAAGCTGGCCAAGCAGATGCGAATGGTGCAGAAGCAGTTACCAACTTCGATAAAGCTAAAGAAACTGCTGATAAAGATGCTGAAATTCTAAAAACTGATGGCGTAAAGCTTGAAAATCTAAAAACAGCAAAGTTAAAGGACACAGTACAAAGTGAATTGCCCAGCACTTCAAAGGACATTAACTCATTAGATAAGCCAGCAACGCTTAACGAGGAGAAACCCGAAAAACAGATCTGCGAGTCAAAGGAAGCGATGCCACAGAAAGCAGAGGTCAAGACGCAAGCAGCTCCAGAAACCGCAGCTAAAAGTGCAATTCAGCTGCCAAATCGCAAACGTCGCCTGGTCGATTTCACAGCGCCCACAGCGCGTCATTCCACATCGGAGAGTGAGATCGATGCACATGCCGAACTGGGGCAAGAGGACGAGCAGCAGCTGTTGGCCGTTGATAATGACAACGATGACGATTTGGATGTGGGCGGCAAGCGCATCAAGATGCGGCCCAAGATCACCAATGTGGAGGTGCGTCGCAAAGTGGAGGCACAGAAGACACAAATCGAGGAGACAACCTCGTCGAGCGGCGAGGAAGATCCGCGCAGTCGCCGCAAGATCATAGCGCCCAAGAGGCATCTGGAGAAGCCTCCCAATCTCATTAAGCAAAAACCCACGCTTGCCGAAATTATCGAAAAGAAACTGAAAAAGACGCCGGAAAAGCCAAAGGAACAGCTGCCGGAGCCACTTACGACGACGACACCAACGACGCAGCCAGTCCACGAGGCGACACCAGAGAAGCAGGCGCCAGTGCTATTTGCAGCACCCAAAAAGTCACCCATTACGAAGCCACTCAAGAAGAATCTGCTGACACAAATCCGGCAGGAGGAGAGCGACGAGGAGGCGACACCCCGGAAGCGTACCAACAGCGAAACAGTTGTCGCTGCATCTCCACCAGCGGCATTGGAGTCGTTGTTGCAGCGCAAGCGTCGCAGCAGCGAGGAAGCCAACGTGTCCAAGGAAACGTGCGTCAGCGTGGAGTTGCCTGCAATCAGCGAGAAACTAATGCGCAACAATGAGCAGCAGTTTCTCGTGGAGCAACCACCGGCCTCAGAACATCGAGAGTTGGAACAGGCTAAGCAGAAAATCTCGCCTGTCAAACAGGAAACGCGGCCGGTTCCGCTAGCAGCTTCACATCCGGTCAAGCAAGCAACTCCTCCCCGAGTCAAGGAAGCCACTCCCCCGAGGGTCGAGCAAGTCACTTCTCCTCCAGTTAAGGAAGCCGTTCCTCCTCCGGTCAAAGAAGCCATTCCTTCTCTCGTCAAGGAAGTCACTTCCCCGACAGTCAAGCAAGCCACTCCTCCTCCAGCTAAGGAAGCCACACCTCCAGTTAAGGAAGCTACTCCTCCTCCAGTTAAGAAAACTACTCCTCCTCCAGTTAAGAAAGCTACTCCTCCTCCAGTTAAGGAAGCCACTCCTCCTCCAGTCAAGCAAACGACTCCTCCAGTCAAGCAAGCGACACCTCCTCTGGTCAAGGAAGCGACTCCTCCTCCGGTCAAGGAAGCGACTCCTCCTCCGGTTAAGGAAGCGACTCCTCCAGCCAAGCAAGCAAATCCACCAGCCAAGCGTGCGCCATTCCCTTCAATAAAGCAACCAAGAGCCACTCCCAACGAGCAATCATCAGCTGCTTCCGTCAAGCAAGCAACCCCTGTCAGGCAAGCCATTCTCCCTTCCGTCAAGCAAACAACTCCTCCTCCGATTAAGCAGGAGTCGCAGCTAGTCAAGCAGACAACGCCTCCACCTGCTAAGGAGGATACGCCGCCACCAGCTGAAGCCTTGGGCCGACGTTCTGGACGTCGTGGAGGTGCCGCTGTCGTTTACTCCGAGCTGCCGCAGGCCAAACGTACCAGAGGTGGCCCCAAAGAAAAGCCTTGCATAGTTAATAAACTGCCGTTACTAGAAGATCCACTTAAAATCGACGAGCAGCCGCAGGATGAGCAGGAGCAGGAAATTAAGGCAGTCACGTTGACTGCCAAATCCAAGTCACCAATCAAGGAGGAAGCCAAAAATGAGGTGACTCCAAAAGCGGAACCTAAAAGCGAGCCAGTGGAGTCCAAAATCGAGCCAGCGGAGCAACCAAAGAGCGAACAACCCAATGAGGAACAGTCAAAGCCAACTGGGGTCGGTCGTGGACGTGGTCCGCGCAAGAAACGCGAAGTGGATACCACCAACATAATCGAATCGAACGATTCGGAGACGCCGGTCCGTCAATCCCGTCGCATAGCCCAGCAGAAGATCAAGGAGGAGGCGGAGCGACGCAAATTAGAAGAGGTGGCGCTGCGCACAATGAAGCAACAGCTGAAGAAGAAGAAGAAGGCCGAAGCCGAAGCTGATCCCACTGTGGTAGAGCCATCAGTGGAGTCCGAGTCCTTTGAGTCAGCCAGCGAAGCGGAAGAGGCCAAAAAGAAGATCAAGAAGAAATGTCCAGGCAAAGATGGCTGGTCCTCAGACTCTGAGGAACAGGCCGAGAGCGAGGAGGAGGAGGAGGAACCACCACACTACGACACAGATCACGGTTCGCCACTGTTCAAATCCGATCATGAATTCTCCCCAGAATCCGAACTGGAAGACGAATCCCAGGTGGTGCCCATGAAACGGGCACGCACGCTACGCAAGGAGAACGCCGACGAAAGCGAGGAATATGCCGCAGCAGCGGACGCAGATGAGGCATGCCAGACGTGTGGCAAATCGGATCATCCCGAATGGATACTGCTCTGCGATACGCCCGACTGCAACAAGGGCTATCACTGCTCCTGCCTCAGCCCCGTCCTCTTCTACATACCCGAGGGCGACTGGCACTGTCCACCCTGTCAGCAGGAGCAGCTCATCGTCGCCCTCCAGCAGCAGCTGCTGCAGTTTGATGATTTAGTTGCTCGCAAGCATCAGGAGAAACTATTAGCCGAGGAGGCGGAGGTTAGTAATAACACCATTTTAACTGTTTTAGTGGTTCTTTGTACAGTCTTTGATAGCTAAGTTGTATATAGATGTATATAGGTTATTTGTAAAGACCGTTAGAAGAAAGTCAATGGAAAATAGTCGATATGGTCATTTTCATCCTTCTCAGTCAACGACAATTTGATATAAATATGTAACTAAATTCTTGAACATCATTTTATTTGTTGGGAATGAAATTATATAATTAATTAATTACCCATTTATAAATATATATTTATTATTTTCAAAGCGATTTCTCTGATCTTGAACAATATTACTTAATGTAATTCACTGGTAATTGAAATGCTCTTCACTGAAATATGCTTCCTTAACTTTTATTTGATTTCCTTTTCTGCCCGGTTTTATAATTTAATTTAAAATGTATATTTTTAGCGCCAAGCGGTCGCCGCAGCAGCTGCACGTACCGCCAGCGAGTTGGAGGAGCGCTCGAATTTGAATGCGCTCAAGAAGTATGATGACGGCGATAGCGAGGACAATGAGGATGATGATGATGATGACGATGACGATGCCTCGTCCAGCAAGGCTAATAAGCGCGCCAAGGCGGACAAACCAAAGCGACGACGCGGCGATGGACGCAGTAATCGGCGAGCGGCCAAGCGCGGCACACGTCGTCGCCGTGGTGGTAAGGATGATGACTCGGAGAGCGGCAGCAGTGCCACGAAAAGTGGCAAACAGACGGGCCCACGCTCGGGCAGCTCCAGCAGCAGTGGTAGCAGCAGCAGCAGCTATTCCGACTCTGATGACGAGCCCATTTACAAGCTGCGCAAGCGACGCCAGATCAATGTCAGCTATCGGCTCAATGAATACGATGATCTGATCAATTCGGCTCTGAAAAAGGAGATGGATGAGGTGGCGGGTGCTGGCAATCTGGGTAGGGGCAAGGACATCAGCACCATCATCGAGGCGGACAAGGAGAAGATGCGACGCGAGGAGGAGAGCGACCAGGCCGACGAAAAGGAGCCACAGTCCAAGGCGGCAAGGGTCTCGCTCGATCCGCAGGACAAATCAAGCAACAAGGAGGACGACGACGACAACAGCAAAGAAGACGACGACGACGACGATGAAGACGAGGATGAGCAACCACTGAAAGCAATTGGCAAAGCCAAGACCAAAAACTTGCCGCCGCCACTCAAAAAGAAGCCGCGCAAATTGACCACGTTGGATGTGAGTTCCGAGGAGGATCATGGCAGCGATGAGGACTTCAAGACATCCAGTTTTTCTGACGAGGACAGCTCGCAGTCTGCCTCCGATGACTCGGACTCCAGTCTGGAGGTTTATCGCCGTCCCGGACGTGGCAAGAAACAGCGGAAAGCCGCTCGTCGTGCAGCTCGAGAGCGTCGCAAGGATCGCAAATTTGTGGTGGAGGAGAGCGACGAAAGCGACGAGGAGGAACAGCAGCGTGCCAAGGCCAACAAATCCAAGAAGAAGAAGAAAGTCGATTCAGACTATACGGAAACCGAGACGGAGGACGACGACAACGGCTCGGAGCTGTCAGAAAATATGGATAGCGCTGATCTGTGCGATGATACGACAAGCGAGAGCGAAGACGGCGCCTGGAATCCCTCCAAGCGCAAGAAGGCATCCGCCAAGAAATCGTCCTCCTCCGCTGGTGTTGCACGCAAATCTCCCAAATTGAAGAAGCCCGTAGTCAAGAAACCCAAGAGATTGGAGTACTCCGACGATGACATTAGCGAGAGCGAAGAGGAGGAGGAGGAGGATGACGATGATGAAATGCAGATGGGAGCCAACGGGGCGCCCATGTCGGGCAAGGGATCAGGCAAACAGCCGCGTTCACAGCCCCTAAAGAAGACTATGCCTCTGTCGACGCAGGCGCAGGCATCCTCTGGCAAGGGTAAGGGCAAAGGCAAAGGCGGCAACAATAACAGCGGCACACAGAAGAAGAAGAAGAAGCCACCGCCAGCAGCAGCTTCCTCAGATGAGGGTGGCGCCGACGCCGGCTCCGATGAGCGGACGCGGACTCGCGGCCGTCGTTATGCCTACATCGAGGACTTTGACGACGACAGCTCCGATGGCGGCATCAAGCCGGGCGTCCAGCGACCCGACACACCGCCCGAGGAGCGTCAGAAGTTCATCCAAAAGCAGGAGGAGATCAAACGCATGCTGGCCGAGAAGAATGCCGAAGGTGCCAAGCTGGCAGCCACACCTCGTCTGACGCCCATTAAGGGCTCAGCGCAGGGCGCAACGGCTCTGCCGGAGAAACGGACGCCCAGCAAATCGGGTGCAGCAGCATCAGCCGGAGGTGATTCCCTATCAACGGTGCCATTGTCTGTGATACGGCAGGCCAAGGTGCTGGACATTGACTATCTGCAGCGCAAGGGCGAGGCCATTGATGATCTGGACGATGTGGACGAATCGGAATTAGACGATGCCGAGCTGCCCGACGACTTGGAGGATATGGAGGATGCTATTGCGCGCATGGTCGAGGAGGAAGAGCAATTCACGGCGGCTGCCGCTGCCAGAGAGCTGCCGGCACCGGATGAAGTGTTGCGTACGACGCCCTCTAAAACCAGCAAGGCCTCCATGCCCAAGCAGTCAACGCAGCCGGAGCAGCTGCCGAGTGTGTCTGGTTTGCAGGAGCCGCTGCGCAAGCGATTGCCCATGCCCACAATGCATCCACCGCTGCTGCGTCATCAGTTCCCGCCACAAGGTCAGCTGCCCGCATCGCTGCTACCACCACCACCTCCGTCGCCCCAGCAGCAACAGCTGCCTCCGGGCATGCATCCCATGCTGCAGCGCCATTTGGCACCAGCACCGCCGCCACAGGCCATGCAACTGCTGCAGAATGCGCTCTCCGCTCCGCTGGGTCAGCCCCTCAGCCGTGCCAACTATGCCCCACAGCAGCAACAGCTGCCGGGCATGCAGCGCCTGCCCCTGGGCATGTCAATGCCAGCTGCGGCGGCTCATCTGATGCAGGCAGCCGCTGCGGCGGCCAATATACGCCCACCTGTGCCAGCGCCGGAGCCCAAGCCGCGTGGTCGCCGAAAAAAGGTCACTCCACTGCGAGATCAGCTGCAGAAGCAGCAGGCAGCTGCGGCTGTGACTGCTGCCACGTCGACCAATGAGAAAGCAGCACCTTCTGGCAAGGCACCACCTCCAGCTCCAACAGCACAACAACATCTGTTCAAGCCGCACGAGGATGCGCCGCCTAGCATCCCACAGACATCGGTCATAACGCGCATGCCGATGCCCTCGCTGCTGCCGCCGGCACACTCACGCGGCCCACCACCACCAGCGCCACCGCCCGGCGCTGGCATGTATCCGAGCAGTGCAGAATTGGCACGCTTCTATGGCCAGCCGCTGCCGCCCAGCTCGGCGCTGCGACCCACCTACGGTGCACCGCCGCCGCTGCGTGGCGCGCTGCCCACATCCACGTCTGCACCACCGCCGGGCAGTGGCCCCAATGCTCGACCACCGCCCTATCTGCACGGCCCGGAGCATCATGGTGGTCCACCGCCACCGCCTGGCGCCTTGTCTAGCGTCTATGGCTCTGGTCCGCCACCGGCTCGGCATGCCTCACCCCATCTAAATCCCTACAGGTGAGTTGAAGAATGTGCCCATTTAATATGTGTATCTAACTTGAAGATGATTATCGGGTTACAATCGCGCTTTCAACCATAAATTCAGCATTTATTTATTTAAAGAATGATTTGTAGCTTCCGACAGAGTATCTAAAAATGCTTACTTATTTAATTAATGCCAATGTTTTTCTTATTCTTTGTCAGAGCACCGCCCATTTATGGCAATCCCAACTATGCACCGCGTGTGGCACCACCTGGCAGCGCCAATATGCGACCCGGAGCTGTGGACTATGCGGCCGGTGCACGTAAGTTAAGCCCAAATTGCTTACAGATTACACAATTAAATACAAGCGCAACTAATACTTCTTATTTACCAATTGAACAATTAGGTGGCTATCCACCCTATGGCTATTATCCACCACCGCCGCTTACGACACCACCCGCGCATGCGTCAGCGCCCAGTTCAGTGATTGTCAGTGCACCGCCACCGCCGCCTAGCACACCCACAAATCATTCAGTCTCTGCACTGACACGCGGCAAATCTCCAGCACCGGCACCCGCACCAATGCCAGTGCCAGTTCCAGTGTCAGTTGTGACGCCTGTGGTAAACGCGGTGCCATCAGCCACACCACCAGCCACAATTACAACGGAAGTGGTTCACAAATCATCGGTGATAACCAGCAAAAAACTCATCACATTGGAGGCCTACTCCAATACGAAGTCTCCGCTGGCCGTGGTCGGTGATTCCACCGGTGACTCGCCATCAGCTGTTGCCGAGGATGATTCCAGTTCGGCGCACGGCATCAGCAGCGCGGCTGCCACAGCGAACAGCGTCGGCGGTGCTGTTGGCGAGTTCAGTGGGCTGGTGAGCTATTTTAGTTCGCAGCATGGTGATTATGACACATAACAAACGCCGCCGGCAGCCCAAGCTTGTATATAATGTAGTTGATCTATATCAAAATGTATATGTGTAGAGTATGCAAATGACCTATAATTAGGTGGGGGCGTGGCTAGCCCCCAGCTTCAGGCCACTTATTGAAAATTTCAATCCACACACACACACACATACCACGCAATTAAAAAGTGCATATAAAGTAGCGTAAAATCTTTCAGACGATAATTATGGGGAAATTGTCAACTCGTTTGTTTTAAATTAAATATATTTATTTTAAGTTAGGCCTTTGATTTTCCCAAATTCTTGACATGCTCTACGTGCTCCTAGAGTCGCTTCAACAGCAACAAACAACAAACTTAAGTATTTTAGTTTAATTGTATAGTACGATGTATGCAAAAGTTCGATTTGTTAATGTTAGCAAACGATTATCGAGCGATATCAATTAGAAACATTGCGAAATAATGATAATAATTTATACAACTACACTTTACACTATATATATATATATATATATATATGTATATATAAAAATAATATATATTATATATATATATATATATATATATATATATAGTAAAATAATTTAAACTAAACTACAAATAATTAACAGTGCATAATATACAAAGTTAATTTACGATAACAACTAATCTAGCTATGGTATAATGACGTATATACAAATGAAATTACAGAGAAGCAAATCATCAAATAAAACTATTTAATATTAGTTGAATAAAATCAAAATTGCATATTTTTCATTTTACTTTGATAACAATGCATCGCAAACGTTTTGAGACAGTTTGGTCTCTGGTTAAAGATTCAAAATTGCAACATATTCATTTTATGTGAAAAGCAGGTAATAACCAGTGACATTAGGCACGCCGTAGATTATATACCCTTGCTGACCGGTCTCCATTTTCTTGAATTTAAATTATAACAATTTGCGTGCGCAAATGCTTTTCGCATCATATAATAATGATGAATATTTGCAGATAACTAACAAAGAAGAAAACCAACAATTAATAACTGTACACAGCATTTAATCAAGGAAATCTGACGCAAGACATTAATTTGGCATTGTGTGTTCATATTAACTTAATTGTATGCATATCTTGGATTAGGTTAGTTAATTTGTTGAACGCATGTAGGTTAACATATGCAAGTGGTTTTATCGGAGCAGAAATAAAGATCAAACAAAAGGTATTTTCAAAAGAGTTAAGGTCATAGTAAATACTTTGAACAAATAAAATCGATTAAAAGTCATGGAAAATTATTTCACAGCAGTAAAATTTGTATTTTCTGAAAAGTGAATTTCGACAATTTGAAGAAATTGGTTCATATTCAGACGCAAATCAAACATTTTTCTTTTATAATATAATAATTAACTCAACAGCATTAATTATACTAGAAATGGACAATTGAGATTAAATAATAATTGCATTTTTAATATGATTTCTCAGTTAATCGACGTTCAAAACTAAATGTTTAATGATATTTTTTTCTCCTCATTTTGACAACTGATTCGTTGACATTCATTTTGAACATAATATTTAACAAGTTTTATTGTTATTATATTTCTTTTGAACTTCATTTTCAAAGTGATAAAAGCGACCGATTTGCATAATTTTTGTGCAATTTTTGAGGCACTTGAGCTTTAATGACCATTGAAGTCACGTAATATATAATATGTAAGGAGTGTCCCAGAAGAGCGTCAATTGAAAGACACGTGTATTTGTAATTTTAATTTTATATTTATTTGCTAAAGATCTCAGCACAGACTGCATGCATAATAACAACAAATGATCAACAACAAAATAGGCGGAGGCCACTTGTTAATTTAACAAACGGCTCTCCTGAGATGAAGCTGGTGATGAGCACCTAGAAACGGAAGCGCTTGGCTGGCACATTGTATTCGTATCCATTGGACTCGCCACCGGGTGCCGAATAGACTGGAGCTGGAGCTGGTGCAGAGTAAACTGGTGCTGGGGCGGGAATATTTTGCACAGGTGGCAGATACTCAGGAGCCGGATTCGAAAAGACTGGAGCGGGTGCGGGAGCTGAGTAGACTGGAGCGGGAGCAGGAGCTGAGTAGACTGGAGCTGGTGCCGGGGCAGAGTAAGCTGGAGCCGGGGCTGGGGCCGGAATATTTTGCACAGGTGGCAGATACTCAGGAGCAGGATTCGAAAAGACTGGAGCGGGTGCGGGAATGTCTTGAACAGGAGGCAGGTACTCAGGAGCAGGTTGAATTGGAGCAGGAGCACTGTACTCGGGTGCTGGAGCTGGTGCTGAATAGACTGGAGCAGGAGCTGGTGCTGAGTAGACTGGAGCAGGAGCTGGTGCATGAAAATCTTGGACAGGGGGCAGATACTCGTTGGCAGGGGCGTGATATTCGGGAGCTGGGGCGTGATATTCGGGAGCTGGAGCGTGATATTCGGGAGCTGGGGCGTGATATTCGGGAGCTGGAGCGTGATATTCGGGAGCTGGAGCAGAGTAGACTGGAGCTGGTGCTGGTGCTGAGTAAACTGGAGCGGGACTGTCATGCACAGGTGGCAAGTACTCAGGAGCAGGATTTGAGAAGACTGGCGCTGGAGCAGGTGCAGAGTAGACCGGAGCTGGAGCAGGTGCAGAGTAGACCGGAGCTGGAGCAGGTGCAGAGTAGACCGGACCTGGAGCAGGTGCCGAGTAGGATTGCCCTCCCGAGCGGATGTCAATGTCGAAAGATGGCGTTGGCCTATCATAAGAGTAGCCGTTGTCGCCACCGCCCAGATTCAAATGTGAAACATCGGCCGAAACGGCGACAATGGCGCACACAGCAAAAACGAACAGTTTCTGCAACAAACCCAATAAAAAGTAACGAAAAATGCGATTACAAATCCGTGGGCCGATTAAACCCTTGCGATTAGTGTGTGTGACTAGTCAATTGACAGGCCAATGCTAAAGGCAAATGAATCTTAAGGTCAATCCCAAGCACATGTTATCTTGATGGATGTGTGGAAATGCGCACTTGTGCTTCTTATATATACTTACCATTATTGTTGATATTTATTGTGGTGGTTGCTACACTATGTAAAGCTCGTTGACCAAGAGACAGAAGTTGAATGATGACCAGCTGCAGATGCGCCAGCATTTATATACCTACCCAAATCTAAACACACACTCAAGACACAACACTCGAAAAATGGATTTAATACGGTTAACGGTTGCTGCTCCGCTGTTGGCCAAGTGAGCGTGCCCAAGACAAATTCAAATCTCTCGCACAATCTTTCCCTCTCTCTATCTCTCTGTCTCTCTGTATGTCTATATGAGATGCTGTTGAGGTCGCCCCAAGCGTTGCCAGTTGTCTGTTTTGCAATGTCGATAGGGTGCTACAGGTGGACTTGTAACCACGGTAGCCGACACGCCAACGCATTAGCATATATAAGAAAATAACAACAACAAAAATAAAAACTAAACAAAATTCACACACTTGCACACACACCCATGAATCAAAACGCAGAGATAAGGTCCAAAATGGGTAAGGGCAAATGTCAAAGTTTGTTAGTCCATTTTATGCATATGCATACATATTTTTAAGTATTAACTATTTTTATTGGACACTAATTTATTTTATTATCGCCAGTGCTAATGAATGCATGCTTGACTTGACCAGCTCAAGGATAACTCATGCCTCGCATTACTATAATCATATCTATAATATATCAAATGTTTAGTCGCATAATAATATGCAGACAGGCAGACAATTTTAAAGTTAATTTTGATATATGTATCTCTACTACTGACTTGCTATGAACACATCACTTTTAAATACTTTATTTTTGTGTTATTCAAAAGCGTATTGTATTTGTGATTTTTGCGAATAGTCAGGTGGGGTTACTTTTACCCAATCGTTGCATTAGTTGGCATATTGTTGTTTTTTTCTTTTCTTATAATTTTTGGGCACGACATCTTTTGCTTTTCTTTAGTGTCTGGTTTTAGCAGTAAATACATACATATGTTATTGTTGAGGCGACCTTCAGGCGGCGGACAAAACCTGATTAATTTTCTTTTATTTACGGTAGCGCCAATCAATGCATATTGGTTAATGTTTAATACATGCAATTTGGTTGGTATGTTTGACTTAAAACCAAATCATGTCAAGCAAGCCACGCATTTGCTTAGCCTACTTTAGAGCCAAAATCTATTGACCTGGCCGGCAGGCAAAATGTTCACGTATTGGGGCGTATTTTTTCAAAACGGTTTTTGATAATCACAGTGTTTTAAAACGTCACGTAGCAACGACAACGATATTCGCCAAATCGTTCGGCTCCAAATTGGCTGTCAAGTTGTGGCTATTTTTGGTCCATCAACATAGTAATTAATCAATTATTGCCTTAGGGGGAAAACAAATTTTGAAACGTAAAATTGCGAGGAAGTCTTTAACGATATAAACGATGTGTAGTAAAATTCCAACAACTGGACCTTGTTGTCATTTGCTATTTCGATTAGGCAAACTAAGTTTTGTTTTCCTAAAGAATTAGTATAGAAATCGATCTGCAAATTCAATTATTCCATAATTATTGCCTAATTTTTATAGCTAAATTATGTACATAGAGACATAAATGTTTTCACAATAAATATTTAGAGCGAGAGCAGTGGTAATATAAAAGCAAATTAATTGATTTTAACTGTCCCTAATTAGTGCCGATTACAAAGCAAAACTGCCATAAAGTTGATTTGTGAATGAGTTGAAAGCTTCACAAATACAGCTTGTTGAATTTAAAAGCTTTTTAGTTTTTGAAACTTCAAAAAGCTGCGCGCGCACATACGAAAAAACTAAAGCGGCGCTTTGCAGCACTGAAATTTGGAGCCAACACTGTCTTATTTTGATAATCGAGTGAATAGGACAACACTTTTTAGATATAAGTGTGGTATTTAAATAGATTCTCGTTAAAAATCATTAAAATCATAATTTTAACTGTTGAAGCATGTAATATTCATTATTTCTTTTATAAAGTAAGCTTTGTGGTAAGAATTTTAATTAAATTAATTAAGTATTGGCTTACATCAACAAAATGCGTATTTCTAAAATCTGCAGGAATTTTCCAGGATAAGTGTTTTATAAAGTGATTCTAATTGGCCAAATTCCAGTTGCTGTAACTGTTATTCTCACTCATTAATATACAGAGCTGAAATCCAATGATTAAGTTTGATATTCCCATTGTCAGCCGAATGCGTCTTATATTTTTTAAGAAAAACAGCCAAGTGCTTGGCTATAAATCCGCCAAGCAAAATCCCTGGTATGACAATGGCCCCAACGGTCCATAGAGAATTCTTCGTGCTGGTTGGTCGTATTTCAATCAATTCAGATGTATTATGCCTCTTTGCTGACCCATACATGTCCCGCAGATTTCTTCGCATCCTCTTCATTTAGAAGTGACCAACTTACAGCCAAACAGATTTCCTAAATAAATTTTGAAAATTAAAAAAAAAATTTTGTCTGATTATTCAAATTTATACATAAATGTGAAAACTTTCTCCATACAAAACTTGTTTAAGCTGCACACACTCGAGCCAAGAACTCATTGCGCATGCGTGTGTTGTAACGGTTGCTACCATCGAGCCTGCTTTATATGGCACTTCCGTTCTGTTCTGCAATATTTGTCGACTGTCGCCACGGCGGGCTAATTGTCTGAGTGGCACTTCTGTTTGTCTATGGATCAGCTCTCTCTCTCTCCATCCCAGTACTTGTGCCTAATTCACATTGAACACTTGCAGTCACCAACAAACTAAATTACCCTGTACTTGCCACAGTTTTCGAGTGTGATTATTTACAGAAGGGTAAAAGGGTTCGTCATTTATGAGGCATTCAAAAAATCCAAATCTAAAACATTTCATATTATTTAATTTATTTAATTGTTATCCGAAAGTTGCATAATAAAAGAAAATTATCTGTCATTTGTAAAACACAATAGTGCAAGTCGTTGAATATATTTTTAGAATATAATAGCTTATAAATTATAGACTGGAATTTAAATATAGCATTAGGTATGAATCAAGACTCTTAGTTCCGCCTTGTAATAGATAAGATTATTATAATCGATCATTTTGTAAAAAAAAAGTATGAAAACGCTGCCAAATTTTTTCTATAATTCAAAACTGGGAATATGCATTGCTTGGTGATACAACCTAATTCTAGTTTTATTTTCACTCTAATGCAAGTTCATGTTTGTCTGTAATGACTGTCGGTTGCATTGTTATTTTGTCTAATTACTGATTCACGTTCAAACAATACTTGACAATTGCATTTAATCTTTTGCTTATTGCTGACCCGTTCATTATCGCTTTCTATTTTATCATTGAGTAACTACTTTAACCGAGTTCCTTGTTGACCCTTTTAGCATCCTCATTTAGAGCTGCTTGCTTGCCTCTTAGCATAGCTCTTTGGGTAAGTTCGTTGCCTAAGTCTTTCGATGTGCTAAATCGCCACAATAAAAGATACAACAACAACGCCGCATTAGTAGATTCCGCTTCCGTTTGTCCTTTCGCACGTACAGGATTCTCGCACCATTTTATGGCCCAGGCCCAGACCGGTAAATATTTGTAAGACAGCCGCCCAAATAAAACACAAAAAACCCAACATAAAAGGCACATGTCGAGAGTGCAGTGTAATTAGTGAGATTTTCCAAGGAACTAGCGCCTAATCTCGATGTCTTGGCCAAGCTCACGCAGTTGCCGGGCCATAAAACCAACAGGTAAAGATCGCTCAATGTGCCGCAAATTTACCCAGCTCTCGAAGCCGCCTTTTAAAAACAAGTCAACGGCGTTGCAGTCGCCTAACTTGCCGGTTACTGGTAGCCCGCCAAAGCTTTCAGTATGTTTTCGACTGTGTCGCGTTGTGGACGTTGAGGCTGTCATTCGAAGTAGTTGAGTGTATGTACGCGTCTGAAAGAGTGTATGCGTGTGAGTGTGTGTGTGAGATCGTGTTTGCTCGTCGGTGTGTGTGTGTGAAAGCCGTTAAGAAGTCTAGCACTGAGTAAGCCAACGAACGAGCAGGCAACAAAAGCCGCAACAGAGGCAAGACTAGAGAAAAAAAAACAACAATCTGTAAAACGGGCACGTCGCGCTATTTTATTTTCATCTCTTCGTCGTACTTTTCTACCTATATCTAGTCTTATGTATGTATGTGTTGGCTGCTCTGTAGCTCTCTACCTTCTTTCGGTCTGCGTTTCGCCTTTTCTGCTGGCGTGTCTTGTGGTCTGCTGTGTGAGTGTATGTGTGTGTGTGTGGTGTGCTGCGGTGTCGACTGAAACTTCAGGTGCAGTCGCGTTGAATTTCTTGAACAAGTTTTAGTCAGAGTTTGGCCTTCGTGTGGCATGGTACAGTAAACGTATAGGCTCCGTCGCTGAATCTCCGCTCAGACCCTAAAATAATAAATGCCAGTGATTGTGCATTTATATATATAAATATATATATATATATATATGTTTGTGTGTGTGTGTGTACTTAAGCGGCCTAAAACTGGATTTTGTACAATTGTTTGTGTACTGCGTGCAGTTGTGATTGTGTCTGTGCCAAAGGATTTGTGTGCAAAGTTTATTTTTTCGCCAATCAATGAGCATGCGCCAATGCGAAAAAAAACCCTAGCCCTTGAGGCAAGCAATGAATTTTAAGTGCAATTTTCGCAATACTGTCTAAACTGTATATATAAAATATGTAAAGTTTTCTAACTTGAACAACAAAAACAATGTGCAACAGTGCAAAACTTAAATAAGAAACTTAAAAATTCAAAAATAAATAGTTATTATATGTTTTAAAATTGTGATTAATAGTTGAATTGGGAATGAGCTTGTATGTGAAATCTAAGAAATGTATAATTAAATAAAATATATGAACACGACTATGATTTGGCAAGAAAAATGATAGTATTCCCAGAGCACAAATTTTCAATAATGGTCTTTTTATTCAGTCTCGAGTCTTTTGCTCATCAATCCAGTTGTTCGTCGCTATTGGTCTCGACATTTGTTCAAGCTTATCCATGCAAGTTAACTGAACTCAAGTTGGACAGCTAACCGCTTGCTGAGTTCTTTTTGTACCACTCCATTAACTTGTCTGTGCTTGTGCCTTTTGCACTTTACTTTAACTGACATTAGAATTCGTGCGAGTACAACTCGTATTCATACTAACTTCGCATGCCAGCTGCGCATTTACGCTCCCATTAACCAGGTAGAAATTACAAACCTTCAAACACACACACAGACACATGCATAAGGGAAACGGGGAAATAGGCAGAAACAACAAGAGCATCTGGGCAACAAGTGCTTTGCGCAATGACCAAGAAAGTTTAAGTAAATAAAAAACATTTCAAGCGGTATCTGGAATAAAAAGTACTCAAAAGGGCTGTAAAATTGCAGTTTGTGGTTGCAACTTTACACAGACGTTTAGGGATGAAAACAAATGCCGAAAATTGTTAAGCAAGAGCAACAAGTCAACTTTATCCGGACAAGTTTGTGGCTTAAGTCTTTTGTTTGCCATGAAGAACATGATAGCAGGTCTCTCGTTCTCAACCAATATCCCTCTCAATTAGCATATACATTTTTCTTAGATTTCTTTTACTAAAGTGTTCACATTGCTATCTTAGCGCATTTAAAAACGTGCTTAGCTTCGTCAAGGGGCTCAGGAGCCATGGAGCTTGCTGCTTCTTTCTGCATGCATAATTAATAGGCCCCCATGTTAAGTCCCGCCCATTAAAATATTTGAGAACACTGCATAGACATGTTCGTTTTATAATTTATAACTTTTGTGCCGCGATGGAAATCTCTGATTTTTTAAGTCTTAATAACGTCTTTCAACTAAAATCAACTAATTTAAAAAAAAACTCAACTATTTCTCTATAGTGCAACAGCGTTGGCCTTGCGCTTTAAAAACGACGCGTATATTTAATAATAAATATAAAAAAGTAAACCTAAAGTTGCCATAATCATCAAAAGACTAAACAAAAACAAAACAACACTACTTCGTGATAAAGAGACCACAGTGTTGCATACGAAACAGGAAACTTCAAGGATAACCAGCTGACATGCCACATAAATTGGATTATTAAAAGGGGTATCGCGATATATAAACGAACGAACATTGTGTATATAAGCCACATATAAAAGAGGTGAGTTGCATATTTAATATTATGGGTTACGAAAAGTGGATGCGAATTTGCCTTTCTCGAACTATATTGACGTGCCCTAAAAAATAAAAGGCTTAATAGGCTTTTAATTGTTCAAAATATATACTATTTATAGCCGCAAAATTGCTTAGTTCGGTATCAATTTGATGACTTTGAGAATAGTTTCTAAAAATATATACAATATATTATGTTATAAATATTTTAGTGTATAATTAAAGCATTTACATGTTCCGACCTTGATCGACAGCCGTTAAACCTAAAGCATTTACAGAGTTTTTGTAAACAGATAATTCTAACTTTGGATTGATAAAATCGACTTTTTTTTGTATCTATAACTAAATATTATTCCCATTGAAAAAAAAACCAAAACCATGAGAACAGTATTTGTTGTCTTCTCTGGTTGATTCCATTCGTGCTGACATCATGCAACCAACTCGAATACAATTTATTGACAATCGCAGCGCAACTCAATCAAAAATCACATTTTGTGCCACGCCTTTTCTTGTTTTATTCAGTGGTGTACTCATTGCGCAAAAATGCGATTATGTATCGATTATCGATAAACAATAGCCGTACAAACAAATGGCACGCTTTCATAGCAATTAAATTGATTGTGTATTAAGTGTCATTTTGATTGTGTTTAAGTAATTGATTGATCGACACGATTGAGCCAGAAAGAGAAGACTAGTTGACTGACTATGCAGCAGTTATGGCGCAAACAAGAGCCGTACAAGAGATGGCCTTATAAGTAGCACAGCAGCAATCAACATCAAAGAACAATTTCTTTTACTTTCTATAAAGCAAAACAAAAGCGCCGACTGTTTGCCTCAGCTTCAGCTGGCTTGTAAGTGCGTCAGTCAGTCGGCTTGTCGGTTTGTCTGTCTGTCTGTCTGTCAGTCTCGCATTCGTTTGTCACATTTATTCAATAAAGGCCAAGACAACTTCCAAGTGGAGAGTCAAAAAGCGAGAGCGCTACGGCACAAAAAGTTAACCTCAATTTTTCGAGACGCACTCACCGCGTGTTGTTGCTTAACACCAACAAAAAACAATAACAAGAAACTGTGTAGTCTTGATGTTATTGTTTTTTTTGACTGCTTTTTTTGGCTATCTGGCTTTAGTAGAAAATTTCACTAGCTGGAAGTGAAATGCAGAACAAATGACGTGTTAGCTCTAACTCCCTCACTTCCCCACTCCCACTGTGAGATTGGTAAACAGAAAACAGTTTTTGGCAAGCATTTTTATTTGCTGAGTTCATAGCATGTATTTGACTAAAGCAGATAAACTCGTTTCGTCGCTGGAAATTTGTATGCCATGATTTCTTTAGTACAGCGACTTATGAATTTTATTAAGATGAGTTCTTCTGAATAACTAAGATAAATGAAATTTGTATGTTGTGGTTGAAAAAAATAAACCAGTGTAACTGGTTTCAGCGCGTGTTTAATGTGCCAAGTCTTAATGATTAGTCATAATTTGTATATTGGCATGCGAAACAAACGGAAGTTGTGAGTCTGACTTGCGACAAGTGCTGATAGAGAAAATATTTTAGTATATATTGATGACAAATCCAGCGTTGCATTATTTCATTTAACCAACAACAATTCGCGGAATTTTTTAAATGAATCTATAATCTATGCGTTTTATGAAAGACCTTTGAAATAATCCACATTCTTTTATGTACACATTTTCCAAGAATTTCAATTTAATCCACCAAATCAAAAACAACAACAGAAAGTCACCATTCAAAGACTGTGATATAAGACAGATACAAATAGAAGATGACGCCTAGACGGCGGCAGGTAAACCTGTAGCAACCCTAAAAGAAATCGAATGCAATTCACAAATCCCAACTCATCTGCAGGTAATAAAATAGTAGCACACACAATGGAAAAGAACTGAACGATTTGCTTACCTGAGTTAAGGCGTAAGAAGTCAGTTGAAAAGAATTCAAAAGTAGACACATTTTGATTGCTATTGTCGAAGAATGCCTTTGGCCGATAAATAAGCCGCCTGCTTGCTTAAAATTTGACAAACAGCCAACAATACGTCAAACGTCAGTTAGCTATAAAATAGGGGTACGTATAAGGGGCGTGGTGGCATGACTCATGCAACAAGATCTATTAAACTGATTACAGCTAAATGATCAGAGAGCATTCCTTTTCGGACCTTGAATTATTTGTTTGCTGCTGAGGTTCGTGTCTTAAGTCTTTTGATTTGGGCAGACATGCGATCTATATATTGTGCGTATTATTCCTAAGTAGATTTTCTCGTCTGCAGCAGCAGATCACAATCATTAAATAATTATGCGTTGCCTGCCAATAATTTGGATTTCAATCAGCATCATTTTCTAATCAACAACTTTTCCTTAATCGTCAAAGCTCACAGTCTTCGCTTCCGTCTTATGACAGTGAAAGTGGTTTCGGCTTTAAGTCGATTCTAAAACCAAATAATGGCACCCTTAAGTGTGTTTTGTGCGAGTGAAATAAAAAAGGCGCTTAATCATCTTGAAAAACAGCTGACAATACTCTGCGCGAGTAAGTTTTATAAGTTTTCCGAGGCGCTTTCACGGCGCCATCGTCGATTAGTTACAATTGACACGAAAAATTTTTCTTTTCTTTCGTTGTTTTCATAAAATTTTTATTTTTAATTGTGAGAATTGTGCGGAACGTGCACATAATGCCACAAGAAAGTGGATCTGTCGAGCGTCCGGCAAAACGTTTGACGGTTCGGCGCTGTCATTGTCGACAATTGTTAAAAAGTGATTAAGCACTGTATGGCACGCATTGGAGGGGTGGTGATGTGATGCCCAGTATAGTAAAAGTATTTATATCGATGATGTTTATGAAAACAAATATACCTCATATGGTATCATATCCATATTTCGAAAACAACCATAGATTTCTTTGATAAAAAATCAACTAGCAAATGAATATTTTTATGAAATAAAAATTAATATTTCTGTTACTTTTAATTTGTTATATAAATATTGTTTTTGTTTTTATAATTATTTGTAGTAAAAATATATGTGCATAAGCGCTTTGCAAATAATAATAACAGTACTGTATATATATTGATGGCTAATAGTGATGAGCGCCCTCTATTTTCACCTGTTTTTACTATTGTATTCGCAAAATTCCGCTAATTCTCTATATTTTTATTGTCTATATATATATATTGCCTATATTTAGCACTATCAACTTACGCATTCCTAAGACTACGCTCACTTTCAGCTTGCAGTCAAATTTACAAATAAATACCTTGGCAAAAATGCCATTAAATTCACATGACTACTTCACACCACAGCTATATAAACAAACACATACAAACACAGTAACAAACACAGTAACATACACACTCCCTCAGCTCTCAGTTTGACTCTTGACTTGTCTGCCTGCATAAGCATATATGTATTTCCACGATGGCTTTAACCTGTTTTGTGTATTGTGGCTTTTCGCTACATTCTTGGGCCATCTTTGTGTTTGGAGCTGCGTCTTGAATTTCAAAAAATCACTGAAAACTGTTACTGATTCCTTCGTTGGCCAGATCATGATAGCTGCTATATGTTTGTCTCACCAACTTCAACAAGTGTGTGTGCGTATCTGTGTGTCTACTGAGGTGCGGCCGATTGCATATTTAGCATTTTAACTTCGCTTTTGCCAGCTTATGCATTTTTTTTTGGTTATGAGCAAGTTTTTCACTTCGCTTTTCAACGTAACGTAAACACACATTGAAAAGCAAAACTTTTTCTTGTCTATTTACTAGTTAAACATTAATTGAGCCCCCGGACTACGCCCCGTCCCGTAATGCTCGACTCTGTCTCCTTGCATTGCATTGTGAAAGCGTTCGGACAGTAGAAATCATTTGACCATTTCTGTATGAATGAATGTTGGTGTGTCTCTGTGTGTGTGTACATTTTGCTTGCTGTGCTCTGCTCAGCTTTCGTCAGCTTGCACATGAAAAGCAAACATTGTTTTTAAGACTAAACATACTGGGAACTAGTTGCTGTTGCAAAGCCGGTGGCAGGTTACCCAGAAGACAACACACACAAAGTGAAAAGTGAATTGACTGGTAAATATTTTAGCTGAACTTTATCTGGATATCCAAAAATAACCAATATGGTTATCAAAGAAAAACGAAGGCCATTTATATCAATGCAATTAACCTGTTGTCGAACTTTAACCGTAATTACATGAGCACTTGAATGCGCTCACACAATGCGCACAATTTTGACCACAAATTGTATGCGCCCACCACACCACAACCTTCACAACTCATTAGACCCTTTAAGCAGCGCACTCTCAATAAGCCGCAAATCGAATACAGTCTGCAGCGGTTGATACATTAAATATGGCAACCCAAATACCAAACACTCCAAATGCTTCATGCCACAAAATCGAAACTAGTTCAATGGGGCTGCCCAGCTGGTTTTTTTCTCCAGCTGTAAGTGGTGGCAAGCTGGGCAGTGGCCGGCAAAGCTAACCCGATGCTACTACCTGCGAGCCGAAAATAAATACACAAATTTGTGCTAAGGCAAAAGATCAATAGCATACATACATATATATATATACATACAAACAACAGCTGAAGTCGCTAACAGAAATGAAATCATGCTGCGAACAGCAACAAAGTCAGCTTAATCAAATTTACATAAAAATCTGGTTTTCGATTGTAGAACATTTGTTTTTGGAACAGTTCAGTCGATTCGTTGCGCGGCAGTCATTCAGTCTGCAAAGAGTTTATAACGGCACCAAGGCGGATATTGAAAAATATTTTGAATTAACTATAATCAGAGAGTGAGTCTGAGTCGAGTATAAGTAAATATGGGGTTTCCATGTGTTTGTAAATACCTCCGGTTAATTATCAGGCATTGTTTTAATTTGATATCTATTTGATCGGCAATTATAATTTAAATGTTCATCGATTGCAAACATGTCTAATATTAACTCACTGACACTCTTTTGATTATATTCTCCATCTCTGTTTCCAATTTTACATAAACAGCTCTCTATTTTATATTCTCTTTGCCAATATATACGCAAAAGTGTTCAAATTTGAAATAAATTTGTTTTTACTCAGCAACACCAAATCCGTTTGAAAGAATATTTACCAGTATAACAAATCTCAGCTCATCTTCATTAATATTTGGGCATACCAATTTATTAGATGATTCTGAAACACATATCACATTCTCATCTCTGTCTCAGATCTACCCATAAATTTCTTGCTCCTTTTTCAATTAAACCAAACCCGACAACCCAACGTGTGGAATGCGCGCTGTCATAAAAGCAATTGACCTTCAAGCGATACGATATTAAGAGTAGCTGTAAGATCACTGAAAACTGAGACTAATACATTTTTGGTCATTAGTTGGCTGAAACGAGTTTGGCGCAAACTTCGAGCTGTGTGGCCGGTCAATATTGACTGACTGACTGACCAGGCGCCAGACAAATGCGCGAGTGAAAGTTCAGTTTCGCACTTGGACTGAAAAACTGGTAAATACACGAGTTGCCGCAGTTGCCAATGTGAAATGGAAAACTAAACTCGGCCCATAAATGGCAATGCGGCAGCTGCCGTTGCAGCTGTTATAGTTGTTGTTGAAGCAAAAAAGTTTAAAATTATTTACCAGTTGACTTTTACCATTTTTCAGAGCTTTTGCTATAGCCATAGTCTACTGTATGATTACCAGCCAGGCCACATTTAGTCATCGTCAACGTTTGGTTAGCTGCGCTTAAATGTCGAAGGTGTCATCAGTAATGTGTGCTCCATTCCCCCACCACTGAAAAAGCAGACGACCGGTTTGCCCGCACCAAGCAATCGAACTCCGACTGATGCTGCTCTTTGGGTTTGTTTTTTTCTTATTGTGGGTTTTGTTGGGGTTTTCATTTCGATCGCTTTGCATATGCTTGAAAATTTGAATTTTGATTGACGCTCCATGAGTTTCGGCGTTTTCCGCTCATCTCTTGCGTATTGCGAAAGCAACTTTGCAGACATGTTTGCTTAAAAGTGTTTTTTAGTACGTTGCCTCACTCGAAGTCTTTTTGTTCTGTGTTAAGGTGGATGCTGATGATGATCGTGATGGTCTATACCTTTTGTAGTTGCTTTTTATTACGTGTTCTGCAGCTATCTGCACAGTTTGTAGTCTTTTGTTTCATATCAAGTATATTTACAGGTTAAAAAACGATGTATTTAATGAGTTTTTTTTTGGTAAATATATATATTTAACAAACAAATTTGACCCCTTATTAGCGGACTTGTGATAACCAATCGCTATTATCTCCCTTCACCGTTTATAGTTAATCAAATTTTAATTGATGGTCACAAAAGGGTCGCGCTCATTGCGAAAATCGCATATAAAGTAACAAACACACTTTAAACAAGTTTATCTGAAGTAACTCGCCATGCCGCCTATTATCATTTAAATTTGCAGTCTTGCAAAATAATTTTTAACATTGGCGTATAATCAACTATGTGGATACATAATCATGTTAAATAAAAAATAGGCTATAAAGCCAAGCGAAGTATGTAAACCTTTCACTCTCGCCTTCCAGTTGATTAACATGCTAAATACGTATTCACTTTTGGATTATTATTAGTAATGTGTACGACAACTGAAATTTGCATATTGCATATTGCAGTTTGGTAAGCGCTTTCAAAATGAACATTGAGTCAGAGATTGGATGATGCGATTGTCTGCCTGAAATGTAAAGTCTTTTCCTTCTGTTTATCCAGACAATATTTGGTTTTTTGATTGCCTTTTGGCATAGTTCGTGCTATGGTTCGGTTCGTGCTCACGGGATTCGTTCATTACCTATAATTATATAAGCAAAATATTTGCTGGAGTGTTGACTTCTAACAGACTGTTAATTTTATGGCCCAAGGGATGGCGAGTATCTCAAGAGCTGAGGAACATGATAAAGTAATTCAATTAGTCATAGGAATGAAATGAATGAAATTAACGGAAATAACAGTTACGCTCAGTTTGTGCCACTTACAGTTCAGTTTGAGTGTTGAAAATATAAAATATACGTAACAGAGAATAAGTAATAGGCGATAATTATATATAAAATTAATGAAATGTTTATGATCTCCTATCAAAATACAAATTGCCTAAAAATGGCATTCAACCTCACAGTTTGTCAGTTGAAAAACTGTGACTTTGACTCATCATCACAAATTAATGTCAATGTTAAAAAAACCTCCGTTTAATTCACGCTGTTCAGTTTAGCTAATGACTATGCTGTTTTTGGCCATACCCAATCGGCCCACGCCCCCAAATTGCCTCCGTCAAAGCTTCATTAAGCCACAGAGTAAATACAAATTTGAACATACATCGATGTCGTTTATAAACAAACTTTTGGCGCCTTTCCGTAGACTTAACAATGGCAGTCATCACCCACACACAAATATTTGTGTTGTTAAGTTAAATAAATAACACACAGCATAGACAACATTGGCAACAATAACAACAGCAACCATTTCGCATAGCTATGTAGCCAGTTTGTTGGCTGCAAATGTTTGACTGCAAGTTGCTTTCTGGGCCAAACCGCATAGCCAGCTAATTGCAACAACAACAGGCAACAGCTGCTGGCTGATGGCTTACAAAAATGTGGTTTGGGTGGCTACACAGCTGCAGTATAGTGAATAACAACATTTGAAATAAGTTGTATGCCCTGCAAATAAAAGCTAGAAGGCTATGCTTGAAGTGTAAAGAAGGAAACAATCGTACAAAAAATGATTAAGAATTTAAGAATAAATATTCACATAATTAAAAAACATATTCAATTAAATAAATAATTGTGAAAGCTATATAACGTCAGATTTCAATAGCCCAGTTTTCTCGCTCGGTCCAATTCTTCTCCATGGTCACTGAGTTCTCAATCAATTCTTTTCAATTCTCTTCTCATTTTATTTTCAATGACACCAATGTATTAGTGCGTAATAATTATACACATTTGATTAGTTTACTCCAAAAAATCTAAAGCTATTATGGCTTTTTCGCAGTGCAACAACTTCAGTTTTAAGCCTTTTCTCTCGTAATGCATAAAATAATCAAATTATAATGAAAAAATTGTACGTGTTAAAATTCGTAAAAGTACAAATTATGCGCATTGCATAATTCAAGAAATTAAGAAACGACCGCCGCCCTTTTGCTTATATTATATGAGCTGCAAGTGCGGGAAAAACAGCTTTATGAATTTGTTAATTAACGTTGAGAGGTTTTGAATCTTAGCTGGTGTCGTGTGGTGCGTGTGGAGTTCGCTGCGCTTACTTGCAAATTAATTTGGCTTTCAATAAAAGACGCCGATGCCACCAACACCGTAAGCCGCTTTGAATGGCTCTCGGCTTAAGTTTCAGCCTTTCTCGCATGCATTAATCAAAGTTATCTAATATGCATTGTTGTAGCAATGTCTGAGCGTACAATTGTCTGGCTCCCTCTCTCTCTCTCTCTCTCACTATCTCTATATTTGCAAATGAAACATGTGCAAGGTGCCAAGCTGTACAGCCTTCGCGTTTGACTAAATTTTAAGCTGAATTTCGAGATTGGCAGTGGATGTGGCTGTGTGGAGATAGATTTGCGGAAGTTGTTAATGGGCTGGGCTGGAGAGTATCAGATACGTCCAGTTTTACAACTGCAGCAAAAAATCATTGTAAATCAAATAGCATAACAAAAGACTTTGGCAACAAACTTGTTTTCGCAGTAAGCTAAACGTAATATAAATATGATGGCAACAAGTTGTTAGCTATTTTTCAAAAAGAAGTAAAATTATTAAGCAAAATTGATTTTGAATTGAAAATGCGGTAACTTTAAAACTTTTTTTCATTTAAATATTATGCGGAAATTAAATAAACACCCAAAATAATTGCTTAATTTTCTACTCAGACAACCAAATTGGTATCGCTTAGTTTCCAAACACTTCCCTAATAAAGCTTTAAACAAAAATGCGCCAGCTCCCGAGTGTAAACAAAAAGTAAAAAATATGCACAATGTGTTTGTTAGTTGTAATTACTTGACAATAACGGCAACCTTGCGCCTCGATCTCAACTTACAGAGCGACACAAACGCCAGATCGTCTGGCTTATTTGGCAAAGCATATTAATGAAAAGACACAGATAAACACACACACGCTGTCTGGCCATTTAACAATGAGACTAAAAAAACTACAAAGTTCAGACAGACAAGCACTTGGGATTTATGACAACAACGCAAAAGCCTTCAACTTTATAAGTAGAGTTGAGTGGAGTAGGGGCAGAAATAAAAATGATTGTATAAGTTATAAATTTGCTTGTGTGTTTCGAAAAATTGAAAGGCTTAGAGATCTATGAATTTCTCAATTGATTATTTCAGTTAAAATTAATCGTAGTATAATTCGAAAAAGTTTTCTCCCTATTTCTCTTATTTTAAATAAATCTCTTCTAAGAATAAGTTAGTTATTTAAATGACTAATTTATTTATGCTATTGACATACTCGGTTTATTGTCTTTTCTGTAAAGTATTCGGAATATCTTTTAAAGTAGCACAATTCCGCATTTCACGCGACCAAAACATATTAACCCCATATCAGTTGTATTTATTACATGTCGGGGACCTCAAACTTAGTCAGTTAGTTAAACACATGTATGCAAATATTTTCTGATTTATGTTGTTCGGCTTATGGCGAGAAACTTTCTAAACCGCATTCACAAAGTCTTCAAGCCACAAACACGTGCTGCGCTCGAAGGTGCAGATTGCTAAGCGTTTATTAATAAAATGGCTGAAAGTCTCAAATCGAATGCGATTCATTTTGAGGTGTGAGTAAGCAAACCAGTTCTAATCAAATTTACTTATTCATTTTTGTTTTGTATTCGGCTTATTTGAACTATTTGTACTACAATTTTGTGGCATTTATTGTGTTAGAAATAAATCTTTAATTTCAACCATTTTTCTCGTATACTTCATACAGGCTGACCCATTCAACATTAATTGGCATTAAATCGGAAACATGACCAAACCGACGGCAGCCAATTCGCATTGGCTGGCCGCATTGTTGTCGTTGTTGTTGCTGGTGGTGCTGGTGCTCCACACAACCACAGCGGACGAGGCGTTTTCGTGTCCAAATGGTAAGTTTGCATTCAACTTGAAATTCGAAATCCAATTTCTGCTGCACTTAAGCCACTCCAAAAGGCACGTGCGTGGCCACTGCAGGTGTGGCCAAAAACTTGCGCATAAATCAAAGCGAAGATAATTTTAATTATATAGATGTACATACTACAAATACATATATACATATATACACACTTATATGGGTAAAACGGATGTCGAATTGGCTTTTGCCAATGGGCCCGGCACATTGTCTTTGATTTCCGTCGCCTTCATTGTCTTTCGTCTGTGTGTGTGTGTGTGTGTGTATAATTGTGCCGATCGTTTAATTTAAGGTAAAGCAAACTTTTAGAGTTTTTAACTAACTTCCAATTATGCAGTTAATTATATGCGTTTTAAACTGCCTTAAGTATTTATTAAATACTTCCTGTATAGCTTTTTTAAGTGCCATAAAATATTATATTATATTATACATATTTTCAAAAGATTAATAGAGAATTAATTTACGAGGAATGTTAAAAGCGACTTCTACATCAAAATATTTCACTTTATACATCTTCTTGGCAATAGAATATTATTAACGCAACTTCTGATAAATTATGTTACTTTGATTAGCCGTTTTATTGATCATAACTAATTTTCTTCTTAGCTCTGTTGCAAGATTACATACATTTTTCTATTCTCTTATCTAATTGAGTAATCATTGAGAATAAACATTCTTTCTATACGACACCATTACACATCCATAAATCGTAACCATTTTTTTTTTTTGATGTTTGATTGCCGTCATTATTTCATCTATAAACAAAAATAGTTTACTATTTGTCAGCAAATTAAGTCTTATGGGCAGCAAACGAAAGAAAAATAATGATATTCCGTTTTGTGAGGCAGCATAATAAGAGGAATAAGAAAATTGTCGATCATTCTTTGTTTACAATAGCGATACACCTTGAAAAAAAAAACAAATTAAGAATTACGCTACGTGATCACTGGCTAAGCTAAGCTACGCCCTAGGATAGGTTATCTTTTCATCTCATCCAAAGTGGCTTCTTTGAGTGCTTGTTTGGCTATCATTAAGCCTCGATGCTTAGCTCCTTTCATAAGTATAGCGCACACTTTGACCATTAAAAAGCTGGTGCGGCATTATCGTTAATGACAAATCTACACAAACGCTGGCAACCCGCCAAACGGGTTGCTTAGCTAAAAATCTGCTACGTTTTGGCCAGAACAAAAACGAAAAAATTAAAGAAGTTGAGATGACGGAAATGCTGGAGTAGCTAATCAATCATTGTTCTATGGCCAGTAATGCAATCACCACTTGCCACTGCTGCTTTTCTCTCGATGGCCACCTACAACAAGCCGTGGCAATGATAACGGTTATTACATATGCCAAACTGGTTGTTCTTATTGTTGTTGTTGTGGTGTGCCCCACTGGGCGGTAATGCCAAGAATGCACATGCAATGTGGCAATGACAGCACAGAAGTTACAGCGCAAGAACTCTGGCTAAGAGCACAGCACATATGTGTATATGTGAAAACGCGTATGCCATCGGCAGAGTCACATATATACGTAAGGCGAGACAAGTTGTGAGCGTAGAAATGAAAAAAGGAAAACGTTAACGCGCTTCAAAACAAGATTTCTTAACGGTTGTTTAATGCCAAGCCAAGTTTACCTGACTGACTGACTAACTTGGCTATTGGTTCGCCTGCTACTGCTTCTCCATCTCCTTCTCCTTCTCCTGTCTCGATCCCAGTCCCAGTCTACCTGGCATGCTACTTCTTTAAGTCGTTGTTGCTGTTGGAATAGTTGTGCTGCCTTGTATTAACTAGCTGCAGTTGCTGTGCTTATTAACACTTTTATATGCACACACGCTTACCCTCATACACACACACACACACATGCAAGCACCTGCCAACGGAGACGCCAACTGCAACGCGGCCAAAACAAGTTCGTTGCCTAAGTCTTTTGATATTTTCATGTTACGTTGGTTGTTTTTATATATTCATATGCAAGCCAGCTTGTGCAGGTGTATGTGTGTGTAAGTGACTTGTTTTAGGTGCAGTTGTGCAAAAAATAGGCCAAACTGTTGGCGGCTAGTGCAGCGTTGGTAAGCCGAATAACAGAGCTTAAGCATTACTTGTATTGATGTGGTTAACCATGATATGGGCGTTTTAATGATTGCAATAGATACTGCATTCAATTTCTGTCAACTCGCTGATGACGCACAATTCATATTTCCATTTTTATGTATTACACAAAAGTCTTTGTCAATTTAAAACATGCTTTTTTGAATTGAATTATTTCTTTATAAAAATTAACCTTCAAAAATTAATTTAATTTTTGTTCCATCTAAAGGTTACGAGTTAAGGTTGATAATAAGAATCACGAGCATGTACTGCTTTCAATAAATAGTTGAGAATCTCAGTTTATCGCATAGCGCTTCCTTTGATTTTATACCTAAGAATACAGAAAACATTGTTAAAATTCCACTTAAAGACTTTTATGTGGCTTTTGACGATGATGTGATAAATCAGCACCATGAAATTCTAAGCAAACGGAAAGTACATAATATAAATCATGAGTAATTCTAGCTTTGGCCACATCAATGTTTACCTTCATTATCCGCCACTCAAGCATCGCATCTAACTGTAAATGCCTCAAATTGATAAACAGACAGACGGGCAAAGTAAACAACTCACAATCTTACCTAGAAACGAAATGAAACGCTTTAGTACGCAATACCAACACCAACAAAATGAACCAGATCACGACGACTTTCAAGATCCACAATTTTTGAACACGCTTGAGCAAATGCGAAGAGCATCATCATCAGTTCTAAAAGCTAATTAAATCAACTTCTTCTTTTTTCGTGAGCTGCTTCTTGAAAAATTCAGCACTTTGAATATGTTTCTGGGTCAGCACACACAATACAAGTGATATATGACACTGTCATAAGCGATGGTCTTATAACACATGTGTACAACGTGGGGGTGATATTATTTATGAATTTCAAAATTCGGCATTTAGCAAATCATGAAGCGTAAAATGCTCGTGTGCCTAAACAAATTTGTTTGACGGTGGTTTATGGAAGTCAACGCTTTTCTAGTTGACTGACTTCTGTGTGAACTGTGCGAGTGGTAAAGCAATTTAAGCAGAATATGAGGAAAAGAAAGAGAGACAGATAAATGTGGCCATTGCCAGAGCACAAAAAATGTGTGAAAAGTTAAACGAACTTAACGTTAAGCATAAGGTTTAATGAACGTTTGGGCAACGGGCACTGACAGGCAGCAAAATCAAAGCTGCGGCAAGTAATCCACAATAAAAACCAAATAATACAGCTAGAATTACCAGATACGTTCTTGTAATTCCGCTTTCTACGGATTGAAGATCTCTTTGTTTCTTTTGAAGAGATAAATTTACGTAGCGGAGGCAAACAAATGCATTAAAAATTGAGGCTAATGAAAGGGGCACAAGAAGATTTATTGCAGTTGTGAAACTTATGCGTACCAGCAACTTGATTTTCACTTTCTTGTTTCGGCAAAACAACAGAAAAGAACAAGCAACACCAGAAACAAACACTTATGTACATGGTAAACTATGCCGGTAATTTAATTGCCAAAGTAAATTTCCAAATAACCGAAATACGACAAGCGACGTCTACGTGGACGTGGACGTTAAGCACATATTTTTTTAGGTCAACTGCAGATAGTTAAACCAAAAAATAAATATAAATGCCTTGTGTACTGATTAATAAGACCTCTATTAAATAATTGAAAAGTAAATATTTTCATTGCAAATAAAACTTTTGTTCGACTAATATAATACAGACTGAAAAGTATATTTTTGTTGATTCTAGCACAACTTTTGATGCCTCTATATTTCGTATAGAAATAATAACCTCGTGACAATATTTTCCCAGGTGCTTTATCTAGTTTTGCAAGGTTATTCGATTGTTTCGTTAACTAGTTCTATGTTTATATAATAAGCCAATCAAAGCAATATTCTCACAGCTTAAACATTTCAGTATCTAGTGCAAGTGTCTTTAGCTGTATGTTTAAAGATCTTTTTGCTACTTGAGTTTGATAAAGTGCAGAACTTGTGCAAAAAACTTGTAATTTCTTATTACATATGTATGTATCAAGAGTATGCAGCGCTCCCAGATACTTACACACACTATGTATGTAAACATCAAATTTGACGTAAGATATTCTCACATTATTAATTTGTATTGTGTTCACGAGATTTCGTCAGAGAGCGTTGAGCTCGGGCTATTCTTCGCGATTCGCTGAGTGTTGAGCCCGAAATTATAGACAATGATCAGCAGCTGTTTGGCTCTGGGTGCTTTCAGCGGCTTCTACTCTGGCAATTAGAGCACGGCTAACAAATGCAGCTGCAAAAACCGCATATGAGAGCTTAAGAGCCGTTTTTATGTGGGGCACAAAAAAAAATCCACATCAAGTCACGCAGCAAATTTGCATAGCATAATGGCTTACAAAACTTCCTGGCAAGTATTTCAAATATGTGGCACAATTCAATAAAGCAGTCAACAGCAAAACATGCAAATGCATGCAAAAATAAAAGACAGAAACACTGACTCACTTAACAAAGAAAATTAAAAGAACTGCGAAACCGGCTAACCTTGTCCAGCTGCTGCTGCACCCAGTCCAAGAGCAAAGGAATTTTAGAAGCCATTGCTAGTTACGTGGCTTCAATTGCCTATAGAGAAACTCAAGCTACTTGACAGTCGAGGTGACATACACAAATACACAACCTTTGTGGGAGTTGTAAGAGAGTAAGAGAGAGAGAGAGAAAGAGAGAGAGAGAAAGAGAGGGAGACAAGCAGACAAATAGCTGACTATTAAAAACAATTACTTGAGGTTTGTTATGCTGACCGTTCTCTTTTGCCGTTCAACTGATTTCAATTGAAGCGTGTTAGGAACTGAAGAATCCAAGTGTCTGTGGCTCTCCAGTTATATTTCTTTATTTACGTTTTTTATTTTAAGTGGAACAGCGTACGGTTTTGTTGGGGAATTTGTTGGTATGCAGCGCAGCTAAAATAAAATAAAAATTACTGCGGTAAATAGGCAACAAATATATATATAGAAATTGGAATTGTGGCAAATAGCGGTATAAAGTTAAATAAGCAAATACAAACAATTATATATAAGCGGCAAGCGGTTGTTGTTTTGGTTGGTTGTTGTAGACGAAAGCAATAAAGTCGAGAAGAGCACAATTGGCAAAGAATTTTAAGCAATTTGCTGGCATGACAGCAAAGATTACGATAATGAGATTAAGGTTTTATAACTGGCATAATATGTGGTCAAGTATTCAACTCAGCTCTGCTGTTCAATAAAGTGCTATAATTATTCTTTTGAAAATTATAAATAAGTATTCCAACTTAAGCTTACTTATAATCAAGTTATTCATTAGTTTCATCATATTTAATCTTGACATAATTGTGTCAGGTGTCAGGTCAACTGGCTAAAAACATAACAAATTGTGCGTAGGTAAAAAAATGAAATATTACGTTGAAATCATGCAGAGTCAAGGTACAGAAATAGGTCTTAGATCAAGATGAAACAGCTTGAAGGCATGCCATATGAGATTATAAATGAAGCAATGCTTTTATTATAATAATTCGTTATTTTCTCATATATATTTTGAATAAGACGTTAGCTGAAGTTGCTTCTCCCTTAGATCTGGTGTGTTTTCGTAGAGGCTTCGTTGCCAAGTAGTCTAAGTACATGCACAACATTCGTTGGCTTGTATCTACACGGAAATCGTGAAAGCCCACTTTAAATACTAACTATCTAACATACTGAGCTAAGTCAGGATATGTCAGGCTGTGCAGCCAGACAAAATGTTTAACAGCTTTCAGATTCCGCCAAAGCCACCAAAGAAGGCCCAGTTGATAGAAACTATTTTAGTTGCCAGTTTACAATTGGAGCAAAATTGTTTGAATATTTTTGCTATTTTGTTGTTTTACTGTTTTCATTTGTGCGCGCCTTGTGGCGTATTTTAGTCGATTTGATTTTAAATGAAAGCTGTCAATCAAGCCGACAAAAGGCGGGCTCGACAAGTCGCAGCAACTTTCCCATTTTACCAGGAAAACGCCACGCACTTAGATTGAGAAAATGAAAGCGACAGCACGAGCCTGCCAAATGTTTAATTGTAATTGGCTCAAGCTACATACTTATATTATAAGTTAGTAGCTGTCGCATAAACAATATTATAGTTGAAAACTGACTGGGTAATTGCCTCAATAAAAAATACTTGAATCTCTAGAATAAGCAATTAAGTCCGCTAGGCTCATATGTCACTCAATGGCATAGAAAGCCAAAGTCACAGTTAGAGATGTAGAAACTAAATTATGCAAAACAAGTCGCATAGATTGAGGTCACGCTAGAGATCTCAGCGGGAAGCCAACTGCAGCTGAATTAAATGTCAAGAGCTCCCCGAAGAAGTTGAAAAATTTGATGTTGGTGGAGGGAAGCGAAGAGTTTGGTTATGGGAAGTAATTTTCAGCGGCCAAATTGAATAGTTACATGTGTGAGGTTTTTCAATCGAGTGTTTTGTTGGAAAGTGCCAAGATAAATCAAATAATTTTTAAAAGCAACTTAAGTTGTTGTTAATTAAATCATAATCATTAAGCAGGAGATATTTGAAATTTAAGTTTCCCATTGTTAATTGAAGAATAGATATGCTTTACTTTGTTTTATATTTGCTTGTAGTCTTGGAAAAAAATGAGCTACTTAATGATTATTCATAACAATTTATTATATAACAACCTCAAGGAATTTTTTTAGTTTTAAAAATTCACAAGAAATTGTATCGCAATTTGCAATTTTAATGCAGTTTCCCAAAAGAGCTGTGACCTTGTCTAATTTGAATTTTTTTATTATTTGTATTTACAGGCTGGGAACTGCGTGGATTAAATTGCTATAAATATTTTAATATTAAGCATTCGTATGAGAAAAGCGCCGAACTGTGTCGAAGGTGAGTAAAACCATAGCATAACCATAATTTGTTAATTTGAATATATCAGCATACAGTCAATAGAGGAATTTATGGGCTCGAACTTCTGTATTAGACAACTTGTTGAGGTGATTGCCAAGCACTGAAGTATCTCTAAAGCGGTTACGCTTCAATAAGCACAGCTACCAGTTCTTCGTAATAGATAGATAGGCAGATATATACTAAAAATAGTGACTAGATAGATACTTGACTGTCTATCTAGATGTGTATGTAGCATGTGTACTTGTTGCAGCAGTTGCCGTTACAGCACCGCATTGCATTTCCGCTGCAGCCGCTGACAGCTAACTGTCAATGCCAAAGTGGGCAGCATCGATGGCGTTGTTGACCAAGTTTGAAATTGTTTTTCAGGCCTGACTGGGCAGGCCAATCGCGTCGATAAGCCAATTCGATGGTCAATGATTCATAATATTTTTCTTTTTCGTCAACTACTTGATTCGAGGAAAAAGAAAGTCGACGTCGCCGACGTCAACGGCGACGTCAACGCAGCCAATAAGCTTCCGGCGTTCGGCCCCAAAACATTCCTGATTCGCTTTTTTTGGGTGTTAACCCGCTGTTGACCCAAATACTTGAAAGTGGTCCGTCCAGTGCCTGCACCTGCTCAACAGTAAAGAGCTCGTGAACCTTTTTTTCATTTCATGGTTCGGGTTTGGTTTGGAAATTGAGAGTGTTTCGATTTGATTGAAGTCGCAGCTTTTTCTCGATAATAATTTCTGCTCGCCTTTAATGAGCGTGTGAATCACTGCTTTTAGATTGACCTCGGGGCATGTGGGGTGAAAGTTATTCGGTATTAATATTTCGGTATTGTAAGCACAAAACATTAATAAAACTATTGGCTAGCCGTGGACTTGGTTGCACTAATGTCAATGGCCTACGCAATTTCTCCCAGCAGTCAAGTGTTAAATGGCAATTACATATGCCCGGCACAAGCTACACACATCAGTTGACAATAGCAGCAGTGGCTACAGTGGCTACAGTGGCTACTACTCTAATGTGCTCATCGTCATTTACATGCCATAGACCTCGCCCCAGTCCAGTCCAATGGCTATTGAAATGCGGCTGGCGTTTCATTATTTTTACCTCAGCAAGTTCAACACACGACAAACAACCATTGAGTGCTCGAAATGGTGTAAGCAATAGTTTTGCCAAAAACAAAATACGCGTTAACGCTACATCGGTATAAATATATATTAAAAGTAGATAGCGTGGCGTTGTCAAAATCTAAAATATTTGCCTGGGTGAAATTTCCATTGCTGCGTCTTTCAACAGTTGTTCAACGTTTTGCGTGTACAGCATGCGAAATACGTAGAATGAAGGAAAGTACAGATAAGGCGTTAACATTTCAAGTTAACGGAGCTGTGACCAAAAAAAAAGCAATCATGGATTTGGGAATTGTTGGTTTAAGTTTGTTGGGCGTAGCCAACGAAACGCATTGAAAACTTTTTGAATGAAGTTATGGCAGCCGTTTATTTGGGCAAAATATTTGTTGGTTGGCCTTTTAAATGTATATGGGTGCGGAAAGAGGTAGCACCCAGCTGGTAATGCCATAGAATTTTTAAAGGCGTTGCTAACGAAATTCCATGTTATAAAAAATATAAAAAAATGATGCGAAATGTAATAATTTAAAATTGCAAAATATTATAATTTAAAAAACCAAAAAGTAACTAAACTAGTTTTAAATTATATTTTACTTTTTCTCTCGAAAATATTAATATTAATACTCAATGTTTGTCTTAACATATCGCTGGAATTTGCTAAGCCAACAACTAATTTGCCACTTTGGTAAAAATCGATCAGGTACCCGTATAAATAATGAGACATACTAAATGAACAGCCAAACATGCCGACATATTCCATATACATTAACGAAGCACAGCTAGTTTTCTCTGGGCGTTAGGCACGCAATGTACAATTGCCTGTTTTATGGCAAGGGCGGGAGCAGCAGCCAATGCAGCATGCATAATTTTTGGCACAGCTGCACAAAAATGACGCGAGGCGTTGAACAACCGCCATCAGTTTCAAGCCCCCACGTTGCGTATGTGTAATATGCATGAATTAAATGTGCAAAGGCAAAGTAACAATTGTATTTACAAAACGGGTTTCTTGCTCTTTGCTCGTAGAATCAAGCTGTGCGCTTTTGAAAATGAAAAGAGTTTGGCGATTGGAAACGAAAGTTTTTCTTTTGTGTGTGCGAGTGAAGGCTTGTTGTTGTTATTATTTTGGACAGCATAATTAAGAGAAGAAAATAGAAAGTAAAGCGCATTACAAAAAATGCAGCTGCATAATTGAAAATTGAGTTAAGTGTGCAGCGGAAGCTGGAAGTTCCCATACTTTAATCTAATCACTAATCTCTCTTTCCATTTATTCTCTCTTTGCTGGCAGATATGGCGCCGAACTGGTGGCCGTCGATTCCTATGCGGAGAACAATGAGACTCTGGCAATAGCACGCGCCAGCGATCCAAATCAACGTGCCTCTGACAAATACTGGCTTGGTCTGGCGTCGCTGGATGATTTACGCACGAATACCCTGGAGTCTGCCTCTGGCGCATTGATCTCACAGTACTCGGGCTTTTGGTCTCTGCAGCAGCCAAATGCTGCGTCCGGTGAGTGCGTTGCTGCCAGCTTTGCCAGCAAGGCGCAGAGCTGGGCTCTGGGCACCTGCGAATCCCTGCTACCCTTCATGTGCCGTGCTCCGGCCTGTCCGCAAGGAGCACTCCATTGCGCCAACGGGAAGTGCATCAATCAGGCATTTAAGTGCGATGGCAGCGATGATTGTGGCGATGGTACCGATGAGCTCGACTGTCCAGCTCAATGCCATTTCCACATGCAATCTGGCGGCGATGTTATTGAGACGCCCAACTATCCGCACAAATATGGAGCGTTGAGCAAGTGCAAGTGGACGCTGGAGGGACCGCTGGGCAGCAATATTATACTGCAGTTCCAGGACTTTGAGACAGAGAAAACTTTCGACACCGTTCAGGTGCTGGTGGGTGGACGCACTGAGGACAAGTCTGTGTCGCTAGCAACTCTCAGTGGCAAACAGGATCTGACTACACAACCATTTGTATCCGCCTCCAACTTTATGATTGTCAAGTTCACCACAGATGGCAGCGTAGAGCGTAAGGGCTTTAGGGCGACATGGAAAACGGAGGCAAAGAATTGTGGCGGTACCTTGAAGGCAACCTTGCAGCGACAAACTCTAACCAGTGCTAACTATCCCAAGCAATATCCCGGCGGTCTGGAGTGCCTGTATGTGATCAAGGCGCAGCCGGGTCGCATTATCTCAATTGAAGTAGATGATCTAGATATTGCCGAGGGACGCGATCATCTAATCATCCGCGATGGTGATTCACCTATGAGTCGCACCATTTCCAAGCTGACTGGAAAAACGCCACATAACGAGCGAGTTATCATCTCAACTGGCAATGCACTGTATCTGTACTTCAAGTCCAATTTGGGTGAGGCTGGCAAGGGTTTCAGTCTGCGCTATATTCAAGGGTGCAAGGCGACGATTACGGCTCGAAATGGAACAGTTACATCGCCAGCATTCGGCTTGGCGGACTATCCAAAGAATCAGGAGTGCTTCTTCACCATTCGGAACGGCGCACGTGCACCACTCTCTCTAAAGTTCGACAAGTTCACCGTACATAAGAGCGATAACGTGCAGGTCTTTGATGGCTCCTCCACATCCGGATTGCGTCTGCACTCCGGCAATGGCTTCACGGGCACTGCAGCGCCCAAGCTAACCCTGACTGCCTCATCTGGTGAAATGTTGATTAAGTTTACTTCGGATGCGTTACACAATGCAGCAGGGTAAGTCGAGAACATCTTTTTACTCAGTAATACCCTGAATATTGGAAACAGTACAGATTGGAGCAGTCCGTTTATTCCGACTGCAAGCCAAGCTTTTCGTATTATTGAAGCAATCTCAACTAATTAAGATTATATATTTTTATGTTTTCCAGCTGGTCGGCGACTTTCTCAGCTGACTGTCCTGAGCTGCAGCCCGGTATTGGGGCTTTGGCCTCCAGTCGCGACACGGCCTTTGGCACGCTGGTCAGCTTCACATGTCCCATTGGACAGGAGTTTGCCACCGGCAAGACGCGTCTGGTAACTGAATGTTTGCCCGGTGGCAACTGGAGTGTCTCCTACATACCAAAGTGTCAGGGTGAGTCCGCAAAACACAATTCATATCTGACTTTCGTTTACTCTCAACCTTCTCCATAAACACACACAGAGGTCTACTGCGGTCCTGTGCCACAAATTGACAACGGTTTCTCCATTGGCTCCTCGAATGTGACGTATCGCGGCATTGCCATGTACCAGTGCTACGCTGGCTTTGCATTTGCCTCCAGCGAGCCAATTGAGAAGATTTCCTGCCTGCCCGATGGTCGCTGGGAGCGTCAGCCCCACTGCATGGCCTCCCAATGTGCTGCACTGCCCGAGGTGCCACATGCCAATATGACGCTGCTGAATGGAGGTGGTCGAAGCTATGGTACCATTGTCCAATACGAATGCGAACCGGGCTATGAGCGCAATGGTCATCCCGTTCTTACTTGCATGTCGAACGGTACCTGGAGTGGAGATGTGCCACGTTGTACGCGCAAGCGTTGCTTCGAATTTCCAGTAATTGAGAATGGCTTTGTGGTGGATGCGGCACGTCCGTACCACTATGGAGATGAGGCCAGGGTGCAGTGCTTCAAAGGCTATAAGTTGATTGGCAGCAATATTATGCGTTGCAGCGAGGCTCAACGGTTTGAGCAGCCTCCCACATGTGAGGATATTAACGAGTGCAGCTCCTCCCAATGCGATCTGACAACCACCGAGTGCATGAATACGAATGGATCCTTCCACTGTCAGTGTCGTTCGGGTTTCATGGCGACAACGGAGTGCAGACCCGTTGGCGATTTGGGTCTGGGTAATGGCGGTATTCCGGATGATAGTATTAAGACCTCGCCAAGTGAGCTTGGCTACAGCAAATCTCTGCTGCGTCTCAATATGAATGGCTGGTGTGGCGCCTCCTTGGAACCAGGGGCCAATTGGATACTCATTGATCTTAAGGCACCCACTATTCTGCGGGGATTCCGAACCATGTCCGTACAGCGTTCCGATGGCAATGTGGCCTTCAGTTCCGCGGTGCGTTTACAGTATACAAATGATTTAACTGATGTGTTCAAGGATTATGCCAATCCGGATGGAACCCCTGTGGAGTTTAGAATACTGGAGCCAACGTTGTCCATACTGAATCTACCGTTACCGATTGAGGCGCGTTATGTCCGCTTCCGCATACAGGACTATGTTGGAGCTCCTTGTCTGCGCATGGAGCTGATGGGCTGCACCCGTTTGGATTGCGTCGACATCAATGAATGCAGCAAACAAAATGGCGGCTGTGATCAGAAGTGCACCAATTCACCTGGTGGCTATGCCTGCGCCTGTAACACTGGCTACCAGCTGTACACGTCCAATGGCACCGCTGGCTTTCACATTGAGCGCTTCGAGTCGGGTGAACGTGATGGGGATACCTATCAGCGGAACAAGACGTGTGTCCCCTTGATGTGCCCCGATTTGCAGGCACCGGAGAATGGCCAGCTGCTGAGCGAACGCAGTGATTATCACTTTGGCGATGTGGTGCGATTCCAGTGCCACTTTGGCTACATCATGAGCGGCAGCTCAGTAGCTCTCTGCCTATCCAGCGGTCAATGGAATGCCAGCGTACCAGAGTGCAATTGTAAGTATTTAAATTATATTACTTAATGTAAAATAGAGGAGTGTTAAGTCATTCCTAAAGAATATTTAATGTATGTTCAATTTCATTCTTTAACTAACCAATTACAGATGCCAAGTGCGTTTCATTGCCTGATGACAAGCTGGAAGGTTTGACTGTTGCCCGCCCAGATCCCGAATCCGTGCTGGTTCCTTTCCGTGACAATGTGACCATTAGCTGTGGCTCTGCCGGCCGTCAATTGCGCTCCACTGCCTCCGCTGGCTTTAGGCAGTGCGTGTACGATCCCAAGCCGGGTCTGCCCGACTACTGGCTATCGGGCATGCAGCCTTCCTGTCCCCGTGTGGACTGCTATGCACCTATGCCAACCCCCGGTGCTGAATATGGACAGTTTGTGGATACGCGTTATCAGAGCAGCTTCTTCTTTGGCTGCCAGAACACCTTTAAGCTGGCGGGACAAACGCAACGACACGACAATGTTGTGCGCTGTAATGCCGATGCCATTTGGGACTTTGGTGACCTGCGCTGCGAGGGACCCGTCTGCGAGGATCCTGGTCGTCCAGCCGATGGTCGTCAGCTGGCGCGCAGCTACGAGCAAAGTTCCGAGGTTTACTTTGGTTGCAATCGTCCTGGCTACATTCTCATTAACCCCAGACCAATTACGTGCATACGTGAACCGGAGTGCAAGGTGATCAAGCCACTGGGATTGAGCTCGGGCAGAATACCCGACTCCGCCATCAACGCCACCTCGGAGCGACCAAACTATGAGGCGAAGAATATACGATTGAACTCAGCGACCGGCTGGTGTGGCAAACAGGAAGCATTCACCTATGTCAGTGTGGATTTGGGACAGATATATCGTGTAAAGGCAATACTAGTCAAGGGTGTGGTTACCAATGATATTGTGGGGCGACCCACCGAGATACGCTTCTTCTACAAGCAGGCAGAGAATGAGAACTATGTCGTCTACTTCCCGAACTTCAATTTAACCATGCGTGATCCCGGCAACTATGGCGAACTGGCCATGATAACACTCCCGAAATACGTGCAGGCTCGTTTCGTTATCCTGGGCATTGTAAGCTATATGGATAATGCCTGCTTGAAGTTCGAGCTGATGGGCTGCGAGGAGCCCAAGAAGGAGCCGCTGCTCGGCTACGACTATGGCTACTCACCCTGTGTGGACAATGAGCCACCCATCTTCCAGAACTGTCCGCAACAGCCGATTGTGGTGCGACGAGATGAGAATGGTGGTGTGCTGCCCGTTAACTTTACCGAACCCACTGCTGTGGATAACTCTGGTTCGATTGCACGACTAGAAATCAAGCCACAGAACTTCCGTACACCCAGTCACATATTTAAGGATACGGTTGTCAAGTATGTGGCCTTCGATTACGACGGCAATGTGGCTATTTGTGAGATTAATATAACCGTGCCAGATGTTACGCCTCCATTGCTGCAGTGCCCCCAGAGCTATGTTATTGAGTTAGTCGATCGCCAGGACAGCTACAATGTGAACTTTAACGATACGCGCAAACGCATCAAGACCTCTGATGAGACAGGTGAAGTACGCCTGCAGTTTACGCCGGAGCGTGCAACCATTAAGATTGGCAACTTTGAAAATGTAACAGTAACTGCCACGGATAAATTCAACAATCGTGCCAGCTGTCACTTCCAGGTGTCCGTGCAGGCATCGCCTTGCGTCGACTGGGAATTACAACCGCCGGCAAATGGAGCAATTAATTGTCTGCCGGGTGATCGGGGAATTGAGTGTATTGCCACCTGTAAGCCAGGATTCCGATTTACTGACGGTGAGCCACTAAAAACCTTCTCCTGTGAGACCTCCCGCCTGTGGCGTCCCACATCTGTGGTGCCCGATTGCGTGTCAGAGAATACGGAACAGGCTGCCTACCATGTGACGGCCACGATTACCTATCGCGCCAATGGCGCTGTGGCTCAGTCTTGTCTGGGACAGTATCAGGAGGTGCTCTCCCACCACTATGCTGGACTTAATCAGTTGCTTTCGCAACGCTGCTCAGCGGTCAATGTGAATATGAATGTGACCTTTTTGAAATCGGTGCCATCGCTCCAGGAGGAGAATGTCGTCAAAATGGACTTTATTCTTTCGATCTTGCCTGCTGTGCGTCAGCCCCAACTGTACGATCTGTGCGGCTCCACACTGAATCTGATCTTCGATCTGAGTGTGCCTTATGCCAGTGCTGTCATCGATGATCTGCTGAACATCTCCAACATTGGTAATCAGTGTCCGCCACTGCGTGCACTCAAATCGCAAATATCTCGTGGATTTAACTGCAACGTGGGTGAGGTGCTCAACATGGATACGAGCGATGTGCCCCGTTGCTTGCACTGTCCAGCTGGCACCTATGTCTCAGAGGGTCAGAACAGCTGCACCTATTGTCCACGTGGATACTATCAGAATCGGGATCGTCAGGGCACCTGTCTGCGTTGTGCCGCCGGCACTTATACCAAGGAAGAGGGCTCCAAATCTTTGTCTGATTGCATTCCCGTTTGTGGTTATGGCACCTACTCACCCACTGGTCTCGTGCCCTGCTTAGAATGTCCACGTAACTCGTTTACCGCCGAGCCACCCACCGGTGGCTTTAAGGATTGTCAAGCGTGCCCAGCGCAAAGCTTCACCTATCAACCGGCGGCTGCCAATAAGGGTCTGTGTAGGGCCAAGTGCGCACCGGGCAGCTATTCTGCAACGGGTCTGGCACCCTGCTCCTCCTGCCCACTGCACCACTACCAAAGTGCTTCGGGCGCCCAGAACTGCAATGAATGCCCCAGCAATATGCGTACGGACAGCGCTGGCGCCAAGGGACGCGAACAATGCAAACCTGTCGTCTGTGGAGAGGGTGCCTGCCATCATGGTGGACTCTGTGTGCCCATGGGTCATGATGTCCAATGCTTCTGCCCCGCTGGTTTCTCTGGTCGTCGCTGTGAACAGGATATAGATGAGTGCGCCTCGCAGCCCTGCTACAATGGTGGACAGTGCAAAGATCTGCCGCAGGGCTATCGCTGTGAATGCCCCAAGGGCTACACGGGCATCAATTGTCAGGAGGAAGCCAGCGATTGTGGCAATGATACCTGTCCCGCCCGTGCCATGTGCAAAAATGAACCGGGCTATAAGAATGTGACCTGTCTGTGTCGCAGTGGCTATACGGGAGATCAGTGCGATGTGACCATCGATCCCTGCACCGCCAATGGTAATCCGTGCAACAATGGAGCAAGCTGTCTGGCTTTGCAACAGGGTCGCTACAAGTGCGAGTGTCTGCCGGGCTGGGAGGGAATGCATTGCGAGCAGAATATCAATGATTGCGAAGAGAATCCTTGCTTGTTGGGTGCTGCCTGTACCGATCTAGTCAATGATTTCCAATGCACCTGTCCTCCTGGTTTCACTGGGAAGCGCTGCGAGCAGAAGATTGATCTGTGCCTCTCCGAGCCATGCAAGCATGGCGCTTGTGTGGATCGCCTGTTTGACCACGAATGCATCTGTGATCCGGGCTGGACGGGTAGCGCATGTGATGTCAATATCGATGACTGCGAGAATCGTCCGTGTGCCAATGACGGCGTCTGTGTGGATCTGGTCGATGGCTACAGCTGCAACTGTGAACCCGGTTATACGGGCAAGAACTGTCAACATACCATCGATGATTGCGCCTCGAATCCTTGCCAGCATGGTGCCACCTGTGTCGATCAGCTTGATGGCTTCAGCTGCAAGTGTCGTCCCGGATTTGTGGGTCTCAGCTGCGAGGCGGAGATCGATGAATGCTTGAGTGATCCCTGCCATCCCGTAGGCACCGAACGCTGCCTGGATCTGGACAACAAGTTCGAGTGCGTTTGCCGCGATGGCTTTAAGGGAGCTCTCTGCGAGACAGATATCGATGACTGCGAACCACAACCCTGCCTCAACAATGGCATCTGTCGCGATCGTGTTGGAGGCTTCGAGTGTGGCTGTGCTCCCGGCTGGAGTGGCATGCGTTGTGAGCAACAGGTGACCAGCTGCAATGTGCAGGCTCCTTGTCAGAACGATGCTCGGTGCATTGATCTGTTCCAGGACTACTTCTGTGTCTGTCCCAGCGGCACCGATGGCAAGAATTGTGAAACAGCCCCAGAACGCTGCATTGGAAATCCCTGCATGCATGGCGGCAAGTGCCAGGACTTTGGCTCCGGCCTCAACTGTAGCTGTGCTGCGGATTACGCTGGCATTGGCTGTCAGTATGAGTATGATGCTTGTGAGGATCATGTGTGTCAGAATGGTGCTACCTGTTTGGACAATGGCGCCGGCTACAGTTGCCAATGTCCACCTGGATTCACTGGCAAGAATTGCGAACAGGATATTGCGGATTGCAAGGATAACTCCTGCCCACCAGGCGCCAACTGTGTGGATCTGACCAATGGCTTCTACTGCCAATGTCCGTTTAATATGACTGGTGATGATTGCCGCAAGGCCATTCAAGTGGATTATGATCTGTACTTCAGCGATGCGACACGTTCAACTGCAGCTCAGGTGGTGCCCTTCCCCACCGGGGAGGCGAACAGCCTGACTGTGGCGATGTGGGTGCAATTTGCACAGAAGGATGACACTGGTATCTTCTTTACACTCTACGGCGTGGATTCCGCTCGCATGACGCAACGTCGTCGATTGCTGCTTCAGGCACACTCCAGTGGTGTGCAGGTTTCACTCTTCGAGGATCTGCCCGATATGTTCCTCAGCTTTGGAGAATACACATCGGTCAACGATGGCCAGTGGCATCATGTGGCTGTCGTCTGGGATGGCATTAGTGGTCAACTGCAGCTGATTACCGAGGGATTGATTGCCAGCAAATTGGAATATGGCGCTGGTGGTGCTCTGCCAGGTTATCTCTGGTCGGTGCTGGGTCGTCCGCAACCGGACAGCGTTAAGCATGAATTGGCCTACAGCGATACTGGATTCCAGGGCACCATTACCAAGACACAGGTGTGGGCTCGAGCTTTGGATATTACTTCCGAACTTCAGAAGCAGGTGCGCGATTGTCGCTCCGAACCGGTACTTTATCCGGGTCTCATTCTCAACTGGGCCGGCTATGAGATGACGTCGGGCGGCGTGGAACGCAATGTGCCCTCATTGTGCGGTCAACGCAAGTGCCAGATGGGCTACACTGGTGCCAACTGTCAACAACTGGTCGTGGACAAGGAACCGCCAGTCGTAGAACATTGTCCCGGTGATTTGTGGGTCATTGCAAAGAATGGCTCCGCTGTGGTTACCTGGGACGAGCCCCACTTCAGCGATAACATCGGTGTGACCAAGATCTATGAGCGCAATGGCCATCGCTCGGGTACAACTCTGCTCTGGGGCACCTACGACATCACCTATATTGCATCCGATGCTGCTGGCAACACAGCTTCATGCAGCTTCAAGGTTTCCCTGCTAAGTAAGTATACTGTTGCAAACCAATTAGTAGTTCAGTACAAGAAAGAGCAAGAAGAAAGAAAGAAATCATTTATATCTCGTTTTGTGCTAGTTACCAATTAGTCATGTCTAACTATTTCATGTCTGCTTCTTTGCCAGCTGAATTCTGCCCACCTCTGGCTGATCCCGTGGGAGGCTCTCAGGTCTGCAAAGACTGGGGCGCAGGTGGTCAGTTCAAGGTATGTGAAATTGCTTGCAACAGTGGACTACGCTTCTCTGAGCCAGTACCAGAGTTCTACACTTGTGGAGCTGAGGGCTTCTGGCGTCCCACACGCGAACCCTCAATGCCATTGGTCTATCCATCCTGCTCACCGTCTAAGCCGGCACAGCGTGTGTTCCGCATCAAAATGCTCTTCCCATCGGATGTGCTGTGCAACAAGGCCGGCCAGGCTGTGCTGCGCCAGAAGGTCACCAACTCGGTAAATGCCCTGAACAGAGACTGGAACTTCTGCTCGTATGCTATTGAGGGTACAAGGTAAATTGTGGACAACAATGACACTGCTATCTCCTTTACTAAATATTTACCAAATCGGTTTACAGGGAATGCAAGGATATCCAAATCGATGTCAAGTGTGATCATTATCGTGCCGCACAAAACAATCGCGTGCGTCGACAGGTCAAGGATGGTGGTGTCTATGTAATGGAAGCGGAGCTGCCAGTTGTCAAGTAAGTTGTCCAGAATGTGATCCCTGAAGCCATTGCACATAGTAGGACTGCGGTCCAGCATGATTTGATTATACGTCTCTGTGTACTCTGTGTTCTATGTATATGTATGTATATGTGTTCGTTAACCCAATTTCTAGCGAGGATGACGAGCTGGCGCTGACGAGTCGCCAGGGACGCCAACAAACTGGCGGCGATACATACACTCTGGAAATAGCCTTCCCGGCTGTTAAGTATGTCAAGCATCTCATGCGTTCATTATAGCGTTCAATTGCACCCGATATCCAGAATTCTGCACCCCAGTACTGCTACTTCATTCACTCAACTGTCTCAGACTAAATCATCCACCAAATCCAAACCAATCACCATGCAATTGCTATGACTAATGCTTCCAGCTAACCCCACATGTTACATATGTTTTGTTTTTGTGCTAACCCAACTGATTAAACTATGCAACAACAAATTTTATCTAAAACGAGCCGATGGCTTTACTAATGACGCCTTGAAAATCAAATTCAACATTCAATATATTTAATTAAATGGTATTGTTTTTAAGTTTGCCTTCCAAAAGTTTACATGTCTTACTATATCTCAGGGTTATCCCTATCCGACAATTAACTTTTCATTCTCTAAATATGTCCGATCAATCAGAAGGCAAATCAAAAAGTTACACATTATTCAATAACAACTCATTTGAATGATGGTTTTTTAAGCACAAATTTGTTGATTGGAAAAATACAATGGCTGTTTTGGACTATTTTTATTTTTATTGTTATTTAACATACAAATGTTAACACAATATTAATTATTATTATTCTTTCCCATCCTTAGCGATCCAGTGATACATACATCGACCGGTGAGCGGTCCAATGTCAAGCAGCTGCTCGAGAAGTTGATCCTAGAGGATGATCAATTTGCCGTACAAGAAATTCTGCCCAACACAGTACCCGATCCGGCATCCCTTGAGTTGGGCTCCGAATATGCCTGTCCCGCTGGACAGGTTGTTATGATTCCTGACTGTGTGCCCTGCTCCATTGGCACGTTCTACGATGGTGCAAACAAAACGTGCATTGCCTGCGCCCGGGGTAGCTATCAGTCCGAGGCTGGTCAGCAGCAATGCAGCAAGTGTCCAACCATTGCGGGACGTCCAGGTGTAACAGCTGGTCCCGGTGCGCGCTCCGCAGCTGACTGCAAGGAACGCTGCCCGGCTGGCAAGTATTTCGATGCGGAAACTGGTCTGTGCCGTTCCTGCGGCCATGGCTTCTATCAGGCGAACGAAGGCGCCTTTAGCTGCGATCTATGCGGTCTTGGCCAGACGACACGCTCCACTGAGGCTACCTCACGCAAGGAGTGTCGCGACGAATGCAGCTCTGGCCAACAGCTGGGAGCCGATGGACGCTGTGAGCCATGTCCACGTGGCACCTATCGTCTGCAGGGTGTGCAGCCATCATGTGCCGCCTGTCCATTGGGTCGCACCACTCCCAAGGTGGGCGCCAGCTCGGTGGAGGAGTGCACACTACCAGTCTGCTCACCTGGAACCTATCTCAATGCCACTCAGAACATGTGCATCGAGTGCCGAAAGGGCTTCTATCAATCCGAATCACAGCAAACCACGTGCATTCAGTGTCCACCCAATCACAGCACCAAGATCACTGGCGCCACCTCCAAGAGCGAGTGCACCAATCCGTGCGAGCATATTGCCGAGGGCAAGCCCCATTGCGACATTAATGCCTATTGTATTATGGTACCGGACCCTTCGGACTTCAAGTGCGAATGCAAGCCGGGCTTCAATGGCACTGGTATGGTCTGCACCGACGTCTGTGACGGTCACTGCGAGAACTCAGGCACTTGTGTCAAGGATTTGAAGGGTACGCCGTCCTGCCGCTGTGTGGGATCTTTCACCGGACCACATTGCGCTGAGCGATCGGAGTTTGCATATATTGCCGGTGGCATTGCTGGCGCTGTGATCTTCATCATTATCATTGTGCTGCTCATCTGGATGATTTGTGTGCGCTCCACAAAACGCAGGGATCCAAAGAAGATGCTGACGCCAGCCATCGATCAGACTGGTTCCCAGGTGAACTTCTACTATGGTGCACACACGCCATATGCGGAATCGATTGCACCATCGCACCACAGCACCTATGCCCATTACTATGACGATGAGGAGGATGGTTGGGAGATGCCAAACTTCTACAACGAAACCTATATGAAAGACGGTAAGCAAGATAAAATCTTATTAATAGTACTATTTTTATTTTGAAGTGTAACTTATACCAACCAATTCCTTTTATCTCGCTGCTTGCAGGTCTACATGGTGGCAAGATGAGCACATTGGCCCGGTCCAATGCATCGCTCTACGGAACAAAAGAAGACTTATACGATCGACTGAAACGTCACGCCTACACGGGCAAGAAAGGTAAGTTCTTCAGAATCAATATTAATAATCGTAATCAACTTACTAATTATGTTTTCCAACTTGCAGAAAAGAGTGACAGTGATAGTGAAGTGCAGTAAACCATCAGCGAAATATACAAATAATTTAAACATATGAATAACTTTAAAAAAGCTGCTTTAATGTAAAATGTGGTCATAAATGTATAGCACTGCAACGAGGCAAAATTTGAACACTGCCACAATAAAATACTCATTAAAAGCTTCATTTGAAAGCTTTGCATTGAATCGCAGTAATCTCGAGCTACATATCCTTAGAACTTTATTGCTGTTTTAATTACGTGGCTTAATGCAAAGCTTGAAATAAACGAAAAGCTGCTTTATGAAAAGAGAAATCTTAAGAAATAGTAACTTCAACATGTGCTCTTTAAATATGAAAACTAAACAGAAATTAAGTCGAACTTATGCATATAATATGAGTATAATAAAAATAAAAAGAATTGTTTTAATTATAAGTATTATTTACCTATACGCACGCAAATACATTAATAATATATAAACTACCTTCGCTTAGAAGGTATGCAAAGAGAGAAAGCGTCAAATTGCAATATATTTTCCAAACTTGTTGAAAAATTCGCGAGTGCTGTAAAAAGCAAATCAAATATAGTCGTTATTTTGTAATTTAAATAAAGCAAATTAATTTGTAATTTTATAATATCTTTTGTATAACTGTACAAAAGAACCAAGTAAATAATAAAAGCAAAAGCTTATGTTTATATATACATTTTATTCAATCACACTAAATAATTTCCCAAACAGGGCGGCACATAAACTGACAGTTTATGTGTCTGCGGTGCTATTATAATTGTAACAAGCCAAGGAGCGTGGCAAGCTAAGTGCAACAATCATGCGAGTTTTCCGTTGGACCGTTATTATTATGATTACAAATTTAATAAAAACTTGACAGCCCTGACCATCTAGTTTATTGGCACCTAAAAGTATGCAACAGTTTTGCTCACGAATGAAAATTATCTATCCCAACAGTACTCAAACGCTCGACAGAAATATAGGTATGAATATAGAAATTTATCTATAAAATTTGAATAAATTCTCTTTGAAGAAATACTAGTGTGGCATGGAAAATTACCTGCTTAATTTATTGTGCAAGTACTAAAATGTATTTAATCTCAATTTGTATTTAATCAAAATTCTCTGTATATTCAATGCATTTGTTTACAATGACTTCACTTTCACGGAATTTGTTCGTTGTCTAGTGGGATAATCGTCGGCGGATTATTTGATAATGATCGGTAGCCTGTGCAGCCATAATCAAAATCGCCAGGGACAGCGGTAAGGTGAAGGAGCCAATTATGAGGTTCTCATTCCGGTAATACGTTGGTTTGGAAACAACGCTCAGACCCAGTAGTGTTCCCTTGGCAAACAAGTAAATGGAATGCTCGATCGATGTCCAGATCAGCATGCCGAACTCCAATAGAACGATAGCCACCACAGTCTCTACCATATATTGAAAGCCCGCTGACATATCGTTGAAGCGAAGGGGAATTATGCGGTTATCATATATAATATCCAGGAGTGCAACGCCTACGATCGCTGTGGATATTGCTGGACCGGGTGTTCCTAGCCTTGACTGTGGTGTTATATAGAAGATAAAGCGGATCATGAGATGCACGAGGCCGGCTAGAAACACGGATTCACTAGAGGCCATTATTAATTAAAATAAAAACACAAACAACTTTCAATTTTCTCCAAAATAATTTTAAATATATTTTAAAAATTGTAACGTTGACATAATATTACAAAGATAGCTACATTTTAAAATTACATGTCAAAGCACCCTCGAATTACACCAAGCTCTAACCAAACTGAATCAATATGTACTATAAGATGAAATCTGCAAAGTGTAATTAATACTAATATTGAAATAACAGGTTTATGAAATGAGAGGGTTTTGACGCATTTTTATTTATTAAGTTTTGTGGGATGTGACTTTGTACCCTGCGAGTTTTGTAGTGTCTTAGTGATATTTTAATGAATCGGCGATTTTTGTGCTTTATACAATAAATGCAAATCGATTTTGTTACATAAATCGCACATATACACGCTCTTCAATTTGTTGTTGTTTAGAGTACTCTAAAAAAGATATTACGCCGACAATGCCCTAGTCCTTATGAAAGTAATAAACCAAACCGACGGCCATGCCACATAATAGTATAGGATAGCTCAGTTTAAGGATGCTTTTGCTGCAAATAAATGTCAACAGCGACTGTAAGAGGCCATTTTTGCTTGTCCATTCAGATTCATTATCGGGAATTATCTCCAACCGCTCCTTATCGGTGTCAGCTAGAACAAATTCACCTTCGGGGTGCTGCACAAGATTCGTCTCGCTGTTCGGCTGGAGCAGCTTATGCAGCATTTGAATGTTATTCTCCGCTTCAAGGAGTTGCTCCATTCGCACATACTTTCGCTCACGTGGCGTAAGAATGCTGTTGGAGAGTTTCTCAATCTGATCAATCGGTTCAATCAAGTCCACGAATTGTTCTTTCGGTTCCGGATGCTTCGCCAGCTTCTCCGTTAGTTCCGCCGAAAGTTTATGCGGCAACATCTTTAGCAACTCATGTGGCGGCTCTTTTACCAGCTCTTGCGGGATCTCCTCTGATACCTCCTCAGGCACTTCTTCCACCAGCTCCACCGTCGGCTCCACTTGCAGCTCCTCCTGCAGTGGCATTTGCTCAATCTCATGTTCGACTATCTGTTCAACTTCCAAATTCAGATGCTTCCCCAGCTCAAGCTTTATCTGCTCCTCCAGTATCTGAGCATTCAATTCAACATCCGCTTCCATTTCGGCCACTGCAAGTTGCAGGACTCTGAGAGTCTGCTCCTCTGCCGCCTTCAATTCCAGTAAACTTTCACTTTGCGGAAGTGTCTCAGTGCTGCAATGCAGTTGAGACGTTGAGCTATCCGAATCACGTGACAGCAATTCAATGATTAATTCATCGTCCTTTGCAGTTGAGAAGTCCATTTGGACACCCGAATCATTGCATGTGTAAACCAGAGTACTGCTGCTGTTGTAACTTTCGTCAAGTTTGCTCTTGCTCTGCAATGACTTCATCAGGCGGATGTATTTTCGAGTGCTTCTGTGGATGCAGCACCCGCTCCTGTCCAAGCGTACGGGCTCTGGAATTTTCGTCGGTATCTTAGTATTACGGAATTCGATAATGTTGTATGTGTCATCTATTGCATCCTTCACATTTGCATCCGGTGGCTGACTGACTTGCACATCACAACTGAACATCATAATTGCCTGATCGGAAATTCGATTGCCATCAATTGGTTTTGATTTTGCGGTTTTACTTACCCTGCACTATTTATTGCAAGACTGACAATTTCAGATTAAGGAAGCAAGACTATTTTTTTATTATTGTTTTGTCGAAAAATTACGTTTGGTAAAATGTTTTAAATTTAGGCCTGCACTGCTTTTTGTTCAATGTGTACAAAGTCATTGTGACAGATATTAACAATAATCACTCTGCCTACCCTGATGCCTACTACTATTGAACATCAACTGTTTGATATTATCAATTAGAGCTCGTGATGCCTTCGAAGATATTATTGAGATAATACTTGTAAGATCTCTAACGTTGCCTATAGTTAAATTATCTGTCACAATGAAAATTACATAAAAGGTTTTTGTTGTTTGTTTTTGATATATGTAAGGAAAAATTTATCCAAAAAAAACACTCTTTTGTATTATTATGTATTTTCCATTTATTGTATTAAACATAGATAGACGCGTCTGGGCGACTTAATAAATAAGAGCTTAGTTAATTTTGTTAAGATTTATGGCAGTTACATTTGCCTGCTTCGAAAGCTGGGCCTAAAACGAAATGCAGCAACAACGACCGGATTGCAATGCTTAGTTTTCCAGTTCCACCTTCAGCTTCAGATGTGTGGGCAACTCATTGTAGATGAGGGGCGTTAGGCGTGCTATGGTATAAGGCGAAATGGTTGATGAGCTTGCGAGATGGCCAAGCCAGATGCCAAAGGGCTACTCACTGTTGCATTTGTATACCAGATCCGACCATATAATCATCTCCTGTGAGAAGCAAAAAACGCCCAAACGTCCGCCCTTGAGGGTGAGTGTGGCATCATAGACGTTGTGCGAATCCAGTATCAAACGTTCGCCCTCAAATATGCTAAAGAGGAAGCCAGATGTGTTCAGCTGAAATGTACAACAAAAGGCATTTCGCACTTACCGCAACCGGATGAGTCCAATGACAGGTCGATGGACCAGGGACCAGCGATATGATGTCTTCTCTTTCCAGCCCGCATTTAGCGGATCCCTCCACAGCAGTTTTGCCTGTCCGGGCGTATCGCCGGCATGCCACAAGCTGTTGCGCAGCATGGACCCTGGTCCAGTATTACTATCAATCAACTTGATCTGCACACCTGGCTCGGCGGAGGCACGGAAGGGCGACGATTGCCAATAGGTTTGTGTGCCCTTCTTCCACTGCACCACGTAGAATTTGCGATTGCTTTGATAGCTGAATATGAAGCCCACATAATCATCGTCCGTATCATCGTTGACATAGAAAGTGCCCTCGAAATCGACCCCACCAAATGAATCACTGCCCACCACCAGTCCCGGATCGGAGTTTAGAGTTTGTATTATTTCCGAACCATTTGCGTGCACCTCCCAATTGGGATCCAGCTGTGCATCACCCTCCGGATCTAATATAACCGAACGTATTGTGCGAAAATCAGTGCGATGTATCATGGAATTATTTGGACAGTTGTCGATGATGTTGGGTGTGCCATCCTCATCCTCATCATCCTCACAAAGGTCACCCTTGCCATTGCGATTCAGATCCAATTGGTCAGAGTTTCTGGCCAGTGGACAGTTGTCTCTGTAATTGGGCACACCATCGCCGTCCATGTCATCGTCACAGGCATCGCCCTTGCCATCGGCATCCGTGTCCAGTTGATCTGAATTGCTGACCATTGGACAATTATCCTCTGAGTCCTGTATACCATCATCATCACCATCAATGTCACTGTCGCAGGCATCACCCACCAGATCCATGTCACGATCCTCCTGCGCCGGATTTGGAATTGTGGGACAATTGTCGCACACATCTCCCACACCATCGTTATCCATATCGGACTGATTTGGATTGCGAAGCAGTGGACAATTATCATACTGATTCAGCATCGAATCATTATCCATATCATCATCACACTCATTGCCCAACCCATCCTCATCCGAGTCCAGTTGCCTGCGATTCGAAATAAAAATACAATTGTCACAGGCATCGCCAACACCATCGTGATCCGAGTCAATCTGATCGCTGTTGTACGCAAACGGGCAATTGTCCTTGCTGTTGAGCACTTGATCGCTATCTGCATCCTCGTCGCAGCCATCGCCAATGCCATCCAAATCAGCATCCTCCTGTCCCGAATTGGGCAAATCTGGACAGTTATCGCGGCGACAGTGCGGCTCCGCACAGTTAAGTGACTCATCCGGCCAGCCATCCAGGTCACGATCCCTACCACAGATCCTTCCATTACCCGCCCAACCAACGCTGCAGCGGCACTGATAGTGATAGTTATCTATTGGCACACATTCAGCATTTCTTGCGCAGATGCTGCCATCGGGACAGAGATCCGCTATAGACAGACAGCTAAAGGTGCCATTGGCCACATAACCATCATGACACTGGCATCGGTAGGTGCCCTAATTAATACACGATTAGTAAGAACAATATGTGCAAATCATTTAGTTGGCTTACAATGGTATTGTGACAGCTTGAATGTTCTGGACATCTAAAGAAGCCCATCTTGCATTCGTCTATGTCCAGGCAAGTTTGCTTCTGAAAGCCCACAGCTAGATAGTCAGCTGAATAACCTAATAATGGCACACATATCATGAGCAAATGTAAGAAAAAGTATTTATCTCTATTAGTTTACCATGAGCATGAATGCCATCAAATCCGGGCGGACAGGGGCCACAGCGGAAGCCTGGATTGAGATTCTTGCAAATGGCTATTTCATCGCAGGGCTGATAGACGGCACACTCGTCCACATCGTGGCAGGTGGTGCGATTGTTTTTCTGGCCACGTGGACAGGAGATGCACTGAAAGTAAGGTGGAAAGCCCAACTGAATGCACTCAACACCTGGTAAGGAAGTGGTTCAAATTATAAACGACAACTAAATGAGTTAATGCTTATTGTGTAATGAGCCTAAAAACCAATAAAATATGTTAGATACAGAAAAGTGAAATATGCTAGAAATATGATTAGTAAATGAGTTTACATATTGAAACCGCCACTTAAATGTACTTATTTTGATTATTCAGCCAGCCCAAGATTGACCACAAAACATAATTCGAGGATTTGAACGTAAACTCTTACAAAGCATGACCAGAAAATGATAGTGAATAAATATGAAGCGCAATGGAATTGAATAATAAGAGAAATAGATAGATGACAGATGATTTTGATAGGTAAAATATAAAAGAAATGGGAAAATTTAAAATTTTATTTACCAAAAATGTATCCGAAACGCAGACCAGTGAGCTATTCAAAACTTTTTAAGTTCGGCTGTAGCTCAAATTAAACAACGTTATTTTGATTTGTTTTTGAAAGAATATCGTATAATTTTTATTCACAATTCATTTTAGGCAATACAGAGAGGGGAAAACCATATTTTCGTTATAAACTCTTATAAGCTCCACTTTCTGGGCATTTTAGGTTGGTTTTTCTTTTTCAAACAGGATGATGAGTATAGTATTATTAAAGCATTTACTAAGAACTTATTTTTTGTATAGTTTATTTATTTAATTTATTTTGTAATTGCTGTAAGTACGTGTGAATTATTATTACAGGGCGAAAAAGTTGCTAATACTTTTGAATTATTTCGATTGCCATTCGTAGAGCTTACAACTTATGACTAATTATAAGTGATTTATTATGTGCTCTCTTTCTAAATAAGTTGAATTTATAATTAAATTCTACTGCTGTGCTCTGATTCAGTTCGTTACAACCGAGTATTTGCGTGCTGTGTACTGGCTCTGCCTCTGATAGTGCTGCACATTATGTGTGGGCATTAAAATGTTGCCTAGTAATGAGAATTGTTTATGCATTAATATTGTATAATAAAACATTGGTTATTTGTGTCATTCCGCTAAGCAAATCCACCCACTACCTACAGCTTTGTGCTTTTGCCGAATTCAATTAGCCAACCACTGACTTATAAGGCACGACATACCACAACACGCCTCAATGATGACTAAGTACCTGACCTCCAACTCTTTTTCTGTCCGGTTCTGTGCCTGCCCTCTAATTAGCAGCCTTGTTTCACACATATATTGAAAATTGCTCGGGCACCCTATAATTTTCAATCAAAAGGGTTCAGCGTTGCTCGGAGTTCTCTAAATTCGTCCGGACTGTGCATTAATAAATCAAACAATCGTGTGAATCGTATACTCTACCAATCAATTGGCCAGGTATATACATCTATTTAAAACGTACATTTCTCCGATTTTCAAAGATACACAAGTTTATCAGAATTTACCGTTCATTCTTTATTTAATTAACTACAATTATGCAAACTGTTTAAAAAAAACATTGACAAAACTAAGACAATTTTCAGACAGCGAATTAAATGTTTGTGTTGCTGTATTTAAAATACAAATATTTCATATCAATTTTACTTAAAAATCACTCTGTATTGAAAATATTATAGGCTAATGCTAATTCCAATTAATATTAAAATTGTTCTCATCCATAACTAAACGTCTAGTATATCTAAAGAACCCACACTGTTCACTAAGGTTCAGGGCAAGACATCTTCAAATTAGCCATAAAAAAGTTAAAAACAAAACGTGGCCCCAAAACTCCACTTGAAACTTAAACTAATCAAAAAGTCAAACAGGCCGCAAAGAAGGAAAAAAAAGAACCCAGTGCATATACCACATTGTTGTTGTTGTTTATGTCGTTGTGGCTGTTGTTGTGTTTGTGTTTTGTTGACTTACCTGAGGGGCATGGTGTGTCCAGACAAGGATTACGTATCGAACATGTGCGTCCATCACCTTCATAGCCAACCGGACAGGAGTCACACTGGGCACCGTTCACAGTATCGTGACACTGAACGCCTCTGCAAAACATTGGAATGAGTTAAGTTGAGTTCAGTATTGAGTATAGAGTATAGAGTTAAATGTTGATGGGCTTATTTTTGTTTGTGGCCACATACGTATGTATTGTTTATTATTATTAATACTGACAAGCAGGAACAAATATACAACAAAAGATTGTAGAAAACGGAAAACAGCATACACAAAGCTAAATTTATTAATGATGTTCGCTGCATGAGCATACACAAAAGGCAACTAGAAAGAGAGACAACATTGAAAAGGTTACAGTTGGGACCCCTTCTCGGACCCCGTCTCGGACCCTCTTGGGCACAAAAGCACCGACAAAGCGCAATCGCCACATACGGCACACGTGTTTGGTCTTATGTTTTGGGCTTGGGATGGTTTTTGGGATATGCACAGGAAGAAGAAGATGGGAGACAGCCCAATCCCGAAAGAAAACAAATTACAATTACAAGAAAATGTTATTAAAACCCGTTGAGGCAAAATAAATAAAAGAAGACACTGTATGCATGTCGCTTGCTTGACTGTAGGAGTATGTCCATGTCCAAATGGCCCATGGCCAAAAAAAAGTGCAGTTACATGCTGAATGGCATGTAAATTTCTCTTTATGCTCTGGCGAGTGTGGGATTCGCTTATGGCTACCATATAACATTTACATATCATGGCATGGACATTAGTTACTATTCAGGTTATGGTTAGCCCAACTACAAAAGCTGCGTAACGCCGCTGCCGAGAGTTCAAAACTCTCCCAGGACATAACTCATGGCAATCGCTCCACGCGACCATATTCAAGGAAGTCCATCACTCCAGCGGACATCCAACCTGCAACTACTGCGCCCAACTGACCCAGAAGCCATTTCTTGCCATATTTTATGGCAAAATCTACAATGCGTTGAGTTAAAGAAAACAAATGACGTACTCTACGATCATGTGGGCAGACTCAGAGCCTCAGTGTGTCGAAGTCCACGACCAAGTCAAATTCAAAGCCCTTACTGGTCACATTCTGTTTGAAAAGTAACTCAGAAGTAGGAAGTAATTTTTAAAAAAAGTCAAGACTTTTGTTATGGGCTAAACAGTTTTTTGAATACCCTTTTATTTTAAATGAAGAACAGTTTAACGTGTCTTGTTTTCACAAGTTCAAATCAATCAATAATCAAGTTATATTCTTTATTTAATGTTGTTTTTGAATTGTTGTTAAACATATCATTATTTTTTCTCTATGAACCAATTGTAATAAGATAAGGATTGATTTTTCTTTCAATCACAACGAATCTGTAATTATAATAAAGAATTCAACTCTGATACAATTTATAATTAACAAGTACTGCAACCCACTACATAACATTTCTGCCAAATAGGTAAGTCTTGAACAACAGCTCACACTCTCTATATGGATGATAATTATAAGAATTCCATCTTGTCATAACCCACGTCAAATTCCTTATACTCCGAGCAGGGGACCAGCTACATACTGCGAATGTGTATAAACTAGTAGATGAACTGTGTAAAACTGAGGCGCAAATGTATTCGAGGGTTGTTGTTTCAGTGTGGTTGGAAGAGTTTGTGCTGTCAGTTTGGTGGATTCATGAGACGCAGCTGCGGCATATTCATTGGTGGGCAACAACACTTGTCAAGTGTGTGTGCGACCGTCAATATTTTGGTAGAAGCATTTGGCGGCAACGCGCAATTAGCAAAAAGTGTTAAGTACTTAAGTGGCAACTGAGCCAAGCTGAGGCGGTGCTGTTGCTGTCCATGTTCGCGTCCATGTCCAAGACAAAAAGTGAGAGAGACACAGAAAAAGAGACATCTACACGATCAAAAATAAGAAAAAATGTTGCGTAGGGGTTTTCGCTTTCTGGCCATGTTCGCCAGGCTGTGTTCGCCGCGTCAGCCACTTTGCGCTTTTCTGCTTTGTTTCAGTTCAGTCGACCATATTGTCTTGGATCCCGGCGATGGCATCGGCGTCGTTTGAGTGCTGGGAAAATAGCCAGCGAAGCACATCGAGGAACGCATTAGCATTTCTGCCACTACCTTCTAGCAGTTAGCATGACGAACCCACTTGCCATGCGCCTTTCCTCTTGCTGTTGTTGCCCGTTCTTTTTATTAACCACGCATTCATAATTCATAATTCCAATTTGCTGCCTGGACCAGCCAAAAGGCTGCCTGCCAAAGAGCTATCCAGCAGCCGTTGTCTTCTTGCTACCTCTGCCCCAGCCGCCTGGGCTCAAGTCCAGTTCAAACACTTTGCTCGGCACCACCCAAAAGACAAAAAACCTTTGGACGCGGACGTGAACCTTGGACTGCAAACTGAGTAATGTGTGAACATGGATTTGAAGCATACAAAATGCTTTTAGGCTCTGATCGCAGTATGCGGAATGAGCTACAAAATGCTATGGCATGAAGGATGATTAAGTCCCGTAAATGCTAAAATATCTAACTGAAATCGTAAGACTACTGTATATACATTAAATTGAATTTTAAATTGCTTCCTTAATAATATAAGGTATTCTATGTCAACGTTATATTTCTGTGTTGTTGTTGAAGAATATTATACGAGTACTAGTAGTTTTGATGGGTAAAACAATTGTCTCCAAATACTTTTCTTACAATCATAAAAATGTTTCTTTGCTACCAAATTTTGTATAAAATAAATTTGAAATATTATATCAAAATGTTTGTAAAACAAAAATAAATGAGGAAACGTTAAATGACCATAGATTTCATTAAAAATAAAAAGCATACCTCCTTATTCATGCTGTGATCAATCACAGCCTTCAGTTCACACTTTACAATCTTATTTCGCAGCCCATTTAAATCTGTGCAAGCTATTTCTCATATGCTGATGATAGATTTGGTATCCATTTGGAAACCATGATGAACCCATTTCTTTGCCAAATCACTTTTTCCATAGTGCCTAACTCTCTATCGTTACTCGCAGCGTGGCGAAACTTATCTATTATTGGAGAAGCTAAGATCGCTGCCCGCATTTATCCCACCCAAATTGCTTCTAATGGTAGCGCATGCCATGCAAATGCATACCACTTACTCCAAACAACAGGAACACTTGGCTCTCCCTTAAAGGAGTTGGTGCATCCAGCAACAACAACAACGACCATATGGCGCACGCTCTGGACAAACTACAACTAACTGCCATAAAGCGGCGTTTATTTTGCCACAGGCCACTTATCTGCGAGGTTGGCAGTAGGTTGGCTGTTGGCTGCTGGCTCCAGCTACAGCTACAGCTTTAGCTCAAGCTGCAACTTGGTCTCGACTTGGTCTTGACTGGGCTTGTTTTTGTTTTCATTGCTGAGCCTGCACACGGCGGACGACGGGCATCGAACCAAGGCAGCCAGCCAGAAAGCAGCCAGAGCCAGAGCCAGTTGGCTATTAATTTGAATTCAAGCAGTCAAATGCTGCCTCAGTCCCGGCGACACAGTCAACAGTCAACAACAACAACGACAACGACAACAACGTCAACGTTGGAATCAATGGCTCCACTTTTGCGGCGCGGCTGTTGCTTTTTTCGGTGCGTAGGCGAACTCGATTCGCGGCTGAGATATGCGTTCCACCGAACTTTGATGTTGCTGTGAACCAGCTAACTCTATCCACTGTCTCTCTGCCACCTCCTCTCCACATTATTTCTCTCTTTCAGTTCACTCTGTTCACTCATTGTGTATCTGCTTTTACCAGTCAATGTTTGCTGTAAACGTTTTGTTTCGCCCAGGCCTCAGAATCTGTGGGAAAGTTGCCATAATCAAATGGAATTCTGTTTTTGGAATTGTTCACAACATGTGTATACACATGTTGCATCTGGAATCGGATTCGGAATACTCTCCATCGCCATCGCCAACTCTATCTGTATCTGTAAATCTCAATCTCCGTCTAAGATAGGTAATATAATCTCTGTCGACTGCAGCTTGATTGCATTGCTGATTATTTCATCATACGCATAATTTAAATTGAACAACAGCATCAGAAAATTGTGCGTTGAAAGGCAGTGAAACTTTTGACGGCAGGCTATGCAGCTTAGGGCTATGATTATAATTGGGTTTTTTAGTTAGGGTCAGATTTTGATTTAGTAGGACTGTGCCTTTTTTTGAAATGGAAAGTGTGACTTAAGTAGTTGAGTTTCATTTTAATCGGAGACTAGCTTCGATCATTTTTGAACAATTTACAGAGATTTCATAAAGGTAAAGTAATATTTAAAATATATTAAGTGTATTTAATAAAATGAAAGTTCTATGTTGCTTAGATGAATGTTAATGTTTAGCAAATAAAATTATGGTTTTTCAGTTTTTTAACAAGTGGTTCGAGTTTGGAACTCAATCATTAAAACACTTTTGTATACGTCTGAAGATGTTGCATGTCAAAGGTTTGGTACGGGTCAAAGATCAAAATTGTATACAAATAAATAGTGTAACTCGTTTATATAGAAAACAGTATTTAATCAACGATATGGTCTAATATTGAAGTAATAATACGACATCTGATTTATTTCTTGTGTAACCAAGCAACGCACCGCTCTTAATACAAATGTATATTTAGCTTTTCACACTTCAAATTGATCTTAATAGGCTCTCCATATAAATATATATTTAACATATTCACACTTTCTAAATGCCATCAATAGGCATTATTAAAGCTTTATGCTTGTAAGCACGCATGTATTCAAATATTTAATTTTTGTTATGTACTACTTTGCACTGGCTGCCCTAGTAAATTTAGAGTCACTTAGTTGTTCAACTCTAACTAGATGTTTACAATGGGCAACTCAATTTTATTATTTTCAATTTAAGCACAATGGTCAAACCTTTATAAAAAAAAAAAACTCCATGATAGCAGCGCTCAACAAAGGATCAACAGGTGTGCATGTCATTAGCGCAAGTTTTATGGACTTTTAATAGAATTGATCTTAACATTCAACTCGGCTCTAAAGTCAAACAAACAAAGCGCTGACCATGTTAAACTATGACGCCGCTACGAATAACATCTCGAGGGTTCTAAATTAAAATGATGGTCCAGTGTAGTGGCCATTGTATGTGTGTGTTGGGTGTTTTTTCTTATTTTATTTTTATTTTTTTTTTGGGATTTTGAACGTTAGCTTACCACACGCATTGGCCACATTTCATCGATAATGAAAGATGACAGTAACGAGACGATGGCGTTGCTCGACGTTGCTGACAACATTTAAAACAATTTTATGCAAATTAAAATACGGTCAGCCAGGGCGCACCTTCCACCAAAAGAGATCCCTGGCCTAGACACCTACAATACACAAACACACACACACCACACACACACGTGTGTGTGTGTGTGTACTATTGTGGCCATTGGTTTGTCTGTTCTTGCCCGTTTTCAATAATTTACACAAATTTATGGCCGGACTGCCTTCCACTGCGCGTGGCCAGGCGCTCACTTGTCGGGTCTCACATTTCACAGAGTGGCCTACGGAACCGAAATCACTTTAAGTGTTTTGACACAATGAAGTCAGTCAGTTCTCAATGCTCCCTTCTCAATCCTCATACCAGATGTATCTGTGCGGGTTCCCTGCACATTTAACTAATTTATGCGGCAGTTTCAAGTGCCATTTGTGGTCCAGACCCCACAACTGACTGATTCCCCTTCTACAGCATCTTCAACATGCTTCATTGTATTATTGCAAAGGTTTTGTTGCATTTTGTTTAACAATTTCTACCAAAAATATGCCCTTCGCTGACCGTTACTTGGCATGTTATAGTTTTGTTTAACATATTTATGGCATGTCTATTCTGATTTTCTAGAAGTTCTGGAATTTATGTATTTATTAGTCAATATTCGGTGACATTGCTGAGGGTCTGCGGTCATATGCATAATTAGTTGATTGAGTCTGACATTAATGGATCCAGTAATAAAGCCAAGCCAGAACTAGGTTTCCCTTCGGCCCTGGCGTTTTCTTCCGGCCCCAAAACAAAAAAAAAACAACAAAACAAAACTCCATATGGGCTGTGGGTGGTTTTACGACTCTGTTCCGCAAATGAAGCTATATGGTTTTTGTGTAGGTTATTTCATGTTTCCCTGTTGTGGTGGGCTACTTCCAGCTGTGCTTTGAAGTATTTATCAGCAGGTGATTTAATTGTCTTTCTTTCTCTAAACTGATATCACACTTCTAAGTCGACCGCAGCCGGCACTTTATATAGAGCCCTTGGACGTAAAAGCACCTTTCTAGGCCTTATTAATAAATACATATAATTATATATTATATTTTTGAAATATCATCTGTAAATCTATAAAGATATTTGAAAAACATGCAATACTCAAAAGCAAATATCTCAGACATTTCCTATCTCCTTCTCTCTCTAGCTATCCTAATATGGCTTTTTACTTCTCGGAACTTAGTACTTTATTACTTTTTTTCACTCTCTCTCTTTACTAAATTAACTACTAATAAAAACTCATTAATATGTAATAAACTCTACTTTCGTTTCGTTTAGCTAATTTCGTCTTTAAAAGCTTATTTTATATTGTTATTTAGCAGCACAGTTTTTGTATGGAAAAAACTTGTTAAATTTTAGCAAAGCTCAGTAGGAAGGCATTTGTGTAAAGTGATAAACTTGAATGACTTGGTGCTAAGTGGAGAAGCAAGATGTGATCTTAAGCTGACAAGGGATTACCCATTTTGCACATTTGGATTGGCATATCGAGAGACTGAGATCTAAGCGCTTGTCAAAAGGGTGAAGGATGCCTAGCATAAATATTCGCCTTAAGAATTTTCTATTTTATCTATGACTGCCAATAATAATCTTTCTATCCCCCTCTCTCTCTTTATATTTGCTTCTTTTGATTCACTAATCAGCAGTCTAAGTCAACTACTCCAAGGGGCCTGCATGGCTGGCATTGAATTGAAATCTGAATGGGTAACACTTATCAATCATAGATAGGAAAGCCTTTAGCTGTCTGAAGTGGCAGGCAAGAGCCGCTTGACTGCATCATTAAACTATAAACAACATCAAATTGCCATTAAGGCCATATGCAAATAATTGCAGACTCAGTGAAGAGAAACCCTTTGCGAAAGCGCCGAGCGACATTTTGCGTGAGGCGGCGCCTTTTATGCCCCAGGCGTCCATCTGCGTCAAGAGAACAGCATGACAAATACAATTAATATGGATGCATTGGATAGCCACGCCCTCGACGCCATTAAGGAACGTCGGATATGAGCATATAAAAGCCCATAAAACATACGAAAAAAAAGACGATTTTTGAAGTTAAATATTTCGTACAAAGCACTTACAGAAAACAGGGTCTGTCAGCACAGCTGACGCCCGGTTTGCAAGATTTGCCATCGCCAATGTAGCCGGCAGGACAACGGCCGCACCTTGGTCCCGAGGCGGTCTCATGGCAATCAACGCCTGTGGGCAGTAAGAGCAAGTAACGAGTTAAATTTAGAGTTGAATTTGGGTGTGTTTTGCTTTTGTGCGGTATGAGTCATATTGGTACTTACCAGGATAACAAGGATTCGCAGTGCGACAGTTGGGCTCAAGCCGTATGTGATTGTCCCCGCTGGGCTCTTTGCAGCCGGCACAATTCTCCAACAACACGCGCAAGTAGGCAATCTCCTGACGCTGGTGGGCGACGTCTTCACGCAGCAGCTTAACCAGTGCCAAAAGATCGCTCAGCGATCGTGCGAAGGCGTCTGGAACAATGAGCACAAAGCGCAAAAACCGTACAAAATTAAGACTTTTAAATAAAGCAACAATAATTCATGAGTCGCTGCGTACTTGCAACAGTATGTGTGTGTGTGTGTGTGTGTGAGTGTGTGTGTGTTAGAGTGTGTGGGAAGCATTTGGGTATCTGACAAGATTAAGGCCTAACCAATCCGAAAATCGCACTCATTTTGAGCGGCTTTCCTGATTGCAACCTAATCCGCTTTGTCGCTTGGACGACTTCAAGCCAAAGACCCAGTCACTGTGGTGCCTCAATATCCAGCTGCTAATGCGCTGCGCTTTAGCGCAGTTTAATGCGATGCGACAACAGAGCTGAGCACCCAACGCGAACTGTGCGCATTCAGAGATGCCCCATTCACGGTGAGTCACTGTTATTTACCACAATTATACATATGTATGTGAAACTACAAAATTGCTGAACAACGACGAGAGTTCAATGGTTGTTTTTGTCAGAGATTGATAAGATATATATATAACATCTTTTTTAACATAAAATATGTGTATTGATTGGGAACAACCAACAGACTTTTAAATATTATTGCAATAATTTAAACTAAAATTTACTTGTTAGTTATTTAGCTATATTTCAAGACAATAACAACACATGCAGTATTATCTACAACATAACACATTCACTGCGACTAATGAATAAATATTTCAATAAACTCTACACAATTATTTATCAAACTGATAGCTTATCCTCTTTGAAAATGACGCTAATAAACTTGCAGCTCATCTCTGAATCTCATATGTTGTCTGACGCCATGTTAGACACATGGAAACAACTAAACTAGTCCAATGTTTCAACGGTTCCAACTGTCTCTGTACATTCGGATTGTCCGTCCGACTGTCGGCTTGAGTGAGTTTTGTCAACATTGAAAAGGCCGCCGCCGCCGCCGTCGCTTCAACGCCCAAACGCATCCGTTCAAGCTGTGTATGAACATTGGATTGGGTTCGGGTTCGGGTTAGGGGCTCACACACGATCGGTGATCTTGTTTTGGTTACATTTCAGTTTTGTGGTGTACAACCTTCGTTTCTACATATATCTCGACGGCGTCATTCATTACGTTTGCCTTTGCGATTTATTTGCCGCCCGTCGTTTGTGTTTGTGTTTGTGTGTGTTTGAGTGGGTACAGAGCGTGCTACCAATTTGGTGTTCTGCACTGAGCTAGATAAATAATAATTATGCTGGGTCGACATCAGCCAACCACCAAACAGCACTCAACGTACCCAAAACGAGTGCACAAGTTATGCATGGGCTTTGGATCGGCTTTGGCATATCTTTCGGTTCATTAGTGTTGTCTTTTCTGTGGGCGCTATTCGCTCGTTTATCTCTCTCTCTCTGTCTCTCTGTCTCTCTCTCTCTCTCACTCTCCTCTCTGACGATTAGCGGCAACTTATTGGCGGATTGGCAGCAGAATGTGGGTACTTACATATACTATAATACTGATGCCAATGCCTTGTAATTAATTGGCAGCAGATTTATAAGGCATTATCGCATTAAGCGAAGACATTTATTTGTATGGAAATGAATTTTGAGCTTGACAGCAATGGCAAATCGAGAGGAATATAAACAGTATATCAAACAACTTAATAAAATCAGCTAAAGTTTAATTGCCACTGAATATAGTCAAAGTCATAGCGCAATAAGTTAGATACTTGTGAATTGCGCATTATTGAACTGATACATTCCTTCTTATATACCTTAACTTTTGTATATTTTCTGTAGGTCTTAATCAAAGTCACAAATCTCGACTAATATTTTAATTGCCAAGCTTTTCTAGTTACAGATTAAACGAGCTCTGTCCCACAAACACATCTATCAGTTTTTACTTAATTGAATTATGCGCCTTGACTGACATGAACGCCAACTGTTTCGGGCTAATAATTTCATCTAGGTAAAAATGATTTAATGACTACGCCTCATAGAGGCCACAGTCCCACCCAAAGGCTGTGGGCAACCCACTGAAGTCTCCAAGTCAACGCCCCAGACGACGAGTGTCGTCGACTGTTTAACGATAAGTGTGATTGGTAGCAAGAGGTTGAGTAGATCTGTTTGTTGCCTACCTTCACAATCGCCATGCAGGACGGGTATATCACCACGCTCCACATCGGTAGGTATTTCCTGCTTACGCTGATCAACGCCGTCCCGGGCCAGAGTTGGCTCATGATACCAATTGCTGCGAACATCGCGCTTCTTGTTCTTCTCTGAAAAATTGACAGAACACGGAGATGGTGGGCTGTAGAGCAGCCCACTGGGCAAACCTCTGACCGTCTTAACTTACCACGCTCGGTGATCTTGTTCCGCAGCATGCGACGATTGCCTCGACGATGCAGACCCTTCTGACAGTTGGCACGCTGCAGCGAGTGCTCCATGTCTGCATCAAAGTGCAGTGGATATTTTCGTTCCCTGAACTATAGAGAGTTGAAAGTGATGATCTATATTAATGCAATCGAAACGGACGCATTCAACACTTACCAGCTTGATAACTGGATCATCCATTTGCGTATAGAGCTTTGTCAGGCTCATGTCCATGTCGTGGGAGGTGCTCGGCTTACAGTCCACAAAGAGCGTGATGCGATTCTTGGAGAACTGCAGGGCCAGCGATCGTATGGTGCTCGTCTCATTGATGTTGGGTATCTCAAAGTTGCGTGACTCTGTCGCCCCATTGGCGCTGATGTCCAGCGTCACCCGCTGCTGCTTGCGATCGAGGAAGAAGGACATCTTATGCTTCAGCATGGGAAAGTCGATCATGAACAGTGCCTCAATGGATATATGCAACTTGCGTCGCGGTCTACCAGACAGAGGAATGCCATTAAAGTGTGTGCAACAACTTTCTAAACTTGTGCTAAGTGCTCTTCAAGGTTAGTTAATTTACCTTATGTGTCGCGTCGATATAACCACATCGCCCTTCCTGATATACTGTTCCAACTCGGCAGAGGCAACTGTGAGAGATTATTTAATTGTTTGTGGGTGAACGGATGAAGAGTTAGCTTATTTTTACTTTACAAATATATAAGTTTTGTCGTTAAAAGTCGTTCTTTATGTGATAGCCATATACACAAACTATATGTCTGTTTCTAAAAAGAAAACTTCTCATTCAGTCTTAAAACTATCTTTATACCTGATACAGCAAAACTTTTTAGTCACAAGGTTTATAAAGTGTCTAAAATATTGGCTAAAGAAAGATATAATTTTGTTTTTAGTTGGTCAATTAAATAGAGCGCAGCTGCCTTACTTATTTGTAATTCCTACAAGTGAATTGATGTTTACCAAAGTATATTTATATTTGTATCTGTGATAAACTTGCCCTAATATTGAATATACATCCTTAGATAAATGTTCAGCAATTTATCACTGTTCATTATGTCTCAATTTACAGGGGCATATTCTTTATCTATTATAAACATTAGATCAGATCTCACAAATTGCAAGCAAGAGCAGCTTGCTCCTGTCACAGTCTAGGCAAACTTCCGCTGTGCAAGTGATAGTTACAAAATATCAATTACTAAATCAACACAATATACAAAACCACTAAAAACTAAATCAAACAATGCACTGACCATGTTTACTAATCCCCACCAAGTGCTCTACTATTTGCTGGCAACTGGCAACTGGCAATCGGTTTTCGCGCCTGGCCAAGATTACAACACTTGGCGGTGTTTATTTTGGTCAGCGCTGGCTAATCCCGTCGCATGTTAACCCAAAAATGAAAAGAGACGGCAAACTAGAAAGCAAACACTGCACTGCATTTGCACAATCCAAATATGTAAAACCATGTCAAAAGAAATTTATCAAGAGACTAAAGAGTGAGGACTGCCGACTGAAGACTAGCCCATGCTCATGTGTAGAATTTCACGCATTTGTTCAGTTATTTGTCATGTGTAGGAGCAGTGGTTTGACAGGCGCATGTGAAGTGACCTTCACGATATCGTGCCACACTCGGTGTGGCTTTGGCTACACACAAGGCGATTGCTGAATTGCAATTGTACAATTGCAACTTGGTCAGCTCGTGATCGGGCAACGCCAACGCCATTTATGGCGATGGGAGGTCGACTCCATGCAACTGCCACAACTGCAACAACTGCAACAACTGCTGACAACGTCGTCGTTTTCTGATGTGTGCTTGTGGATTTGTGATTTACATAAATCGCTGTATGAGTTGATTTTGGGCGATGCCAACGTTATCCAACTGCCGTCCACCACTAACTGTCCGGCAAATATTTACTTGCTGCTATCGGCCATGTTTGTCCGTAACTGCAACGGTAAACACGACAACGGCACCTACCTGGATCCAGTGAGAGTGATGCAACCTCAACGAGTGCCAGCGCCAATACGGCCACGCCGATTAGCAGCACACGCAACCAATTCATTGCCCAGCGCTGTCTTCTTCCTCTGCTGCTTCTGCTTTGGCTTCTTCTGCGTATTCTTCTTCTTCAGCTGATTTGTGTTTGCGTCCGCTGTATTAAAAATAAAGTACATAAAAATAAGGAAGACAAAACTCAGTCGGTGGTTGTTTATTTAAGTTTAAAAATAAGATGCCATAAAATGCAGTGCGACTGCCCCATAAAATCGCATTCAAATAATAAATAAAATTCAAATTAAATTTCTTATAACGAGTAAAAAAAATGTGTCGTTTTTTGATGAAATGTTTGCGGCATTTTTCAGATTCTCAACAAGCACTGATCGTTAAAAATGTCTGCGCCTTGCTCTGATTTCGTGCCGGAAGTGTTGCTCCGATATCACCTAGACACAGAGCCACATATATTTCCCTATCTATGTATATCTTTCATCTATGCAGCCATCTGTGGGCGTAATAAAGCATTTGCAGCTTAAGTTTTTTTTTATTTTATATCTTTTTCCACTTTTGTTGGTTTTGAGTTGGCCGAGATTTATGTTGGATTTTTGCAATCATTCTTTCGTCGACTCGTGTTAGTTAAATAAATGTTTAGTTGATGTGTTTTTGGCATTTTTTGTTCTATGTTTCTTTTATTCTATTTCTTGGGCATGTGCTTTTTCAGGTGTTTGCCCAGCGGAAGCTGAATGAAAAAGTTTATGGACAAGGTGGAGATTTCTTTTATGGGATTTGAAAAATCTTTGAATTTGAATCTCTTGTGCGTATTTTAAAAATTAATAAAATATACAATGCATTACGCAGCTGAACAACATTGAAGAAACAATGGAATTGTATAATAAGGCAGTCAATTCCCTTATACATTTCAAATTTAAAAGACCAAAAGCATTTTCGAAACAGTAATTGAAAATTATATTGCGACAAGAACAACATTGTTAATAATATTAACAATATTTGTATTTGTAATACGCATTTATTAACATTTTACTAATTATACTATAATCTAAAAGCAAATAGTTTTGGATTAAAATCATAATTAATGAAATAACAGAGACACCAGCATCACCTAAATATATGGAACAAGTAGCTGTGTATAAGCTGATCTCTCACTTGGCCATCACATTTCAATTACAAGCCATAAATCCTGCAACCAACAAGGCAACTGTTTATCTTATTGCTCCATTACCACATTCACTGAACTTTCTCCACACTCTTCGCCTCCTGCACCAACTAAATTAACCCGTTGCCGTCAAGAGCTACCGTCAATTGAAGTAATTTGTTATCGGGCGCTTAAATCTCTAAGTGATCAAAGGCTCGAATGGAACAGCTTTATAACTTTGGCAGCTCACTAATAAATTGTTGAAAACAGAGAAGTTAACGATCAATTAAATAAAAGCAAATACCAGAAAAAAACCACTTGAGTAAATAAGTACACATTAATTGGCATTAGACATGCGGCAATCGTAAAAAGGAAAAAAAAAAAACAAAAAAAGAAACTGCATTTAAGTAGCCACAAACATTTGGATAACTGTCATAAATCTCTAGCCGGAGGATGCGCTATACAACAAATTGAAATCTAATAGATACATATCTTAGACTCTACCTGGCGCCCATTAGGCAATATTAATGTTTGAATAACACTAGAAATTGTGGCCAAGTTGCTAGCTGGAGTATCAACACGGCAGCAGCGCAGCTTCTTAACTTGGCTCAAAGGTGTCCCAGGAATGTAGTAACGGTCGGGCCAACAGCAATGTCGTTATGGTCTTACAAGCCAAGCGCGTTTCTGCCAATACTGGTCCAAAAACTTGTGAGTGACAGTTATGGATTTATAGTGGCAATAGAACTGTTGCCTTCTGACTCTGCAGCTGATCTCTACGTATTCTCTGTGGCTCTCTCTGTGATTGTGGCCAATTTGAGAGACGCTCACTGAGAATGTCACTGAGTCACAGAGGCACAAAACATATGCCATTTATGGTCGAAATCTCAACAGCCAGACTAAAAGCAGACTTCACCAGCTAACCAGTGTTGTACAAGCATTGGACTATCCCAGCCACTTCAACTGAGAGCTTTTTAAAGTAGTTTAAAGTTTTTATGTGCCAATTGACAGGGTTTATTAAGACTTGGAGCAATGTCCGTTATGTTTTTGTTTTGGTTTTTTTCGGGTTAGGTTTGAAGTTAGGTCCAGACAGGCTAGGAAATACTGTCGGCAGTATTCTGATATTGATGTCAAAATGTAGGCCAAGTTTGGACAAGGCATTATAAAAACTGAAATTATCTACATGACACACATAAAGTTCAACTTATAATTCTGCAGGAATTGAGTAAACCTGTACAGAGACCAGACTAGACATACACAAATGAATATAGAGTGTACCCAAATGCAGTACTATATTATTTGTTATACATTATTTATTATATATTATTTACTATATTATTTATTCCATAAAAATATAAGAAGAATAAAACAAATAATACAAAAATACGCGTTCAATTGGGAATAATAATATAATTATTAAAAAAATAATGTATTTTATTTTTACTATGGAAATAAAAAAATGTTGAATTCAGGTTATTTAAAGATATTATATACTTATTAGAGACTTAGAAAATAAGCGGCTTAATAGTTATAATGATACAGTACACCATTGTCCAGATCTTTTCATCATTTAATCTTTAAAAATTGATGTTAGGATAAAACGTATAAGGCAATGAGTTCCTAGTTTCCAAGTTTCTACAGAACTCAGGTCATGCGCAATGCGTATAGCTCTTCAAGTGTTCACTGAAACGTATAAATAGACAGTTGTGTTTGCTACTGACAGTCTGACCGTAGCCGCAAAGAACATTTCCCACCAAATGTCAAACGAATAATCTCCACAGTCCTCAGACAACGGGAGTCAAATCAAAAGGTACAAACTCAATGCGAGCACTAAACTCATAATCCTCGGTCGAAAACTTATCAAATACTTTTTAATGCCTTCGAATGGATATATATATATATATATATATATATATATATATATGCTATAATCATATATCTCTGTCCGGCACCCACGCAGTCAGCATAAGTCCAAAATGTCTTCAATGGATGACAGCGAGTCGCCATAGAGACGAGCGCACAAATCAAAAGCAATAATGCCATGGTTAATACGTATACATATATATTTATATACATATGTACCAAATACGTGTACACTTTGATTGACATTCAATTAAGCAAAGTCAAATGCACACGGAAGCCGCAGATGACGACCACAGAGCAAAACTGTCACCCACTAGCCCCGGTCCGATCACACTGATTTAAGTCGATCGAACAAGTTTGTCGGCATCATGACAAAAGGCGTACCCTGTTTATCAGCAGTGGAAATTTGATGCTTATCGAAAAAGTAATTCTATCAGATTGAATGTAAGCTGGCAGGCACCCTAAACTGGACTCAGTAGAGAGCGGGTTGCTCTTAAAATAACCAAGAATCTTGTTAATTAAGATTTTGATGAGAAAAAACTTAGTCAACCATTGTTAGAATCTAAGCAGTCTTAGAAATGTTCATAGTCTCTGAAATTATGTAATTGTTTTACTGCATTTTGAATAACTTCGTGAAAGTTGTAATCTTTCATTTATTTATCTTTGTGAATAAACGAGGACCACGAACATATCAAATGTTTTAAGCTTTTACAATCCTAAGTTCTGCCAGTTAGCTAACATACAAAATAAGTTGATGATAAACTGCAAAATATAGAAACAAGAAACCAATTTCATAAGCTCAACCTATTGATATGAAGAAACCAAAAATTAGACTTTAATTCCCTAACGGTTGAAAGACAAAAAGCTTCCTAGTTATGGTCACAGTTGTCTGCTCTCTTATCTTAAACTGAAAGAAATAATTAACATAAATAGCTCAACTCTTTTTTATGATTTCTAATAAACATAAAACGTTTTCTGTGCATGACTCATCTCCATTAAGAGTTGGGACAGCCCTCGTATAGCATTAGAAATTCAAATATTTTGACTGTTGCATCGCTCGGCAGCATGCAACGTGTACTGCGTACCCCAGGGCGATGAAAACAGCGCGCAAAAAATGAAGCATAACAAAAAACAAAAACAAAAATACACAAAATAAGTGATAGCTGGCTACTGCGCATGCGCCGCTGCTTCTGCAACACTGCAACACTGCAACACTGCCGCTGTTGTCTCTGTCGCTGTCGCTGTCGCGTGTGGGTAGGACAAGTTTAGCGCTCGTCGCAGTCGTCGTCGTCGCCGTCGTCATCGTCATCGTCATCGTCGTCGCCCCAGGCGTCGTGTCACTGAAATCAAATCAGCCGCGTTTAAATGCTCAACCGAAAACTCAAACTCAGCTGTGGCTGCGGCTGCGGCTGCGGCTGCGGCTGCGGCTCCCAACATCAACTCATACTCCGACTCCAACTGCAACTGGAGTTCGAAGCGCTGGCAAACCTGCTGTCAGTTGCTGGTTTGACACGGAAAGAAACGACGTTGGCGCCTACGCATCTGGAGATGGAGACCCGGCCCCAGACTTGGCAGCGAATGAGAGACCCAACTAAGCTGCGCTTAGGGAAATTCTTCAACGGATTTTCATTTGCTGCAAAACTTTCTTTGGCTTTTTGTCTAAGATTTTTCATTTTGAGAGCTCGTTCGCTCTCTTTTTAATTGAAAAATAAAATAAACTGAAGCGATTATGTGTCGCGTTTGCTTGATAAATCGTTTTCATTATGGCACGAGCATAATGGATATATATATATATATATATATATATTTTGTTTTTTTGTATAACTTCCGGCGCAAGTTGAGTGGAATTTGCTTAATTTGAAAAAGTGACAAGATTCCGACGAGCTCAATACCACTTGACTTCGACATTACTGTGATTTTGTATTTCTATTCAATGCTCAACGATCGTAAGTGTCTATTTAAATTTTGGTTTTCCATCAAAAATGCAGTAGTTGACAGCTGAAATGTTGGCCATTCAGCTATTACACAAACGAATTTCACGCTCTTTTTTAGTCCCATTTCACAACATTGAAAGGTCTGTCAATTGTAAATATATATATCGACATATATATCTGAGTACGGTGCTGATTTCTGGTACAGTAATTGCCGCCTGCCAAGCGGCTCAATCAAACAACTAACAAAAAAACAAAAAACAAAAAATTGTCAGTGCAATTATGGCGGAAAGTTGTTGAAACTGTTGTGAAAAAAAATGGGAACGAGAAATTATCTAAACGGTGCTAAAGATTGAATACCCTTGCAGACGTACATATGTCAAAACTAATGGTAATATTTACTTAAATATCTATTTATCTATAAACTGAATCTTAAAGTTATAAAAAAATCGTTTTAAACGATTCATCAATTTTTTATGTTAATCAAAGCAATTAATTTTTAAATATTCAAAGTAAATCACATTTTAAAATATAATAAATTCATATTAGCCGCAAACATACACATATACATAGATGGTAACTATCAATTTACAACTTGACATTGTTTTTTTGTTTTTTTTTGTAAATAAACAATCAAATTCCATTCTTTAAATCTGCTAACCAGCAGCAACAAACTGTCCCTTAACATATGATTATGCCATAAACAACAATAGAACATGTCACAAATATGGCAGCTTCCTAAGGCACACCCAGTAAATCTCGCAAGTCGTTTCTCGATTTGCATTTATGAGCAAAATATGAAATTATAATTCGGTTAACACTAAATCGCCAAATAAACAGGCAGCAAATTTTATGTTTTAGGTTTAATGGGATTTTTTTCTAAAACCAATCAACTGGTTATAAATGATATCTTAAGCGTTTTGTGAATAACCCCAACTGGCGCCATGTTTTTCGAATTTTTTAAAAAACCTGTCAAAACTCTTTGCTGTAATCAATACAAAAGTCGAAAAGTCATTAACTTATTTTGATGAACCATTAAAATGAAGTTTCATTTCTGTTGAACTTGAATCACATTTGACGCCGCCAGTCCAAAAAAAAAAAAAAAAAGACTTTACTTTATTATACTGTTTTGAATTACAAATTTAATTTGGTGCCGAAATGCAGTTAATAACACAAAGCATCTAAAATTTGTAAACCTAATTCAAACTAAAACTTGAATCAGACAACAAATTACTTTTGTCTTCCTCCCCCGGGACGATGCGCTAATTTGTTGCCACAATTTTCCAGTTGATTTGCATTTGTTTATGAACTCATAACTTGAACAAATGCTGGCAAGCGGAAATTTCATTAAAAGTAATATAATTTATGTTTTAATAATGCCACAGGTACAAACCATATATGGCCATCCTAAGAGAGTATATGGGAGCCAACCACAATGTGTATAATATATTCAAAATAGTAAACAGGCAGCTAACCGCAGACTGACACATCGTCGAGCCAGTTATAAATTGTTATGGTAATGCTTTCAGTGGGCGTTTTATAATTGAATTGGCTGAAGATACAGCAGCCATTCAACCAGACACAAATGTTGAAATCAAATAAATATATTATACAAATATATATATATATAAACAAAAACACAGAAAAAAATAAAAGGCTTAAAGCATGGTCGCTATTGATCAGATTATGTCTAAACAAAGTGGAGAAAATCTCCATCCCAAAAAGGAAATGCCAAACAAGTTGTGAATGCTGTTAAATATTTAAGCATAACCGACAATTATTTGTATTCTTTTCGGACGTTTTTATAATATAGCCAATTGTTCACAGCTCTAAGAGACATTTTAATTCGCCTTAATATACGACTCATAAACTGTTCAGCTTGTTTTTAATATGTGTGGAAAGTTCGATAATTAATAGATTATGACTTGACTATGGTATTTATGGCGCCAACGCAGATAAGGCTACAGATCTATAGATTAATGTGCAGACATTGTGGCCAACGGCCTTTTAGACAAACTGGGCGTGTCTAATTAATATGTATCGATAGTATTTGAATTACAACAACAATTAGCAAGATTTATTGTAAGATAGGAAGACGGTGAAATGGAGTTTTCCTTTGCCGCATATTTATATTCATAAATTGGTCAATTAATATGGCTAAAATTACAGCAATCGTGAGTTTTTCACATATTTAAATTATTGATCTTCTGGAAAATGTTTACAAAAATTATAAGGAAACCAAATCCCTACCGTATATGAAATCATAATATGTAAAAATGTTTAAATTGGAATTTATGAAACACATTTCTGCTACTCATTTGTAACCAAAAATATTAAGAAAAATAGTAAATAATTAAAAGTTTTTTTGAGTATTTCACATTTTTTTAAATTTTTAAATTGTGCTAGTAAATTCGTTGACATTTAAAGCTTAAGACTATGTTTATAATTTGTCAATTAAAATTATAAAATTAAACAATAATTCTTTCCGTATTTAAGTAAATTATACTTCATCTTCATTATCTAATATGCTCAAATTAATACCACACTGTATAATTAAATGTTAAACAAATTTTAATATTTGTCCGTATTCACTTCCTCTTAAGTTTTATTTTAAAAGTTACAGTTATTTCACTCAGCTTGGATTGCATTCACTTTCTTATGGCGACCGAATGCATATCCCTCCATTTGCTGTGACTTGTTTAACCCACTTAAGAGCACTTTGTTGCCTTCACACTCACCTCTTTGTCAAGGACGTTGCACCACGCCAACGTTGTTTCCGCTGTTTGTCCGCTGTTTGCTATTGGCCACTTGGGCTTTCAACAGCCTCTGTAGCAGCTTCTTAGAGTCGTACTTATATCAGACAGCTCCTTGAGCTTCTGTCACTTGTGCTGTCAAGGCGAATGTATTTAGAATAGCAACAACTTAAGTTACTTTTATGGATGCTGCCACACTTAATTTTCAGAATTCTCTCATGTATTTCTCTTTTTATTTTGCGTATTTATACATTGGTGTAAGATCAAACAGCAACTCACACTAGTATATGGGAACTATAATAAAACGGATGCATTAAAAATTTAAAACCCTTTTTCAAGAGACGACAAACATAAACAAGAAATCATACACAAACACACTACACACAGTACACACAACACATGAAGAACATGAAACACACGCGAAGATCTTCCCGATTGATTTTATTAGAACGAACGGCACACGCGACGGAGGCGACAACGACGATCCTCCAGCGATGGCAACGGCTACACAACTGAACGGACCTGTGTGGTGGATGTTGCTGTCGTGTAGGCAGTCAGATGCAGGCCGTACGGTGTTCGTGCTAATAAAAATTAAAACACTTTTATGCTATTAACAACAAGAACGCGAACCGAAGGCGAACGCGAAGCCACCTTGACAGCAAAATGGAAATGAAAATCGAATGATCAGAGCAGATGGAGGAAGAGGAGGCTGTCAAAATGTGCTACAGTGACAATTTAACAGGCATACTTCCGTCCACCCTCTGTTGTTATTTGTGTAATAATGATTCTTATAACAACAACAACAACAACTAACGAAACGAGCAACACTAAAAGCCGTCATAGATCACGATCTCGATCAAGCATATCAAACACAGCAAGTCAAATCGCGCGCATTTGTCGATAGTCGCGAGCGTTTATCGTTTACCTCTGCTATCGCATGTACCGTCTTGTTCAACGTGCAAACGCACACTGAAGGGTACCAGCCGCGACAGCAACATCAAAAGCAGCAGTAGCAGCACCAGCAGCAGCGGCAGCCGCAGCAACAGCGACGGCGGCGGCAGCAGCAGCAGCGCGAGTAGCAACAGTTGTTGCAGTCGTCGTCGCCTGATTGCAGTTTGTTTTGTTCTCGGCTGTTGCTGTTGCGGTGATGCTGGCGTGTTATGTGGTTGTTGTTAACTTGTTGCTGTTTGTCGGGAGAAACGCGTTCAGCAGAGCAGCAGTCGCCTCAGTCGCCGCTGTAGCATTTTGTCTTCGTTTGTATTTCTTTTGACGCGTGAGTAAGCTAAGACGCCCACGTGCAAATTTGCGTAAGCATGCACAGAGTTGCCAGACTGTTCGCCTATGTTTGTATGTAACAGAAAATGAATTGAAGATTAAGAGTTGATCGATTGCTAATTGACTCTTAACAGATTTAATATATATTAAATTATAAACGAACTAAGGCGAGTAGATTACAACGTATCTGATATGCGTATTGATCTGAAAAAGATCAAGGATTTACTTAAAGAAACTGTTATTGACCACTTACAAGTTCATCACCAACAGGTTGATTTCACTTTATTTGTAGAAACTATTAATGACCATTAAGAATTCCTCACTGACAGGTTTATTTCACTTTCTCACTTAAAAATTCGTTTGTTGTTGATCAGCATTAACAGCATTAACCATTATTACCAATGCAAATATGTTTGTATTTACACAAGCCCCTATTTACTATCCAATTAAGCTCTAAGTTGGGCAATAAAAGCCTGCTCCTATTTTGAAATCGAAACCCAGCTAAACATCAACAACAACAACATTGTTGCCCTTGCTCATAAACCACATTTAGCCCGAATACTGTGAACCCTTTTTATGCGTTCAACCTTGCAACATTCCCCACATGGTATCCCGGCCAGAGCATCACACTCAAAAACTTCAAAACTGAGCACTTTAAAAATGCCCAGAAAAGAGGCTCGTAAAAGCCCGGCACGCTCTGCAATCATTAAAAACAACAACCAAAGCAATCATTAAAACTGGCAGTCCAAAAAGAAAAAAAAAAATGCGATACGCATGTGGCACCTACTATTAATGGCTACTTATGCACTACAAGTGCTATTCCCTGCAACCACTATCCCTCTACCAATACCAACCCCAACCCCAAAACTCTGTCCAAACTATAAAAGTGACAACAAACTGATGCGTAACACGTCAGTTGGCTAGAAGGCAGCTTCAGATCGTGGAGCGCTGCGACCAGTTCATCATTATGTCGCCAGCATGTCAAGCCCTGGACGGGGCAATGTGCATATATCATAGCGCTATAATGCACACCCAGTTTCAGGCAGCAGCACAGATTCACATCAGCATCAGCATCATTATCATCATCATCTTCAACGCTGCATATTTTGCCTGCTTGCCTGCGTTTTTTTTTTTTTTTTTGGACACGACGACCACTTGCTGAAATTTCATTATGTGCGTGATTTATAAATAAGCGGCTGGTTCAGGTCTGTTGTTGGTGTAGTTGTTGCTGCTGATGTTGTTGTTGCACACAGCATCTTCAGCGGGAACGACCCACGCACTTTGACGGCGCTACAGCGCAGCTTGCATGTTGACTACCCCTGTTATGTTGTTGTTGTTGTTGCTGCTGCTCCTTTGTTGTTGCAGTTCATTTCGTATTAATCATAAAATTGTATTATTAACATGTTTATTTTTCGGTTTTCGAGTTTCGATTACACGCATTCCTCGGTTTATTGTGCGTCTTTTTTGTCTGTTTTGTGTGTGCAAAGTGCCATGTGAACGTGACTTTGTTGTGCAGTGTTACGAAAGTGAGCCACTTTCTAACACTGTACCCAAATTGTCCAATCGCTCGGGAAAACTATCTTTTATACCTGCGACAGTTAATTGGGTTACTCTCAATCTCGCCACCGAGCAACAGTTAAAACTGTCGCAGAGGACGCGTGGGTGAGCAACAGCAGCAACAAGAAGCCGCAGGTGTTATGACAGTTGTAAATATTACGACTACCAAATGAATGAGAAAAGAGCAGGTCTAGGCCAATAGGGGAGCAATTTGAACTACTATGTGTGGAGCCTTTTAATGAAGCAGAAATAAACGAGGAAATAACTATATAAGAAGCAAGCGAAGAACTTCCATCAAAGAATCAGTCAGAAGAAACGACTCCAAGTTATTATCTTAACTTAATTATAAATATATATTTATATGGATTTGTTTATGATGTGCCATTTCCACTCCAATACTCTCTTTATCCATCCACCTGAGATGTATTCTGTATTTCCCTTGCATAAGTTTTTTTTTTTAATATTTTTATTTGATAATTGTACAATAGTTCTTCTTCCTCTTAGCAACATTTAAAATGCATTCAGCCAAGGAGTAAGAATTTTATAGATCAACCTCCAACTCCCTTTAAACTTTGCTCGGAGCTCCAATCCAAAACTAGTTAAGGGTCAATCGCATTAGCTCCAGGGTTGCCCTCAAAGAGAACGAGTTTGCTATTCATCGCATATTCACGAGCAGTATTTGTATCTGATATCTGATAAATATTTAAAAACGCGCACACACACGACTATATAATTAACGTCAGAGCGGGCTATAAAGCAAATGATTAACGTCGTCTTAACAAAAGACCCAATGCAAATATAGCGAGGGGCCTTTTATTATGGGTAGGGTGTAGCTCGGGCTGACCATTAATAACATATGTTTGGTTGTTGTAGATGTTGTTGTTCGCTATTTTCTATTATTTTACATTTGATATTCTGTTTTATGAATAAATTAAATTAAATTAAGCAATAAGCAAACTAACTAGAGTATCTAATATTACGCGATATTACGTCTTAAGCGTATTTTATGATAGCTTTTAAACATTTAACGGCCTAGACCAAAATATATACATTCATATAGTTTTGATCTGCTCTGGCATATTTGTTGTCATTTAACATTTTAATCTGTAACTTAAATGAGATAACTCGCTAGCAAATTAAAAAGCCTTTTGTTCCGAGCCGCTTCAAAAACGGTAGCAAATCTTAATTAAGCTGTTTCCGCTGTTCTTGTTTGTCATTGAATCTGTCAGCAGATACCCCGTACTTTATGTCTTATCCACACCAGAAACTTCACCTGAGTCGCCACAACTGAAAGTACATAAATTTGATTGTTTAGTCTTGCTGTGAATGGTTTTTTCTTTAATGATTTGACACAAAATGATATATGGACGCTTAAGTGGATTTACAGTGTCGGATTGAGATTAGCATAAACTAACATTTGGTTGGTGTTGGTTGGTGACCACTCAAGGCCAGCAAATACTCAGAGTTACAAATAATGGATACTCGCGAAGAAGAAGATAACAAAAGTTGCACTTACAACCAATGGACTTGAATTAGTCGCGCTAATAACTTACTCAAAGATATGATTTGAATTTAAATGTGAAAACTAATTAATAAACAATAATTAAGACTAGATTACCATCAATTATTCTTCAATTAAATTGTAAACTTTAGGCGGCAACTGCGAACAAATGGATACTAAGTGAAAACTATTGAATATTCATTTAATGTTATTTACTAAAGTATAAAAATATCAATCAAAAAATTCCACAAGCCATCATTGAAAATGTATATTTCTTTATATCTTTCTTGTATCTTTCTGTCTAAGCTAAAATAATAATCCATTAATAACCATAACTATCAAAACCATAACTATCAAAACCATAACTATAATCTCAACTCATCTGAACTTTAGTCGTTATCCAAATCCAAATCTACAGCTTCCACTTTCATTTGTTGCAAGCACCACAGCTCCTGCTTTAGCTGCCATATAACCCATTAACCCTATGCCTGCTTATCCTTAAGCTGTGACCACAAACTCACTTTCCTATTGTGGTCAGAAGGTCCACGTATTTAGACCGCAACATAAAACCCAACAATTTATGCCGACACCAGTGAAAAGTGATGTTGATGATGGGGCGTCATAAAAAGGCAAACGGCAGCGAGACGATGACGACATTACTTCAGGTATATGTTGGGCGCCTTAGGCTGGTCTGGAGTCTGCTCCTGGCACCTGATGGTGACAACACTGACGCTGACGTCGTCATCAACATCCAACTGGGAGCCAAGCGGTGCACTTGCAGCCGGAGACTGTACGTCGCCATTTGTCTTTAGGCGCACCACATGCGCTAGCTTTGTGGTTGCCGCCACTGCAGCAGCCACCACGTTGCCATTGCCATTGCCATGTTGCAACGTGCTGATGGGTTTCTGCAGCAGCTGATTCGACGAGTCCAGTCGATTCGAGAGTGAAGTGTGACGATTGTTGACCGACTGCGTGAGAGAAAAACAGATTTAATCAATGTAATGGGCTTAATGTAAATGAAAACGAATAAAATTCATAAGATAATAATTAACAAAGTATAATTTAAATACTATAAAAGTGTAATTTGTTTTGAAAATAATTTGTAAACCTTACATTGCAAAAGAGAAAGTTTTCGAGAGTGGATTTATATGTAAATATATAATTTTCGCCACATTTGTTACTATTGAGCTTAGTAGGTCAAATGGGTCAAAAGTTAGATGAAATGTATTAAATGATAATCGTATTTAGACTTTCTACTCACCACGTTGTTGTTGTTGTTCATGCGACCACGTATATTATACAAGCCATAGACCAGGGGATTCATGCAGGAATTCGTCGAGGCAAATATGAATAGGGCCTTGCGTACGAGTGAATTAACCTGGTCGACAGATGACTTATCCAAGGAATACCACATACAGATGAAATAGTATGGTGTCCAGCAGATAATGAACACAATGACAATCGTTATGGTCATCTTGAGAGTGCGTTTCTTGGCCCGACTCAAGACATCATCGTTGGAGCGACGAAACCGTTCGGCGATCACATCCTTGAGCACACGCTGATTCTTGCGATAGATCTCCAAATAGATGGCGCCGTAGCAGTAAATGAATGCGATCAGTGGGAATGCGTACATGGCACACATTGTGGCGATCTGATAGAGACTGTCAACGAAATCGTTCACAAACGAATGAAAGGTGACGCATTGAAAGTAGCCTTTAACATCTGGATGCTCTTCCAGATGGAAGAGAAAGGCCTGCCGCATGTAGGAACATTGACATTGATGACATTAATTGCAAGACTACTGTGGCGCAACAAACCCACCTGTGGAATGCTACATACGACGGAGCCCAGCCAGGCGATGGCCAGCATTGTGCGACCACGATTATGGGACCGTTGCAACGGCTTCAGTATGGCAAAATATCTAATTTGATAGAGAGAGAAAGAGAGAGAGAGAGAGAAAGAGAGATCGAATCGAAAAAATAATATATGTATATAAACTCAAATGTTAGGCAAACGATTGACACTTTGTGTGTCGCCTTATCTGTGGCAATCAATTGGGTGCATTAGCGAGCACGAGCTGAGCTAGCAGGCGGATCCAAGTTAGAGACTCACCTGTCCAGAGATATGCAGACCATGACAAAGCTCGACAAGTAGAGGCCGAAGACGCGAAAGAAACTCATGAGACGGCACATCAGATCCGTGGAACGCCACTGCACCGTCCATGCCCACACAATCTCCAGCGGCATCAGCAGAAACGTCACCATTAGATCGGCAATGGCCAAATGCATTAGCATGATGTCAATACGGAGGGGACCCCGCAATCGACGCTTCGTCAGCAGAAAGAGCACCGTGCTGTTGCCAATTGTTGAGATCACAAACAGTATGCTGCGGAATGGAAAAGGTCGTCGCGATTAATCGGTGAATTGTCGTTGATGTTGTTGTTGTTGTTGTTCTCGTCGTGGTTGTGCTAAGGCAGCCAGGTGGGTGATAGGTGCGTAGGTGCGTTTGCTTCGATAAGTGGGTCATTGGAATTGAACATTTGGAAAAGTTTTTAAGAGTGCTAATAAGAAGTTGCAATAAACTCAAAGAGAGCATATTAATACACTATACCCACTAAAAGGAATATTAACTTGTATATTAAAAAAGAATCACAATAAAATATTAAAAGCCAGAAAAAGTACACCAAATTAAATTCTAATAAATACTTTAGTTTTAACTATGTGCTTTCAAACAAAAACTAATTGAAAACTTTTCACAAATATAACTCAAAATACATTAATATTTATGCCACTTGTTTATGTATCCCATGAATATCTTATTTAGCGGATATGAAACACATCAGCTATTGTATTAAATAGTTTAAAAACAGTATATTTCCTAATACTCTCCAGTCCTACACTCTTCAATCAAGTTTCTCCATTTTTTTACTTCGCTTACTCTTTAAAATTAATGATACAATTTATAAACTGCATTTTCACAACACGACTCCAGAATCTCTGCATTTTAATAGCTAAAGCCAGGTTAATCCGGACATAAACTTTGAGACCAGCTGAAGTTAATTTTTTAATACTAAATAATAATAATCATAAAAATTTTAGATTGCCATGAATTGTTGTCCTATTAACTTTGATCTGACACTATTTGAGATATTTACAACTCACTATTAATTCATAAATCGATAATTTCCTTGAAAGTGTTAACTATGCCTAAAGGACCAGTCCACAAGTTCAAGTTTACACCCTTTGGAAAGATAATTAATTACCTATAATAATATAAATGTGCACAGGTTTCATAAATAATAATAATAATAAACAATGCTCGATGTGCTAGTTAAAAGTTGGGTTGGATTGTATAAATCACAAATAAATACAAATATTTGTTAAATTGTTTATGAATTATTCGTCAATGTAAAAGTATTAAGTACTATATATATAAGTATAGTCACATTACAAATAACTTTGTGATCAATAATTATCTACATTGCGAAACTTAAATTGCATTTGGAATGACTATTGTCAATTATAAGTTAAAAAAAACTATATTATACAAAACTACTTAACTAGTTAGAATCCAGCATTCTGTTGATCAATCAGCTGTGTATATTGATTAGGTAGTTGTTTCTAGTATAGAAGGCCCTAATACCTTTATTATGCACAGCCACAACTTAGAAATATGTTAGTTAGATAATTATAGCACTCGTATCTTAATGTTAAAATTGTCAGATTGATATCTTAGTTAGTATCTTAGCTGCAGTCAGTTAACAATATTACGTATCCTCTTTATAGCTCATTCCAATTCCTCAATAATTCAATACCCGCAACAATAAACACATATTGAAACAAGTAAAATACATATTACTTAACTTAATAAAATAGATCCGTAAACGACGAAGCACTTTCTACGGGCTTCTTAGTTAGTTTTGTGTCAGCCAATCAGTCGAAAAGATCTGTGTAAGTTTCGAATCACTTTATTAAAGTGAACCCTACGCTGAACCACAGCGTTCAAATTCCAAGTGAAAATTATTAAATCTGAGACAGATAGACATGAGCACGACATGATTTATAACAACATCTACACCTACACAGCGACTGATAAGTTTAGAAAAGTGCATAGACAAACGCTGCTTATCAACGTGGCTGTGACTGTGAATGTGAACACCAAAGTACAACAATGCCGGCTGGGAAATGTGTGGGTGATCTCACTTGCTCTGCTGAGTAGGAAGTGAGCTCGCATTTCTTCAAAAACATATTACTATAAAGATATATATACATTTCTCTTACTTACCTGTATACTATGATGGACAGACGATGACCGTTATTGAATATCATATCCTTGGAAAAGTGCATTGTTCCATTGGTATTGTTCACATTTGACCAATCACGCAGTATGCGATGATCATAAACAACTTCATTTACTTCCCCAGACTGGGCCATTTTCATATTTGGTACTTATCTTTTTCTATTTGGCTTTGTTTACATACCAAAAATACACACGGTTCACGCACGTGAATTTTCCAATTAAATTCCTTAAAGATTCTTTTGTTTGTTCAATTTTAGTTATTCGCTACAACACTATAGATAAATAAAATTTATATTAAAATATTGCCAAATGTTTTACAAATTATTGAAAGCAATTCTTTGTCCTGTTCAATTGATTCAATTTGCTTGCTTTAATAAATTACTTAATATTATCCAAATTTAAAGCAAAACAGAACCGGAAATAATCAGCAAATATGTTTATTAGAGTCAATTAAAATAGTATTTTATGAATTGTTTACAATTTTCATTTGGAATTTGCAATTGGTTAGGGATTTTGTTTGTTTAGAAAATGTCAATATGTTTTTGCCAAATAATATTTGGCATTATTCGTACGTTGTTCGAGGGATCGTCAATTGGGTTGCCTTCCAAGAAAAATACTTGCACTTGATTGAACTCGATTATTTGAATACCTATCAACTCATATATTCATACTTAATATATATGCTATTATTTATTTGCGTTCCAGCAAATTTGCTGTGTTTTTCATCACGCTTGACAGCAAGCCTTGTGTGATAATCATCACAAAAACAGAAACTGACACACAATTTAAAGATACAGAACGTTTTTGTATTTTTTTCGCACTTTGTGTAAGGAGCTCCTGAGAGACCGGCCTCTGTGTCCTTAACCGTTGCCCAACTCAATTCAATTAATTAATTTCACTCATTTTGACACAGCTCATCAAATGTTTTCTTTGAATTGTTGTTGCGGCACTTTATTTGTAAAGTGTCAAGAACTTGACTCGTATTATTATTATAATTTTGATTTTCGGTTGCTTATAAAATATTATTATTATTATTGTTTAATTTTTTTTAATAAGTTTTGACCTTGAACTAATTTTGTTTCCCAGAATTTGTAATATATGTATTTTTGTATGTGATAACAAAAATTCCACTTATGCTGTGTGTGGGTCTTTCATAATGAATAATACTCTTATGCTTGCTGTCGGTTAATCTGTTAATCAATTGCGCTCAATGAAGTAGACACTCACTCAATTGATGGGCAACAACAACTGCATTATAGATAATGATTGTTTATTAAACAACAACGACTAATTCCTCTCTCTCTCTCTTATTGCAATAATCCTTGAGTGTGCTCGCTCACAAATGTATTATTTATTTCTTTAATCGCTGGGTGTTTGTTGGCCTTTGAACTTTTGGTTGGGTAAAATAGAATAAGTGGATGTTCTGGAGGCTCGCCACTCAAAATTCTACAACAACAAGAAAGAGCAGCGCTCTTTGTCACGCCGAAGATTGCATACCCTTGCAGACAGAATCTCAACTAAATTTGATTATAAACTTAAAATATAATATTTAAGACAGATGTAAGTCATTCTTTACAAAGATATGATTATAAAACTTGTAAGTAGTGAGTTCAGTTCAGATATCTTGAGAAACACAATAAATGTTCGTGTAGACCAATAGTCACTAAGTCAGATAGTCGATCCGAAAGAGTGTTACACAAGTGTAGAAAAATACATATAAGCCGGGTAATGTTTATCACCTCATTAAAATAATATCTTGTTGAATATCTCTAATTGAATATGACGATTGGCAGAAACAAAGCGATAATTATACATTTCGAGAACGTAAGTCTATTAAATGGAATTCGAAAGAGCTGTTATATATTCTTGATCTTAATAGTCAGTACAAATATGCATTTAGTATGATTTTTATTCTCTATAAATGCTAAATTATGTTATACAACACAAGTTCAAGAAATCAGTCCACCTATTGTAGGCGTAATCAGTGATTACGTCGACACCTTAATTCATTCCTTTTATTTTCCTGTTTTTCTGAGGTTTTTTTTAAATTCGATTTGTTTTGCGTTTTCTAAACACGCGCATGCACCGAGGTATTTGTTTTTGGTATACTATTATAAACAAGCATATTATTATATATATATATATATATATATTTTGTTTCATGTAAACACTCTTATTGTGCTCTGTGTATGTTTGGATCATTTGCACAACTCACGCTGAGCACCTCAGAGCGATCACTTTGCAACACTGTTCTATACACACACACAGAGAGACATACACTGGGAGGCTTGAGTTATGTTATCGATATTGCATTTGCTGCCGACGCTGTAATTAACGGTATAGCCGCGGACTAATTGTACTATTTGCACCGTGCGGCGTACAGGAACTGACTGAAATGTTGGGGTGGCTGTTGGGGCAGCTGATGCTGCTGCGTTGGCGCCGTGAAATCGAAATCTCGACAACAACTGATAATCAAATTGAACAAAAAAAAGTATATATATATGTATATATATATATATATATAATTATGCGACACACTCTTATACGTGTAGTTGGCAGCACTGCGCGGACTGATAACCGGCTGCAGACGACCCCATATTGCCACATACACTTATGTGTATATGTATGTGTGTGTGTTTGTGTATATGTGCGTGGAGTCCGCCCGCATAGAAAGCCGCATTTATCAATTGTCTGTTATAATTCAAAGTTCAGCACTGGTCTGTCTATCGGCATGTCTGACTCCCGAATTGACAAAAAAATACAAATAAAAACGCTTCTCAGCGCTTATCAACTTTGGACCAAGCGTGTTTAAACACAAAAAAAAAATTAATTAAATATTATAAACGAAATAAAAAAAAAACTCATTGCGTTATCTGCGGGCGCTGTGTCTGGTGGCGGCAAGTCTTGACTTTTCCTTCAATAATTTTTTTGCACATATATTATAAAATAATTAAATAATGTTTGAATACTGCGTAGTAGTTTATCCTTTTCCGGCAACACTTCCGTTAGCTTTGAGCGCCCTTTGACTTCTGGTTTCAAGCGCATTTCTGCAGTTCTCAAGGTTAACCATTTTGCCAATAGTTTTTTGCCCAAGTCGCAATTCGCCAACATTTCATTAATGTAATGAGCACAAATGGCTGCCAACAAAAGGATTTCAAGTTCATGTTCCCATGTCCATGACAGTCCACGGCCCGCTATTGTATGCTATGAATGTGTGTGAGTGTGTGTGTGTATCTGTGTGTGAGTGCCTCCATGCAGATATAGATACACACGTGCACACACACACACACACAGTTGCGTGTGCGGCTCGTTATCCAGATGCAACTGGTGAGATAAGCCAGCATTTTGTGGATTTTAATGAGACACTCGTTTGCATTTCAGAGCATTCAATTTTCAATGAAACGTAACCAACACTCGTGCAACGAAATTTCAATTTGTTTTTGTTTTACTCGTATAAATTAGCATGATTATTATGCATGAAATAAATAAATTTCTATCTCAAAAAGTCTAAGAGTTAATCAATACATATCCAACCAAGTTTCATTTCGCTAAAATAATATTTATTTTCGTTCATCAATTCCAAATGGACGCATGAAAGTATGCAACTAAATTTCGGTTTATGTTACAGCCGACCAATAAACATAATATATTTATAAATACATATGTATTTGTATCTATTATATTCTTATAATTTTTTTTTTAATTTAAATTTTTTGGGACACAACAATTAAAAGATAGTTTTGGAATCTAACCATTAAATAGATTTCATCAACACCTTAAGAATGTCCCTTTGGAATGGGATTCATTCCTGAAGCACAAATTAGTTGATTTACAAATTATAATGATTAACATTAACTATGAAACTACAGCCAAAATCGACATCATTAAACTATTTTCATTAGGAAAATCTATGTAAATATAAGCATTGTATGCCTCAATTAATGTTAACATTAAAAGTAAAAATTGTTAAATAAAATGTTAATGGATGATGAAAATTTAAATATAATAAATACGGCGCCATTTTTTAACAATTACAATCGTTGATTTTTTCATTTAGGTGACAGCACAGAAATATCGATAACATAATATAATGTGATTGTACATATCGATTAGCACACCTTCGAACCAGTTCACTGAACTGAGCTACATTAGTCAAGCAACTTTCACGTGTTGCGGGTTTTGTTGTTTTCATGCAAAGTTTAATGAAAACTTAGCGAAAATGCTGCGCAAAGCGAGTAAAAAGCCACAGACGGTGGCCGAAAAGGTGAGCAAACTGCTGGCACATCCCAACGAAAGCGACAGCGAAGACGAATCCGATATTGATGTGGCAACTACAGCGCGCATCGCGGAATTCGACGACGAATATGATTTGCCCGATGGACGCAGCACCGAATTCCGTAAGCGCAATGTTAAATTGTTGTCCGAGCAGAGTGAACGATACAAGGGCAAAATAAGCAGTCGAAAGGAATTGGAGCAGGAGAGCGGCGAGGAAGACGCAAATGATGATGACGATGAGGATGAGGAGCTGGCCTACGAAGAGAGCGATTCGGACGAGGATAATTTAAAGGCATTCAATGAGAAATTAAAGGCAAGTAAGCATAAGGATCAAAATGAAAATGATGACGATAGCAGCATGGAGGATTCGGAAAATGACAGCCAGCAGGAGGAGCAAGATGACGACGAGGATGATGACGATGATGAGGAAGAGGACGATGAGGATGACTCCGAGAATGACTCGGATAATTCTGCCTCTGAAGCCGATGCCAATGAAATCATGTCGAAAACCAATCAACAGGCTGAAATACAAAAAGGACTCTGCGTGCAAAATCAACTACGTATTTGGGAGCGTCTGCTGGAGTTGCGCATCAACACGCAAAAAGTGACCAGCAAGGCGAATCAATTGCCGCCACCCGAGACACTAACAACACTCTGTCACGATAACGAGGAACTACAAACGGTGCTTAAGGAGGCGCAGGAGCGCAGCTCTAAGCTGCTCCAACAACTGCTTGCTCTGCAGATGGCACTGACACAGCAGCACGGCGAGTTGAGGCAGTGCGTCAAACGCAAACAACCGGCGGAGGAGAGCGGGCAGCCAGAAAGCAAACGCTTTGCAAATGCTCTCCAGCATAATTTTGAAAATATGCGCAGCTATCGCAACGAGGTGCTGCTCAAATGGGATGATCGCACCAAGCTGCTGACGCCGGGCGCTGGTGTCAAGCGCAAGTCCTTGCAGGAAGACTATGACATCATCAAGAAAATAGACAATGCGCTGACGAATCGGGAGGCACTCGTAGAGAAATCACAGACACCCAAAAGCAATCAGCAGCTGCCGGCAGGCGATGATGCTGTCGATCAGGCAGAGTCTACAGCAGGAAATAGCCGAAGGCAGCCAGACATCTATGATGATAGCGATTTCTATCATCAGCAGCTGCGCGAACTCATCGAGTACAAGGCCAGCACCACATCCAACATGAGCGACATAACCAAACAGTTTGTGGAGTTGCAGAAGCTGCGACAGAAAATGAAAAAGAAGGTGGACACAAGGGCCAGCAAGGGTCGAAAGTTGCGGTTAGTTTGGATTTGTGATTTCATTTAGGATAAACACGTACTAAATTTAAATGAATCTCTTCTGCAGTTATGTGGTGCACAACAAGCTCATCAATTTCATGGCACCCAACGAAGCAAGCGACTGGACGGAGGATTCCAAGACGGAGCTATATAGATCGCTGTTTGTGTGAAATCTGAGTTACTTTTGTTGGATGAGGCAAACGTGTTTGATAGCAAATAAATATTGATAAATTATAAATCTATATAAAACAGATATTTGTCTGCTGCATAAAGAATTAATTCTATATATGGCAAACTGCGATTTCAGATGTGAATCGAAGAACGCTTTCTAAACAAAAAGTGAGCACACAAAATGTACTTTTTAATATGCCTAATATCAATTCACATTTTTCAAGTACCATACCATACTTGAATTATCAGAGATCGGAGGAAGAAAGAAGACCATCAGATGTGTGTATTTTTAATCATATCGAATTTCATTTTTATTTATTTCATATGTTGGTTTGCGTTTAACTGCTAAATTTGTATGTTCAACATTTTCTTCGTTTATTATTTGATTTATTTATTTACTTTTAACTGGGTATTTTATGCAAAAAAAAAAAAACGAACCGGTCAAATTGCATAACAATATGGCTTCAAGATAACCGTGTAAGCGTTTTTTTTTTAACCCATTACCGTTTCGCTTATGGGTGACAACTTGTGTGTGTGAGTGTGTGTGGAGGGGAAGATTGCATATTGATATTATTTGCTTGCGGTTGGTTGTTCAAGTTGCTTTTGCTTTTTGTTGTTGTTGTTGTGGTTGTTCATTAGATACATATATAATATATATAAATTGTTAATATATTAAACTAGTTTTCCACTGATGCACGTACATACTTGACTTGGTATTCGTTTAATTTACTTTGCTAGTTTCGTATTCTTTTCTTATTTTCATTTATAAAATTATTATTCTTTATGTGATTTAGTATGCTGCTTCATCGTCTAAGTCACTCTTAGTTAATGTTTTTAATTGTTATAAATAAGACATTATGCAAATAATCGGAGACATAAACAACAAATACAAATTCCCTTCGAATTTTTCTACAGAAATTCTTATTAAAAACAAATAATACAATTTAAAAGACTGGATTTTGTTTAAGGGGATACATGTTTCAAATACTTTCGAGCACATTTTCATAAAATAATTTTCATTTAGTTCGTAAGAGATTTATTACGATTCCGATGCTTTGGATTCATTGTCAAGCTCTCATTAAAAATTAATCAACAATTAGCAGAAAAAGTATAGAGCACATATTATAAATTAATTGTTGTATTCTTGTTTATATATTGCACTTGAATGCGTATGAGAATTTAAAATTTGTTGTTAACTTAAATGCTATAAAAGTACCACGACACAGACAAATGCGTACAATTTTGAAAAATCGAACGGAATACTGGGCATTTGGACTCAAAGGATATACCGAACAAATACATTAAATACATATACATGTAAACCTACAATGAGTGTGTGTGTGTGAGTGTGTGTATATATATGAGAGTTTCGTGGGAGGGTCATAAGTTAATGTTTGTTTTTCGTTCACTTTTCGATCAGTTTTTGTATACAAACTACCAAATACAAAGATTACAAAAAATGCAATAAGTCATAACTGCTTATCGGTTTTGTTTTGTTTTTTTTTTTTTTTTGTTTTTTCGCCTAATTGTTAATGGAATTTTTCAGCAACAGTGGCAGCCCAGTTTTAGTTTTTGATTTGGAAACGAGTATGGTAGCAGTTTTGGTGCCAGCAGCAGCTGTACCACTAGAAACGACGGCATCGGTCGCCTCAGTGGCAGCAGAGCTGTGTCGCGGCGCAGCCTGCAGCAGCTGTCGCTGATGCAGCTCCTGCAGAAGCATCGAGTGCTTGTCCAGCGCCTTGAGCTGTGCCGTGCTCTGTGTCTCGTAGAGCGATGACTGCAGCTGCGTGTGTATGGAGGTGACATTGGAGAGAGTGCTCTCGGCCTCGGCCGCCGTTAGAAAATTGCTTAAATAACGTTTGCTAGTTGTTGTTGCTGTTGTTGTTGTTGATGTCGATGATGTCGTTGTAGTGGTTGCCATTGTAGTCTGTTCCTGCGCTGAAACCTGCAAATACAATCGTCAATCATAATCAATGTGGTAAACAATCAACATTTCCGACTCAACCTTTCTGTGTGCACCCAACTCTGCGTCTCAAGTGCACTTGGCGGGATGTATAACATTCTCCATATCCTTTTGCACCGCATATAAATCGGACAGGCTCTTGGCAAAGAGCACATTCAGTTCACTCATCTTTGCCAGCTGCAACAGTTATTTACAACAGTGATTAATCAATATAGTGACTAAAAATACACAAATTTGTTGTTTACAGTGGTCGCTCGCAAATTATAAGAAATATATAAATTATGTTTGCGATCGAGCGACCATTGTAATTATGACATACAGTTTGATCATTGCACTTCTCGCGTAAATTCATATTAGCCGTTTTAAGCTCGATTTCGTGTTGCAACAGTTCCGCCTGCAGCGTCTCTGTGCGCGCCTTGAGCGCAGCGACCTCGCGTCGCAACTCATCCTCTGTGGCACCGCCAGCTGCAGAGGCGCCACTACCACCCACACGCATCAGTTCCATTTCGCGCTTAAGGCGTATATTTTCCTCTTTATAAGTGTGCAGCTGGCGTTTCCATTCATCCACGTTGGCCGTCGATTCCTGCGGGTATATTATATATAGGAGGAGAAGAGTCAGGTTTAGCTATAAGCTATGACAAATTATGATTTAAACGCACCTGCAAGGCGCTGGTCAGGCGTATATTATTGTTCTTCAATGTGGCCAACTCAATTTCCCATTTCTTGGCATTGGCGCAGCTGCAAAACAACATAAATTTGTCATTCAATTTTCTCGAGTCGGTGAGGAGAAGTGATGGAGAAGTGTCCTATTTAATCTTACCTTTGCGCCAGTGCCATTTTCAGACGTTCGTTTTCATACTTGAGCTGCTGCTCAGCTGTGGCACCCGCACCTGGCCCAGTGTGCATGCCCACAATGCTGCCACCAGAAGAGATTGTAATGCCACCGCCAACATTGCCGCCAGCACTGCCGCCTCCAGTTACCGGAGCAGCACCAATGACCATCGATGGCTGTGGTGAGGGCGTGGCCGAGCCGATATCCTGCTTGCCATCGAGAGTGTTTAGCAGCTTATGCGAGGGACTATCGGGATTGGCATTCTGTGTATTGGTGTTACTTAAATTCGGCGGTTCAACGGTGTGTGGATCGATGTTGGTGTTATCATTCTGCATGGAGCCGACAGCACGACCCGAAATTGGTGATGTATTCGCCGAAGTGGTGGGCGTTACCGCATTCGAGCCATTCGCCGATTTCATGGCATTTTTGGTGGCCTCCTTCACCTCCTGGAATTTTTCCACGAACTATAAATGCAAAAATATTTCATTGAATGCTTTAACACTGCCTTCTTTTTTCTTTGCCCAAAATAATGACACTCACCTTGGTTAGTTCCGCCTCCGAGGAGAAGCCCAGTCCATAAACCGTATTGGCGCGCACATCGCTCCACTGGCCAAACTTCTGTGATGTCTGTGTGAATGTCATACTGGGTGTAATTGTCGAATTAATGACCGCCTTGGTGCCCTCGACACTAATGATGCGATACAGATTCCGTGAGCTATCGTAGAAGAAGCTCACATTGACCGCCTTCATGCTGGCCGTGATCCATGTGCGTTTCGTTTTCGGATCAATATGAAACACGTGCGCCTGGCAAGTGAAAATCGGTTGTTCGCTAAACACGGAAAATGACACAGAAATGGAAGCAGCAGCACCAACAGAGGCAGCAGCAGCACCCACAGGTGATTAATTAAAAATTCCATTAAAATTCTTGCACGTCGGCCTTAAAATTTAATTTCTAAACGCTTGCCAAGGGACACAACGGGGATGAGCAGGAGTTAAAGGGGAGGACAATAAACATAAATAATCATATGTGACCAAGTTGGCATTGGGTAACTTTATGGCAGCTCCTAATTCATATGGCAATAAACAGTCGATTGGAGAATGTCGTCGTTTATCAAGTGATACAAATCTTCTTCGAGTAAAATTTATTAAAACATTGTTTATTTCTTAATTTTGAAATGATCGAATAGGTTTTTGTAACACAATCCCAATAAGAATTGTTTACAAGACATTAAATTGAATTTGAAGTAGTCTTTTAAATAAAGTTGATTCTATTGCTATATTTTATATTTTTAATTTAGCTGTTTATTTAGTTCTCATCTGTCTGTAATAAAGTAATATTTAAGTCTACATATTTGTACTATATTTAATGTCCTTTGCATAAAATTATTTACATTTTGATTCATAAACATATTTTTAGTATAATCGTTTTGTAGTAGTTTTGACTTAAAACAAAGAGTAATCTTTAAGAATTATCAACTTTTCCAACATTTTTAAAGTTCTAAAAACACTTAATCATAAATAATACAAATTCTTTAGATAAGGCATGGAATATTTATAAAGGCGCTTTAGAATAGTTTCGCGGCTGTCATGGAAACGAAAAAATGTTGTTTGGGGTTTAAAAGCTTGGGCGAAAATTGATTTTGTTAATGTTGTTGCTGTTGTTGTTTTTGTTTTTGTTGCTGTTGGCGTTGGCGTTGCCGTTGCTATTGATATTGTCGGCACCAAGTCATTGGCATTGTGGTGTTTAGCGAAAGGGGTGCCGTCCAAGGTGCGGGTGGGGGGTGGTAGGCGGTGTGTGGTGTGGGTCTTGCCTTCGCGTCTAAATTGCATTATGCGCTTAAGTGTTTCGTAGCCTCGTTTTGATTTTGCTCAAGTTTACTGCACGCAGACACACATATATAGTTATATATATATATATATATATTTACATACATACATGTACATATACGCACACCTACACTAATACACACGCACGCACATGCACACCTACACTCACACATAATTGGTATCGACGGGCGGCGTTTGGCAATTTACACACACCTATACACCTACACAAATAAACACATACACACACGCACTCACACACACACACATACGTACGTAGAGGAGCATCAATTCACATTGTATAAAAGCACATATGTATTTACACCTCTGACACCGCCTGCTACACACAGCCTACAACAACAGGAGCAACAACAGCAGCAGCAGCAGCAAGGAAAATCGTCGGCGTCGATTTTTCACACAATTTACAACATTTGCAATTGCATTAGAAAAGTTTGCGCACTTACCCCATTCTGTTTGTTAGCTGCAGCGCTGTTTTGGTTTATATGGCAACTCGCTTAACACTATGCTAATTGTTTATTTTTGTTAATTAATACACTTAAAAATAAAACACAAACGAGGCGCTTGCTGTGTGTAAAAACTGTAGGCAATGCGGCTAAAACTGTGAGTGATGTTGCCCCCAAAAATGTGAGCACTGTTACAATAACAGCGAATGTTAAGTAAACTGTTGTTGCCTTCGATATATATGTTGGTATACTCGATATGTATTGTATCGAATGCACACTGTTATCCCGTTATTAGCATATTCATATTTCTATATTTGGTTTAAACATAAATTTTCAAATTTTACGCACATATTTTTCCAAGTTGAGTACATTTTTATTCTGACGCTCGGAGGAAATTTAAATTTTGCACTTAAGATTCGCGAATAACATCGATTAAGGCAGCTTTACAAATTTATCATAGTAAACACGCATGCTAGCCAGACTATCAAAAGTATACAAAATATTCAAACTAAGTGGCAACATTGGAATTTTACCGTAGTGGCAACCAAAAAAGAAACGAGCTGCGTTTTTTCGCACATAAAAATCAATCGGAAATAAATAAAACTTGCTACAATTGCATCTAATAAATAGCTATATATGTAAAAGCTGAACAGCAGCCAAAGTTGTTGTCGCTGCTGCTGCGCTGTAGCCGTGCGATCGATCCTTGTTGGCTACGGGGTACGTGTTTGCGCCAGGGAGGAAGGGAGTTTTTTCGCTCTTTTTGCATAAAAGCCGTCCTCTTTGCCCAAGAAAAGGCGTTTTACCAATCATTAATTGAGCCGAGTGCAGCAGCTGTTAACCTGCGATTGTGTTTTTTAATGTGTTTTCGTTAATTGGTGCTAAAGCTATGTGAGAAACATTATTTTAAATTACAAATATTATAATAAAAATGAAAAAACTTTGCATATGTGTGCGTGCTGGCATGCGTGTATGTATATACATACACATGTATGTACTGTGTGTATGTACATAGGTGTGTGATTGTGTGTCGGTGCTGAAAACTTGTTATCAATGCGGCGCCTATGATAAAAGCCTTATTAGACATGTTCAGTGTATTAGTCCAATTGGAATGTGTTAACCCATTACGCGGGCTTTGCAACACTCGCGACAGAGAGAGAGAGCGAGAGCGAACGAGAGAGGGAAAAAGTCAACATAAACAAAAAAGAAAAAAACTGCATTAGCTGCGTGGGAATTGTGTAGGCTTTAACTGCTTTAATTGTGTGACCAAATTTTATAGTTACTCTTATAATGTTAATTTATACAATAACCAAAATATTTGTTTTATTTCTGTGAGCACTTTATGGATGTTCTAACGAGTGCAATAATTTCGAAATGGAATTTATTAAAGATAATTAGTTAAGATAAATTTAAAACCTGCTCGGTAATTATCGATTTGAACTTTTCGCTTCCAGATGTGAATCTAATTCGTTAACAATTCCAAGTTCTGGAATTGTATTTTCTATTTGCTATACCAAATTACTAAACAACAATTTAAATTTGAAGAAATTCTCAATAAAGGAAGAAAAAAAATTGCTTAAAACGTTAAAAATTACGAATCTAATTCATGGAATCTCCATTGGACTAGAAAATCATTCCTTAATTTATCACATATTTGATTGGTTGAAGAATTTGATATTAATCAAATCTCGAATTTAAATATGTGAACTTCTCGGCTTGAAGAGGAGAAAATTAACATAAACATTCTGTATAACATAATGAGCTTAATGATATTATATTATAAGTAAAGGTTGCAGTTTCTCGAAGATTTTATGATTATGATTTAAAAGGATTTTCCTATTTTTAAATAATACTAACATATCTTCTTTGCTCTGCAGTCTTGCATGCGTGCCCGTGCTCTGGTGGCCAACTAAATAATGTGGAACATGATGTGCGACGTGATGCCCACAATATCGGAAGATAGCATATCGCAGCGTTCCTCGCAGTTCAGCGGCGAAGATGCCAACTTTGAGCAGCTCATGGTGTCCATGCTCGATGAGCGGGACAAGCTTATGGACAGCCTCCGTGAGGCACAGGAGCGGCTGGGCGAAACGGAGGTCAAGCTGCACGATGTCGAAAAAGAACGCGACAGTCTGCAGCGCCAGATCAATGCCAATTTGCCGCAGGTTAGTGCAATAAACGTGAGACCAAAATGAACGTCTAGTTAATAATATGTTTCAATCGATATTCACAGGAGTTTGCCACTCTGACCAAGGAGCTGACACAAGCGCGCGAAACGCTGCTGGAACGCGACGAGGAGATTGGTGAACTCAAGGCTGAACGCAACAACACGCGGGTAAGCATACATCCAACAATATCCAAATCATAATCCCAAAACCCGACTAATTATGCGATACTCGTTATATGCAGCTCCTACTTGAGCACTTGGAGTGTCTGGTTTCGCGACATGAACGCTCGCTGCGGATGACTGTCGTTAAGCGGCAGGCGGCGGCTCAGAGCGGTGTCTCCAGCGAGGTGGAGGTGCTCAAAGCGCTCAAGTCACTGTTCGAGCACCACAAGGCTCTGGACGAGAAAGTGCGCGAACGACTGCGGCTGTCCATCGAGAAGAACAATGTGCTCGAAGAGGAGCTGAACACAACCAAAGAGGAGCTGACCCAATACAAATCGGGCGCTTTGCCAGGCATCGGCGTTAATTCCGTAAGCATTGCCAGCGGCGAAAATGGCATTAAAGAGAAGGTATGTGTGTGTCTGCGTGAGTGTGTGTGTTTGTGTCCAATCAAGCGTGTATTTTCTATGGCATACCTTTTGTTATTGCAGCTGGCAAGCGGCGGAGGTGGCGTCAACGGCGATGCTAGCGAGCTCAACGAATATGCGGCCAAAACACACGAGCTACAAACGATCATCGAGAAGCAGGTGAGGCAATAGCAACAACAACAACAAACAGCAAACAACAACAATAACAAACAACATCATTGAAAACAAGTCGCATATTCTTACTACTTTTATGAGTCAGATCGCGAGAATCCCATGAATCTGTTTATATGTCTGCTTTGGCTGTGGAAACTTATTTTACGGCTTTGTATTTTGCGCATTTCCATTAGGAATTAGGCATTTCAGATATGCAAATTTAGTCAGTTTATTCAAAAATTTCTAAACAGATGCAAATACCAAGTTTGTAGCAGGGAATATTATTATTCCATCCATATTTACTAAAACCTTAATAATGTTTTAGCTATAACATTCGTATGTAAAAGTAATTAGAATCTATATTTTTAAACTAGAATAAAAAGTGCAATTTGTCTGAATTAAGCACTATATTCCTAATATAATTATTTGTTTAATCCCTACTCATGATAACTAATAACTAATCAACATTTTTTTCTATCCAGACTTCTGAGCTCTCGCAATGGCAGCGTCGCGTGTCCGATCTGAACAACAAGATCAGCGAGCTGGAGGAGAATATGTCTCGTGTGCAAAAGGAGCATTCCAAATCGCAGGATCAGTGTTCGAAGCTGCAGCGTGATCTGCGCGAAAATGTGGCACAAAAGGAGGATCAGGTAAGTAAACATAACAAATTCAATTTGCATCAAAAACTGATTTTATATTTGATGACCTGTAGGAAGAGCGTATTACTACGCTCGAGAAGCGTTACTTGAATGCACAACGTGAGTCGACATCGTTGCATGATCTTAACGAGAAACTAGAGCAGGAACTGCGGCACAAGGAAGCACAATTAAAGGTGCGTATATTACTGGATATACATATAAATATATATATTGGATATATTGGTTATGGTTACGAGGCATGGGCGAATTTCTTATTTTCATTAAAACATTGCACTCACTCACTGCCAATCAAAAACTCTCCACTCTTCAAATATGTACATTTATAAATGATAAATATTGTATAATTTCCGCTGTTCATTTCTAAATATCTTTGCGAAACCAGTAACTAATTAGGCAATTATAAATTACTTAAATGTTTTATGTACACTCTTTTTAAAATGGGTTTTCATTTTGTTTTGTAAGATCGTTAATAACAACTGACAGCAATTGATTTAAGTCCGTTTTTATAAACATATCTGCTTGATAATTTGATATTGGATATTATCCAGCCAATTTTACTTTAATGAATCCCATTTATTTTGTTCACTTATTAAACACTTCCAATTTTGCTGATCCGCTTTGACAAGCAGTCATTTAAATGGCGAGTGACTTGTGTCGCCCATGCCTGTTTTTGAATCGCTAAAACTGTGACTAATAATACATAATCGATGTGCCCTATCCATTTGCATATAAAACCAAACTAATTTAACTACCCCCACCAAATATACAACAAAAAAACAAAAACAAACGATAATCGACATGCAACTCGGACAGCTGCACGAAGAGAAAATCAGCGCCATCGAGGAGAAGCTCGAGCTCTCTGAGCAAAAACTAGCGCAACATGCCAAACTGCAGCCGGACATGGAGGAGCAGCTAAAGGCGCGCATGGAGGCATTGACTAAGGTAGGAAATAAGGTATGCACTCGAACTAATATGCGCGCCGACAGGTTCCATAAGTATATCAAATTCAATTCTACAATCTCAATCTTCTTTCTTTATTCTTTCTGTGTAATATGTATATGTATTTTCCGAGTATATTTTTTTTCCAAATATCCACCTACTAACAACAACAACAACAACCAAAGAAAAACCCCAAGATACAAGATATACAACTCTCTATCTATCTCTTATTTGTCCTGCACAAGAACTCAGCGCACCGACAACTGAAAACAAGAAAAACCTTCACAAAACAGAAAACTCCTCACTTTTTAGCTTTCATTACTAATACAAAAACTAATTTATTGTCTATTGTGATCATTGAATCCTATTGAATAAACGTAATTAAATGAGTTTGGCTGAACGCATTACAGGCTCAAGAACGTCACGGTTCGGCGGAGGATCGCATTCGGGGCCTGGAGACGAATTTGGATGAGAAGAGCGCCGAGGTGGTAAGACTGAACCAGCGACTCAAAATGAATGAAGAGCACAATTTGCGCCTATCCTCGACGGTTGATAAACTGCTCTCCGAGTCCAATGAGCGCTTGGAGGTGCATCTGAAGGAGCGCATGCGTGCGCTCGACGAGAAGAACGCTCTCACCCAGGAGCTGGAGAAGGCGCGTAAGGTGGCCGAGGAGCTGCATCACGAGAAGAGCGAAATAATGAAGGAGCTCTCCAAGACACGCCTCGAAATTGAGAATTTCAAGCGTCAGCTGCTTCAGCAAGAGATCGCCTATAATATACAGCAAACGGAGGCACTCACCCGCAGTCTATCGCCCAGCAGTGTTGTCGATGGCGGCAATGCGTTCACACGCAGCGCATCTCATGCCAGCTTTGAGACACATTCGCTGCGGCGTCAGAGCAAGTCGCGTCTGTCCGAGGAGAACGCACTGGCCCGCTCAATGGCCGAGCAGGAGTGGGAGAAGCTGCAAATGCAGCAGGCGGCCCAGCAGCAGGCATACGAGCTAGTTGCCAGCGTTGCTGATTGCGATGATAGCGATGTGCTGTATGCGGCTGCCACGGCGGATATGATGTCGCCGTCGGGGCATACGGATGCACAAACGCTGGCCATGATGCTGCAAGAGCAGCTGGATGCCATCAACAATGAGATACGCCTCATCCAGGAGGAGAAACAATCGACAGAAGCTCGCGCTGAGGAGCTGGAGTCGCGTGTCGGCAGTCTGGAGCATGTGAATCTATTGGCGCGCGGCCGATCCATGGACAGACAGAGTCCGCCCATGAGTGGGCGCAGTACGCCAAACAGTCCACAGCGCGATTTCATGCAGAAATATCATACGGTAAGGATTACAGCAACCGCTGGAACTCCTAGATTAGATATTCATTTCATGTTTAATCAGTTACTTTTATGGGTAACATGAATCCACTTTTTCCAAATTGCAATAGATCTCTGACAGCTAGCTTGATTTGTACAGCCGATTCTGCTGAATATGTAGATTTAAGTAAAACTTTAGAAATGTATTTTAAGTCAATCCAAAATGCCCATTTTCCAGTGGTTATTTTAAGATATGTTGAGATAGTTACTAAGCTATTTAAACACATTTTAAAGCCGATTGAATGATGGACAAAAGTTAAACCCAACAGTTATTATCCCTTTTCAATATTCTTTTCCTGAAATATATTTCTTATACTAACTCGTATTTATTTGATTTTTATGCAGCTTAACTTGCCCGTGCTGTCGAGTGATGCATCCCGCGAGGAGCTGCACGGCGGCATGTCCACCACCGGTGATTCCAGTTCGGGCGGCGCTGCTTCGCCATTGACAGCCCGCTCGATGCGCTTGGAGCGTGTTGCCCAAGCGCTGGCACACAGCCAGGAGGAGCTGCGACGCCGCACCATGGCACCCGCCGTTGCACCCCATGTGAATACCCACATGTCGCTGAGCAGTCACAGTTATGGCCTGTCGCCGCTAAGCTCGCGTTATGGCAGCCAAGAGTCGCTGCGTCACTACAACACCATGGGATCCATGTCCATGCTGCAGACGCCAACGTCGGGCGTGTCGAGGGAGGCGGCGGCCGCTGCAGCCGTGCAAAAGAAGAAGGGCATTAAATCGTCGCTGGGTCGGTTCTTTAGCAAAAAAGAGAAGGTCAAGGGCGTCAAGGATACACTGCCAGATGGTTCGCCCAGCATGATGTCCATAGGCAATCTGTCAATTGGACTAAGTGAGGTCGATTCCAATTACGATGTCATGAGCATGACGGGTGGCATGATGCCACGCATTGCCAGCGCACAGGGCTCCAAGATCAGCAGCGTTGACTACGGCAGGCAGAAGAAGTATTATTATTGTGCAAAATACAAAATTAGAAATCTATTAACGAATTAATCTCCGCAGAGAACACGATTATCGCAACGATCTGCTGGGCGAGGCCATGAAAGCGGGCACGCCATTCGCCCTGTGGAACGGACCCACCATTGTCGCCTGGCTGGAGCTGTGGGTGGGCATGCCGGCCTGGTATGTAGCCGCCTGTCGCGCCAACGTCAAGTCTGGCGCAATTATGAGTGCGTTAAGCGATACGGAAATACAGCGGGAAATAGGTAAATGCACAGTGCGCATCAAATATGACACCTGTACTAAATGCAACTAATTTCTTTGGCAGGCATTAGTAATCCCTTACATAGGCTTAAACTTCGGTTGGCTATACAGGAAATGGTTTCACTGACTTCCCCCTCAGCGCCACAAACATCACGCACCACGCTGGCGTTTGGTATGTCACTGGAAAAGAAAAGTTCTCTTTTGCTTTTCCTAGATTATATTTGAAGAGTTTAGCTGGTATTCAATTTACAGTACGCCAATTAATTTCCTACATATTTGCAGGGGATATGAATCACGAGTGGATAGGCAACTATTGGTTGCCTGGGCTGGGACTGCCGCAATATCGCACAACGTTCATGGAGTGTCTAGTCGATGCGCGCATGCTGGATCATTTAACCAAGAAGGATTTGCGCGGCCAACTGAAAATGGTGGACAGCTTTCATCGCACCAGCCTGCAGTATGGCATTTCAATGCTCAAGCGCTTGAACTATGATCGCACTGAGCTCGAGCACAGGCGCAAGATGAGCGAGAATGGGCTCTGCGATGTGCTGGTATGGAGCAATGAGCGTGTCATACGCTGGGTCAGCAGCATAGGGCTGAAGGTGGGCTACAAATGCTGCTGCTTCTTTACTTAATATACAAACTAAACTAATCTAATCAATTCTTCTGATTATGATTTGATAGGAATATGCCAATAACTTGCTCGAATCAGGCGTGCATGGTGGTCTGATGGCGCTAGATGAGGGCTTCGATGCCACTGCGATGGGTCTGGCACTGCAAATACCCACACAAAATGCCCAGGTTAATGATAAATTTATTTTACAACTTAATTCTATACTAAACAAATATGTAATTTAGGCACGCCAAATACTCGATACGGAGTTTAGAAACTTGCTGCAAATTGCCACCGATCGCAGGCCGGATAGCGAACAGCGCAGCGCTTCCTGATGTAGCTACAGTCCGCCCACAACATCGGTGGATGAGTGAACAAATCTAAAAACTAAAACAAAAGCCGGCAACAGCAAAGCATAGCGCCAAACTTCCTAAGCGCTGCGGAAGACAACTAAATATGGATATTTATAATGAAAGAATGATGCAAAAAAAAAACAAACAAACAAACAAACCGACAAACAAACAACTAAGCCACAAAATTCTAACAAGAAAGACGCAACGCAAGAGACTCCCAGGCTCAGAAGATATACTGACTGGGCCCGAACCCCAGCATGATGCACGTCTAATCTATTTATATAAATACACACAAACACCCACGCATTCACACATACACACATAGACACACACACACACAGATAGTCATATAATCCATAACAAGACAATGTATACAAGACATAGCACATACTCGACGTAGGAAATACGGAATACGGAATACGAAATACGTACATACAAAGCGTGTATGTAAGTAATTTGCATGAGCGCCCTGCAGCTGTAGGCATGTACAAGTTTTAGATGCTAATCATTTTTATAATTGTTTAACTTCTTATATTAATACTTATATTTTTTTTAACAATGTGACATATATTATTTATGTTGTAGTATAATTGGGCTTGCAATAGACTAACAGTATTTTGTTTTAGCTGCAGAATTTACAGAGATGCGTGCTTCGAACCAAATTCATAACCAAACTTGATTGTTATATAATTTTTTAATGACATTATGTACAGTTTATTATTTTGTTTATCTCTATGCTTTTTTTACACAATCTAACATAGTACGCTTTACATATGACATTATGATATGTTTTAGTTAACTTTTGTGTTGTTGGTCGTAATGCAAGGCGCTCTGATTGAGTTTAATTCAACTGAAGAACAACATGCACAACAATCAGGCCTATATAGTAAACAGCTGCATATATATATACAATTTATATAAATATATATACACGCCTAGTTTAATATACTCACATATAAAGCTCACTTATACATACATATATACAGCAAAATATATATAAATGTATAATTAACATTATCAAGCATACGTGTAACTAACAAGAAAGTATTATAGAGCAGAGTGAAGTGAAGTGAAATCATTGAATGGAGTTGGAGGAAAAGTCACAAGCGCCCATTTATCAACTATTTACATATTGAAAGTCGAAATAGCGAAAAGCTTTAAAGGTAAACAAACCCTACAAGTCTACATAGTACTTAGCCTTTGCTTTTTATGAGTAAAATAAAAACGTTAGGTATGCTACAAGTTTATATTTAAATATTTTGCATAAAACGTAATTGGCAAAACTCGAAGCTCGAATTGCAAACCCAATACCTTGGCTTAAAATTATAAATATGAAATATTCACAAAGCATATCCATTGTTTTTCAAAACAAAACCTCCCTTTATTTTATGTTGTTTATTTAGTTTATACATACTTACAAAGACAAAGGAGGAAAATAAGAGAAATTATTTTATTTTTGGACTTTGTTCATTCATACTAAAATATACAACAAAAAAAAGAAAAAGAGAGAAAAAAACCACAAACACTAAGCAAATACTTGTAAAGCTCTTATGTACTTATATAAATACATACATACATACATACATGTACATCAAATATGTTGAAAGCACACAAACTGCCTGTTTTGCTAACATATTATTAGTTTTATGCAATGGGGTATTATAATTAAGTTTTTAATAATTTGAACAAAAACCAAAACGACAACTAACGCTTTGTCTCTAAGTATATATAAAACTTAAACAAATAACTTCATTTTCAACTGTATTAGCAAAATTAAAAACATGTTCTTAAAAAAAAACCAACAGCTATGACAATACACTAAACGTCAACAGGATACTACATTTGACTATATGAAATGAAATCATACAATCCAAGATAACTAATAACTAAAAAGTAAAGTACAATTCTAGTACTATCTGCTATTTAAGTAAAACATTTTAGTAACAATGAAGTGCTAGGTTTGTTAATTTCTACTTAATAATCTTTACGCTCATCAGATGAAGAACTCTTGAAATTGGAAAGCTCATTTCATTTTTTTTTGGTCACTTGAACGATTTCTGTTGACGCTTAGCGTGTTTAATAATGTACGTAATTGTAGCATTAAAAATCTATAAAAAAATTTATAAAATACTAACGGAAAAATTAAGTTAATTTGAAGAATAATATTGGTTTAATTGTTAACTTTTGTTGAAAATACATTTAAAAAAAATACACTTTACTAAAGTAAAACTAAATACAATATATACAGTCTATTATTATAAAACGAATTAAAACAGAACATGCATATGTACATATATTTATATAACATTGTGAGAAGAAAACTAACAATTTAGTAAAGGCAAAAACTCCGTTTAGGAGTTTTTTATATGTACCATATATATAAATTAAAATTTATTACAAAAAATATGTGCTGTGTTTTTATAAAAAATGAAATTAAACAAAAGTCAAGCGCCAACTAGATTTCTGTATCAGCAGACCCACTATGTTGGTAACAGCTGTGCTCTGTTAAGTTGATGTTATGTGTTAACAGCACCGAAAAATGTTATTTAAGGCGAACTAGATGAACGACAGTTCGAAACTTATTCGTTCATTTTGTTCAGTGATTCATGTAAATGAGCTCGATTTCAGTAGTTCGATAAACCTACAGTGAGCAATAAAAACAAAGAATATATTGTCAGACACGAAATTTGTTTACGCTGTAGTGTCCAATAAGTTAACGGAACAAGTCGATTATAATACCATCTGCGCTGCAATGGATGCCACATCAAGCTTAGCCGACAAGTTGGCATCGAAAACGGCCAGCAGCAACTCACTGGACAGCAGCTCCAAGTCAAGTTCCCTGGGCTCCAAGCAAGGTGCTGAGAACGGTGTGCTGCGAGACACGCCCTTTGCCTACCTGGACGGTGAGGAGGATCAGGACCAAAAAAACGATGTGACCTATGTATGTCCGTATCGTGGACCCGTTTTTGGTGCACTCACCATTACCAATTATCGGTTGTATTTTCGTTCACTGCCGCTGCGCGACCAAGAGCCGCCCGTCGTCATCGATGTGCCGCTGGGTGTGATAGCTCGCGTAGAGAAAATCGGTGGCGCCACGTCGCGCGGCGAGAACAGTTATGGCATTGAGATTTTCTGCAAGGACATGCGAAATCTACGCTTTGCGCACAAACAGCAAAATCACTCGCGTCGCACCGTATTCGAAAAATTGCAGTGGAATGCATTTCCGCTGTCCTATACGGGAAAACTGTTCGCCTTCACCCATGGGGCAGTGAGCGCCAGCTGGGATGGCTGGTCAGTGTATGAGCCGCTGGCGGAGCTGCGTCGGCTGGGCGTGCCCAATGATATGTGGCGGGCGACGAAGCTAAACGAATCCTATGCCATTTGCGATAGCTATCCGGCTGTGTGGGCCGTACCCAAGGCCGCCTCGGATGACATTTTGCGTCGCGTTGCACAGTTCCGTTCGCGTTGCCGTCTGCCCGTCCTGTCCTGGATGAATCCACGGACGCAGGCAACCATAACGCGCTGCTCCCAGCCGCTGGTGGGCGTCAGTGGCAAACGGAATGCAGATGATGAGGCGTATCTCAGCTACATTATGGAGGCCAATGCACAGTCGGACAAGCTGACTATCATGGATGCGCGTCCCAGTGCGAATGCCATTGCCAATAAGGCCAAAGGCGGCGGCTATGAGTCTGAGGATGCCTACAAGAATGTGGAGATCAATTTCCTAGACATACACAATATACACGTGATGCGCGAGAGTTTGCGCAAGGTGAAGGAGGCCTGTTATCCAACCACCGATGACTCCAAATTTCAGTCGGTTATCGATAGCACCTTGTGGCTGAAGCATCTGTGCTGCGTCCTAGCTGGCGCTGTGCGCATTGTGGACAAGGTCGAAACAATGAGCACTTCTGTAGTGGTGCACTGCTCCGATGGCTGGGATCGCACTGCACAGCTGACGGCTCTATCGATGCTGCTCCTGGATCCATATTATCGCACCGTGCGCGGTTTTGAGGTCCTCATCGAGAAGGAGTGGCTGTCGTTCGGTCACAAATTCCAGCAGCGTATCGGGCATGGCGACAACAAGCACTCAGATGCAGATCGCTCACCAGTGTTCCTTCAATTTATTGATTGCGTGTGGCAAGTGAGTTGGCAGTTTAAAAATGCCTTCGAGTTCAATGAGTATTTCCTCATTACCATTGTGGATCATCTGTATTCGTGCCGCTTTGGAACCTTCCTATGCAACACCGAGGCGGAGCGGGTCACAGATGGTAAGTCGAATTTTTATTACTTGATTAACAACTCTATTTATGTTGGAATCTGCATATTATTTAAAAGACAACACAATCAAAGACGTCAATCAATTTCTTTTAAATGTAGAGATGATAATTTCCAATGCCCAATATTTAAATTATACTCATCGAATGCATTTCAGATCTGAAGCACAAAACAACATCACTGTGGACGCACATTAATTCGTCGCTGGATCAGTATCTGAATCCGCTGTTTCCAGCCTCCTCAGATCGGGCCGAGCTCGTGTTGCGTCCCATTGCCAGCACTCGGATCATACGTCTGTGGAAGGGTCTCTACTGCCGTTGGAATCCGGGATTGTGTACGCCACAGCATGGCTGCCAGCGCACAAGGGAACTGCTATCGAAGCAGGACCAGCTCTTTAAGCATGTCAACGATCTGCGCCTGAAGCTCATCAATCGCATTGGCAATACGCAGACGACCACACGATTGGCGTCGCCCATGCGTTAAATGATAAATGTGAAATGTTTTAGTTTGTGTTCTGTTCTTAACTAGTTTGCAATAACTGTATTAACGACATTTACTATACAACATGTATTAACGAAATATTTTAATCCAAAAATCTTGTGTTTAAGCATCTAATAAAATAATAATACATACACGTATTTACTGTGTGTTGCATAACAATCTGTGGAAACTTGTGCGTGTATTCTTTCTGAAATGCTGATAAGAAATACTTTTTGTTTTCATTTCATGTTCAATGACAACTTGACTGCTATTTGATTGATGCGATCGAGTTTTGCTCAATAAAGAATTTCTGTAATTATTGTGTAAAACCAACTGCAGATAACATAAATGTGGTTTTCCATATTAGCACAGATATTTTATCAGCAATTTCGCTGTACATATTTAAATATATCTATGATTTAAGTGAATTATGTCATTAAATCGAATCAAATGCCAAGTAACTGTCAATTACAGGGTGCACTTTACTCGCAGCACTGCTGTATGCAATTTGACCCATGCACCGTTTTGTTTACACACACACATACATACATACATATATGCATACCCATACAAGCACATTAATTCATTGTCATTGCCAGTTAGCGTTGCCATCTGTTGCACACATTCCATTTTCATTCATAAAATTTACCGGACTTTGGCGCCTGCGCACTTGGTACACCCCCATCCCATCCCACAGTGCAGCAATTTGATGACCATTTTGCGCCAAAAATTTAGAAACTCAATCAGTACGTTTTCGCACGTTCATTAATGCAGTCGCATTTGGTCGACGACGCAACTTAGAAGTGATTGGCAGCGCGAAGCATACTAGTTACAGTTTCAGTTTAAACTACCGCTGCTGCTGCTGCTGCTGCTGTTAAGTGCATTAATTAACGAGCTAAAAATATGAAACAATCAATAATATTAAAATAATGCAGTTTAGTTTAATGTTACTGCTACTTTTATTGTGCCTGGGACGTGTGAGTAATGCTGGCGAAGTATTGTTGCTCATCTCGTGTCCACAACAAAGCTATAAAAATTGTCGGGCACTGCGTGAAAATCTTCGCACACAACAACAACTATCGAACTCTATCCCAGCGGATTATGATTATATTATTAAGGTGCACATAATGCATGAACTATTCAATTACTGGACGCTGCTGGACGCGTTGCCGTATTTGCAAAGCAAGACACGTTTGCTAAACACAAACACCGATTGGATTATTTGGTGTCAGCACAACACGCACGTGTCTTCGCTGCGTGCCCTGCTCGACCAGCTACATCGCCTTGATGCGCAAGAGGTAAATAGCCGTCGCAAAAGCAACAATAAAAGTCTATGAAAATAGATTCCAAGAAGGCTTACGGCTCGATAACTTGACAACTTGCCACAGTCCGAATACAAATAAGACACAATTAACATCTCAGAGAAGTAATTCATTTCACGATTTTTGTACACTTTTTCTACAATAAATATTATGTATTTTGGGAAATATTTAAAAACTTTTAACGAATCTGATAAAACAAAACGATAAAAAGATAATATTCCAGCTTATTATTTATTATTGTAGATTGGGACTCAAAAACTAAACTCATATTATATTTTAAGTATTTAAAATTAAAAAATTGCAAGGAAACTCCATTTCCAGGATTACACTCTGAGATCGGAGGACTACAAACTTATTTAAAAACCTTTAAGTTTTCTATTTTTAAACATTGCTACATTAAAATTAGATAAGAAATCGCAATTCAATTTTAAAATCAGATGCTCATTTTGGTATTTTCAGTTGGCTTATTATGGACACGCCTTGTACGATGCCGAGGCGACCATTGTGCATCATTTTGCAAATTACAAGGATCCAACATGGTTTCCATATCCCATGCTAAGTGCAGGCGTTGTTTTCACAGGTGCTCTGCTGCGCAGGTGAGTGCTAAGGGGCAGCTGACAACGTGCATCGTGTGGCCATAACTCTTCGTGGAACATGCATTTTCAGCCTAGTCGAACTTGTTGCTGCTAATGCCCCGAACGCCACAAGGCACAGCGAATTCGCCATTGACGCGGCCCATGAGCTGGCCCGATTCATTTTCGATAATTTAGCACCTGACGTGACAAACGATGATGATGCCAACGGCAGCAGTTACAGTAAAAACATCCACAACGACAAAGAAGACGACGGCTCCGACGACATGTTGCAGCGCAAAATAATTTTGAAAAGTGCTGACTACATTTGTCCCTGGACGAACATGTCGCCAGCCGGGTCGCTGGCATCCCCAGAGACAGGCGCGAGACCAACTACAGCTACAACTACAACTACTACGACAAGAAAAGGCATCCCCCATGTGCCTGCTCTAGCGACTGCTGCGCCTGTGTCTTGTGTGTTGCATGCAAAGCCGGAAGCGACTTCTGGGAATGCCGTGCATTGTGTGAGTTAAATTATGGCTTTATATTCACATTTGAGATTCTGTTCAAAGAGTTGTAGCAGAAGTTTCTCTTAAAGGCCTGTCTTAAGTTTTTTACTTAATTAATTTGTAGAATTAAATCTATGCCATTAAAATGTTGAGGACAACTTGTATTTCTGACTAACTTTAAACTCTTCTTCTGATTGACATCAACTGCTCTGCAATGTAATAAATCTGTTTGGGAAATGCAATGAAAGATGTTGCAATAAGAAAAATGAGACAAATTATGAAATATTTCACAGACAAAATGAGTTTTCTATATGCCATGGAATATGGCAAGGAATATGTTCTGTTTGATGTTGTGTCGATTTAAGTCAGTGCAAATATTAGTGCAGCTACGACTGTTGATAATTGGGGCGGTGAGGCAATTAGCATTTGAAACCTATAACCATAAATTCTCTGGCAACGGTCAAGCAGAACACACACTGAAACTGAAAATCGTTTTACTTCCACCCACAACAGGTGCACACAACCAGCGCACACATCTATTTTGCAATCAAAACCTGTGCTAAATTCCATAAGGAGCGTATACCAATCATCGAACGCACCTGGGCACCCGATGCCATGCGGCGCAAATACTACAGCGATGTGGCAGGTAAACCGGCACAGCAACAACAACAACAACAATAATAACAACAACAACAAATGCGTACGACAACGATGAGCGCAATTAAAGCAAAAGTGGGGGGGTAAATGGATACACACACACACACACACACACACACACACACACACACACACACACACACACACACACACACACACACACACACACACATACACACATTTGCAACACACAAAAACATGGGTCAAACCAAACAAACGCATGCAGCACGAAGCTGCATGACTGCCGGAACGGGAGTCATCCAGCTTCCAGTTGCAGCCATATTGAATATTCATTGACTTGTCTTTGCAACGTTCCACCCCCCAATCTCAAATCAACAAACAAAACCAACAACTGCGACTGCGACTGCGACGACGACGACGACGACTACTTCAATGGCAACCGCAATAGACGCCGGCATACCAACAATCAGCACTGGCCTACCCAATGTACCAACAGGACATTGTGCCAAAACATTGGCAATTTTGCAATTATCCCTCAAGGATATCAACAACCAGACGGACATACGCTGGCTGATGCTTGTCGATGATGATACCCTGCTAAGGTGCGTCTCTCTCTCTCTCTCTCTCTCTCTCTCTCTCTCTCTCTCTATCTGTGTTTGTGTGAGCCACGTATTTATATGCGGCTTACACGCCTCGCAGCACATTCAATTAAAATTATCATTGCTGTTTTATACCCAGTGCATATTTAAATTAAACAAAAAGGGTATCCTGAGTTTGTGCGACCCGATAAGGGTTATATTATATCTGGTCTGTCTGTAAATGTTTATGGAAATTAACAAATATTTCCAAAAATGAATATATAGTTTCTTAATCAGGACAATCAGCTGAGTCGTTATAGCCATGTCAGTGCTTTCGTATATGCTTATGTAAATTACGAGAGAGATTACATACAGTTATAACTCTCTTAACGACCACTGCCAAAACTTGTTCCTAGTTTTATCTCTATTCAACCAAGAATTATATATTTTTAAGAATTGTGAAATTGCCTTTGAGCACAACTGATATGCATTAAGGGGTGTCTGCGAGTCGTTCACTCTTTGATTTGTTTTTTTTTTTGTTTATATTTCACTGATATCGATGAGCGGCATAAATCTGTTACAGCGTGCCCCGATTGAGCGCCCTGCTGAGCTGCTACAACTATACGGAGCACATTTATCTGGGCGAGCGATATGGCTATCGGCTGTATGCGCCGGATGGCTTCAACTACCACACTGGCGGCGCTGGCATTGTGGTCAGCGTGCCGCTTCTGCGGCTCATCGTGGAACGCTGTAGTTGCCCGGTTGACAATGCGCCGGACGACATGATACTTGGCTACTGTCTGCAGGCACTGGGCGTGCCGGCACTACATGCGCCCAGTTTTCATCAGGCACGCCCACAGGACTATGCGAAGGAGTTGCTGCAGCTGAATACGCCCATTTCGTTTCACAAATATTGGCATACCTCGCCGGAGCACACATACAAGCGTTGGCTGAGCGATGCGCTGGGCAATGCCAGTGTGCGTCATGTGGCTGGCAAGGATCAGCCAGCTATGCCGCTAGAGCTGAACGGGTCGGGTCTGCTGCAGTTTTCCAATATGGCAACTGGCTTGGAAGGCAACTCTAAGCACCTCGATCTCTAAGGTGAGTGGCATACCAAACCAAACAAAAAAATGAAAAAGAAATAAATAAATTACCACTGACCGTGAAAATTGGATAAATGTTGTCACCACAAAATTCATGTCTCGTCCAAATTTCAATTTGCTCTGTTTGGAGCCATCAAGCACCTGCCAAGCACACAAATGTCCCATTTTCTACACGGAAAAACTTTACCGTTTTCGTGTCGAGGAGAGGGGAGCGGCAAGCGCTGATTTATTCGTAGTTTTGTTTGTTTGTTTGTATTTGTGTATTGTGGTTTTTGTGTCACTTTAATTAGTGGAAATGCTCAAATGTGGTCGATGTGGCGATGCTGCTGGAAATCTGTCGGACCTAAATGGAAACTAGATTTTCTGTTTTCGAACATTTCGACTATTTCCTGAACAGTCCTCAAAATATTCAAAGAAATCGGATATTCTAGATTTATTTACCTATTATTTTTAATTATTTTGTAGTAGTATTCATAAAAACAGAAATATTCCATAAAAATTTGCACATAATGTTTGTACCTATTTCAGATAAAAATATTGCTATCTCTTGGCTCCGAACTGAAAGACAGAGTTGAAATTGTGATTGAATTCAAATCATTGGAAAAGGCAAATGTAATAAAGTGAATATGAAGCATCTTTCAATCAAGCCGTTATTCACTCATCTTTCCATTTTGAATAGTGAATAAAGTTTGATTTTCATTAGAAATTACGGTAGCAAAAAAATTGCAATTATTCTAATTGAATAATAAATATAAAAATCATATTTTTCTTAGCTTGTAAAATATATATATAAAAAATGCTGAATGTTGTGAAAAATATGTTGTGTTAAAACATGCAAAGCTAACTTAAAAATTACGCTAGTTTCAAATTTCGTAAACAAAATTTTGAATTTGAAATTTAAAAATACAATTTTTCTTATATATATTTTATTATAAAGTCCCTATGGAATAATTATGTAAAACTAAATATATATATATTATGTAAAGTATTCTGATTGAGCTTAAATAATAATATAGGTAATTTCTATTCAAAATGAAATAACTTTAAGGACCTTTAACAGAGCCGACAAATCGTGAATATTCCTATTTACATTGAGTGCACAATTTACATTTAATTTCAATTTCGCCGACAGCCGTCATCCATATCACTTAAAACTTAAAGCATGGCGAAGCATTTCGAATGACTTTCGCACCTTACACTTACTTAAACCTCATTAAATGTAAATTTGTGCAAGCAGCCAGTCGAGGACAGTTGCGCTTCAGGGAAGGTGGCATCAACAGTTTACGCTCGACTGCATTATTCGAGTGGTTTATCCGTCGGTGGTCGGCTGGCTGAGTGAACCGAACTGAGCTGAACTGAACTGAGTTAAGGATGTATCTTTGAGATACTCGCCGATAAATACACAAAGCGCTTCGTTTATCGGCCCACGTTGCATGGTTTATCAATGGGTGCCCCTTCGGCATTCAACAGTCTTCAATGAAGACGCATACCGCAAGTGCATATATTATTCAGATACTAATCAATACTTTTCGCAACTATCCAAAACCAAGCAGTGTGGGAGGAGCTGGAAGGGAGCCCAAATTGGGCAAAATTGCTAAATAGGTGAAAACAATGTGTCAGCTAATTTGGCCGCTCTGACAGTTGTAATTGCCTGCGGTTGTTTCCTTCAATACTTTAATTATTCAATAAGTTAATTAAAGCTTAGTCTTATTTTTGAAGTGACCAACTTTAAGATGTGCAAGGGAAAGTAACGCATTAAATCAGTTTAATTAATATTAAACTGAGTCTCTGCTTTATTATAGACAAGTGCTTAAGAGCTCTTTAAAAACAAAAATATTTGATTTCTAAGCATTGATAACTGTATACATATAAATAGACATATTACAAAAAGAATCTAGTAATATTTCATACAGGATGTGTGATGATACGGCATCTCGATAATTTATTGCAAAAAAACAGAAAAATGTGGTAAAAAATAAATCATGTTTTAAATAAATAAATAGTTAAATTTCAGGTTGATTTACTAGTTGCATGAATAGGTTTGCAACTAATACATACAATCAAAAATGTATGCTTTCAGGGACCTTCTAAGGGCTTGTAAATTTCAGAATAACAATTTCAAATGCATTCGCATCTGTGTCACTCGCTTAACAATAGCTCAGCAACTTAAGTGTGGATGCTATATGCCAGTCTCGCATCTGTTTAAAAACTATTGCATTTATATTGTGCTTGTGTCTGGGCTGCTTATTTGCTTATTTGCTCAGTGCGGCTCTTCTGCCAGCGGCTGCCAGCACGACACTCGACTTGCTTATCTCGTAGCTGGCAGAGCCAACACCTAGCAGAGGAGTCGCATCCACGTCTATGTCTACGTGTACGTGCACAGCCTGCCACTTCGTGGCCTAATTAGTTGCGGATTTTTCAATGAATGTGAAGCAACCACGACATGCCGGCAGTGCGACAAGTTGAATTTCAAATAAATTTAATTACCAACCATGTTGCAGTTAAATAAACGCTACATTTGTATGTACATATCCAAGTATGTAGTTATATAAACACATATGTTTGTATATTGTATCTATCGACGCCAAGGGTAGTCATCTTCCTCAGAATCCGCATAGTCTTCAGGCACATTGCCAGTGGCATAGTCGTCATCATAATACCCATCATCTTCATCTTCTTCTACGGATGTTGCCTGTCTGGGACCCACAAAACTGATGGCATTCCGTGGCAGCAGTTGTATTTTGGCCAAATTGCGTTGCTTCTGGTTCTTGTAGTGCTGAAATAGTCCTGGTTGCATTGGATCACTGGGACTCCAGGGCAAGGCATTGAGTGCGGTCAGTGAAAGAGCTGCTGCAAATAAAAGTTAGTAAATGCCATTTTAGTATATTATAGCGTAATTAAAAACTAAACATATTTTCCACATTTTAGATCAATTTAAATTTCACTTTTTTGTTTATAGGATGACACTTTAACTAATGTATAAAGTGCAACAACATGCGCAAACAGATCTGGAATATATATATAAAGATTGGTAAACAACTGTAAAACGATTTTCACTCACCGAAGCAAAGCAGCACAACTGTCAGATGCATTTTAACAATACCAACTGCGATAGCTTCTTGAATGCATTTGGGGTTTTATAACAAAATTTTGGAGCTGAGCTCATTTGTAACATTCATTTTGGATGCTGATTTTATGAGTATTTAATGGAAAGTAAAAGTTGTCAACCTGCCTTTTACTGTCATTAAATTTCTTTTTGTTTTGTGATTGATTTTATGTTTACAGAACTTTAAATAGTAAAATGATTTTGACTTAATGCCTTATGCAGATTACAAGTTGCCTTCACAACAATTTTAATTTCAGCTCGATACTTCGATTATTTTGCGGAAATACTCCATTTCTTAAATAATTTGCACTTTTTCTGCTGACAAAGTTGAAGCATATTGCCGTTGAACTACTTGTTGTTGCAAGTTTAATCTGTAAAATACATAAAAAAGAAACTCGCAGTAAATGTCAAAAATTGTGCTTATTATCTTGAGAGTTTCATACAGCAGAATATTCTTTGGCATAAAATTACAGTTTGTCCCTTTGGCAGCACCAACACATGCGCAAATGGTAGAGATTACATGGACATGGGTATTTTGCTTGTGGCTACTTGAAAGTAGATTATACGAAACACGCACAATGTCACGTCAGTGAAGGTCCAGCCTGGGTGGTGTCGCTTGCCATCCAGGCGTTAATCTTACTCCAAGCATCAAAAAGTTAAGCCACAAGAAAATGTTGCCCCCGCTAGCCAAAAACACAAAACGAAATGAAGCATGAAGAGAAATTGTTTAAAAAGATTTCCGTTCATACAATGTGCAACAAACTGAGTCTGGGAATTCGACTAGAATTGGGACCGTGTGGCTGCCTCCTCATAGTCCTTGTATTTCTTGGCGCAAGTTTTAGTTCAGCTCAGCTTTTAATTCCCATTTGAGTTTAGTCAAATCGTTAAGTTTTCTATTTGAGTTTTGCATTCACAAACTCACTGGGTGACTTTTTGATTTAATGCGTGTTGTCGATATAAAGGAATATTTTCGAGTTCCTAAGCACAGTAATTTCAAATTCTTGGAAAAAGAAAACATTTTTAAATCATAATAAAAATGAAGAGAAAATAATTACAATTGCAATTGTTGAAATTCGTACATCATACAATGTTTGCATTTACCAAACTAATGTATTTATTTTGAATTCTATGATTATTAAATAAATATTGCTTTGTAGATCTTCATTTTGTTTTTACATTATTCTAAAAATCGAAATTGTCTGCTTTAGAGAATGGGTAAAGGATACCAAACTCATGTAATGTATTTGACTCTCATTATTTAACGAGCTGGAGCTGTTTTTCTTGTTTTAGACAATCATTTGTCATTTGAGTTGCCTCTTAAATAGTGCTAAGAACCAAGTAACGTCATCATCAGCGTGCCACTAATCTTCCGATTTCTATCTTAACAAGTTTTGCTCAAAATACAATTTTGGCCCTGTGTGTTTGCCCTTCTGGTTATCACTGGATATCATTCATTCATCAGTCAAAAGTTGTGCAAGTTCGCAAGTCGCTGCCAGGCATTTGCCAGCCACAAAACAAAAAGCTCAAGCCCTGCCACCCGAACCCATTTAGATCAAAATAGGCAACTTCATTCAAATGAAACGCAAACGAAATCCTTGCAGTTAGGCAGCAATAAATTTCAGTGTCCATGTCGAAAGTTTAACTCGAGGAAAAAACCATTTTGTGTCTATCAGGACATCTAATCTGCAGTCCGTGCAGCAACGCAAGCCAACTGCTGACTAACTGAACTCGAACCCATCCAACCAACTTACCACGTGCAATAAATTCCAAGGCGCAATGTCTGCACTATTTGTGGTGTCCCTCAAGACTTTGGTTTTCGGGCGGGTAACTAGTGAAAGGTGCGGTAGGCTAAGGAAGTCTATGGGGGGGTTAGGAATTTACTCTCACAGCTAAACACGTGCCGCATACGTGATCTGATAAGGAATTAAAGCCGGCACAAACATGTGTAAAGTTGGCCAAATCGCGTCGCATTCCTTTTAAGCCCAACAACCATACGCACTCCCTCTGCTTCCCGCCCTGCTCCTGATCCGTTTCCATTGTGGTTTTGGTAGCACTGGCTGGCACAGGCACAGTTTGACAGGCGGCGTAGACAACTTCGTTGCGCTAATTTACTTTAAATTGGTTTTTACGGCATTCGCTGCTTGTATCTGTGATAAATGACTGCAGGGTGTATTTGGCTGCCACACCACACCACGCCCCCTAACCCTCGACCCCTGTCTTCCACATCCAATGCCAAGAAATGTCTTTCTTATCGCTAATGGCATCTGTGCTGTTTTTTTTTTTATTGTGTTATTTTGTGTGTGCTCCCACGTGGGTTAATAAATTGGTAAATAAAAATTAATGCAGCATAAATTACAAATAGCCAATTCACAAACTTGACGACGTCGCTCTTGACAAATTTCCCTTTGGCCACTTTTCCACACATTTTTTTGGCCATAATTAACGAGCAAAGTTTTTAACCTTTTGTGCAAGTTTTGTGCACCCCAGTCCAGTTCTGTCCAGTCCAGATTGTCCCCTCCCGTCCCATCCAAGAGTCAAAGCCACAATATCGTTGTAGCCATATTGGTTGCTTATCGTTACAAACCCATCTCCAGTGGGCGTGGCATGTCAGCTAATGAGAGAGTGCGCGACTAGTCGAAAAGTTTTCTTTTCGCATTTTTATTGTGGCATAATTAATGAAGGCAACGTTAGTCAAAGTGTTTGCCCGATTAATCAGCAATGCTTTTGGCCCTCTATAAGATTATTGTTCACCCATTTTGTTGGTTGTGGTAAACACCAAAATCGCATTGACCTGCTGTGGGTCGCATTCAATTGGTTGGCATTTGGTAAATATTTTGGTCGACATATGTAATTATGTACAGCTTTAGCTTAACTTATACAAATAAATAAATAGCAGATCAAAGCTACAGCTAGTTATTTCTGTATAGAATAGAATAGAATTAAATGATGTCCTCGATTTCCCTCACCAAAATAAACAAGTTTTTAAATAATTTGAACATAAGTAATGCCCAAAACTTATTCATTTATATCTCACTATATATATAAGCGATCTTAATATATAAAAATAAACTTAAAAATTTAAGAATTTATAATCACTTAATAAATTTATGATTTCCTAATCAATTTTCAGCCAACATCTAAAAATCAAAAATATTTATTTTAATATGTATTATGATCACGATTCCCGAAAATCTGGTTGCATACCAATTTCGCACATTTCATATTAGATTTGTAGAAAATTTGTTATGCGTTGTGCAACACGCGACGGGGTAAAATAAATTTGTTGCACGTGACACTTTGAATGGCCACATCTATGGATTTCGAGGACTGTTAGCAATGTGTTTTTGACCTGGCCAATTGCACAATACTTTTGTTGATTCGTTTGTGGCACAAATTGCGTGCCACAAATGGACGCACATAAATCATGCGTGCGACAAAAATCGCTTGGCAAGTTTTCACGCACAATTGGCCACATTCTAAAGCTCCCCACCTGCAAAAATCAAAGTTTTAACAAGGGACTTTTGTTTTAAAGTCAACATTTGAAATGCATTAAATCTGTTTTGAAAAGAGGAAATAACAATTTTGAAATGTATTCTTCTATTGGAAAGTGGTATATTATAAACTTGTTTGGTGAACTTTTCGGACCCAATTACTTTTTAGAAATAAATATTTTAATTGCTTAATAAATAGAAAAAATGCAGTACTCACTTAACTTTAAGAATATGATTTGCTAATGATTAAAAAATGTGTATTTCGCAACGAATTCTTTTGAGTTACTTCGTGCTTTCATTAATAATTTGCATGAGTATGTTGCATCGACGCTTCAGCAAAGCGAACATTTTTAATAAATTCCCAACTTTTTGCACACGTTCAAAATCAAAAGAAGCGCGACGAACCATCATTTGTTTTTTATGTGTGAGATACTTGAAAGTTCATCCAAATGCTTTTAATGCGGCTTATGGGTGGTGACCTGGCCTCCTCCACCCACGCACTGTACGCCACTGAACAAGCGCGGAAAGCACTAATTAGTCAAGGATTTGGCTGCAGAGATGCGACCCAACCCTCAGTAAATCTGAAATGTAAAGCACGTTTCACATGGTATTTAAAATAAACAAAACATCATTTTTTCAGCATATTTCGAGGCTGTCTTTAATACCCATACTTGAAAAATATTATTTCAAAATATGCGCACGTACACAAAAAGTTCAACGAATCCTTGTTTATTATGGTGAGTTTTATGAGTCTTAAAAAAATTTGTCTTGTGGTGAGGATAAATTGTCAAATGATTGTATTTAGTGAAATTTGTGCATTAAAGCTTAACAGCAAAATTATTTTGCGCATTATCTATGCTTTTGTTACATCATTTGTAATGCGTATTCATTTGCAAATTTAATTACACTCGAGAATTGCACAAAATCAAACCACATTCAAATAGCTATATTCAATCAGCCAGGTTGCCCCTTCGAGAGAGTGCAATTGTGTGTTGCTTGTGTTTATGTGTGTGTCCAAATACAGTGTTATAGTTGTCTGTGCAATTAGGGACATTTCGTTAGAGTTTGACACTTGGAATTTTGATTAATGTATACTAAGAAATGTATGCATGAACTAGCAATGGATAAGATCATAGAAAACTTATCTCATTATTACTAACGATTGCAAACCAATTGTTCCGTATATCTGACAAAAACATGAATTACACTGCTTTATCCAAAAAAAAAAAAGCACATTCAATTAATTAGCATCTATTTACAGGACATAGGACACGACACAAGGCAAACGTGCATGACAAACTTCCGCTTTTCGGTTCGGTTAAATAAACGCAGGTTGCGGCCACTGGGCGTGGCTCAGCACAGCACAGCTTTTGGGGCAGAGTGGTTTGTTGCATTTGTGGCTTGTGTGCAGTTTTGTTTTCAGGCCATTTCACAGGCACATACGAAAAAGAGGACGAGTAGAAAATTGAACAAATTTCTACGAAACAAAAATACGTGCAAAGTTTACAAAAAACAATTTTGTTGTGGCTTGGATGCTTCCGTTGCAGCTCCTGCTGAGGTTGTTTAATTATTTGCCATTTAAAAACTTCTGCTTAGCATTCGGATTTGACAGCTGATCTAGCTTTTGATGTTCATTTAATTTGAGATTGAAATAAATAAAAACGCAACCCAATGTAATGAACCTTAAGTGAACATTTTAGTGTTTAATTTGTTATCTCAATTAAGTATTCCAACATAAAAGTTATAGAAATCGCATCATAATTTTTTGTTCACCAACATATATTTTTTAAATGTGTGGTGCTCATTTTGCAGTGCTGCCACATAGCTAAAAACAAATGTTGCCTTTCCTAGTGTTGCCAATTGGCTGTTTACACGCGAAGTTGGCTGCGCTACCAAAAACAGCTGTGAGCCAAAATAATCAGCCAGTTTGCGCAGTTCAAATAAAACGTGTTTACAATAGTTTTAATTGTTTTTGCTCAAAATAAAACATACAGCATGCCAGAAATTGAGGGCTATAGAGGTAGGAGTTTTAAAAATTGTATTGAAAATAATTAATAAATCGACATTTACAGTTGTGCCGCTGCGAATGTCGCCAGATGCCAAAAATTGTCACAGCGTTTACATGCGGGAGCATTTCATACGATTAATGGATCCCAACAAACCAAAAGGCCGCACGCTATTTTTGCTTAACGTACCGCCCTACGTAACTGAGGAGAGTTTGCAAACCTTCTTCAAGACAGCCGGCAACGTGGAGAGCGTTTTGTTTGCCGAGAAACCTGGACGCGACGAGACGACAAAGTGGTACGAAGGAATGGATGTTCCCTTCTCAAATGCACAGACACCATTCAAGTTCAAAGTGGCCTATGTGGTGTTCCAGAAGAGCAGCAGCATTGGCAGGGCGCTAGCCATACAGAGCCTCGATTTGTACAATAGTAGCGGCGAGTGCATCATCAAAACGGGCATGGAACTGTGGCACGAGGAATACGAGAAAAACTTTATGTTAGATGTAGCGAAGACGCAAACAGAGATCGATGCCTACATGGCTGCCTACGATAAGAGCGAGCGTGCCGCACTCGCAGCAGCCAAGGCAAGCGAAGCCGATCCTAATGGCTGGGTGACAGTGGGCAAAGAGGGACGCAATGCAGGATTCGAGCAGAAGGAATCCGTTATTGGTCGCATCGAAAGCAAGATGCAAAAGGACAAGAAAACCAAGGAGCTGAAGAACTTTTACACATTTCAAATACGCGAAAGCAAAATGCAAAACATTGTAGAACTGCGCCAAAAATACGAAGAGGACAAGCGAAAAATTGAACTGCTGAAGCAATCGCGACGCTTTAGACCATTTTAACAACGTCTAAGGTAATAAGTAGTATAATAAATCAAATAATTACAAATGTATAATATTTCTATAAATGAGTTATACTAAGAAAAGAAGCCTACCATAATAAATATTTCTGGTTTTTCTTATTCAGCTTGTGGTATATATGCATAATATATTTGACATTTATATTGTTGTCCAACTTGAATTTTTAAAAAATGTTCCTCACTCAAATGGGTTGATCAGCAAAATAAATGAAGAATCTTTTCTCTACTACTAAGGCTATTGAATAAAAGAAAATGTGTATGGTAATTTTTTATTAATTATCGATCACATTTATGAATAGTTTCCACAAATCATTTTATCTGAGGTCAATAGGTGCAACCGGCGTGATAATTAAATTAGGAAGTGAAACGCGAAAAAAATATTCACAAATACCAAGCATCTACAAAAAACACGTTGCGGCAGCAAAATGTGTGTGCAAGCAAAGGTTAAAAGTTGAGGAAGAAAAAAAAAGTTAGGGAATAAGTGCGCGAATATGTTGAATATGAGTTGCATGACATGACCGCTGGCCAAAATCCTCATAAATTTATGGCATTGACACTTTGCCGCGACTAAATCCTGGCCTGGCCTGCCATAATTTCACGGCAATGCCATAACTTACATTCATATGCCGTCCCGCAGTTGGGCTCAAGGAGGTGGCCATAAAAGCGCATAAAAAGCAAACAAAAAGCCTGAAGAAATACAAAAACAACAACAGCAGCAGCAGCAACAAGAAGCAGCGCAGCGCAGCGCTTATTGTGTGATAATCGCATATGGTTTATGTTAATTTGAGAAATGATAAAAATATTTCGCTTATCAATTTTAATCATCATAATCGTCGCGTTGCCATCGTCGCGACACAGACTCCAACCAGCGCAGACCTCGCCCCAGGCCCAGCCTGGCACAGCACGCGATCCGGATCCGTTGCCTTTGCTGCTGCTGCTGCTGTAGCTGTTGATGTTGCTGTTGCTGTAGCCATGAGAGAAGTGCATGAGACTTTTAGGCTTAATGTGGCGCGCGTAAATTTCCAATCCCAACTATCTACCAAACTGGGTAATCGGAGAGTCTGGCTCCGAGTGAAATACAAACGAGGTACGCGTTGGATAACGCATATGCGCGAACAACGTGGCCATTGTCGGATTTGTTGTTGTTGTTATCTGTGGTTGTTGTTGTTGTTGTTGTTGTATGCTTGTCATTGGCTGTGGGGGCATAGCCTACTGTGGAGCCTTAAGACAGCAACACATTCATAATTTCTTCCGATTTGTATCGTTTTTAAACATTTTAAATTGATTAAAACGCGATAAATCATAATCGGCCAGTATCTTCTGAAACTCTTTGGGGGCTTGTCGAGTGGAGCGTCTGCGTCTGCGACTGCGACTGCGACCGGGTGATGGAACGATTTATGAGCCTTGAACATAATAAAGTGTTAACGGAACGAGTTATTAAGGTAATCTGAATGCGCATAAGTTAATAAAAGCTCGTTGCACTTTCGTTATGGCTGCGACGATTTGCATTGGAGTTGCGTTGCTGGCCGCGTCTAAGGTTGCATAGGCCCCGTTGCGGACACACACAAGATGTCGAAAAATATAACATAAAACGACCACACGTACGTCTCCCATGCTGCGCAGCAGGACGCCGGCTCAGCTCCAGACGCTCCAGAGACCGAGAAAACCAAAAAAAAAAAAAAAAAGAAATACAAAAAAAAAACACAAACGCCGTGTCTTGTGAGCAGAACAATCAATAAATTTGAACACGTGAGCGGGACGCGAATGCAGACAACAGCAACAGCAACAACAACAGCAGCAACAACAACAACAGCAACAACAACAGCAGCAGCAACAACAACAACAGCAGCATCAACAACTTAACGGCAACAACATAACAACAGCAACGAGTACAGCGCGATAAGTGATCGCCGTGTCGACTGATTGGCCACAAACAACAGCAACAACAAAGTGCACAGATATTTTTTTGTTTTTGTTTTTGTTTTTTGCAGTTCGGAGCTATTTGTAGCTAAACATATTAGTTGCTATGAATTGTTAGTCTTGACTCTGGTAGATGTTAAGTTAATTGAGTTAGAAATTGAACAAAATTAATCGTTTCGATCATTGGCAATCGTAAAGCTTATGCCACAAATATCAAGATCGGTGTTAAATATTTATCATTTATAATTTCAACCTAAACATTTGAGGTGATTTGTTATGTTCATTTTATTCAGAGTGTAAGATAAGTAGCTTCAAAAGTAGACTATGCTAAATTCAATAACTTAATGGAAACTTAGCAACTGAAAAAACACTTTGCTCAAGTTCAGCCACCGCCCGAAGATTATTGGGCCTGTGGAGTGGGTGAATATTTGTTGGTGGGTTTTGCGAATTGTCATCTACTTGGCAACTCAATAACAATCCCCAAAATTATACCAAGTCGCTGTATCGACATCATCCATCATGACTGGCATTCTGCGTGCCGCCGAAGCACCGTATAAATTATATCGCCTCGTATTGGCCACCACCTCGCGATAGCGACGCACCGGAGCACGTGCCATATGCAGCTCCATTAGCTCCCATTCGTTAATGTCCTGGAAGACGGAGCGCAGCATATGCATGCGTCCCAATAGTTCCGTCTCGCGCAGACCTTCGTAATTGCGTCCGGTGCGTGAGCGAAAGGATTTGTATACCTCACCCTGCTGCTTCGTTTCGGTTGCCACTTGCAGCTCCTTGCGGTAGAGCGCTCGTATGCCACGACCCAAATGACGAATATGCTCAAAGTCGCGTATATTCAAAGCCACCAAGGCGATGGCATCCAGATTGAGCAGCTTGTGCCCATCAATATAGTTCTCCCTGAAGGTTTGCTGTGAATGCAATTTATGAAAGACTTTAAAATTCTCAAAAGCAACTTAATGTAAACTCACCTCATACTCCGGATAGCCAAATTCACGGAGCCATTCAGCCACCTCATTTATGCTCCACTTGAAAACCTCGGTGCGCCCCTGGGCATCCACGACAGCGGCACACAGATTGAAAAGGGAGTCTGGTGAGGCTCTAAACGAGAGCGGCACATCGTGCTTATCGTACTCCACATCGGGATACATATAGCTCGGATAGCGAAAGGAAAAATCCTGTTCCTCATCGCAGTCAGCTGGTTCGCTGATGCTCAGACTTTCCATATCAAAATTGCGCCGAAATTGCGGCGTCGATGCCGACGACGACGATGAAGACGACGACTCCATTCGAGCGGATGACACGTACTGTATCCTACCTAACCCAAATTTAGTTGCCCCAAGTCAATCTGATTGCGGTTTTCCCCCAAGAGTATCCTGTTCGTGTTTGTTTACATTGCTTGCTCGCGTTTCATGATACTCTTCAGTGTGGAGTGTTTTCACTATATAATAAGAATAAGAATTTATTATATTTTGGAAAGTATATTCTTTATTGGGCATTATAAAAAAAAAATCTAAGATATAAGTTTAACAGATCCAATTTTCCAACAGATTTATCCATAATAAATACATTTTTTTATTTGTTTTTTTTTTTTCAGCTGAGAAGCGCAAAAATATGTTAAGGGTATTAAAACTTTTCTAATTTACGTTAACGTGCTGTTCTTTCATTTTCTTTTCCCGTGATTGCATTTGCATATCAGTCGTTTTTTTCGGGGTCAATTGGGTGGTTGCGGAGGGGGCGGAATTCGTCGCCGCATTATGTGCTACGTACCGTCACGCCAGGACTCCTATTAATAAAACGAACTTTGCTTCACAGTATTTGCGTTTCCGCTTTTCTTTTATTTTTTTTTATTTTTATTTTTTTTGGTACTGATTGTTGGTAAATATTTTGCGAGTTCGCAAAGAATATTTAATGAGTCACAACATTTTAAGGAGCATGCAATTGCAATTGCAATTCAATGATTTGTTTATGTTGCTTATTCTTAGAATGCGGATAGATTTATGAGTTGAACAAGCGCTCGACACCGTTACCCACTTTATTAACGGGCCAGACAACATGGAATTGTGTTGCGCAGAGATCACTCAATTCCAGACAAGTTGGGCATGTGCCCATGCCCATGCCCATGTGCCGAAAAGAGATAAAACATCGTTGGCGATATCGTCTGTGTCTGTGGCTCCGCCCACTTGCAATGGACGGCTCGCATTGGCTGCCGGCTGCCATGCTGCCTCTCTCCGTATGGTGTGGGCGCCTGTAGGGAGCTGTGTGTGTCTGCTCGCTTCGATGTGTGCGTGCCGAGTACGGCAACATATGGAGAAATCGGTAAACAAATCTCAATAGCGATCAATGAACGATCTCTGGCTGAGCTAATGACACAGCATTCTGTGTGTTTGTATGTAAACAGCCAAACCGTGTAGAGCCAGTTTCCCATGCGAGCAACAGTGGGCAAAATGTGACGAAATTCTGATGGGATTAAAAGTGGTTTGATATATTAATAAACATTAGACAAATTTTAAGTTGAACATGCAATAAAATATAGAGCAACAACTTAAAAAGTTTTGCTTAATGTTTATAAATTAATCAGAATATTTAATGCGTAGCTTTAATTTATTTGGATTGGTATTTAAATGGAAATTAATTAAAAATTACACCATTTATTGAATACTGTTTACACTCCGAAAAAAAAATTATTTACTTAATCACAATTTTTATTTTATTTTAAATGTGTATCAGGTCATTAAAATTACATTTATTTGACATCTTATTAAATTCATTATTTTTCTTAAATTGAGAATACAACAAAATCTGTATTGAGTGTTTCTCCACATTAATCTGTGTTTGTCACAATGTTGCCCACTGTATCGATCCACACACAATCACTGAGATTTACTTCACCACAATACTTATTCGTGTATGCGCCCAACGGCAATCGATGATCGCTGGTTGGGTTTGCTCCCGGGCCGGGTCCATTTAGTTCCGTGTGGGTTGTCTTAGCAAACGGTTTAAGCTTGATGCGCCCCCAACATTTTGTGCACTCGTGTCTTTTGATATTCTTTTATAGCGACGGTGTTTTCCATGTGACATGATCGTCAATTTATGCTGTTTCCGATTGGCAGGCATAAACTGAGCAATGTTACTACACGAAAGTGCCAATATGGAACAGAGTGTGCCCGAGAATCTCAGCACGCATGTTTTTAGCGACTGTGAAATGAAGTTGCAGGTGCCCACTCGCGATCCCGTCGATGTCAGTGAGAATGGCTGCAACTCGAACAGTGATTTGCCAACCAAAGATACGGTCTCGACGCCAAGTCCTGCAACAAGTGTAATCAATTCGAACACATCAGTCACCAGCAGCAACAGCAGCACAACCAAAGTGAAACTAAGTTTCAGTGTCGATCGTTTGTTAAGCGCCGAGCGCACCAATCCTTCGACATCCCTAAGCCCAACGTCCTCAAGACAACAATGCTGTGATGGTAGTGTCTTTGCCTGCTGCACATTTCCAAGCTGCTTTACACACTCCACGGAAGCTGCTAATCATGCTACAGTCTCAGCTCCTCCCCAAGTACTGACAAATACACACGCATACGCCTATGCGGGGTTAGATAAATTCTATCCGGGATTATATATGGATTACAAGTCTGTGTTAAGACCCACCCCCATTCGTGCCGCTGAGCATGGTAAGAACAATTATGCCAATTTATATATTAAATGAAGCGTTAAACTTTGTTTAGATATATTCTGCAGATATTAAAAATTGACTTGTGTAAGAAATTTAGAATGAAGAATCCATTTTGTAGTGCTATCATTAAGAAATCAAATTGAGCAACTTACTTAAATTAGTTCTTATTGAGAATAATTTTGTTAATGATTAGTGAACACTCAAATTCCGCTACCAATATGCGTCAGAATTGCCACAATCTTATAAAATACTCAGCTTATCGTAGCTTTAATCTTTATGACTGATATTAATTAATGATCTAGAGTCTAACATCCAATTAAGTACCTCAAATTAAAGTGAGCAAAGAAAATAAATAAAATTGTATTATCAATATAGTCACCATTATAGCTAAAGGATTGGCAACTAACCAGAACTAAGAAGAGTTATTAAGAGATTTAACATAGCTATAAACTATGCTTTATTTAAATTAATAAATGTATATAACATGATTCGATTAATAATAGATGAAAGTTCAATATCCCCTCATTATCGATGCTGGGCAACCTTTGCAAACAATCTTCCGTCATGATCAAAAGAATTTTTCCCATTTGCCAATCAAATTCGGACACATTCTTTGCACCCACTCATTATAAACTGCAATGCAATCGGCATTGTAAAATAAATGATACAAAATCTACATTCCGGAGAAAACTGTAAGCACTTTTAGACTCAACCAAATGGTTTGGCCATAAATCGTGCGTTTTTATTAGAATTATTAGTTGATCTGTGGCCATATTGTGCAATATTATTGTAGCCAACTGTTTGTGGCTCGTTCTTGACGAAAACAATTCGTTTGTTGAAATCGACAAATCGACAAAGATATCTCCTCAACGTCGGTCCGTATTTACGTTACTTCCTGCTGTTTTGTATATCAGGGGACGACTCATGGACTGCCTGCCTGCTTGCCAGCCCATGCACTTTGATCTTGTTTATATGAAAAATAGTGAGAAATATGTTTTTTCTTCTTCTTCTTCTTGTATATTGTAGATTGGTATTGTTTAACTTGTTGTTTGCCTTTTTGCTGCTGCTCTATTCAAATATGTTCAGCTACCTCGTTTGTTTTAAACACAATTCTTATCAAGAGGGTGTTAAATAGCTGAGAGCCTCAATTGATACAGGCGTTGATGGGTGCAGCCCGGAAGTATGTGTTGCATTATGTCATCATATTGGGGAAGATTGTGATGGAAAAGATGCCATAAAAAAATCGAAATACTACTAATCATTTTTATAGATCAAAATGATCAAAATCTTGTTTAAATCGTTTGACAATAAATTGAAGGGAACACATCATAATTGTTTATTTAAAATAAATAAATTACAAATTATTAAAAGCCTGCCAACTTCCTTGTAATTGTGTTAGGGACTTCCTGAACCGCTGCTCTTGATTTGATTCATCCATGTCAAAACCAGAAATGATATCATTCAACAACATTTTCGCCTTAATAGCACTTTAAAGTGGCAAACAAATTAGCGCCACATGAAAACTAATTTGGCAGCCCATCAATTCAATGTGAACGTTTATGAAAATTATTATCAAAATTAAATGATTCTTGAATACATTACCTACTGAGGGCGAAAATGAAATGCCAATTAGCACGTGGCATTAAATTCGACATTTCCTCAATCAACAGCAAAGCCAAAAGTGAAAACCAAAAACTAAAAAAAATAAACATGGGTTTGAAGTGAAGTGTTTCATCAATCCTGTGCTACATTAAATAAATTAAATTCAAAAGAACAAAACCGAAATTAACAACAATTTATGAACAAATTAGGATTCAGACTTAAAAATAAACTGCCTACGCTGGCAGCATCAATTGAAAACTGCTTGAAGTGAAATTTGTTTATTTGCTTGAGCAATTGGCCCCGTCACTCAGGGGCAGCCAATCCATCCAAGCATATATAATGAATTGTTCCGTTCATCTAAGAGCTTTTTAGCTAGCGGCCAAAAGGAGCTGAATCTTATCTGATAGATTGGGGCGCCGCACGGCCAACTACTGTGGCTGAATGTGAATGCTGCCGTTTAAGTTAATGACATGCAGCATTCTTCTGACGGACTGACTGAAGAACTGGCTAACTGACTGATTGAAGCTATGCGGTATTTTAAGGGGCAATGCGAGGCCAACTATTTACACAGCCACCCACTGTGGTGGCCCAGGCTCACCCAGCTACCTGTGGTGCCAAAGTTATTTTACCAATTGCGTACAGATGATATCTCTAGTGAAAAAATTGAGACAGCAAGAGAAAGAGAGAGAGAGAGAGAGAGTAAGCTTTAGGGACCTGCTCTAAGCATTCATTTTTGATGGATTGATCGCATCGCATCGCACATCATAAAAAACCATAGCCTCCAGGCAGTCACAGAACCATTCGACTCCAGGTTCTCCATTCTATCTCTACAGCCTAGTATTTGTTGCTGTTTGCTTGTTGCTGTTGCTGTTGCTGTTGTTGCATGGGTGTTGAGTAGTTTGTTTGATTGTTTTTCCCTTCGGCCTGGCGATCGATCGATCGATGAATCGTTGAAGATCTCTTTTCTCTTTTTGTTGTTGTTGTTCTTCTGCTTGTTTTTGTGCTTATTTATGCATCGTTTGGGTTAAATGCTGCGGGTCGGGGCCAATAATTTGGCGCCGCTTGCCTAATTAATTAACAATTTATATGTTAATCCAATTGCTTGTGTCTTCTTCCACACCGATGTGATCAATGATCAACACAAAAGTATTCGTCTTGGCCGGATTTAAAGCATACTGTCTTAAGTAAAGTTTGTCATAGTATTCGGCACTATTCCCACCAGCAGGAAAGCTTTCACTTACCGATGTCAGCCTGTAACTGTTTTCATATGATTTTCTTCGCTTCAGGTTTAGGCCGATATCAACACATCACTTTGATCAATTATCAACTTATTGTTGTTCAATATATATTCAACGATTTCGATCTTGATCTTTGGAAATATAATACTGATGATAGCTAATTGAATTTTAGTTTGACTTTGTCTTTTTTTATATTCCAAATGCATAAAATCAAATAAAATACTCATCTTGATAACAAATTATACAAATTTTGGAGATTATTTTGTGCTAATTTGTTAATTTTTCATCAATCAGCTAAGAATCATTTAAACCCAATAAAAAGTCTTGTTAAAATCATTTAAACCATTTAAAATATCTGAAATCTTTTGGCATCTTATCATCCTCAGCGTTGATCAACGCTCAACGAAGTGGAAATTTCAACAAAAACTGATTTAACAAAATGTATATAAATAAATAGTGAAAGAAATTTAAACGGTCAACAGCTATAAAATAAATATAAATATATACATATATTTGTATATATAAATATGTATATCGACATAGCATTTAATTCCGCTGCATAAATTTAATTGAAAAAATGGTCTGATTGTGATGTTATTTTTACAAGGCAGACTGAAGACTATATTGAAATGCAGATATACAAAGGCATTTCCAAATAATGAAGTCCAGTTGGCATCCATTTTTGTATATGTTTCCCATTTAGTCTTTGCCTTCTCATTCTCATCAGGGTCACAGATATGGTTTGCTCATGCACCTGCTGCCCACATGGCTTAAGGAGCTCGTTGCTCTCGCGTTTCTCTGATTATGGCAATTAATCGTCTTGCACTCGAAATGCATTCAATTGTTTACTCAAAATGTGAACTCGCAAAATATTCGCTAGCCCATAAATATAATTTCACAACGCAAATAAATCGATACAATTTAAAGCGGGCCATCAATTTGTTAATAGCCACAAATATTGAGGATGCGGATGTTGGCCAGACCAAGACTGGTTGGTTAATGATTTAAGATGCAACGCAAAAATGATCACAACTCATTAAGGTACCGGTATTTACCGCATCGAGGCGCTTGACCGAAATGTATCTCTTATTTACAAATGTATCTGTGTGTGAGATGCGGCAATTAAAGGCTCGCTGAGGTGTTGAAAAGCAATGGAAACTCATTATAACAAACCGGCGGCAGTTGACATAAACCAAATGCCGCCAATTAAGATAGAGGCGTGCTCGTTATTGCACTTGCAGTTGCAGATACAGATATACAGTTGAGATACAGATACAATTGTAGCTAAGCATTTCCGTTGCAATGTAAATACACATTAGATCGCTTGAGTTTTGAGTAAATAAAATGCACCATGAAAAATAATTAGACGCATGCCGCGTGTACAAACAAATTGGAAATTGATTACGCATTGTAAAAATCGTGCGCACAGTTTATAAAAAACCAATAAAAATGCATAGACTAGTTTAAGCGTTGCCACACGATAAAAAAAAAAAACCAAAAACCAAAAATGAACTGTATTTCATGAATTGGTGTGCAGTACGCATATTTAAAAAACATTTAACCGCAAAACACACTTTTGGACCAGGTACCAATTCTCTAGTCTCAGCCACATCTCGTGCCCCATGTCGTGCTCGATTACCCCAAATAATTTTTTGGTCCGCTAAGAGGTATTTGCTTATGTGTGTTTTGTTGTTGAATTTTGGCAGTGTGGTGTAAACAATTTGTTTAGCCGCAACGCTGATTATTTCCAATTAAGTGAAAATTTTATTATAAACAAACTCATTTAAATATTTCCAACGTGCGTTTCATTGAAAATAATTTACTCAAGCATTTTTTTTTTTTTTGTGAAAATTGTGTTTTAATATTTTTTCATGTCGAATATTATTGAGTTTTAAACTCTGCGATTAGGGAAATGCGTAAATTGTATTGCAAAATATATTTTTACCCCGGCGGATATAGGCTTGCACATAAATATATATGCGGAGGATGTTAGATGCCCAGTTGTAAAAATAAATAAAGTAGTGTGAAATTAAAGTTTCGGTTAAAAGCATTTCCTGAAACACAAATACTTAAGGAACCCAAATAAATACAAAATATACTACGCGTAAGTAGGCAAATAGATAAAAATAAATTATTCGAGATCAGATAAAATAAAAAATCGTTTGTGCTACGTAAATAACTATTAAATTATATGCTAATTACCCAGTCTGTTCGGTCAATTTAAGCGTAAATAAAATATAAGATATTTCCGATCCCATTAAGTATATAAATAAGTTTTTTCTTACACCAGAACAAAGAAATAAAAAATATACAATTTAAATACACTTGCAGCCTGAGCACCAAATGCAAATAAATAATAATTATTATTGTCTGCTAAATGGAGTCACACATAAGTAGACAAGTGCTAAAATTCTACGAAAATTTACATTTATATATTCCGGACGGATGTGGCCAATATTTCATTAAAATATCTTTAAAAACAAAAACTTAGTTAATAAACAAAAATAGGAGCATTGCTATATTAACAAAGCTTTTGATGATAATCAAAATAATATATTCTTTATGGCATGTGCCATTCACCACATGTATACAACTATTAAGAATGTGTTCTTCTATCCACACTTAAATGATGTACTTCTATAAATAGATTTAGACAACTTTTTTTTGTTCTACAATGCGAATGATTATTTTTCTTCTTGCACCCTTAACAGCAACTTTTCCGACCCTGGCAACGAACGCGCTAATGCGATTCCATCAGCAGCAGCAACATCATCAGCAACATCAGCAGCAACAGCAACATCTTCACCCGCAACACCAACACCAGCATAAAGCAGCAACTTTGTTGAACAGCACAACGTCGGCGCTAAACGGCCTAAAGACGCTGCAGTTGACGCAGCAGCAACGTTTTCTGGCCAAGAGTGCGCAGCAGCAGATGCTCGACATTCCTATAACGGCAACAGGTGCTGCCGGCACTTCACAAAATGGCGGGCACACACACAGCAACAACAACAGCAGCAACAACAATGGCAGCAACAGTGGCGGCAACAATATGAACGGCAGCAACAGCAGCAGCAACAACAACAGTGGCAAACGCAAACGTTCCTGGTCACGTGCCGTCTTCACAAATCTGCAGCGCAAAGGACTCGAGATTCAATTCCAGCAACAGAAATATATAACCAAGCCAGATCGTCGCAAATTGGCAGCACGATTGAATCTCACAGATGCACAGGTGAGTCGCGTGAATGAAAGAAAAAAAAAGTATTCGCTAAACTCGTCGATTCACAGGTCAAGGTGTGGTTCCAGAATCGACGCATGAAATGGCGGCACACGCGTGAGAATCTCAAAAGCGGCCACGAAAAACAGCCAACACAGCAAAACAATGGAGCCGGAAACGGAACTGGTGCTGCCAAGCAGCCATTGCTGATAGCGACTGGAATTGTCGCTGCCAGGCTGCACGAGCCGTTGGAGTACAGCTCCGACAGTTGCTCCAGTGTGGATCTAAGCGAACGAGCCGACGACGATGATAATATTGAAATCGATGTGGTTGAGTAACGATTGAAAAACATTTATGTATATATTCTTTTGGGATTCATGCATACACAGTGTGAAAATTCTGATGCAAAATGTTTATATTAAATTAAATTTAGCTTATAAAAATAAATTACGTCTTCATATTTATGCACATTAAATTATTGTACAATAAAAATTCAAATTTTCAATCGATTAAGAAAATATATGCATAGATTTGTATATATGTTAGTCATGTATAATTGTATTATGGTGAAAAAAAACTCGAATTTAAATTTTACTTATAATAAATTAATGAACAAAATGCATGTATAAATTATAGATTAAATGATACCTTTTAAAAATAATCCAAAATCAATAGACTCTTTATTTGCAATGCACAAGCAACATTTGCAGTCAAAATTAGTTGAAAGAAATGAAAAATGTAAGTATTCAAACTAAGAAACTAATTACACTGCTTAGTTATGGACTGCAACGCCTTCAAGTATAATAAATGGCAAAGAAAATAGTTAACACCTTCTTTTAACAAAGAAACTTCAGAGATTTACAATCATTTTGCTTACATACAGTAAATGCTCAATTGGTTAATAATTTAACTAATGAGCAGTCATATTCCATAATTCAAATAATCTGACCAAGTACCATACATACTTATAAAAACACACATTTATTCATTAGCTCATCATTTCATAATTGAGAAAGTAATATATTAATTTTTAAAAACAAAACAACAAATTGCTGGCCATTTGCTCTTAGCGCACTCTTTGCTCTCTTACGGCGCTGGCAATATTAACAAAAAGAACACGCAATGCCAATTTCTTATACGTTCTGAACACATCAAGAACCGAAAATTTAATTAAGGGTATACCGCTGCGATCAGCAAAATTTGAAACGGCGACGAGACCTTCTAATCTAGACAATGATAAAACCCGATACCGACGGCAACGCAAGACGACAACAGTTGGTCAACCGGAGGGGCATCTGCCGCAGCGGATCAGTGAGACAATTAGACAAACAGTGAGAGAAAATTATTGACGTACGACATTGAAATATTACTTCAAGTCTAAATAAAATTATTGTTGTACTCTCCAAAAGAGCATTGTTAGTTTGTGAACACATTTGTCATGCAAGTAAATAACTCTTTATAGCTTAAACGAATTCTATTCTACGACCAATATTAGAAGATGGTTTAAAAGACCATAATCCACTTAATTTAATCTTAATCGGATACAAATTTAACTGGTAGTTTTCAAGACATCTTCAAATAAAGTCTTTAGACAATAAAAATAAAATATCAAATAGCTATTACAGTTTTTAAAAGTGTATTTATTTTGGGCTAGTTTTACACAGATGTATGTAGTAGCTCAACGTATTTATAAAGGGGAGGCTTTTCCGCAGTGAAACTGTTCACAATTTAATAGTGTATACAAGTATCGACCTGCCAAATATTGTATTTTCTTAGTGGTGTTTTTAGAGCGCTTCGTTTGTTCAGTTTGTTGACGCTAAGCGCAGCGAGCGGTTGAAATTTCAGTTACTGGACGGGCGGCAATGTGACAGCTTAATTATTGAGCTAAAATAGTTTGAGACGAGCGCAGTCGGATCAGAGCAGAACCTAATAGTAGAATTGCCATAAAATGGGCAATGTGCAAACGCGTCAATTCGAGTCTCGCAATGCGACAAATAGACGAAGTAGTAAGTCATACGAGGAAAACTAAGAAATCTTATAGACAACCTTTGTCATCTCTCTCTCGCTGCCTTTCTATCTTTCTAGGCATTCTTTGGAACTTCCGTTATCCCAATGCGACAAGGCGGCGCGACGATGTCGCCATGATAATACACAACTCCAGGCTGAGCATTGACGAATGGCTAAATCTGCTGGATCTGCAGCAATATGAAGGTCAGTTTGGTCAGCAATTTTGACAGTATTTACTCATATGTCACACACATCCGCTCAATTAGACAACCTGAAAGCATATGCCACGGTCGATGACGTTGGAGACATTAACGATCGAGATCTGAAGCGTTTGGGCATCCGTAGTATAACCCATCGCCAGAAAATGCTCAACAGTTTGTTGGGCGTGCGTGCCAAGCGACGGCAATCGATGAATCTGGAAGGTGAGCAATGCTATCAATACGATAATTCATTTGTAATCTAGCCATAGCCAACCATTATCTGTCCAGCAATGCGTAGTGCGCCCTGTTCGGTGCCGCGACGCAAGGGCTCCTGTCCGATGGTTTATCTAGATGCAAATTCAAGTGATCTGACGGACAGCAACGATAGCGGCGCTGCAGCTGTGATTACCACCAAAAGTGGCAAGGTCTTAAAGCAATTGACTTTCGATGAAACTACAACAATGTGAGTATATGCATATGAGTAAAAAGTGAGTTAATTATTAGGTTCTCAGAAAGCTTAAAAAAGTGTCTGTATTTGCTGGGCTGTTTATCAAAAGAACTGATTTAGCAAGAATATGATTTAGCAAGAATATTCAAAACAAGTTGATAGCTTATCAGTTTTTAAGGCTTGCATTGCCTTCATCTTAAGTTCTGTTAGTATCTTATACATAATTCTTATTTACGCATATTTTTATAACTATACTTATGATAAATTATACGTAATTCAATTGACTTACCAATAATTGAAAAAAATAATCTAAATATTTTAAACTAACAATTCTGCAAAAATAAGCGAATAAATTCAAAGAGTTCTCAAAAATACAAATTCAACTAAATTAGCCTGTCGACGCAAATTGCCTGGTGTTAATTTAAGACGTTTATTTGAAATTTAACGAACCATCTGTTAAGTTCCACATGCAATTACTGAAATTCACAATTCCCTGCGCCTTTGCCCGCATTTGCCATTTCATATTTGATAACAACCACCTCTCCAGTCCCTTACACGACGAATAAATTTCAATAACAAAAACTCTGCGCATGCCCCAAAGAATTTCCCATAAAAAATATAATCAACCCAGGCGGCAAAACTATCTTGAAGCAAAACCCAAACAAGTCGGGTAAAGCGAACAACCCTCACAAGGACATTCGGCTTGTGCCAGGGTGGACTAAGCCAGGGCGCAGCACATACCGCATTTAGATGGCAAAGAGTGCAGACGAGCTGTGCGATAATAAAAGCCAAGGCACAATTTCAGATAAGACTGCGAAAAATTGAAATTTTTGTGCATTTTACTAGTGATACAAATTATACAAAATAATACGAAAAGTAAAGCCAAAAGTTGTAATGCAAAACTTGTATTATTAATCCTTGGCTATTAATCCCTTAAAAAAAAAACTTTTTAGGCGTGTCCTGCGTATATTTTCAGTAGCGAAAAAGACTTCTAGCAAAATGGGCGTAGCAGGTGAGTGATAACAGCTTGTAAATAAGCAAAGCCAATATTATTTACTGGTCACATGTAAAAACATGACTATAAAAACCAGTCTCCATCATCAAAAGTAGGATCTTGTATAATTTTACTATAATTAAATTCGTGTGAGTTTTTTTTCTTGTTTTTGCACTTGAACTTCAGACAAAAGTTCGCATATACCAAGGAACAATTTTGTGGGAGTAAATTTCCCTGTTTCATCAAAAAACCCGGTCGCTGGGCAATTCGCACAGCGCATAATACAAATTTCCCATAATAAGGGACTTACACTCTCGATTTTAAAACTCTCCCTCTCTCTCACTCTCTCTCTCTCTCTTTGCAGCTATGAAGAATTGAAACCGCGCTCCAAGTGCAACAGTCCGCATTGGGGCAACAACGCCGACGACATGGAAAGCGGCAACAACAGCCACGCATCGACGCCAATTGCCGCCTCGCCCAATGCCAACGAGCAACAGGAGGCCATCGCACTGAAAAAGGCCCTCGAATGGGAGCTGAGTCTGGATGCACGGGAATTGCGCTCGCATGCCTGGTACCATGGTGCACTGCCACGCCAGCGGGCCGAGGAAATTGTTCAGCGAGATGGTGATTTTCTGGTGCGGGATTGCGCCTCCCAGCCGGATAACTATGTCCTCACCTGCAGCAGCAAATCAGCTGTCCTGCATTTTGTGCTCAATAAGGTTAGTCATTAATCGCATTGATTGCGTTTTTAAATCCTGCTGAAAGTGACTAGAATAAATGTAATCTGATGTTTAAGCCTACAATAGATCAATGCTGTTTAATTGAGAACCCTTTGCATGGGATAAGCACTGCTTATATCAAACTACATCCGCTATAAATGGATTATGCTGGTGTAACTTTGAAACCTCTCCTTTATTATAAGTATTTAAGGACATCAGCTAGCGTATATACCTACTAGTCACAACATATTGCATATCATTTTTACCAATAACAACAAATTGTAAATTTAAACCTGATCGATCAACTCAATATCTTTTAGCTGGTTCTGCAGCCGGAGACTGTCTATGAGCGTGTGCAGTATCAGTTCGAGGAGGATGCCTTTGATACGGTGCCAGATCTAATTACGTTCTATGTGGGCTCGGGCAAGCCGATTTCTGCTGCATCGGGTGCTCTCATCCAATACCCATGCAATCGCACATATCCACTCTCATTCTATGGCCACAAGATCGTGGGCAATCAGTTGCATACACAGATGCTGGCCGGACTACGTGGCCTGAGTCCACTGAACTCGCCCATGGGCAGCAGCACTACAGGTGGTGGCTCCACCATCTTTCGCTTTGGCCAGCTATCTGGAGATGCTACACCAGCAGCACCACAGCCGGCGATACCATCCAGTCCGCACTGTTCGCCGCCACGGGTAATTCGAGAAGTGCCACCACCTAGGCTGCCTTGCAAGAAGCAGCAGCGCTCCCAGAGCTTGACCCCCGCTCAGGCAATGGTTGTGTGCAACATAAATAAGCAGCAGGAGCAGCAGCAACAGCAGCATCAAGAAGCAACAAATGGACATAGCCTGACACGTTTTCAGACCATTGCACGCTGTAATCCCACCAGTGATTTGCAGCTGCAGCCACAACACGTGGATAGCAAGTTCACCACTCAATCTCTGCCGCGTCCGAGCACCTCGGCAGCGCAGGCTTTGCGGCAGCAAGCAGCTGCACGAATTTGCAATTTGGCACGCAATTTCAGCCTGGATACACCGGATCGAGCACCCAGCCCACCGCCCAAGCCACGCAAGGAGCCCATGGCCGCAGTGCTGGCGTATCAGGCGAGCGGCTCCGACTCGGGCAATGGATCGGGAGATTCGGCGCCTGGCGATGTCAGCGAGCTGAGCATACAACGCGGCGGTGTCATCATTAAGAATCCGCGATTCATTACCAGCTCCGCCTCCAATGGTACGCTGAAGAGCTTCACTGAATTTGATGCCTTGGCTGCTGAGGAGCAATTATTCTCCATGCCCATTGAGGACTTCAAGCTGGTAAGCTCCTAAAGGATAGAGAGTCAGTAGCTCAAACTTAACTGTTATGTTGCTAAAGTGTCCTTGAATTACCAAATAATATTTATAAATTAATATTAATATTAATTCACTTTTTCTTTTATGCATTTCAGTTCAGCAAATTTGATTTTGAGAACTTTGTCACGTTGCTGCTGCCCTCAGTGGAGAACAAGCCACTGGATGGCGATGCGCTGAACACTTTCAAGATGATGCTGCTGGAATCTGGACCCAAGCTGCTGGCCGAGCACATTACACGCATCGATATTGGTTTATTTCTGGACGTGCCAGTCAATGAATTGGATTGTTATCTCAATTGTTCGGGCCTGGAGCTGTTGACGCTACCGCATGGCAAAGTATTTCGCCAGGACATCATTGAGCGCACGCAGTGCATCAAGCTAATGGTTGCTGTCACCATACTCACCTGTCAAACGGATCTAGACCGAGCCGAGCTGCTCAGCAAGTGGATACAAATTGCGGTGGAAACGAAAACCGCGCTGGGAAATCTATTTGGCTTTTGTGCCATTATGTTGGGCTTATGCATGCCGCAAGTGAGTTGAGATTGACTACTACAAAAGTATTAAACCTAATCGATTTAACAATTGGTAGATACAAAAACTGGATCAGGCATGGCACATTCTACGCCAAAAGTATACGGACAGCGCATTCACATTCGAGGCCAAGCTGCGTCCCACATTGAGCAGCATGAATGAGGCTTCTAATCCACAGGCCCCAAATACGACAGTGCCCCATGTGCTGCTCTACGCTCTGCTCATTGACCGGCCCGTGCTGGACATTATCAATCATGGCAATATGGATGAGCGTCCAGCCCTTTATAATACCTGCATTGATCCTTGGGAGTCGAAGGCCGATGATTTTGGCATGTCTATTAACTTTCTGCACTTGGATGCATCGCGTGGTTTTCTCAAGAATTTGGACTTATATCGCAAGAATGCCAAGATCATTTTGGAGGAGGCAAGCACAAGGCAAGATGAACTGCTGTCGGATGCTTTTCGGTACGTTGCATATTATTATTATAGTATTTAAAAAATGTTACCATAAGATTCTTGAATTTTTAGCACCGAGTTTCACGTAAAGTTCCTTTGGGGCAGTTCGGGAGCCAGCGCCAAGCCCGAGGATCGACATGGAAAGCTCGAGAAGGTGCTAACACTGATGGCTGATAAGTTTTGCAGCGTCAACTCTTAGTTATGTATAAATATAACCAAAAGAAAAAAATGATCGATATTATATAGACTCTAGTTTCTAAGCCGATAATACCTACCACAATCAAACTCTGTATTCACATAAGTCTCTTCTCTTATCTAGTCCCTTAATCCTCCTTTTTATCAACTCATCCATAGTTTCATCTATTTCCTTGTGCTGTTTCTACCTCAGCCTATGTGTGTATAATTTTACATACAATGAAAAAATAGAAGCACTTTTGTTACAGTTCAAATAATTTATAAAAAAAAAAAAACAAAACAAAAAAAACCAAATATTTAAAATTTAGTTAAGCCAAGAAAATTACTTACAATTGTTAAAGCACTCCTTAACCCATCAAGTAACAACTTCAAGCTGGAAATAATCAAATTGTACTTACACCAAATGTAATCAACTCTCTAAGAGAGTTGGCAATATAAAGATAAAAACCAAAAACATTGAAGCACACTACCAAAGGCATTTATAGTCTAGTACTTAACAAATAAATCCATATAATCAACTAAATAAAGTATTATACATGCTATAGATTGGACAATATACACATAATCAAATGCATCATCATTTACGTACATAAATATTGAAATGATTGGCAAACATATACTGATGAAATACTAATATAGATTTTTTGCAATTTTATAAGTGATAGTGCCGTAAATTTAAATAAAGAAAATAATGGAACTATTAAAACTACACACATTCATGGGTATTTATTATCAAAAGTACTTTGAACTTGCAATATCTGACGGGACTTGAAAGGGAACAAAATAAAGCAAGATAAATGTAGTATGTGATAATTGAATAATATACTACAGTAGAAAGAAATAATTAATACGCTCGATACTTTATTGTTAATTAATCAAAGCAAGAATCTGATGTAGGATACGATACGCATTTTCCAATGAAATTTAAAAACAATTACAAATGAAATACAAATAGTTTTCATCGTAAGATAAGGAAAGCTTCTTAAAAAAAATAATTCAACTAACTAAAATTAAGCAAAGTACAACTAAAATAATTATTCATTAGTACAGGCGATGAGGTATAAATAATACTTGAACTAATCGTGAAATAACGATAATAGGAAACCACTTGCGTAGTGAATAACAATTACCATGTGCATTCAACTAAAAGCGAGCACTGGCTTTATCAGACACTCGAGTCCTTATCGGAGTACATAAGAATACAAGTACACATATTTATGTATATATGAATATATATATATATATATAACGCGATCTAAGTGCCAACCAAATCCAACACAAATCCATTGACATTCTGCTCTGAGCAGAGCTGGCGAACAGTTGTAGTTTGAAGCGTGCGACTTAAGTTATTAAAAACGCGAGCTTAAAGCTTAAAGTTTAAGCTCACGCTTAAAAGCTCATTCGTAAAATGAGCAACGCCACAGCTGGTGGCGGCGGCGGTTTTCGCTGCACTCGCAAGATGACATTAGCGATGAGCGGCTGTGTGATAATTTTGGTGATCGCGTTGACAGTCGGCCTCTGCGTGGGTCTCAGCGGCGACAATGGCGTCGCAGAGGTAAGCTTTCGAAACTGGTAGACCAAGGTTCAATTTGAATTGGATTTATTTACTTTAATTAGGGGCAGGATGGTCCCGCCTTCAGCATCGATCATGTGGCAAACACATTTCTTATGAATGGAAAACCATTTCGTTATGTCTCCGGATCGTTTCACTATTTTCGTGCCCTGCCCGATGCCTGGAGAAGTCGCTTACGCACCATGCGAGCATCTGGTCTGAATGCATTGGATACGTGAGTAGTACCCATAGAGGATTCTCGATTAAGTGAGTCGACTAAGTTGAAAGCCCTAGGACGTGACTATAGTTGACTACCAGCGAACGTTGACTTTAAAACGCAATCATCAATCAAAACAATGAATGGGCCACACAACTGTGACTGCTGTGCTTCGTGCAAGCTGATGATAAATAACACTAGGCTACAAAGCTTATAATAATAATACACAAACTTTGTTCAGTTGACTTTTGACTCTATTTTTAATGTCACTGAACTCGAAATGTATTTTAAATAGAATATAAATATACATGAGCAATTAAGAAATCGCAGTAACCTTAAACAATTTCCTTCACAGCTACGTTGAATGGTCGCTGCACAATCCACACGATGGCGAATACGACTGGGAGGGCATAGCCGATATAGTTCGATTTCTGGAAATTGCTCAAGAGGAGGACTTTTATATTGTGCTTCGTCCCGGGCCCTACATCTGTGCCGAGCGAGATAACGTAAGTATTTCATAAATGAAACAAACAACAATAACAATCACTCAGCCCCAATTACCCCAACAACAACAACAACAATAGGGAGGCCTACCACACTGGCTATTCACAAAATATCCAGACATTAAAGTGCGCACCAACGATCCCAACTACATTGCGGAGGTGGGCAAGTGGTACGCACAATTGATGCCGCGTCTGAAGCATTTGCTATTTGGCAATGGTGGCAAGATCATAATGGTTCAGGTTGAGAATGAATATGGTGCGTACCATGCCTGCGATCATGACTATCTGAACTGGCTGCGCGATGAGACTGATAAATATGTGGAGAACAAGGCGCTATTGTTTACGGTGGACATACCCAATGAGAGGATGCACTGCGGCAAGATTGATAATGTATTTGCCACCACGGACTTTGGCATAGATCGCAGTGAGTGATGTACAAATATTAATACGATAGTAGTAGAACAATTTTTGATTAGATCGGAATCTTTTTTAAACACAGTTTAAAAGTGAGAATCATTTAGATTGTTATGTTCCAGATAATCAGATAATCATAATCAAGAAAGATTAATTCGAAAACATTTTCGGCCGCAATCTAATCTAATCTATGCTATGTTATCAGGTATACTAAACGGAGATGCACCTTTAACATAGCAATTTATAGGTCACATTTAAGATTTCTTAGTCATCCAAATTGCTAAACACCTTTTTATATATGCAGTATTTGAGATCGACAAAATTTGGGAACTATTGCGCGGCATACAGCCGACGGGACCGTTGGTCAACTCGGAGTTCTATCCTGGTTGGCTGACGCACTGGCAAGAGATGAATCAGCGACGCGATGGAAAGGAGGTGGCCGACGCTCTAAAGTATGTTTTGAATAAAGTCTCAAATATATTCTAATGGTTTCACTTATTTCAGGAAGATACTCAGCTATGGTGCCAGCGTTAATCTCTACATGTTCTTTGGTGGCACCAATTTTGGCTTCACGGCCGGCGCCAATTATGACTTGGATGGAGGCATAGGCTATGCAGCGGATATAACCAGCTATGACTACGATGCGGTCATGGATGAGGCTGGCGGAGTGACCAACAAATATGAACTGGTCAAGCAAGTGATAGGAGAAGTCCTCGAATTGCCCGACATAACACTAAATCCAGCCAAGCGTTTGAGCTATGGCACAGTGGAGCTGACGCCAGCATTGGAGTTGCTCTCGGCAGAGGGACGCGCTGCTCTATCTAAAGGCACACCCGTGAAGTCCGATCAGCCCAAATCATTCGAGGAGATGGATCAGTATTCCGGGCTGCTGCTCTATGAGACAACGTTGCCCAGCATGGATCTAGATCCATCATTGCTAAAGGTGGAGGAGCTGCGAGATCGTGCACATGTCTTTGTGGATCAACAGCTGGTTGGCACACTGTCCAGGGAGGCGCGTATTTATGCCCTGCCCCTGAGCAAGGGCTGGGGCAGCACACTGCAGCTGCTGGTGGAGAATCAGGGACGCATCAACTACGATCGCGCCAACGATACGAAAGGCATCTTTGGCAAGGTGACGTTGCAGTTGCACAATGGCGGTGCTTTATCACTGGACGGCTGGACAACGACTGGCTATCCACTGGAAGCGTATGCCATCGAGACATGGCGCAAGGATGCTGCAGCCCTAGATCCATCCATTGCCAAACAGCGTTTGTTACGCACTGGTCCCATTGCCTATACGGGCAGTTTTGAGGTAACCGAAGTGGGCGATACTTATCTCAATACGGCCGGCTGGGGCAAAGGTGTGGCCTATGTTAATGGTTTCAACTTGGGACGCTACTGGCCGCTGGGTGGTCCACAAATTACGCTCTATGTGCCCAACGAGCTCCTCAAAGTGGGCCAAAACTCTGTAGTACTACTCGAGTATCAGCGCTGCAATAAGACAAGCAACGGTTCAGAGCTGCCTGCAGTGCAATTTGATGCAGTGGCTCAGCTGGATGGAGAGTCTAGTGAGGCATCGCTTAAATAGATGTTGCAATCATTTTCATTTTGTTATTTTTTTTACAATTTACAAGCGTTTCATTATTTTTATTAGAAGCAGTTATTGATTTTGCTGTCGCAACAACAACCTTGACAAGCCGCTATTTGTATTATAATAAACATTGCTTAACTAATTACAATTTTTAGTTTGTTTTACTGACTGGCATTTTGTTTAACATAATTTAGCTCGTTTTCAATTGACTCATTCCGTATTCGATATCATTTATTAATAAACTTCACGAATTTCTAGCTTCTCAAAAATTGTCTGATTTCGTTCAGATTCTTTTAAATTATATGTTACCATTTGCTTATTATTATTGTATGTATTTCTTCTTTATATAAAATTTATTGGATTTTGCTCGTTATTTAAATTTTTGTGATTTTTGTTTTCTTTCTTACATTGTTAAGTCATGTGTTCATCATTGGCAAATGGAGATTCTGATTTGATGTTTTTCATAAAAATACTTTTGATGCGATTTCTTGCATTTTGCGCACAAAAAATAAGTATTCTTTTAGTTGTTTTAATAAACTTGTAAAGAGTATTAAGTACATTTAGTGTTTGAGGTTCTCAAAAGTATTTCAAAAATGTTAAAGAGACTCAGTTGGTTTTTTTTTAGTATAAATGCGTCAAAATTTCAGTAGATCTGCTTTATAGTAAAATATAATACATATATTAATATTATTGTTTAGTAGGGCAGTGTTGCATAGAAAAAAAGAAAATTGTTATCAAGAGATTCTCTTACATGTTTGTATTGAGTATAAGCACAATAAATGTATTTCACCTTTTTCTCTTCTCTTTATTATAATCTATTAGATTTGCTAGCAAATAATGAATTTAATAATTTCCTTGTGTTACAACCCATTTTAATACACTCTTAAATTGTACATTTCGGACTTCCTCTACAACTTTTCAAGATTAACGAATACAAAATGATATCTGATTGCTACGAGCGTTGTTTCGACTAATTCGACAGCAGTCTTTTCAAAGAAAAAAAAACTCATAACGAACTCAACTCACGTACTTAGTAGTAGCTCTTATACAATAGTAAAAGATGTGCAGCCCATTGCAAATAGGGAGACCCATAAGCGGATAACTGAAGTGTATTATGCAAAAATATGTATATATTTTGCCTTCTAAGGCAACTCTGCATACCTCGCATTGAATTTAAGCTCGACACAAATTAATCAGCAATCTACCAATCTACTCTTCTTTTATTATTTTTTCTTGCATTTTTGTTTTTAATTTACTTGCCCCCACATAAAAAAGTTATTTTTGTTATTGTTATAAAAATACTGCAATTAACATAATTATTTTTGTTGTTAATTTGCTTTAGGTCTTGTGACAGATTTTGCTGCTTACATTAGGAATGACTTTTCGTGTTTTCAACACCCTTGCAGAAAAGGTTTTGTCTGGACATTAGCATTATTAATTAGCCTGTAGTATATTTTACATTGAATAGTTTTGTTGTTTGTTATAAGCCAAGGGGTCTTGCAAGGATATATATCAGCTTCGGGGCGCCGAAGGTTTTTCATTACAAGTTGTGCAGAAAATTTCTTTGCTTTTAAATTTTGTTTTTCATGTCATTTCTATACATTTATTAAAAATATATCACAGCTGCATTTCAAGTTAATTATTTTTCATATATTCCCGTTCGCCTTTTTTCCCACATAATTATGTAAAAATGTATAGAAAATGTATGCAATATGCCTTTTAGTTGATTTTTGTTTGTTTTTTTTTTTGTTTTGGGTAAAGAGAAGCCTACGTAAAACAGCAAAAAATTTGGCAACCTAGTTAATATTTAGTCAATGTCCATAGACGGAATGCGTTCGCGTTTAGTAGACACACATACATACAATATATGGCTAGTTATTTATAGTATAGTTAACTAACCGAAGCGTCGATGTAGATGATGTGTACTGTTGTAAAGTTGAAGTTTTAGTTGTTGTAATTGATTTGCTATTTCTTGTTACTTATGTATCTTGTTGCGGTTGTTGTCTAGAGTGCTGTGGGGGCACCGTGCGCCATTTGTCAGTGCCATTTGGATTTTTGTGTATAAATATCGGCACGCAAGTTTTGCGCAAAACAAATGCCCAGAATCTGCAAAAGCAAAAGCGAATAAGTAACCAGAATCGAAGAAATTACATATAAATAAAACATTGTATGAAAAGAAATCAAACTGAGACCTGGAAAAACATAATTCCAATTGCTGCCGTTGAAATAATAATTAAATTATGTTCAATCCATTCTTCGCCGGCCTGGACACAGCCCTTTTCATTAATAATCTTGGACACCTCCATGCTCTGAGGTAATAAAAACAAAGAAAAAGAAAATGGAAATGGAAACATAAGCAAAACACATAGGAACATTTTAACAAAAATTCTTTAAATATTAATATATAAATAAAGATAAAGTGCAATAAAAAATCTCGTTTTTTAGCACCTGCATGATGAGCAGGGCAACGCACGTGGCGGCCACGCCTATTAAATTCGTCTCCAACCAATCCTCGCCAGCGCGCAAACATCCGCGCTCGTGTATATTTCTATCCACTGGCTGCTTGCGTATGTATAAATGTAAATATGATGAAGCTTGTAAATCGCCTTCGACCAACAAAATAAAAAGGAACAATAAATAGAAACAACTTACGTAGCCCTCTTTGCGCACATCATAGCCGCACTGTTTGTTCTTGATTACCTCCTGCGGGCGCCGGCGACAACAGGAGAAGGGCACACCACACGCTTCACGGCTGCCAATTGCAATTGAGGAGCAATTGAAATAGTTATTGCTATCCCAGTCCTTGGGACCATCAATACCACAGCATTGCAGCCAATCCTCTTGTATCCAGTCTATCAGGTTTTGCTGATCCGGATCCTCGCGGTAGTGCTTGATAAAAGCTCTCAAGCCCTCAGTGGCATGATCTTTAATCTACGACAAAGAGTGATAACAAAATTAACTTTAAATCATTTCTCTTAAAATTTATTCATAACTTGTATAGAGTAAGTTTAGTGAGAGTTTGGGAGATTTAACAGAAATAAACAATAAAGACAATCGTAGAAATATAAATTCAGATAATGCACAAAATAATTGATCTTCACAAATTCAACAAAGCAACACAGAGCAAAAACAATAAATGACAAGCAACTTACCAAACCTTTGTCCTTGAGCACAAAAGCCAATCCGCAAAAGCCAATCTCGCTAAGAAGAAGCACGCTCAAAAATATGGCATACTGTAAATGAATAATGCATGAGCTTAACTCATTTTTATTGAGCCCAGTTTTTGGCTGTATACTCACAGCGCCCAAGAGACAGGTATTTTCGCGCAGTGCACCCACGCTGCCCATAAAGCCCAGCAAGAAGGTGATGGTGCCCAGTATGATGAGCACAAAAGCGGGATCCAAGGCTATAAACGTGAGCTTTCCAATGTTGCGAAACATATCTTTTTCGGTCCAGGCCCAAATGCCAATGGCGAGCACGAGAAGTGCTGACAGCCAGATGAGTACATTGCCAGTGAATAGCAAATATTTGAGGCAGCAACTGATTTCACTTGTTTCGCGTCGATATTTACGCACTGCGGGCATTTTTGCGAGAGTCGATGGCGACAACAACTCGACCGATTGATTCTAAGACTATGGAATGATTATGATTGTATTTCTCACTATTTACTAATGACTTGGCTTAGAAATTTTGCTACAACAAAAAGCTGTGGTTACCAGCCACAGATTTTCGACATAGCAGTGGTGCGACAGAAACAACAAACAATAGAACCTTTACGTTAGTGCGAGAGGCATTATAGTTGTTGCCTTTTTGAGTCGTCTGTTATTAACAGCGAGCTATAAGTGGAAAGCTCAAAAGTTGCCAGAGAGCCACAAACGGCGTTGCCACATTTTTTGTACGCAATATTTATTCACAACATGTAATCAACATATAACCATATAACAATATAATTAATATAGAACCATTTTATATCGTTTGTGTGTATGAGCAGCCCAAAAACGGCATAGCATGGGTTAGTAAGCGCCTAAAACAATTTTTACATCGCTCTCACTGCAACACTTAACATTTTACTTCTGCTGTAACATGCCAGTTAACATCTTTGTCACTCGATTAACAGAATATACTCCCCCATTTCAGCTACTGCACATACGTATATATTGGCTTTGGTATTTTCTGTATGTGGTCTTGCGGCATTGCGGTATTAAATTGCAGACATGAGTAAGCCACACTGATTTTCATCGTCGTGTGGAGTTGAAAGGCAGTAGAAAAGATCAGTGCCAAGAAGAAATAAATATACAAATTGAATTCTAACTAAATCAGAGTTTATCAAGTGTTGTGTGCGTGGATCCATGAGATATTTTCGGCAAGTGCACGCGTACAGAAAGCGTGCTCGGCCCCTTACCTATGACGACAGTGAGTTTAGTTTTTCTTCTACCCTCTGTGTATGTGTGTGTGAGTTTCGCTGATTGCTGAAGCTGAAAAAATGTTTAATTAGCAGGCAAAATATGGACAAAACGCGTACATAGAATACGCCAAGCCCAAAACGTTGCAACCAATTACAGGCCAATCCAATGAAAATCGTAACTAAACTTTATAAGTGCGCCCTGAAAAGACAATTGGAAACAACCCCCCGCGTTTTAATCAAAGAAAAAACTTGTATGTGTGCGGCTGGTACTGCTGCTTACAGCGCAATCTAAATAAATAAAATGTAATAAAAAGTGAAAATGTATGTAAACGTTTGCTGCAATGTTTTGTGCATTTCTAATGAACTCACACTGCTTACATACACTATTTAGTCTAGCAGAGGGGCAGCAGAAGCAGCGCTGTAAAGTGCGTTCTCTGCTGCTGGTCGCCATCATAGCAGAGACGTTACCGTCGACGTCGCTACTGCTGCTGCTCTTGCTTACCTCCTGTGCGTGCGTGCGTGTGTATTTGTATGTGTGTGTGTGTCTAGCGGAGTTAATCCCTTCAAATATTGTGATCCCACGCTTGAATTACATCAATTTCAATTAATTAATTATGCAAAATATATATCTTGAGTAAAAAGTACAGTGTTGCATTTACACACACATGTGTATATTTGAACATACATATATAATATATATGTGTGTATATATACATACAAACATAAAACATTTCAATGTGCAATATGGTGGACGACAGTGCGTAAAAATCACAACGTCGACGTTGACTTTTGTTAACTGTTAACTGCTTAGTATTTTGTTATTATTGGTTTTGGGTTTGTTGGAAACGTGCTTTCAGGTGCAGTTTAACGAGAAATATATTAAATCAATTGCATTTGTTCAAGTAAAAAGACAATTAGTGCTAATTTCGCTAAACTAACATACATAAATTTTTATGTGTGTATAGAGAAATGATGTGCATTTGTGTGTGTTTCTATACGTATACCTGTGCGCGCTTGTGTGTGTGTGTGTACATAATTATATATATATTTGAGTGTTTGGGTGTGTGTGTGTGTGTAAGTAAGCTTGCATGTGTATTCGACTGAAAATGGAAATTATATAAAACCCCTTTTGTGTGCGTGAGGCGCTTTAGATTTAAGCAGCATGCGGCTTCGGATCTTTAACTATTTCCACCCCCCATATATATATATATGTAATATATATACAAGCAAATGATCAATATGGCAATAAAAAACTGTAAGAAAAACGTTGCCAACGTTTGCTAAGCCTTTGTGAAATTCTGATGGTTGTTGGCAAGCCGCACATCGCTCACATATTGCCAATCAATAATTTTGGTAGCGCCAATTAAAGGAGAAAACTTGTGACAGAAAAGAAAAACAAAAAAATATAAAAAAAAACACACACAAGCTGCCTACGCCATCACTCATTTGCACATACATACATACACAGAGAAAAACGGCACCCGTTGCTCTCTCAAAGAGTTTGTCTTTCTGATCAAGGAAATAAGCAAACTTCACAACACTCACTCGCACTCACAACCCACTCCAATCGCTCTCACTCGCTTACTCCCTAGCTTTTTGCATTGAAGTTGTTGTTCTTTTTGGGGTGGTGATGGCAGCGGCGCCCCACTTTTACATGCGAACCTTTTTTCCCCCGTAATGTGTGTGTATGTGTGCGTGTGTGAGCTGTAACAACAACCACCAAAGGCAAAGGCAAAGCTTTTTGCCCAGCGTCGACAACAACGGCGGCTTCCTTTTGTCTATTTGGACGCTGGAAAAAAAACCTTAACAGAAACTTTAACGTCACTGCCGGCGTCGACGTTTTTCAATATGGCTTCTTCAACTTTTTCAATTTCATCACATAAATATAATTAGTTTTGCCTGGAAATACGCAATTAATTATGTATAGCAAATGAAAAAAAAAAGTTTGCCAACTGCTACTGCTCCATTTTGAAACAAATATTTAATAAGAATATTACAAAATGCATACACACACATAAGTACACGCAGTAAGTTCTCATGTTCAATACATGAAAATAAATATGTAGTGATTTTAATGTGATTGTGTTGCTGTCGTTCGCTATGTTATACATACACACTGTATGCACATACATATGTTGTTTTTTTTTTACTTCTATATGTTTCTGTAATTGGCGCTTCAATTTTCTATGCAACAAATTAAATTATTTTCCTTTGACGCTGCTGCTGGCAAAAAATAAATTACATAAACCCTATGTTGTTGGTGCTTTTTTGCAAAGGATGTTAAGGTTGAATTGTGCTTGTGTTAAGTGTTAGTGTAGGCGTGAAAAACAGAACTCAAAAATAAATAACATGTAAAAAATGTGTATGTTACCAACACTGCAATAATTCGAATGCATACAAAATGCAACTCCCACTAGTCTACTGTTCGCTCGATTGCCTCTTTCTCTCTTCTCTCGCACTCTTTCTTGGTCTAACGTCACACTGCCGCCGCCGCAAGCTCAAAATGACACCACCACCCCGTCAGCCCCTTGTGCAGTTAGGCGTTCTTTGATCACGTAGTCGTCGTGTTTGTTTGTCATCCGTTTGTGTGTGTGCCATTTGTGCCATTTTTTTGCGCTTTGCAAAAAGGTGCTAAGATTTTTCACCAAATTTTATAAAATTGTTTCACATTTATTTTTTCTTTTAATTTAATCCATATTTTTATATCGACACCTATTTGCTGATAAACTGAGTTAACATTTTTCTCTGTAAGCCCAATAGTTTGTACCTGTTTCTATGCGAACTGCTGTGAATTTAAAATGAAATATGATATTGATTAAACATCGTGCAGGTACTAGAATTGGTTTTGTTGTGTTGCAAACGAAACAAAGCATTTCACTGTGTTACCGTCAACAGGTATGAAATTTTACCTACCTTCTGGTAACCTGTATCTGAATGAAATGGAAATATTTTGTATTCTACAAATGATATTTTAACCTTCAGCTCTTGAACCATGTTCTGGCCGTGTAGTGAAGAATGTTACTCTACCAAATTAAAAGTGATTCATACACTAATTTTATTTTAACTGAGTTTGATATCTGTGCGTTTTCAATTTAATAGAAATATTAAAATATAGATATAGATTTCCAATTTTTATAACCTTATGGTTTACACTTTGACAAGTCTGTTTCTAATGTTGTGCACATGTTGTAAACACACATTGTGCATCGTTGCAATTTCATTTTTATCATTATTAAACTTTGACTGATAATGTAATCGAGCGTTGTAGCGAACTGAACCAACTTCAAATGCACTTGCACTCGGTGCAAGTGTGTGCGTGTGCGTTTGTGTGTGTGGGTGGTTTGTCTCCGATTTTAATACCCGAATAGAACGGAACTCAACCCCCACACTTAAACGGTGAGAGGCGCTCTCACACACTAATTCCATAAATGTCGTTTACTGTTTTGTTTACCTGGTGCACATCAGTACATAGAGAGAGAGGGGTTGTACGGCGTTGTGTATGTGTAACTTGTTATGTCCCTCTCTCTTTCTCTCTTTCTTACGCTCTCTTCCAATTACAATTTACTTTTTTTTCGTTCGTTCATGCGTTGAGTCAATATGAAAACGGCTGGTTACTTGCAGTGCTGAAACAGTGTTGCCATATTCCAGAAACACACTTGTAACTCAGAACTTCGCCTGCCTGCGGCTGGCTGGTCACACTTCACAGTCGGCCGAAAAACTAGAAAATGGCCATGTTTATTGAGAATTGTTGTGTGATGATAGATTTTTCAACCCCCACAAAACTGAAACCGAATATCAAAATGTAAACGGTCGTCACTATTAACTGTGATTTCGAGCTAACATAACTGATAGACGTGTTTATTGAGAAACACATTGTGTGTATGTATATATATCGTAATTATTGTTTACTTAACGGTTTTTTGTTTTGTTTTATTTGAAACGTGTATTTACAGAGCTGAACTAAGTCCAGCAGCCGTTGCAGCACAGTTCATTAGAAACTTTTAAAGCTCCACATGTCCGCCAAAGCAGAGGCGGACAATCCACTCGCCAGCGCCGGCGGCACAGCGAGCGGCGGCGTCAATAGCAACTCCAATGGGGCTATAACCCCGGCTAGACGGCTGCGCACACGCAACTCAACCGGCAGTGGCAGCGAGTCGGCCAAAAAGAATACCAACAACAGCGCCCACAACAATAATAACAACAACAGCAACAACAATAATAATAATAATAATAACAACAACAACAGTAGCGAATCAGCAGCGGCAGGCAATGATGCAATTGGAACGGCATCAAGCACAACGCCTGCATCAGGAGGTTCTGCTGCGGCTGCCCCACCACCCATCTCTGTGGAGCGTGCCATGCCCAGCGTGCCGATGAATCATGCCAGCAGCAGTGTCTCAGCGAGTAAGAAATATCACAATAGCTGTCCGCATCCAACGCCCTCGGTGCACAAGAAAACGCTCCACACGAAGCCGCACAGCAGCAATAAATTTGATCAGAACAAGAACGAGGAATTCCATTTTGATACGCCGCCCGAGTGTCCAGTTTTTAGACCCACAGTGGAGGAGTTTAAAAATCCATTGGCCTACATCAGCAAGATACGCTCGATAGCGGAGAAATGTGGCATTGCCAAGATATTACCGCCGGAGAAATGGTCGCCGCCATTTGCCGTCGATGTGGACAAATTGCGTTTTGTGCCGCGCGTTCAACGCCTCAACGAACTCGAGGCGAAGACGCGCGTCAAACTAAACTTCTTGGATCAAATTGCCAAGTTCTGGGAGCTGCAGGGCTCCTCACTCAAAATACCGATGGTGGAGCGCAAGGCACTCGATTTATATACGCTGCATCGCATCGTTCAGGAGGAGGGCGGCATGGAGCAGACCACCAAGGAGCGCAAATGGGCCAAGGTCGCCAATCGCATGCAATATCCATCCAGCAAAAGCGTTGGCGCCACACTCAAAGCCCACTACGAGCGCATACTGCATCCCTTCGAGGTGTACACCTCCGGCAAAGTGCTGGGAACGGGTGCTGGGGCCGGCGTAGCTGCGGGCGCTACACCCGTCAAGCTCGAGGATGTCGGCACCGATTACAAGGCCCATGAAATACCCACACGGCAGCAGATCGCGCCACCAAACGAGAACAATACGCGTCGCTCTAAACGTTTTGGCAACTCCAATGCCGGCTGCGGCTTGAGCAATGTCAAACTGGGATGTGCGGCTGCCAATGCTGCTGCAGCTGCTGCTGCTTCGTGTACAATCAAAACGGAAACCAAGGAAGACTTCAAACGCGACCTTTTGAGCAGTTTCAATGCGGTCAATGCGCCAGCTGGCAGCGGTGGTGCGGCTGCGGGCGGTCAGTCTGCTGGCAGTGGTGCTCCACCTGCACCCAATACACGCGCCACCCAGAAGAAGGCCACAACGGAGCCACAGCAGCAGCCCCTCATCGATCCGCTGATGAAGTACATCTGTCACATCTGCAATCGTGGCGATGTCGAGGAGTCCATGCTGCTGTGTGATGGCTGCGACGATAGCTATCATACGTTTTGTCTATTGCCACCACTGAGCAGCATACCCAAAGGTGAGTTCAAGTAGAAAATAACATATATATATAAAAATATATATACATATATAATTCCATAATCATTAAATGAATGTATTTAAATACTCAGCGGGAGTCCACAATTTCAAATCTATATTCATTCTAGTCGAAAAAATAGTTTGCCTCTGTAATATGTACCTAATAATGTTCTATAATGAAAATAACATATCTTATTAAGTATATTTGTATATATATAGATATGATTAACAACATGCAATTCAACAGATTCGCATTCAAAATATGCCATACAAAAATGAAGCTATTAAAGCTATATTAAACTAGACAACAATTCTGTTAAGTGTTGCTTTTAAGAGTTAGTTGTTTTTCTAATCGTACATCAATTCCATTTTCTTACCAGGAGAATGGCTATGTCCGCGTTGCGTTGTGGAGGAGGTAAGCAAGCCGCAGGAAGCATTTGGTTTCGAGCAGGCCGAGCGTGAGTACACGTTGCAGCAGTTTGGTCAGATGGCCGATCAGTTTAAGCAGGAGTACTTCCGGAAACCGGTGCACTTGGTGCCCACGGAGATGGTGGAGCGTGAGTTCTGGCGCATTGTATCCTCAATTGATGAAGATGTGACCGTTGAATATGGCGCCGATTTGCATACAATGGATCATGGTTCTGGTTTTCCCACAAAGAGTTCGCATTACTTGCTGCCCGGTGATCAGGAGTATGCCGAGTCTAGCTGGAATTTAAATAATCTACCGCTGCTGGAGGATTCAATACTGGGTCACATAAATGCTGACATTAGTGGCATGAATGCCCCATGGATGTATGTGGGCATGTGTTTCGCTGCCTTCTGCTGGCACAACGAGGATCACTGGAGCTATTCGATTAACTATTTGCATTGGGGCGAGCCAAAGACCTGGTACGGTGTGCCCGGCTCCCGGGCCGAACAATTCGAGGAGACAATGAAACGTGCCGCGCCTGAGCTCTTCTCCTCGCAGCCAGATCTGCTGCACCAGTTGGTGACCATAATGAATCCGAACATACTGATGAACAACGGGGTGCCCGTCTATCGCACCGATCAGCATGCCGGCGAGTTTGTCATCACATTTCCGCGCGCCTATCATGCCGGTTTCAATCAGGGCTACAATTTCGCCGAAGCTGTCAATTTTGCGCCAGCCGATTGGCTGAAAATGGGACGCGAATGCGTCAATCATTATTCGATGCTGCGTCGCTTCTGCGTTTTCTCGCACGATGAGCTTGTGTGCAAGATGGCCTTGGAGCCAGCCAAGCTGACATTTGGTATTGCCACCGCTTGCTATATTGATATGGCCGAAATGGTTGACACCGAGAAGAAGCTGCGCAAATCACTGCTGGAATGGGGCGTAACACGCGCCGAACGGCGCGCCTTCGAGTTGGTCAACGATGATGAGCGCCATTGCCAGGAGTGCAACACCACCTGCTTCCTTTCGGCCGTTGCCTGCGAGTGCAACGACAAACTGATTGTCTGCCTGCGCCACTACACCGTTCTCTGTGGCTGTGCACCAGAGAATCACACGCTCATCTATCGCTATACGCTCGACGAGATGCCGCTAATGCTGCAAAAGCTGAAAGTGAAGGCGCACAGCTTTGAGCGTTGGCTGTCGCGTTGTCGCGACATTGTCGATGCCCACACGCCCACATCGGTGACGCTGTCGGAGCTGCAGGAACTCTGCAAGGAGGCCGAAACAAAGAAGTTTCCCTCATCGCTGCTCATCGATCGCCTGAATGCAGCGGCCATTGAGGCCGAGAAGTGCGTCACTGTCATCCAACAGCTGGGCATCAATAAGGTAAGCGAGTGTCTACAAATATATTTTACAATTCTACTTATTCGTATAATTTTGTCATGTTACCATAAATCGAACCTTGGTCAGAAGTTTTTATTTGTTTGCTTGCGTTTTGCATAAATTAAATAAACTAAATATTTGATTTGAAAATATTTCAGGTACGCACCCGCTCCGATCACAATCAGGAGGCGGCACAGTATAAGTTGACCATGGAGGAACTGGAGTTGTTTGTACAGGAAATCGATAATTTGTGCTGCATCATTGATGAGGGCGCCTCGGTGCGTGAGCTGTTGGTGTTGGGCAAACAGTTTGTGGAGCGGGCCAAGGCGCAGCTGCAGTTGTCGCTGGAGGCGCTCGAGGAGAATGAACTGGAGACGCTGATCAATGAGGGCAGCTCGTTGCGCATTGAACTGCAGCAACTGGATCAGCTGCAGAAGCGTCTGAAGCAATGCAAATGGTACAAACGCTCTCAGGGCTTGCGCGAGACCAGCTCCAAGCTGACCTACAAAGATGTTGAGACGCTGCTGCATACCGCCGCCGCTGATTTGGATCCCACCGATCCCTATGTGGATCGCGAGATGCGTAAATTGCAAACAATTGGTGCGGCAATCGAGGCATGGGAATCGCAGGCAGCCAAATATTTCCGTCGTCTCAATCAGCAGCACGAGCTAACCGAGATCGAGCAGTTTCTGAAGTCCGCCAGCGATATCAACGGGCAGGTGCCATCGCATGGCATGTTGAAGGATGCGTTGCGCAAGGCACGCGAATGGCTGCGCGCCGTTGAGCAACTGCAGCAGAACAATCATGTCACCTATTGCCACACGCTGGAGGCGATGATCGAACGGGGCCTGAGTATACCCATCCAGCTGGAGGAATTGGGTCGCATGCAGGGACATTTGACTAGTGCACACCAGTGGAAGGAGAACACGGCGCAGGCGTTCCTGAAGAAGGGCACATTCTATACGCTGCTGGAGGTACTGATGCCGCGTGCGGATGCCATTAACATTGACTCGGATCTCAAGCCGCGTTTCCAAGATGATTTCCTCAAGGACAAGAATCCCGCCGAAATTGTGGCCAGCTTCAAGCAAGCCGAGGAGCAGGAGCTGCGCGATATGCGCGATCTTCGACGCCAGAATATGACCAAGAATCCACTGCGCGACGTCTTCTGCTTGTGCAAGTCGGAATTCCGTGGTCTAATGCACAATTGCCAGCTGTGCCGCGATTGGTTTCACGAGGATTGCGTGCCGCCGCCGCCGCATCCAATAACAGCGCAACAGAATGGCAATGCAGATGCTTCCACGTCAGCGCAGGCAAAGTGGCTATGTCCCAGCTGTGTGCGCTCGAAGCGTCCACGTTTGGAGATGATTTTGCCACTGCTCGTCCAGCTGCAACAGCTGCCCATCCGCCTGCCCGAGGACGAGGCATTGCGCTGTTTGGCTGAGCGTGCCATGAACTGGCAGGATCGTGCACGCAAAGCTCTAAGCAGTCCCGATGTCAGCGCCGCCCTGGATGCCATCTTGTTGCAACAGCAGAAGCGACGCACCGAGAGCGGCAGCGGTGGCACCGCCGCTGTCCTGGGTAATATCAACAGTCCACGAAAGCCGCGACGTCAGCACAAGCAGCAGGGCGCGAATAATACCACGGGTCGTTCCGAATCGGATGCTGAGGATGTGGATGATGTTGACGATGACGACGATGATGATGAATGCCGGCTGCGCATTGTCGAGGATGGCTATAGCAACGATGAGGACGAGCAGCTGCCGCGTTTGGCATCAACGAATCAAGCGAATCAACCCAGCAACAGCAGCACTACAGATCTCCTCAAGCTGCTCTCCGACAGCGAAATTGAGAATCTGCTCGAGCTGATGATGGAGGGTGATTTATTGGAGGTGTCGCTCGAAGAGACGCAAGAGCTGTGGCGCATACTCGAAACAATGCCGCCGACAATGCTGCAAGCGGACGCCAAGGCTCGCGTCGCTCAGCATGTGCAGCAGCACCAGTTGCAACAGGATGCGAATGCACCAGCCACAGGCACCTCGACGTCGAGCATACACAGTGGCGCCGATGATTCCAATGATAGCCTGCTTGTTCAGAATAGTCCAAGTCCCAACGCTCAAGCGGTGCGCAACAAGAAGCGACGCTCCAATGACTCCAGCAGCGCCAATGTGGCTGTGCCGCGCAAGAAACAGAATACGCCCAAACAGACGCCGGGCAAAAAGTCGCAAGCGGTGCGCAAAAGCGATAGCAAGGCAAGCAGCTCGCCCGGCGTCGATGCCGATGCCGAAAATAAGCAGGCAAATGGTGGCAATACCAAAACAACAACAACCACAACAATTACAACACCAACAACGCCGGGATCAGCTACAGTTGCAGCAGCAGCAGCTGCAGCCACTGGCGCCACAGCGACAGGCGCAGCTGGCACACCCACACCGGGCTCAGCTGGGCACAAGAAACGCAAGCGCACCACCACCACAACCAACAACAACACCAATAATAATAACAACAACAGCAGCAACAACAGTGGTAACAATAGCAATGCAGGCGGCACACCCACAGCAGGCGCCAACAGTAGTCCGTCAACAGGTGGCACTGGCGGCGGGCAGAAGAAGCATGCGCAACGAACACAGCAAACGGCGCAGGAAGATGACGAGGAGGAGTGCCGAGCAGAGAATTGTCATAAGCCAACGGGACGCGAGGTGGACTGGGTGCAGTGCGACGGTGGCTGTAACGAATGGTTTCACATGTACTGTGTGGGCCTGAATCGTAGCCAGATCAAAGCTGACGATGATTACATATGCATACGCTGCTCCAAGACGGTCAGCGTAGGCGTCGCTGGAGGCAGCGGCAGCGGCAGCCTAACCGTTACCACAACGACGACAAGCAGCCTAACGATAAGCACGGGGACGCCGGGCAAGCAGCGTGCAGCGCAATCGGCGCGGTAAACAGAATCGAGAAGTTGCGGCGCAAAAAGAAAAGATCGCGCAAGCAGCAACGGGAATAACAACAACAATAACAATATAAAATTGACAACGGTTGGCAGCACCCTCGATTAAAGCTAGCGAGATAATCGATAAACTGCTATCGCAGTGTTTATACATATAATTATCACACACACACAGACACATCCGTAGAAAGAACAGACAGAGAGCCACACACACGCACGCAACTGGGTTGTGCGTGCTACAACGGTATTTACTAAGTGTTAGTAAGAAGTCACTTAAACGTTTTTTGTAGTACATATTTACTAATTATCGCTATTATTACACAAACGTATATAAAAAAAGAAACAACAAACGGGAAAACCAACCAATCAACACAACACACACGAACACATTTGAAAAGTAACGAAATTAAGTGAACTGTTTCAACTGTAAAATGCAAAATACAAAAAAAAAAAAACATTTTGTATGTGTAGGCGCCAAGCACATTTTACGTTCGTTTAACTTTCTCTTACATTTAGCTGATGTAAATTTATATATAAACACATATATATGTATATGTGTGTTTATACATATGCATATATATATATATTTAATTACCACTACCTGCTACTATTAGTTTTTGTTAATTTAATTTACATTTTGTGTTCTTTTTAAGTTTTGTGCGACGCGCGCGCGTTTTTTACGTTTTTATTATTTTCATTTAAAGAACAATTTTGAAAAGGTTTATTACATATTTTACTTCTGTACAGTTTTTCTGTTTACTTAAAGTGGAAAGCAAAGTAAAGGTTAATTGTTATTTTAATACATACATTTATATCTTCCATAAACATTATTTCCAATCATTTTTATAAGCGTGGCGCGCTGTAATCCATTTTTTCACTTGTATGTTTTCTTTGTTATTTTCCTACAAATCGATCGATTAAAAAATAAAAATGTAGCATAAATACCAAGATTAATCTAAATACTAAAACAAAAACAAAAATTTGTTGATGAAACAAAAGATCATAATAAATATAAAATAAATAAATTGCAGCCCTAATGCTAAGTTTACATTTAAATATAAATGAAAGTAATAAAAATGTATAATTTCTAATTTTAAACTTAGTAAGCTGAATAGAGAACAAGCGTAAATAAGCAACATGAAAACAAAAAAACAAATTGCAAGAAAAAAATAACTTCTCAACGTACAAGAAAAATGCTTAGAACTATGCGATAGAAAAACACTTTGTAAAATCATTTTTTAAGCGTGTATAAAAAAAACCCGAGCGAGTTATAAACATGCAGAGTAGCTCCAAAACAAAAAAAAAAAAAGCAAAAACAAAAAAAAATTATATGAAGAAGATAAAACACCTTATCAGAATAAGGCGCAACCATTTTATTTAATTAAGCTATCACTACGATTTCTTTAAACGAGCCCACTTCACAACAAATCAATACCTTACGCCCCCCTCCACGAGACCCCACAATATGTAATTCTATTATACATATAAATAAATTATATATAAATAGTATTTAAAAAAAAAAAAAGATGCTCATGTGTTTTTCTTTTATCTATCCGTGAACAAACATTAAATCTACACAATAGAAGTGCAATTATTAATACATTTATCGAACACCAAACCTGGGGGCAACGTTAAACGACCTACGCTTCGATTGACACGTGCACCATGCCAACTGCCCCCAATGACATATGCCCAGTTAGTCATTCGCACAATAAATTTGTAAACACAGCCAGGCAATGTTTCCCGTCTAGCATTAGGTCAGACTAATGGAAAGTTCCTGGTGCCCTGATAACACACTTTCATGGAAAGCAGATATCGTTGCTTGTTTGTAAACATGAAAAAGTTACCATAAATTGGTATTTTTTTCTAATGCTCAATGCACCTATGACACATGTTTCGTCATAGAAGAAGTTTAGTTTGAACGGGTTCCATTTTTTCGACACGATTTTGGTAACATTTCTACATAAACGAAATATTGCCAAATATGGTCAACACGGAAATGTTCTTATCAGTTCAGAACCATGATTTTTTTTTGGTTCTACATTTACCTATTATTTGCAGCGTTAACGATTAGTTATTGTTTGATCGCTTTATGATTCATTAAATACTTCATTTAAAATAGTCAGGCTAATATATAAAAGAGTTATCGGAAAAGATTATTTTAGAAGTTTGATTCAAAATATAAAATATTTTTTTGATTATTTATTTAAAAAAATTACAAAATCATACATAATAAATAATTGTATAATGATTTTATTGATATTCAAACAATAATCACCAAACAAAATACTTTCTCAAGAACCTTTCCATTCAAGTATCAACAGGCTTTTCTATCATCAGAGCAAAAGTCAAGGTCCCTTGAAATAACCGGGTCAACTTCAAGACTTACTTTGTGCTGGGTATCTTCAGGTTGATCATATTGATTTGAACCTTTTCTGTTGTTTTCGCCACACACTGTTTGATAATAAATTCATTCATTTCATTGCAATTCGGCATGATTCCATAAAGTTTAAAAGGCGTTTATCAAACGTAGTAATTTTATTTGCGTGTTATATAACGTAATTGAGTAATTTGTTTGTGCCAAAGCTTTATAGCTGAAACTGAGAATCGTAGGCTTATCAGTTGGAATTGAAGTCAATCAGGCAATGATAATTAGAGCTGCATGTTTCAAATGACATGAAAACCATGTAATCAAAAGTGGAAATCAAGTTAACAAAATAAATATGAGGATTTTGTATTTTTTTTTTACTTAATTGTTTTGTTTTTATTACATACGAATACGAGTATAGTACACAATTGGTTTGCTTTTTTGATTTTGATTTTAGAACTAGAGCCGTGTGGCGTTCGTTTTTTGGTATTTAGATAAATGTATCAGTTACAAGAGGCTATCAAAAATAGTTTTGTTGTTGTTGTTGTTGCATTAGGCGACAATTAATAAATATACATACATATTTAGAAAATACTAAAACTCATTTTGTTTATGTAATATAGGACACGATTTACATACTAAATTTAACATGCCCTCTGTAGTAATGTGATTGAGGTAACAATAATAATTTGATGGTAAAGCTTAACAATTGTCAATTGTCAATTGTCAATTGCCAACTAAAGCTCCACAAGTGCTAGAAATATTACTTAAAATAAGTTGCTTATCAAATTCCCCCCATGATATTGACAATTGGAAAACAAACTGAAGAAAGAAGCCGCTGTGTGTTGCTTTTCTGTTTGTTGTACGTTCTACATCTAAACACTGAGATTACATAATGCACGGAAACTCGCTAGTAAAATCATGGCATCATTGCAGCACCCTGCTTTTTTTTGACGGGTGGGTGGAGGGTGTGCGCCTTTAGGAGGCGAGTCCACGTTGGCGACGCTTGACACGCGCATATGGACCCACAGATGGATCCATGACAAAGTCATAGAGCACACGAGTCCAGCTGGTGTGCTGTGGCATCGTCTCGTAGAACTCCTTGGCAATGCGCTTCACCTCCGGCAGCCGGGAGCCGGGCACAGCCGGAAAATCATGATGCTCATTGTGATAGCCAACATTGAAGGTGATCCAATTGAGTGGTCCATAATACGAATACGTCTCAAAGCCCTTGGCGAACATGTAGTGCTCCGATATAAAGTGCCCCGCCACAGGATGCAGACCCATCGCCAGAATGGAACCAATTAACAGATAGGCCATCGCCTTCCAGCCGAAAAAGTAAACCACAGCCACATTGAATGTCAGCTGGATGATCGTATTAACGATCTCCAGGCGTGTCGGTGGCTTCGGATTGATCACCAATGGACGGAAGATGTAGAAGAACGGCTGCAGACATACCCATAGGAATTTCCCAAATGTTGTGTCAAATAATCTCGCCTCCAGCAGCGTGGGTATATCAGTGTCAACCACTTCATCGCCTTGATACCTAAAAAAAAAAAATAGATATATATATATTTGGATAAGTTACAAATTAAAATCATGATGAATTCAAGGAATAGAAAATATAAATATGAAAATTCTAACCATGGATTAAAATCTACTGAATGCAACTTTATTTGGGATTTACTAGAAACAAAGTAAAAATGTGAATAAATCTGTAAATCTAACATTAGCAAAGCAAGCCTAGGCAAAGCCGATTAATGTACACCATTGGATTGATTAGTTATATGGTCCATTACATACTAAATGCAATCTCAATTATGAATTCTAGTCAAGCCAAAAAAAATTCGATTATAATCGGTGTGTGGATAAATATTGTCATGAAACCAAATACAAATCTAGTTCATAACAGGGATTGTAATTGGTTTGTTATCGTAAACAACAAAAAAACTTACATAGACACATGAGTACAAATATATATTTTATTAGATTTGGTGACCCAATTTAATCCACATGATTAGAATTGAACCATTTAATGCCTCCAGGAAAGCTTGATAACTAGGTATAAAGAGGGTACAGAGAGAGTTAAGAAACATACGCTGGAAAATCATTTTACACTTTTTGTATAATTTAAAATTTTTGTGGTATTTCTATTTAGAGCTTATCGTTGCACAACTATTGGCACCATAAACAAGCTACTCACGTAACTGATAGATTAGATAAACTTCTAGTTATTAACACCTGCGTACCCCAGACACAATTGAGCCAAATGGGCCACTCACTGCTCAAGTGATTGTGCATGTGACTCATTTTGTATTGCAGATAATCAGAACGGGTACGCGAACTATGACTATAGATTATCTTAGCCGGGGATAATGTGATAAACCATAAACCATATCATACTGTAAGGCGCCACAAAACCAGATGTATTTTAAAATAGATAAAAGCTGAATATGGGGTTGATCTAAGAGTCTCAGTCAAGTTAAAATCATGGATAAAAACTAAAACAATACTTATTAAATTTACGTCAAATTAATGTGCAAATAACACTTGGCTTCAAATATGTTGGCATTGCCGTTTGAGATTTGAGTTCATTTCACCTTCAAAGATAAGGTTAGTTGCAAAACTGAGATAGCGGATAAGATAGAGACCAAAGAGTGTGGCACATAGTTTAGTAATAAAATAAATAATGCCTCCACCCCCCAATCGCCTCTCCAAAATGGTTGTCCTCTTCACTTTGCTTTTCTTTTCGCAGTGTAACAAAAATAATCAATTGAACTCTCATTAAATTTACATTCGAGTCGCCAGCCAAATTGCCGGCAATAGATACGAACAACAAGAGCACTCCAAGTGTGAATGACTCATATATATATGTATATACATATGTATATAGGGTAAGGAACAAAATGCAAACGTGCAAATATACACAACTAAGGTGGCTGCCTTGCTACGTGACCAATATAAGCAATTAATCGAAATTGATGTGCATAAACAATAGTTAAAATCCCTTAAACTTTCAAATCTTATCATAATCATTAAATACCATAGGAAATTGATTATTATTTGTTGTTGACTCACAACTGAGAACATTTTATTAAGCGGAAGTATTAATAAACTATAAATTGATATTACAAGGACCACAAGCAAACAGCAAATAACAAAATAGTCATCGAAGTTAAATACTCTTGTGCACGGCAGTGTATATTATTAATATACATATTAATAAAACTCATATTACAACCGAGTTTTTTTATTTACACAAAGTTCGACTCACAGACTATGTAGAAGAAGGGGGAGAGAGGGGGAAATGGTGTTGAGTGGCTTATTATTAGTGTTGTAAAGCGCTCTCGCCGGTCTTTGTGTGTTTTGTGGTCGCGTGGGGAGGCGGCAAAATCTATCTCATGGCTACGCCCCATTAGCATGAATTTAAAAAAAATTCACATAAAATTGCCGGCACGTAGCGCGGAGACCGCATTTGTGTGTGTGTGTGTGTGTTGTGTGCGATGAGTGTGCTTGACGGCAATAACGTCATCAAGCGAACCAATCGCAGTTTAAAAAACTTTACCGATGATGCTCCAGATGATATTTCTTAAAGGATATACTCATGGGCAGTCCAATGGGCAGATTGCAAATGAAGCCCAAGATGCGATTGTGCATGGGTCGGCTGTGACCAAAGGCCAGATTATGCGATATTTCGTGTACCGCCAGCATAAGCGAGTGATTGAGAATGCCGCCAAAACAATAGGCCAACAATACTAGCCATAACCATGACAGGTCCTTGACAACGAAAAGCGCCAGAATTTGTGTCAGCACCATGGCGCCGGCAACCCATTTAAAGTTGGGATCATGGCCAAAGAGTTTCTTGATTTGCGGATATTTCTCGAGGATGATTTTGCGGCGCGAGGCATGCGGCTCTTCCGTATAAACCCACTCGAAGTCATTGCGCGACACTTTCTGGCCCATTTCTAATTTGTACTGTTTGTTATTATTATTGTTCTGCTTGACGGCTCAGACACAACGCTTTTGCATTATCGACCGACCAAAAAAGTGCACAAAAATAGGCGTGCTTTTTCCTGTCGTCCACAATGCGACACCAATGAAGTGAAAAATGTTAATGAAGCCGCACTAGCAACAAGGTCGACAACGAGCACCCACATAAAGAGCAGTGTTGGTAAGGGCCAAAGTGCCCAGGGTTGCCCTCCGACTATCGTATCGATGAGCAAACAGCTGACTAGAGAGCGCTGCAAACTTACCACTGCCCCTTAAACTTAGGTGCACCTCATTTACAGGTGAAAACTGCAGCTGCCGCTGTCGGAGAGTATCTAGCCTGTCCAATGAATAAAATGAATGCACAACTGCTGTGTTTGTTCGCCATTTTATACAATAATTTATAATTGTGTTTGTAGTAGTTTGTAGTACATTATGTAAATTTTGTATTTCAAATAATTTCATTAAAATTATGCTCAAAAAACTGATGCGATGTGTTTTAGGCACCAAGCTGTTGTAGCTACTGCTGATTCGCATATCAATCGCGTGTTGCTGTGCCGCGCAGTGGGCACCTGCACTTTGTTTTGCTTGCGTTCTCATTCTTTTGCTTCTTGTTCTTACTTTATGGGGTGCTGCGGGTGCGACAGTGACTGTGACGTCAGCGGGTTGACAAACTGATCAGCTGCTGTTCTTATACCTTCTACTCTCTCTCTGTGTGCGGATGGGTGTGTGTGTGTGTGTATGTGTTGTTATATTTAAACATAAAAGTGTGTACATGTAATTTTTGTATTGTTTTTAATATATTTTTATCAATAGTTCTAGAAAATGCTAAAACAATGTGGTTGTTTTTGTTGTTGTTGTTGTTGTAGTGGTCTGATTCACACACAAAAATCGAAAGATGTTGTTCCCCGCTTTAGGGTTTCTAATGTTTAGACTTCGGGTTTGTTGCTTGTTGACGACGCAGTAGTAGTTGTTTTAAATTGATGTTACAGCTGATGATGTTCTTCTGCTTCTTGTTCTGTTGTTGTTGTTGTTTAGGAATAGGGCAAAGCGTCAGCCAGCGATTGTTGTTGCTGTTCGTAAGTTGTTGTTGTTCTTCTTTATACGGCTTGATGTTGCTGATGCTGTTGTGGTTGTTATTGTTGCTCCTGCTGATTAGTATTTGTTGTTTGAATAAATATTTAACGTGATTTTAGTTTTTTTTTGTTTGCTTTTGTTACTTGTTTTCTTATTTTTGCTTTAAATTATATATATTTTGCGCTTTTTTTGCGCAATTCTTTGCTGTATAGCTCACTCACTTTTTCTTGTTTATTTTCTTGTATTATATTTTTTTTCTGCTCAACAAAATATTTAAATTAAATCGGCAATATTAGCAGGCATTTCCTCGATAGTAGTGTGATAGAATTGTTCAATATCCTTAAGGATTCGTCGATCATCATCTGTGATGAAGTTGATCGCAACACCCTTGCGACCGAAACGACCACCGCGACCGATTCTGCAATAGATTGGAGAATTATAGGATATTATATATACATAGAAAGGATTCGGAGCAACTGATCAATTTGAAGTTGAAATGCCTGCAGCGTTTACATACCTATGAATGTAGTTCTCGCGGTTCGAGGGCAAATCGTAGTTGATGACCAACGAGACCTGCTGCACATCAATACCACGCGCCAATAAATCAGTTGTAATCAGAACACGGGATGAGCCCGAACGGAATTGTTTCATGATAACCTCACGATCACGCTGCTCCATGTCGCCGTGCATAGCCGACACGGTGAAGTTGTGGCTAGACATCTCCTGGGTCAGCTGATCGACCTGTTTATGCATAACAACAAAAAAGAGACGATCGAAAAGTTAAGAATAACACTTGGCCAGATACTCCCTTCACAGATATATCAATATATACATTGATGAGGTCATTATGGATGAGAAGGTTGATCTTGGAAAACAAGTGCTTACCTTGCGACGGGTATTACAGAAGATAACCGACTGGGTAATGGACAGCGTATCGTACAGATCGCACAGTGTGCCCAGCTTCCAGTTCTCCTGCTTGACGTTCACGTAGAACTGCTTGATACCCTCGAGGGTCAACTCCTCCTTCTTGACGAGAATGCTGACTGGCTCACGCATGAAGCAACGGCTCACTTCGAGTACATCGGGGGGCATGGTAGCGGATAGCAAGATGACCTGCACATCTGGGGGCAACATCTTGAACACATCCTGGATTTGATCTTTGAATCCGCGCGACAACATCTCATCGGCCTCGTCCAGCACGAACAGCTTGATGGACTGAGTGCGCAGCACCTTGCGATTGATCATGTCATAGACACGACCAGGTGTACCAACCACCACATGGCATCCGGACTCCAAAATGCGAGCATCTTCGCGCACATTGGTGCCGCCAATGCAGGCATGCGAATGCACCTTCATGTACTCGCCAAGAGCCATAACCACACGCTGAATTTGGGTAGCCAACTCGCGAGTGGGGGCCAAGATCAGAGCCTGGCATTCACGAACGGCCGTATCGATTTGCTGAAGGATGGCAATCGAAAAGGTGGCAGTTTTGCCAGTACCTAAAACAAACAAACAAATAAAGACGCAATTCTTTATAACGAACGATTCAACAATGATAAAATCAAATCAACTGTGAAATAATAGTTAAGAAAAACAAGTTCTTCCATTTGAATATAAATCGCAATAAGATAATTTTCCATTAGGTATCCACATTTATTAGTTCATATTATGGAGAGCGAAGTTTCCATTACTTGAAGAGTTTGAAGTTCAAATGACACTAAATAATCAATAATAATGCGCTCATCAAGATATACAAAACCAAATCGATTTTCTTCCATGGAAAGCAAATCGAAAGATGAAAATCGATGCAATGGATAATTCAAATTGAATTTCATCTGTTAAATATTATATTTATATATATATGCAGTTACATTTATTGCATTTACCAGCGATTCTCGACTTTTCGCCGAGCTGAATAATAAGTAAACAAAAAAGAAACTTGCTGATGCTCGATTATATTTCAATTATGGCGAGGAAATTATATTTCGCGGTAAACGCGATCGAAAAGAGCGGTACGCAAGCGCTGAGACGCCAAAGAGAGCATTCTCCGACAGAGAGAGAGAGAAAGAGAGACGGAGAGCGAGCTTCGAGTTAGAGAGCGAGAGCAAAAGCGGATATCTGAGTCACCGTTTATCGTCATCAAATTCGGCCTTTACGCCCAAAAAAAAAAAAATTGGCACTTTCTCATCGAAGAGGAATGCTTTAAATAAATGTTTTTTTTTGCTTTGCTGTTTGTTTGCATGTCATCAAATTACTCACCAGATTGCGCCTGGGCAATGACATCGCGACCCTTAACGCAAGGAATGATGGCGCGCTGTTGGATTGCCGATGGCTTCTCAAAACCGTAGCCATAGATGCCGCGCAGCAGTTCCTCGCGCAAGCTCATATCATCGAAATTGTCGTAGACTTCATGCCAGGTCGACTCGATGACGCCCTCGGGGTCCATGCCAGCGGGACCATCTTGAGGTATTTCACTTCGATCATCCCTGTGTGAAAGCCAGAAGAAAAAAAAGAGGAAGACAAAAATTAAATCACAAACGGTGTCTTAGTCAGCAATAGAGAATAATGCAGTATTTATCGCAAGAATTTTCTTGCTTTGCTTTTTTCGCTTTACGCTTTTTCTTCGCTTTTTTTTTTTTGGTTATGGAGAATCTGCGCTTGGCAACGAACGTAAGGCAGAAATCGACGACAAAAGAGACGTCGTCGGTGGCGCGACTGCGGAGTTTCAGCAGCAGCAGCAGGCAAGCTGCGGGAGCTGCAGCAGAGCAGTAGCGACGGCGGCGACAACACTTACATTATCAACAATAAAAAATTGACTAGTTAAATTTGTATACGGAATTTCGACGGATTGAGCACCGTTCAGTTAAACAATTTCTATATTATTAGTATGTCAAAAAAGTTGTAACGAAAATTTTTTTTCTACAGAGTGCACACAAACGTGTTTTTTGTTGTGCGTGCTGCTCTGCGGTATTTTCACGTATGCGATGCCAGTGTGAGTTTTAACGACCGCTAGGCGGCCTTTTGAGCGTCTTGTCACCGTCGCACTCAGAGTACGTGTGCGAAAGAGTACACCAGATATGTCAATGTCAGTGTGTAGTGGTAGCTTCTGTTCGTATTTGCATGAGTCTGAGCAGTAGCAAGCTATCAACGATTAGCTGCAGTGTTGCATGTGCGTAGTAGTTGAGAAACAGTAGTAGAAAGTACGAAAAAAATGTGGTACTGAACAAATGTAAGCCAACAGGCAAATTTAAGGCGTGTATTTCAACCACTTGCAGTGAGAGCGAATGAGTGCCAAATGAGAGAGAAAAGTCTGCGCGTAAGCGCGGCACAACCACCAAATGATTTTGCGAATTCTTTAAATTTCCCGCACTTGAAGAATATTTATATCACCACATAAAATGTGCATATATAATATATATGTATCTGCTCATATGCCATATGTATGACGACAGTAGCGTTGGCATTGAATCGCTATACGTAGTCATTGTCCAGTCAACGACGACGACCATGAGTCAAAGGCGTGCTTGTGTGTGTGTGTGAGTGAGAAAGAGAATGATTTCGTATTTTTGCAATGATTTTATTGGTGTTGTAGCGGTTCAAGTGAATCTCTCGTTGCCAAGTAATAGTCTCATTTAACCTCATATATAATTCATTGTGTATTTTATTTTCTTTGTTATGCATTAAGCCTGTGTCGTTCCAAAGAAAATGAATATATTTGACCCAGCACGCATACACACGCACACAATCAACAACCACTACATTCTCTCTTGTTCGTTCTCTCTCGCTTGCTAGCTCGCTCTCTGTCAGCGCCAGTCACTCGTGCCGCAACGTCCGCCGTCGTGTAAAAATTCTTTTCGTTTTGTGTTTCACATTTTGGGTTAAATTTTCGTTTGCAATTTTTAATGCTCTTGCTCACTTAAATTGGCTAAATTTTGCAAGCAAATTTTTGCAAACTGCCTTGTTAGTTCGTCTTTCACATATTATGAATTAAATCGTTGAATAATACTAACATTTTCTGATTATTATTTGGCACTTTTTATACACGTGCTGCTGATTGTTACAACCAAGCAAAAGAGGCTCCATCTTGCGAAACTTTTAGTGATGTAAGGAACACATCGAAGTTATCGATATATCAAAATTCAGCTATCGTTAAGTCCAAAAGAAATTTTTCATTTTCAAAGGCTTAACTCCTTTTAATTAGTTAGCAATACTATAATAAATATTGAATGTATGTTTTATTAACGTTTTGACGGCATCGGAAGTAAAAAGCTTAAAATTGTACAATTTCGATAGGCGATTTTCGCTATATCGATGCACACATTCGACTTATAATTATTAACACATTCCAAATATTTTTGTAAATATGTTAAATAGTTTAACTTCTTGGGTTAAAAAAATACATTGCCTAATTAGATAGATATATTTTTATATATCGGTCCTAAAGAAATGTTATCGAGTACCAGTATTTCTTATCGGCCATTTATTTCTTAATCGACATAACGATAAGTTTAAATATTTATGACTAAGTAAATCTTGTTATGGATTTCTCTATTAATGTATGAAAGCAATACCATGCTATTGCTAAGATCGATCAAGCAAAATGATTCTGTCTAGGACTACCAAGTCAACCAAAATAAATAGCAAAATAAAAATAAAATAAAAATTGCATATAATTATTGACGCAACTAAATATGTTAAGTTAATTTTTGTATGGGTTGTGCGAAATAATGGGTTATTGCCAACAATCATTTGTCAAATAAATCGAATATATAATGAATCGAACGCATCGCGCAATCATTTGTCTATCGATCAAATGGAAGTATCGATGTTTCTGGTCATCCGCAGTCAGTATAATTTCATCGCCGCATCGCATAGCGTGTGAAAAGTGTGAGTTTGCATTGGATTTTTGGGAAACTAAGCGTATTAGTTAAAATTCATATGATATGTGCTAGTTTTAATAAATGTTTGTGTGGTCAACAGTCTTAGTTGAATTAGATTAAGTAGCAGCAAGGCATAGTTTCAATAAAAGGCCAACTAACAAAAGAAAGGCCGACTCACTCATACACACACTCACAAAACGCACACGCGCGCATATTCGCCGACGGCGTTGGCTCTGCGCATACATACACACATTTCAATATTGGTGTGTGTGTGTATAAGTGTGCAAAAAAAAGAAGTGGAAAAAAGTTCAGCAGCCGGTCTATGTGTGTCTGTCTTCTGTCTCGCCGCCTCATTTGGCTGGAAGAAATGTCTTGTCAAAATTGTCTGCTGGCCTTGCGCTTTCTTTTGCAAGTAATTCAGGGTGTTGCCAAATTTACAGCGGATATCAGATAAATTTTGCGTATATTTTGTGTTTGTACATATACAAAAGTATGTACATCTTAAAATTAAAAGATCTATTTTTAATTTATGATTGACCATCGTCGTCGACCGGCCAGAAAAGTGCTCAAGCAGTGGCAGAAAAGGCCGATTCATAACACACACACACACTCATATACATATACACACTCATAGAAGCAGGCAGGAGACTCGAGTTTGTTGAGTCATCGCCTGCTCTCACTCACTCATTTGCATTACGCGACCGGCGATTTATAACGGCCATATATGCCATTTCGCTCGCACACACGCTCCAGCGCATAGTTGTTTTTTTGTTTTTTGGCATTGCACTCGCCGCTGAGTGAGTCGGTGGGTGAGTGTGCGCTGCTAGCGTCGGCGGCAACTGTGTGACTCACGCTCGCTCTGAGTGTGTTTTTTCTTCTTTCTCTCGATTTTCCATGCTTGGAGCGCCAACTAAACAACATTTTGCATTCAATCGTTTTTGTCATTCTGTGCAAGTCGGACGTGTTGGGGCTGCTACTGCTGCTGTTTGCGAACGGTTTACCCTCCTCTACTCATAGTCTGTGTCTGTGTGTGTGCTATCTCTAGCTGGCTGTGTTAGTGTGTGTTGCGTGTGAGTTTTTTTTTGAAGAAACGAAACGAAATGAAACGGAGAATTTTAAAAAGAAAAGAAGTTTACGCTGCTTTTCAAGTTTCAATCGTTTAAAAGGAGCGAAAAATAAATTTCACATTTTAATTGATAAGGCGTAAAGTTTTAACTTATCGTTAATTTCAACTCAACATAATTCTCTTTTCTCTACCCCCTCTTCTCTCATTGCAGTTTCTAAATAAGTTTCCTTAAACAAATTAAGTAGAAAATCGCCAAGATTTTCTCTTTACGACTAAATTCTTTGGTGGCGTGAACAAAAAAGTGTAACAAATATTTAACAAATCCAAGTAACGCGTGTGTTATACTTGCAAGCAAATATATATTATATATATATACAATAGTTTTTAACAACCACCGCAACAACAACAAATACAACAACATGAGCTGGCAAGATTATGTCGATAATCAACTTTTGGCCTCGCAGTGCGTCAACAAGGCCTGCATTGCCGGACACGATGGCAACATTTGGGCGCAGTCCAATGGCTTTGAGGTGAGTAGTAGTAGTACTGTTAATCCAAAATTAAATTCATCTAATCTTTTGGCCAGCAAAAAAAGGCGACGGCCTTTTTACTCAAGTTCAAGGGTGTGACCAACAACAATGCGTCCTCACACTCACACAAACACATATATAGTTACCCACACACTGCGAGAGAGTGTGAAACGAGAGAGGAGAGAGTGACAGTCAAATGCTGACCCCAGCAGGACTTTAAATGTCAGGTTGAATTTCAAATTTCAAAAGAAATTGCAACTTTTGTTCAAATCCTGCAAATCTTTGCTCTACACACGAACTAAGCAGTTAAGCAGTTTGAACTCATTTCGTACATTTTCGTAATTTAAAATTCGTAACAAAATTGAGTTCTTTCAATTTTTTTTTGTTCTTTTTGCTGAACGTCCGCCATTTATACTTTTATTTCATTTGATAAAGCGCAACTCCCACCCTGTTTGGGTGTGCACCCCCGTGAGTGCTCTCTCCGCCTCTATCACTCGCTCGCTCTTTTTTTTCTCTCTCTCTCTCTCTCTCTCTCTCTCTGGTAAGGCAGTCGTCTGTCTGCGCAGCGCTCTTTTCTGCTCCGCTCAGCCTCTCGTCGATTAGCGATGTTAGCAGCGATGTTTGTCACATCTTGTCACAGATTTTGATTATTTATAGAGGCAACCGGACAAATTAGGTGGCGGTGCTTTAAGTAAGCAGCAGCAGCTGCTGTTGTTCGTTATCAAAAATAAAAGCAGCATACATTTCGATTTTCGATAATGTGACTCATCTCACTATAAGCGCAGTCTCCTCTGTACAGGTAGATTAGTCACTCAAAGATGATTCGTCATTTGGAGTGCATTTGATGAAAGGTGTTTGCCTGCAGTGACTGAGCGTGGTTTGATTGTGTGCATGTATGTATATGTGTATGTGTGTGTGAGTGCTCGTGAGTAAGTTTTCATAGCCGGCATAACAGATAGACATATGTATTGTACTTTTCAACATTGACATGCACTCATATTTTATACTTGTTAACAGAAATTGAAGAAAGAGAAAGAGTGGAAAAAGTGACCGTTTTACTCAATTCAGCGTTTGCCGCATATCAGAACTACTAGTAACCGGGCCTTATTGGCTCTTATCAAAACACACACAAACACAACTGCAAACAGCGCAGTTTAGTTCAATAGCTCGATGTGTGTGTTTAAATGTGAGCGTGTGTGCGTTTATTATTATCTTTGTTTCCTCTGCCGGCAAAGGAAAAAAAAAACCGTTTTTATCACAAGAAATAATGAAAATAAGTTTTGAGTCGATTGGAAGTGAAACGAAAGAAATGTATCTCGAAAAAAAGAAAAAGAAAAAAACGCAACGACAGTGCCGCGTCATCAGCAGCAGCGAACAAAATGTTGTATGCTAGCCACGTTTTCGCATTTATTTAATGAGTATGACTCCGCGTGTGTGTGTGCAACTTCCTGCTGACTGCGCCGTGCGCGCCTAACCAAATATATATATGTAAAGTATATAAATATATATATATATACTTTATCCTTTGTTTGTGCGTCTGTTCGTTCCAGTCAAGCCTGGATTTTTGCCATTCTTGTTTTCGATAGGGTCTCGGGGTTCCGGGACCACTCCCTAGTCCTATTGTGCTTTGTTTTAAGTGTATTTGTATTTGTCGCGCCAACCTTATCGATAATTATATTATCGATTTTAATTAACAAAGCATTTTTTCAGGCAATGCCATTTGTTTTGACGATTAGGATCAATAGATAATAACGAATAGAACAACAACTTCCATTAGCTCTCACCCAAATTGAATTGGTTTTTTTGGTGAAGAGTGAATTGAATTTTAGTTAAGTCTCAAAATTGGGTAAAAGTGTTTCTCTTCGAGAGATGCCAACATCATCATCATCGGCCATCAGCAATCAGCAACCTTCGCTTTTAGCCATCATTTGTTGTGTTTGCAATTCTTCTCCACATCTACAGATATCACTTTCATTTTGCGGTGGCCTCCGTTCCGACGTGTTACATACATTTTGTATTATTTTATTTTTATTTATTTGTTTCTCTCTTTCTCTGACTTATTGCCTTCTGCATTTTCTTACTTATTACGTTCGTTACCTATATTTTATTTATTTGAATTTGATTGATTCTCTGCAACATTTTCATGAGTCATCATCGTACAACTTTTATCGCTTAATATATTTATTTAGTTTTACTCTTTGCATGGATCAGCTGCTCTCCAAGATTATTTATTCTATTTGTGTGTATGCTTTTAACGCTTATCAATAGCGTATTTTTGCATATTACACTTATGGCATTAAAGTTTGCAAAAACTCACCATAAAAACCAGTTTTTACATTATAAAGAATTGCAATTTGAGAATATTGAAGAAAAAAAAACCAGCGTCATTCCCAATTTCAATGAAACAAATTCTATTTTTTGTTTTGGCCAGAGGCGAGGCGGCAAGGCAACCACACGTCAAGTCAACGTTCTCGATATTCTTGTCAATTTTGGTGGTCATTGCCATTGTTGTCTATTATTTCTAAGCGTTGCTTTAATTAGTTGAGTGCTTTTGATTAATTTATTAAACATTTTTGGTATAGCTCTGACTGTGTTCGCAAAACCGGCTTTTCGAACCAGCGGCGCTCTCTTTGCAAGCATTCAACACTCACTCGGGCACACACACACACACAAACACAACCACAGACACACACACAGGCACATCTCACACACACATGCAAACGCGCACATTTTTACGCTCAAATTGGAAACTTCTGGAAGTTCTTTTTTTTTATTATCAATATCCTCTATTTACGTCTCTTTCAACCGGTTGATATCATTAACATTTGTGGCGCTGCGACTAAGCAAATAACTAAACTATTAATCATGTTTATTCTAATTACTTTGCCAAAATTCCTGGCGCTTGACAACATCGCACAAAGCCCAAAAGAAACAAGAGAGAGGGAAAGAGAGTGCAGTTTGCGGTTTTGGTGTGTCCTGCAAATGTTAATGACATATTGCGTGGGGTATGGCAACGCTGATCTGCTTAAGTGTTGGCAAACTAGTTTTTCCCTTTTACACAACAATAACAATATGGAGGCAAATGGTCAGACGCTCCTTGGGCATGCTGCTGCAGCAACAGCGTGTCTCACATTTTGTTAACAAGTTGACAGACGTCGTCGTCATCATCTTCGTTTCATGGGTGGTGAATGTTGCTAGTGGTGGGTTTTTATTTGCTCTCTGCCTCTCTCTCTCTGTCTCTCTCACGCCTGCTTTGAGTGGGTTTTTGCTGATTACAAATGAATGAATTTTGTTTTTTTTTTTGCAATGGCACACGCTTAACTGGCAGATACCACGATTCTGTGGAAGGACGCATATTATTTAAAATTAAAACCCGTATGTGCACGTACGGCTTAGCGCGCAGCATACATAAATTCCAAAAATTTATGACACGCGTGCATGACTCATAAGTTTTACTGCAGGGTGTCACAGACACGAACAGAATAGTTACAAGCAATTGCATATTATAATTTTTTTTTAATGAGTTGTTTAACATTCTGACTTGTTACAGGTTACAAAGGAGGAGCTGGCCAAATTGATTAGCGGATTTGATCAGCAGGACCTGCTTACCAGCAACGGCGTAACATTAGCCGGTCAACGGTACATTTACCTCTCAGGCACAGATCGCGTAGTGCGCGCAAAACTTGGCAGAAGCGGTGTGCACTGCATGAAGACGACACAAGGTGAGTTACAGTAACAGCAAATAAACTGCCAGAGTTGTCAAACGCTTTAAATGAAAAGTAATTGGGTGGGAAATTAATATTGCATTTAACCAGAACCGGTGACAAGTATTTTGGCACTTTGATTTGCGTCTCACGAATAACGAACTGAAATGAAAAAAAAAGAAGCAGGATGTGTGTTATCAGCTCTGGGCTTTATGTCTTACTTTTGCTTTGTGCATGTAGGTGCAAAGTATTTAATAACCAGATAAGTTTGGCGATTTTGGCAATAGCCATCCAGCTTATATCATTATGATAAGCATTGAACAGTGAGCATTTTTCATAATTACTTTTAATTTGTATCTGTTGAGGGGGTTTCATAAAAGGCAGCAGTGCTTGCCTAATATATGTAAATATGAATAGTGGCTAATCTTTCAATTTACATAACACCAATGGAAATATAAAATAACCAGAAGTTAAACGAGCTGTAAATGATGGGCAATCATTTTATGCCTGCAGTTGTGTTCGTTGCTGCTCCATTTTTCCGGTCAATTGGCAACTCACCTCGCCACACACAAATGCATTTCAAACAGACAGACAAACACACACACTAGCTCTCTCTCCCTCTCTCTGGCGAAAAATAAAACTCACTCATTTTTTTTGTTTTTCTTTACACCTTGTGCCTAAAAACGTTGATGTGAAAAGTCTTGGAAGCAGCTATCTATCTGTCTGTCTAACGAATATTTGTCTCTGTGTGTTGTATGATTGTGTGCGCCATGAAACTAAATTTGTTTTTGTAGCTTGTTTGCCGACTGCGTCGACGTCGTCGCCTTCCATATTTGTCTACTTTTATTTTATTTTTAGTTTTTTTTTTGCGGCAACTGTTGAGCGACGTCGCTGCCCGGCTGCCCGCTGCTGCAGCAGCAGCCGCAAAGCTCAAGGTTATTGCCATAATCCATTTCAAGTGCAAATGTTGCACAGAATAAGCCGTAAAAGCGGCCAGCGAGCGGAGAAGCAGCATATAAATGGAAATAGTAGACAAGAAATTGGCATAAAATGGCAAACTGGTCTCTCTCTCGCTCTCTCTCTGTCTCTTTTTCTGTCCCGTATGTGTTTGTTTGGATGTGTGCGTGTACATTGTGGCGCCTGGGATTAGTCTCTTTTGGCCTCTTGCTTTGTCTTTATTTGGCATTAAATTTTAGCTTTTCGTGGCTTTGGCAATAGAACAGCTGATCGAACACATACAAGTATATATTTGTATATATATATACATACAAAGCTTAAAACCGACTCAATTTACTTTACTAAGCACTTGATTTACCGCAAATTACACTTTGCTCAAATGGCACTGGATAAGCGACCATCGCAGCTTAACATTGCCTTGTTTGCATATATATATATAAGTGCGTGTGTGTATGTATGTATGTGTGAGTCTTACATTGCTATTTAATTGTGCTTAAAACTAAAGTACAACTTGTTATGCATGCTGTGGATACGCCTCAAATACCTCAAGGCATGCTGCGTCGTGTGCAAGTGTAATTAAATATGAAAGGTGTAATATGTGCTATCAGAGTGCTTATCTCATAAACAGCCTTTTTATCGCTATCAGCTATCGATTGAATGACATACTAACAGTTCTCTGTTACGACGTGTAGGTGTAGTTGGGTGTTGAGCCGCGATTTCCAGCTGTTGCTGTTACAAGTGTATGTGTGTGTGTGCTTATCTTTATCTCGCTCGCTCTCTCTCGCAGACATGACACTTAACTTTTGGTTTATTGACCCCAGTTCAAAAATTTGTTGGAATTTTTTTTTGTTGGCTTTGATTTGATTTGCTGCTTTGCTTGGAGCGTCGTCAATCAATTGGGTTAACAACAATTTGCTGCTGCACAATTGATTAATGTAGTAAGGAGAGGAGCTCCCCAAGAGAGAGGAGCCAGCCACTTGACTCCGATTCGAAATGCGAGATTCGCTTACATTTCTCAGTATTTGAATGCTGTTCATATACAAATACATACACATTTACAGTGGAGTGGTAGACTTGTCATTCAATATAGTATTGTGTGTGGCTATCTTTCTGTGGCCGGCCGGTCTGTCCGGTTTTCACCTGGTCCACAAATCTCTCTCTCTCCCCGCTTTATTGCGCGTTTTATTCATAATCTTCTTGGGTTGATGATGTTGTGTAAAATACGGTTAGTTCTGTTTCTCTATTGCCGCCGTCTCTTTGGTTGCTTTCTCTATACGTCCGTGTGTCTGTGTGTTATATTGTCAACTGGATAAACAGCAGCCAAACACATTTGTGTATGTGTGTGTGTGTGTGTAATTATGTAGCCATGTTGAAATAGCTTAAGAGATTTCTACTGATGATTAAATTGAATTCTGAGTGCAGAATGTTGAGTGTTGAACAGTCGCCTGACCTGTGGCCATTAAACCATTGGGCAACTGTGGGTTATCGATAACATTAGTGTTGAAAGTATCTTACAGACTCAAGTACAAACATGTAATAATAATTCAGTTAACTTACATTATAATCAATAAAAAATATGTATTTTCTTTTAGCCGTCATCGTTTCCATCTACGAGGATCCTGTACAGCCCCAGCAGGCCGCTTCCGTGGTGGAGAAACTTGGAGATTATCTGATTACTTGCGGGTACTAGAAAATAAAATTTAAAAAACAATAACAGCAACAACAACACAACACCATCAAAAACAACAAACACACCAACAAATTTGATAAGAAAGCTTAAATGAACTAAAAATCTAAAAGCAAGAAAAAAGTAATTAATAATATTTAAATTTATTGAAAAATGCCAAGAAACATTTTGAGGTAATTGTGGTCAAAAATCAAGTAAAGAAAACGATGTCAAAAAATTAAATAAAAAAAAAACTACAACAACAAATTAATTACCCAAAACAAACCTCTACAACAACATTATAAATTTCTGCATTATTATATTTAAACATTTTTGGTTCATACGATAAAAATAAAAAAAAAAACAAAACAAAATAAACTAAAAATTAAAGAAATTGTATTGGAAAGTATTTTGTAAGCAACAAGACATAACAACAACAACAACAACGCAAAGCAACGCAAGCAAAATTTTTGAATACATTTTTGTACAGCAGTATAGTACATACATATATACACCGATCTATATAAACACACAGACTATTGAAAGTGAGTGAGACACAGGGTGTTGAGAGGGAAAATGAGATAGAGAGAAAAGTCAGTCAAGCAGCGATATATACAGAAAATACCAACCAATATAAATGAAAATATCTATATATATACATATATTTATTTATATATGTAAACTATTTGGAGAAACCATGAAGCTCTATTTTTATGTGGCAGGGAAGCAAGATACACATACGACGCATACATACAAAATCAGCGGCGCGCAATGGTATCATCATTTTTTATACAAGAGAACTTTGAGAAAATGTGTAATATTAACGGAAATATGAAATGCAGTCTTTTAGCCATATTTGAGATATGCTCATCATTCGGTTAGGTGAACAGATATTCCAGACACACCAACACACTAACAAGAGCAACACACACGCACACGCACACACATATGTATTCCGTTTTCCAACCGTCTCATCTAGCCATACATATATAGATACATACAAACGTACGTGCATACATGCATTCAAACAAACATACATACATACATACACATATACTTGGAATCTTCCGCCATTTGCTCTCTGTATGCGCTTTTCATGTTTGTATTTTGCTATATTCATACATACATACATATTTATCGATAAACGGCAATTACGATTACGAACGCTGTGCAACACTTTCCGTCTCCTGCCAGCCTATATGGGCTGTGTGCTTGAACGCGTGTCAGGAACATTTATTGCTGAATCAACAACAACAACAACAATTTGGCAGTAATAATTGTCATTAACACATACATTTACACACACGACACAATGTCTAATGCATGCAAGCAAATAAAAATAATAATAATAATAATAATGATAAAAATGAAATATACAAAAATTTAAACTACTTACTACAAATCATACATAAATAAATGGCTTTTTATGTTAGTTAAACAAAAGTCTTTTTTCCGACATATTTCCCCTATCATTTTTACGTAAAAGCGTCGAAAAGCAAACAAAAATTCATACAAAAAATGAATGCATAAATATTAAATATAATATAAAATTTAAAGAAACAAAAAACGAAATGAAAAACATATATAATACGATACTTTAATACTATTGAAATAAAAAACGGAGCGTGGCAAAAATCCTGCTCATAAAAATTACATTAAAAGGTCTTTTTACTTGAACAAAATCAAAATCAACACAACACAAATGGTGCAATTGGACAAGTCGCAAATTGCAAATCAATATAGATCGTTGAACTCTGTTATCAACTGAGGCGCAACAAATTTCATCGACATTTTTCAGCTACTCTTTCTTTGTGCTGTTTATTAATTAAAGAAGCAATGCTCTTTTTGGAGCTAGCGTTTTGCCAATTTTGTTTGCTCGAAAATTGTCAACGTTTTTTTGTATCTACGCGCAATCATTTTCAGTGTCTGACGCAAATGCGCAATTATTTTTCAAAATAATATACAAAAATATGCAAAAATACATTTTTTTTTTTGGTTGTCTTCTCGCAGCTGCTGTTCTTTCAGTTATTCTCGGTTTCGACATTTCTTTATGGCCGCAACATTGACCCAAATTATAAAATTCTTCCACGACAGTGTGAAAAATCTTTGCACATATTTGGCTGACTTAAGTTTCGAACATTTGTGCTGCACATGTTTGTCACTTTCATTTTCGAGTGAGTTTCTTTTCCTCTTTTTTTTTTTTTAGTGAAAATCAGTATTGAACGGTTCACGGCTTTTATCGATTGCACAATTAATCACATCATATTATTATTATTGTTATTGCCATTGACAAGAGCTGGCTGGGTCTGGCCTTTATGCCGCCCCTTGCACACTTTTCCCAACAACCATTTGTGGCTAGTTCGCTTTTTATTTATTTTTTTTTATAGCTGTAACGGCATCATACAAATTGTTTGGCTGCGGGGCAAGAGCAGCTTAGTTCATTTAATAAAATATGCAAATTTCATAAAGGCACATGTAATTTGTTATAATCTGAATGCCTCACTACGAAGATAAGTCCGGCCTTGCGATATTGTTTTACATAGAAATCAGAAACGATTGTTAATCGATAAGCAAATATCGGCATCGGTTTAACAGTTTTTTGTTTGGTGAAAGGTAAGTATTTCAATAGGCGCCTGATAAAAACTATATACAACTGCAAGTGTTATGGCAGCTATCGAATTATCTTTTAGCACACGTCAATGTGCTGATTCATAAATGTAATCTGAATTTGAATTTGAATTTTCATCAGTGGGCAGCATTCAGTTTTGGCGAAAACGAAATCCAAATATCGTCGCCGATAAGACAATTTAAGTTGCGGCATGCAAGTGATAAATTGAAGAAGTGATTTGTTTCGCAGCTGCTTCGCTCTGCAAATACAAACGTGGCTTGGTCACGTCCAGCAGATATGCGAAGTGTTCCGCAAATGAAGAGCCCAAAAACGTGTTTATGTGCATCTGCCAGAGGGGATTGGGATGCGCCTGTTTGACGGGTTATAGCCCACGTCTTGGTTAGTCTCAAAATGCATCTTTAATCATAACGAAATTTATTTTGGCCAACAAAATGTTTGGGTATTCGACAGGCTACATGAAACGACAAGTTTTTTTTTAGCTTTAAGTATTAATTAGCCACCTTCCACCCAATTAATGTCTTATGCAGAGCAGTGCAAATAAGTTCGGAAAATAAGGTTCTACTCATGACAAAAGCAGAGTGAATTTTCCAGAGAAAAGTGAAGTGCAAACATTGTTTCATCGTTTGATGACGACCAATAAACATAAATCACTCTTCCTATATCCACCATTAAAAATTATAAGCAAGTTTAAAAGCCAGTTTGTCCTTCCCACACACGCAACTGCTCCACAGAAAGCCAAAAGAGCACCGACCACGGGCCCAATCTTAACCAGCATGGTATGAGGCCCTTGTAAAGATTAAGGAAACCCTCCTCGCGCACTAGTTTGACGAGGCAATCGATAGAGCCCTTGTAGTATAGGCCATGACCACGCTCATCCGTCGGCTGATTCATGACGCGTGACTTAATCACATCAGCGGGATTGCTCAGCACACTTGCCACAAAGCCAGCTACCATTGAGGAGACGAAGCGCAGTGGAATGCCCTCTTCCATATTGAAATGATTCTTCAAGTTACGCTTGCAAAGATCATAGGCACCTACATCGCCAGCGGTCATCAGGCAGGCGCGCACACAACTGGGTCCCACGCCATGCCACATGCCCAATACGCCCGACTTCCCATAGATGGACAACATCTCCTTAAAGCAGCTATTGTTGCGCGGCTCCAGGCCCATTGTGCGACGCCTGCCGTTCATTTGCATGCGCACCTTGACAATATCGAAGGGATTGGCCAAGCCCTGAGCAATGCAGCCGGCAGCACAGCCACACATGAATGCATGATGTGTTCGTATACTGTCCCGATGCTCAGCATCCGTATAGAGGAATCGACGCCGAAATATATCGTAGAGCATCACACGCAACGAATTGAAAATGAAATTGCGAAAGACCATCGCCGAGAAGCCGGCATAGAGGCTCTTCGGTCCCTCCTCCATGGCAATGCCACGTAAGGTGAAAAACATATTGCGGGGCTTGCTGCCCGTCTTCCTTGCCTCCTCGCCATGGATCTGCTGTCGTGTCTTGCTCACGTCCAACGGATAGACACAGGCCTCTGCAAAGTTGGCGCCAATGAATGTATTTATGTACAGCTGGAGTAGGTTTCTGGCCGTTATTTGCTCTTGATCGTTCCGAACGTGGAATGGAGCCTTGTCGTATGCGGGCCTTAAGTGCCAATAGTTATTTTCATCTTTATCCATAATAATAACTAAAAATTTTGACTTAAAAAGTATTTATCAATATAGTTGCTATGTTCTGAAAGGAAAAAAAAAAAATGGATTAACACAAATCTCTGAAACGTCTCGATTGAGTCTAGTAGCCCGCATCACCACGAAAGCGACGGATCTGTTCAAAAGTCATCCAGAACACCATCGTCCAGGGTCCGACGCGCAGCCAATAGGGCATAAAGCCCTTGTACATGGCCAAGAATCCCTCCTTTCGCACCAGCTTCATAAAGCAATCGATGGTGCCCTTGTAGTGCAAACCACGACCACTTTCATCCGTCGGCTGGTTCATAATACGCGTCTTTACCACATCTGCGGGAGTGCTCAGCACGGCGCACGCAAGCCCAGCTATCATTGAGCCCATAAATTGTATCAGTCGATTATCGGGCATATCCAAGATGTTCATAAGAGCGCGCTTGCCCAGATCATAGAAGCTAACGTCGCCTACGAAATATCAATATTATATTGTTATTTAAACTTGACTTTCTTGAGACAGAGCCAGAATCGCGTTTTCAGCTTAAATATCGTATTATTCTAGAGGTAAAACTATAATTAAAAAGCGCTGATTTCTCAATATTGAATCACATTTGGCAAAAGTTATGCCTGTGAACAGAATCTATAAGTATTTTTTAAGCTTAATTAATTCTTATGGAATCTTTTAGATGTGAATAAAAATAAATTGCGCTTTTAGCTTAATTGAGCTGTCTCATTGAGCAAATTGACTATTATATTTGGTCTTTGGCCACTTACCCAGGGTAACGAGAGCAGCACGCCAAGCATTTGGCACTGTGCCCTTCCACAGTCCCACAATACCACCTGCTTTGTAGATGGAGCTAAAAGCCTGGAATATGTTGTGTATCCTGGGTGGTTCGCCCAACAAGCGTCTCCTGCCCTCCATTTGCATTTGCACCTTGATCAGGTCGGTGGGTGAAGCAATTATGTTTGAAACTGCGCCCGCCACAATGCCAGCGATGGCGCCATTGACAAACGGCAAATGTGGCTTGCCATCTGTGGGATCGGTTCTGATCAGCTTTTCGCGCAGTGCATCGTATATGTACATCTTAAGGCCGCTGAAGATGGTGTGACGCAGTGCCATCGCCGAGATGCCGCCATAGAGCTTATGTGGTCCCTCCTCCATGACGATGCCCTTGAAGGTGGCCAGCATGCCACGATACTTAACATTTAAATTGGACTTGCTCGCAATCTCGCCCTGAATCTGCATTCGCGTTTTGCACACATCCAAGGGATATGCGATGGATTCGGCACTACATGCGGAAAGCACGGATGTCGCATAGAGTTCGACGAAGGCCGTTTTCTTATTGGTGGATAAATTGTAAAAACCATTCCGGCGAATCGGTTTGGACTCCGCTATTGTTGTTGTTTTTTTTATAACCATGTTGCATATTAAGGTATCTCAATGACAAAGATGTGGAAAATTAAAAATTGTACAATTTTTTTTAGAAAATTCATAAATCTGATCAATAAAACTTTACATCCTATAATTCACATGATTGATTTATTCAAATTGTTGGCTTAGTAATCAACTGGTATATATATATATATACATATTGTTGATTGGACAAACAAAGTACAAATTGTTATAAATCTGCAATAATTTTCCTTTAATGATGATGATTTTCCTTTAATGATAACTTTTTAGAATAATGCAACGCTCCACAGGAAATGCATAAATTTGAATGAGAAACTGGATATTTTGAAGATCTCAATAGGAATTAAAAACTTAGATTTGTTATCTTAAATTTTAGCCTGACTAATATATAAAAAATGCACACCAATTAAGGAATCTTTCTCTTTTCTACAGTTATTGAGTCTTCTGGTCCTCGGTCTGGGCCTAGAAGAGTGATCTTATCGCGATTGTTTGTGATGTTGTCAATAAGAACTTTAAGAATTAAAGAACAAGAAAAAATTGAGACTGCAAATTACGATGACAACTGTATTTTATGTTGAACAACAACAAAATTTGGTGCAAATTTATTGAGTTTATTGAAATGCGAAAAAAAATGCCAACTTGATTTAAGCCACTTAAAACCAACAGAGAACAAGACTTGTTTGCTGTATACCAGCTAGTTAGTTGGCCCATATCTGTAAAATGAAATAACAAAAAACAAAATATAAAAAACCACTGGCGATAAGCCAGATACGGCAAATTAAAGAGAACGAAGAACTCGATGACGCTGACATTGCACGCTACAGCGACCGCGCCCAAAAACTGCGAGTTCTGTTTTTACTATGATTATGAACTGTATATATATATATATATATATATATATATATGTGTGTGTGTGAGTGTCTAGGTGTGTGTGCGTGTGTGTAGCAATACTGGTGGTGTTGCCGTGCAGGCTACCCCCGAATATGGGTGCGGTGCTCAGTCAGTCGCCAGGGGGACTTGGTCATAGAGCCAGCCACTTAGTCTATGCCGCCGCCAACCACCGTCTCACCAGTCAAATGAGTAAATGACTGAGTAAGTGGTGCTGTCAGTCAGCCAGCGAAGGAACCGAGCACGCGCCCATACATATTACACCTATACATTATGCGAAAAGCTGGCGTTTTCTTCTTCCACCTTCTGGCCCATCCTCTCCATCCATTTCCCATCAGCTCAAGTGTGTTTAGCACTTTTGTTAAATGAAAGCGACGTTCTGTGGATGCACTGGGCTGAGAGAGAGAGAGAGAGAGAGTGTCAGGCCTCTAAAATAAGGGGAGCTGGGTAATATGTGAAATTCCCGACACACGCACGATTTATATGGCCCAGGAATTAGCTGGATGGGGTTCTAGCAATGTGCTTACACACAGATTACTTTTAAGTGGTTTATGCCAAACTGTTATAATATAATAATATGTTTATACGATACCCAACGCTAGATGACCAACTGACCGATTTAACAAACAACTTTGACCTGTGCTCAAGAGCTAAAAAACATCTATAAAGTACACAATATAATGAACTATATATATATCAATATACACGTAAGCACTGATATCACTCGTAGCATTTGTTGACTGGACAAACTGTACGGTAATTTGAGAGTTTGTTGAACTGCAACACGGTAAAAAGTTGCGGCGATCAGCTAAAATACAATTTAAATGCTCAGAGCTTAATGAAAGCATGAGAATCCGAAACAGTTGAATGAATCATAGATAAGAACAAACTGTGAATGCTCTGCCATTGAGATAATGACTTTATTTATTAGATAAACATATATATCTATATATATATCATGACTTGTTTGTATTCATTAGCATAAAAATAAGTCGTAAAGCCAGTAATAAATAAATGAATAATAACAAAGATTATTATTAATAATGATATCGTTTTGTGATATAAAATGCCAGGGCCTTTTTTTGTGCTATTGTCTTAAAACTTATTTATCAGGAATGTCGAAGTAATTCTATTAGCAATATATGCCCAAGGTGGCTGATTTTAGACAAAGAAACTCCTTGAATTTCTAAATATACATTTTCTAAGGCCAAGCAAAGATTTTAGATTTTATGATGCATTTATAAAACCAAAGAAAGTTGTTTGTTTGATTTGGCAAAATGAGCAAACAATTATCTTAATTTAGTAATGATTATTATTGAAAAATATGTAATTTGTATACTTCAATTCAAACTGTATATTTATTTTTGTTATTAAATTACAAGTCTTGGCTAAATGTTGAAATGCCGCACGCTGTGCAGAGCAGTCAAATTCATATTGAACCCTCTCTGGACAGGCTCGGGCATTATGGATCGCTGTAAAGGTTTTTATTCAGTGCCACGAATTTCAAGTGAAAGAAACTCCAATTACCAGTGCAGCACCCAAAAACAGACTGGCAACAGAAGCCACAAGCGGAACAAGTGAATTACAAAATTACAGCAGCACGGATTGCGCAAGATTACAAAGAATCCAGCAGGTGAGTCGTGGGAGTTTAGAGCTCGTCAGTTCTTATTCCAATGATTGGCCTACTTGCAGACTATAAAAGCACCATAGACAGCTTCAACGGAAGTTAGATAAACGGAAGCAATGGTCAACTATCTACACCACTTGCAGCAGCTGCTTCTGCTGCTGTTCCTGCTGGGCATGCTGGAAATCGGTTTGGCCCACGAGGATCACCAGTCGGATACACTGCATCGCAGCAAGCGTACTCTGACAACTATCTGTGTGGAGATCAAGCCCAGTGGGCCGCAGGAAGAGCCCTATTTCATGTGCAGGGGCACGGATTTCTCACGTGGCAATAATGCTGCAACCGCAACAGCAACTGCAACAGCGGATCAGCCGCAACCGATACCGTATTATGCACAGCCAGCTGGACAAGCGATGCCAATAAATGTACAGTATGCATCGGTGCCATTTCCATCGTTTCCCAGCTTTGGGGCTGGGTTTCTACCAATTCTGCCCAGCTATGAGGAGGCACCCAAAGCGTCGCCATATCAGAGTCAAACGCCAGCAGTTGAAACCCAGTTTGGATCCACTGCTGCTGCCATTGCGCCTGCGCCTGTTGCGCAGTCATATGGCCTGCCAGCAGTTCCTTACCCAGCTGCAGCAGGCCCAGCAGCAGCTAATCGCGGAACTGCAGTTGGCCCAAGCGCAGCGCCCGCGCCCCCTCCATATGCTGATGCACCGCCTCCGAATCCGACGGCAGCGGCACACAAATCCCAGCCAGCGTCAAGCAAGGGTCAATCCTATGATGCCCTAGTGGGCAGTCGTTATCGCGCTGCACCCGGCGATGATGTGATGAACATGCCGGATTTGGGCTTTCGCCTCGAGGAGCTACAGCGGCGTCCCATGGAGCCCATGGTGGGTGCTGCACCGCCCATGACATGGACGCGGCGGCCACAACAATTGCCCGTCCAATATGAGGATGATCCCGTTATGCGCACCTTCTATGCCAGTCAGGAGCACTACGATCCGCAGATGGCTCAAGCGGTGCCCATGGAGCAACTGGTGGGACAGGCAGCGCCCGCCTATCCACCCGCCTATGCGGTTGCACCACCAATACCAGGAGTTGTTGCACCACCACCGTCGCAGCCACCCGTTCCACCCGTTCCAGCTTACACAGAGAATTCAAAGGCTACCACTGCTCCGGATGGCAACAATGCCTGCAATTCGTGCAATCGCCCCTGCTCCACTTCGGACTCGTACAATGCGGTACCTGCTCATTGTCCCAGCTTTCAGCCGGTCATCATAGCCATGCCCTGCTATGGCCAACAACAGCCCACACATTATCTGGCCGTGCCTGGCTCGGGTGCACCAGCTCCGCAACGTGAGCAGATGCTAGGGAGTGCATTTGGAGCACCACCATTTGGCATGGCAACGCCAGGCCTGGGTTCACCGTTTGGCATGTCGCCACATTTCGGGATGCCTTCGCCGCAGGTGGGCTCCTCCTTTGGCATGGCGCCGCAAGTGGGTGCTCCGTTTGGCATGGCACCGGTGCTGAATCCCTTTGGGCCCTTTGGCAATCTGAATCCGTTTAATCCCTTTAATAGAATACTGGGAGCAGCTGCGCCAACGGCTCAACAGCCACGAATGCGACTATTTGGTGCACCCCAAGAGGCAACAACTGCCACAACAGTAACCTCACCATCAGCCACATTATTTCCCAAATCCTTTACACTTAATTTCTCCAGCAGCACTTTAGCACCACCTACAAAAATCAGCACGGAGCCAAATGAGGCAAGTGTTGGTGCTACCAATGATCCAGATGGAAACCAAAAAGATAAAGACGATGAAGACGACGATGATAATGATGATGATGATGAGGAGGAGGAGACTGGATCACAGGAAGTCACTGATGCTCCACGTTCCTCGGGCACAACTGCAGACGTTGATGCTTCTCTAGATGCTGAAGTCTCCAAGTCTCTGGAATCAAAGAATCTCTCGGCCGATCAGCTATTAAACAAGGGAGAAAGTAAACTCAAAGTCGACAAACGCAAGCGGCAAAATTCTCGCTTTGGTGGCAATAACACCTCCCAAAAACGCAAATATCTTCAGCGATTGTAGTTCTTAACTAAGTATTACTTTAAGTAAGCTTCTAATCTGTGCAGCAAATCATAAACTAATCATCAATAAAGCTAATTATTTGTTTACCCCGTAAAATGCTATCAAATTACTTTGCCTGAGAGTGAACATTTTAAAATCCTTAGTTTCTTTTTTCCAGAGTCGATTTTTGTAATATATAAAAAATATTTATAATTTCCCAGGTGTTAGAATAGAATAGAATATCATTTTAGATTACCTACTTGTTACTTATATTACATATAGAAATTCTATGGTTAGTTTAGAAAATCAGATCATTTAATTTGAATAGTCGAGACTATAAATTTTCTGAATTTCAAAAAGGATTTTCCTAAAAAATACGACTTCCATTTCTTCTTTTTAGAAATATATTTTTGAAAAATGAAAAAAACCCTTTCTAATTTTAATTTTTAACTATTTAATTAACAAGTTTTTTGTAGTCTAAAATCAGAAAAAGATTCTTGTTTTTATTTTTATTTTCCTGGCTTTTAAAGACTAGTTTAGTTTAGTGTATAGTTGCATTCCCTTACCTATCGTATAAATTAAAGAAAATTACAAATGTTTTAATTAATTAACTATTATTAATAATTTAAGTACATTATTTTCTTTGCTGCGAAAACCATATCTGAGAAATTTTAAGATATATGAGAAACTGCGTGTCAAATTTGGAGCATGATGTTGGCATATATTATCTAATTCAGTGATTTCAGCAATTAGCAATGAGTTTATTATTGCATGTAGTCTGCACGCCTTCTTCCATTGCAAAAGTGCCTTTACTCTTCGTGCCCAATTGGTCTCTTCCAACTTAAACGTTCATATATTAAACGCCCAGTCAATTACTGATGAATAAGCCAATGGCCACTTAAGGAAGTGTTTTATATATATATATATATATACCTATACATATATAGTTATATATTTATTATGCAGTTTTTTCTTCTTCTTTTTTTTAATGTATATTTTCTTTGATGTACTTCCGTTTGGGTTTGCGCATTTTGTTTTCCACTGGCGCACGTCTTTATAAGTAGCAGCTACGCTTCACGGATCAAACAGGAACCCAGTTCCACTCACAAGTATTGGCTGCAATCTGCTGATCAGACATGTTGAGCACGTAACACAATTTAAATAAACAAAAACAAAACTGTAGATAAATACTCCACGTAACATAAAACAATTTAGGCTTAGAGTCAATGTACTAGCTGCCAATTGTCCAAGCTTGGAGGTTGAGTAAACCTTGGCCAGAACGGGCACAGCTGTTCTGATTGGGTTTCTATTAACCGGGTTACAACACTCCCTTGCGAAATCCACGAAAAAGTCAATGCTATTTCACGTCTTTCATCAAAATAATCGCACTATTGCCGAAGGTGTTATACACTATTATCTTTACATAGTGAACTTTATCTATTATTAATTTATTTAAAATTAACTTATAGATGATGACTGTTAAAAGCACACAAAGGAAAATTACAAAATAGAAACATAAAATTAATGAGCCTTATTATTGCTCAGTTAATTTGTCATAAAATGACTACAAAAACATTACATTATGAAATTGTTCGTTTAAATAATTTTTATTTGTATATATAAATTTCACAATTAAATTAATTTAATACAATTGCTGTACTCTGTATTTAATTTTAATAATGTTTAAAAAATACGCCTTTAATTTTCAAAATATATAAATTAAATATTATACGTATAATTATAATGTTATTTAACCCAGTTTTATTTAAGATATTATGCAAATCCATAAAAACTGTTAGCCATCTTTAAAGAGCCTCTTTCTGTAGAGCATATTTAGCCTAATTTAGTTTCGTCCAAATTTTGGCCCACTTTATTTGGTTGCCAAAGCATTTTCCAGTTTAAAGTTGGCCTTCTTTCATGCGTTACAAGAAACGTGTCAATGTTGACAGTGCTGCTGCCAGGCAGGGTATCAAAGTGCGAAGCTTGCAGTTTTCGGGGAAACTGTGGAGACGGTAAACGTTCAATGCAATCGGAGCTAATCGAATAGTTGCAACTGGGAATCCGCGCAGCGAGGTTAAAGTTACAAAAATCATCGCAAAATGCAAACGTCCGGGAGCTGTTTGATAACGTTGCTGATCTATTGCAGCACCATTTGGCTGGCTGGATGCACGCAGGCTGAGCTGCCAGCAGGCATGGGCGTGTCCAATAGCATTGCTGCACCCGGACAGCCTTTGTACTATCTGATGGCCGATACGGGCTCCAGTGTGGGTCCCAATGATGAGCTCAAGCGCACAAATCGCTCGCTCATGAAGTGGTGGGACGATTTGTTTGGTCAAAACAATTGCTGCAACAACAACAACAATCCGTTGTACAACAACTACTTGCCGCCAATCGGTAATAACAACAACTGCAATGGCTTGCAATTACATGGCTTGGATGCCATTGATCCCTTCAAGCAAATGAAACTGTTCAAGAAACTGCCCGATCTGTGGGGCAACAGCTGTGTAGGTCCGTGTGGCCAGTGTGGTGGCCAGCAACCTACCAACAATTATGCAGCACCAGTTAATCCTGGTTATGCGCCAGCACCAGTGGCTCCTGTGGACTATAATCAGGCACCAGCAGCGATTCCTAGCAGTGGCGTCTACGATCCATCCGACGGTCCTGGCGATGGGGATGCGGGCTATGTGGCACCAGTAGCACCGCCACCAGCACCGGTAGACTATGAGGCACCAGAGCCTGCACCGCCTAGCTATGAGACGCCCGCACAGCCAGCGCCCTATGAACCTGTTGATCCGCCAGCTCCTGAGAGCTACAGCAAAGTAGACGATTATGCGAAACCTGCACAACAACAGCAACAACAACAACCACAAATCGTTTATCAGCCCATCATTTATCTATCGGCATCGCCCGCTGTCAAAGATGAGCTCCAATACAAGCTGAAGCAGCCGGAACAAAGCTATGATAACCAACCAGAGGCACCACCGCAGCAAGCTTATGAGCCGCCACCACCACAAATTGAATTGCCAACTTATGCGCCAGCTCCAGCTCCTGCTCCAGCTCCGGCTCCAGCTCCACCTCCAGCTGTTACTTGCAATGCGCCTGCCTGTGGTGGTTATCTGCCCCTTTTGGGCGTGCCTCTCTATGGCTATCCCGCACCAGCACCACCACCACCTGCTCCAATCTATGCAGCTCCTCCTGCACCAATCTATGCAGCTCCCCCACCACCGGCACCAGTCTATGCAGCACCACCGGCACCAGTCTATGCACCATCACCAGCACCACCAGCGCCCACATACTCCTCACCCTCTTGCCAGACACCCATACGATTGTCTCTGGTGGATCAACCCTATCGCGTGGCACCCGAACTATTCCAGGAATACAACTATCGCTTGTCCCTAGCCGGTCAGGATAGATTATGGTAGATGGTTGAACTCTGGTTTTTAAATACTCGAAACTGTAAATAAAATGTATCAAACGCTGTTTGGGGGGATCAACTTTTTGGGCTGGAAAACGAATTCTTTCTTTTTGATATTTGCTAAAGATGATTCTTTGGCAGGATATATAAAAAGTTGGCCATCGGCTTGATTATATAGAAAAAATATATTAATGTTTCTGATAAAATTATTGCTGGCGACCATTATCGTAAAGTAAGGACCAGATTACCATAAGTTTTTCCGATCTGTTCAGCGCTTATAGCGAGAAACAATAGTTTCCAGATAACGTTTTCTTAAAAGTTTTAAATTAAAAACTTCGCTATAGATATTTATATTCAAATATTCACCAGACATACCACTTCCAATCCTAGGCAATTCCTATATAATATATCATTGGTATGAATAATGCAATATCTTATGCCAATACCAAAGATAGATATAAAATTATTATTTTAGCAAAGGAATGAACATTGCTTGCTGAAGAGCTTTTAAACTCTTAAGTCGTTTAGATTATTGTTGTAAGCTGATTGTATAATTATTAATAATAAAAAAGATTATATTTTATAAATTAAATGGACAAAAATATACATGACTTCAGAGTTTTAAGTAATGGGATATTTTCAGGTTTGTTTATTATTCTAAGTACCTGCATACATATAAAAAGTTGAAGTTATCTTTACAATAGAAATTTCTAAAAACCTGTTTGCCATTTATATTTTAAAGTGTTGCACTGCGAATTGTTATCAATTCGTTTTGTTTGTTTTTCTCTTGTTTTATACATATAAATATGTACTTATATTTATATATTTATTAAGTCTTCAAGTTCCCTGGCTGTGGAGCGTATTGATTCTACTCAGACTCCAGTGCAGTTAAGTACAGTTGTGTGCTCTGATTTCCGTTCAATTCAAACAGTAGCAGTGCTTATCAACTTAAACACTCTTTTTGTCGGAGCTGTCAAGGTCCCCGGGTCTCCATCATCATTGGTTTGCATTTATCGCATATGTTCAGCGTCGATTGCCTGCTCAGACCTCAGACCTCTTTACGCCTCTTCCTGTTATTATTGTGGCTCTTTCTCTCTACATACGTCAGCTTACATACAAACGTACGTATCTATATATATGTACATATGTATGTATGTACACGATGACATCGGCAAGAATTTGAGCTGTAATCGCTTCAGTCAGTCAGTTGGTCGTCGGCTGTTCTTCGTAATTTCATTTCATTTTCAAATTCAAATTCCATAACAAATTGCAGAAGATAAACAGAGACTTCCTTTCCTATGCGGGCATCGGAGATCGGGGATCGGGGAGGGTATCGGGCTCTGTGAAATGCGATAAGAGGCGGAGAGACCAGCCGTGCCCATGACCATGACCGTGACCAAGTGAAAGTGGCCTGCCTGCTTGCAGTTAGCACCCAGACGCCTGGGCAAACCATAGATAGATAGAGAGAGATAGATAGAGAGAGAGAGAGAGAGAGAGAGAGAGAGAGAGAGAGAGAGAGAGATGGGAATGGGGATGTGGCAGGCCTGCACTCAGCTGGCCATCGCGTCTTTTTGTTTAGCATTGCCTCACTTTGCATGTGGCACGCACGCACTTCTTTCTTTGTTATGTTTATCTTTGTCTGGGCGTTGATCGTTTGCTGATTTCCAGCTCGTCCCGTCTGTGCAAAGCGTGACGTATGTTTGCAGTTGCTTACATAACCTAATCGCCCAGTTGAGCGAGCAGAAAATATGGTTAATAAATTAGCGGCGAAAGATCTTGGCGTTAAATCGTTGCGTAACGAACAAAATACTCACCATATCAAAACTATGAAGCTAGTATCTGAAGCGATAAATGAGCATGTCAAAGATCAAGTGTGACTTGCCGATTGAAATGCTTGGAAAGCGTTGTTGACTTCATGTCTAATATAATTGCAACGTGCGGTGTCACCGCTGATCAGTAAAACAAGAAGCTAAGTTTATGGATTTCGTTAAATGTCTAATATAATGTCATATTATTTCATTCTATTTGTCAAAATGATTGACGATCGGTGTCAATCAACCGAAATAAATGCTGCTGTCAAAACTGTGCAAAGATTCGTGAATTTCCATTGACAGTCATCATCATCACACTAATCAACAATAAGCAGAAGTATCAATTTAACAGATCTAGCAGAGCTTTTATATTTTCTGCACAAATTCAATAATTAAGTGAATATTTATAAACAAAAAATAAAGTTGTCTTTCTCTTCAAATTCAATAAGAATTAACTTCATTTGTGTTTGAATTTCCAATGATTTAAGATGCACATAGAAAAGTCGTAATCAAAAGATTGGCTGGCAGATTAAATAGATTATTATGATTAAATAACAAATAACTGACATTTTTTATTGGAAAAATAGCTCAACCGGATATGCAATCGATGCAAGGCTTGGTCACTATTAAAGCTTGTCAGCAATTTCATAGCAGTTTACCGTCCAAACTGCTTTGAGCTCATTATAAATATCTATTTGAATATTATGTGATAACTGCTCTCTGATGTTTAGCACTCTGGTTTAAAAATATGAGGTAAAGATCTTATTGTCAACAGTTGAATAACAGAAGATACATCTTCTGGTTCGTATGCAACCAATTTGAATAATCCAAAAATATTTACGAATTTAGCTGCTTCGACTGCTTTGCTGTACGGAAAATTTAGCTTTTAATTGACATCAGAACAAAATGACACATTTTAAATGCAGTTTGAGGTCTCTGCAAGTTCTGTGCTTTGTTAATTATCAATTGTATGATGATTTTCTATTACATTTTAAACTAACTAAAAATTATAAATAAATTGTTGTTAAAAATGTTAAGCATTTTATAATTTAAACCAGAGTTAAGAAAGATACTCAACGAGCATAAATATTTGTAATTGTTTTCCCTCTGTCTTAATTTATATTAAAAGGAAAATAATATACGATTAATGAGATTAACTCTATTTTCATTTTAAAATTACAACTAGAACTATGCAAATGTACTGGAAATGTTTTCTCGATGTAAATTTCATTATAGTTCTGAGCATTCAAGACAAAATGGATTTCTTTCAACTGAACATTTCAGCGACTTAATATATCATGCTCAACAACAGTGTTTTTAATCCATAATTAAATAATAATAACAATTATTTTAGACTAATTGACATGAATAAGATGTATTACACATTGTATTGATATTAAAATTGGCATTCATTCAAAAATTGCTTGAGGAAGCAACAACAACAATTTAAAGTCAGCCAAAACAAGCAACAGACTCCTCTCCTCTGAGTGATACTCAAAGATCACAGATCGCGCTTGATCGCCTTTTCAAAAACTACCCCACGCAGATTTTCTGAGAAGCTGGACTTGCCTGGAGTTGCCGCCGCAACTCTTGAGCGTAATTGAGTGAGTGTATCTGAAGAACGATCCTAAAAAATGTAACAGCACATAAACAACGATTGTGCCACAACATGTGTGCTTCGCTCCCTACGAAAATGATGAGGGGCATGAGCAAGAGCTCCGATCGATGTTGCTGCTGCCGTCATTTGCTGGGCACTTGCAACCGCATGCCGGGTCTCAAAAATAACACCAATGTCGCCGCAAGCGCTGATGCCAAATGAAGCGATCCTTATACCCTTTCGCTGGATATCTGGACTTTTTAATAATGTTTGTCGAATATGTTGATTTGCTCTCAAATTATTTGAGTTTCCTGGCATGCATATGAATTTCTATATGTGTATACCAAAAATGTTTGACAGTGTGTGCAAATTTCGGTTTAATTAGCTTGTGACTATTTTCTGGAAATTTATGTGCTTCTTTGAATGCATGCCTCTCGCATATACAAGCACATAAATATTTTTGGAGTGATTGTGCGGCAGTGTGTGGTGTGTTCAATCGCAGTGGTTTGCCACTGTTAGGGGGGCATTTGTGGCTATATATATATATGTATTTGTATTTGTTGTTAAATGTTGTTTCGAAATTTATATATAATTTTGTATTTATGTAACGGCTTTGGCGACGCGTAATAAATTTTCGAAACTCAACCAAAAATGTGGGTCGTTGGCACTTGCATTTCACTTTGAATCATCTACAAAAATACTTATATAGAATATTGTCGTGAGTGGGAGTAAGAAATGAATGAGAAATAAAACAATTCAAATATTTGTACATCTATCTGCAAATGTTCACATGCTATGAATTTTGTCAGTATATTTTCAGAAATTGTAGTTATACGCAAAATAATAATAATAATTATATATAATTAATGAAATTAATGAAATTAGCAAACAAAAAATAGATTTTTACTTAAGATCAATTTATTTCGGTGTTAATTTAATTAATGTGCAGAAGAATAAACACATTTTTACAATATTTGCTTATAAATGTCAAAATTAATTTAATTATTACTATTATTAAATTTAATTTATAATATAAATTTATTATATTATTATTACTATGATGTTATGATTGTCCCCTATTATATAAAGACATTCAAGAATCTTTTGTAAATATAGCAGAATTTCACTTATTCTATAGAATATATATGGAATATTATGACATCAAAGTGACATTGACACAATTCTAATGACTTGGGCAATATATGACGACACTCAGTAATAAAACAAAGTCACGCGAATTTAAATATTATATCGCTCTTAATTTTAACTTCTCATTTGCATATATATATTCTTAGAATGTGCCACATCATAGCAAATTACGGCATGTGTATTTTTATATCTAACATCTAATATCTGCCAGTTTATTTTAGTATATCTGCCAGAAACTATATATATAATAAGAAGTATGGAATGCAATCAATATATATTTATATATATTTACTTATTTATGTAGATCAATATATATTTATATATATTTACTTATTTATGTGGACCATATAGATAAAAAAAAGTTGCACACATTTGGCAAGTATTAATTTAATAGCTTTTAAGTGGGTCACCAATTGTTTACTAAACACAAATAACTTGAACCATTTCGCAATCATAAAATATTCACATGACAAGCATAACAGTGATCTATTTAGTGTTAAAGTCGACTTGTCTATAGAAATGGAGCATTGCTCAACTTGCACACGAGTCACAATTTACCCACCCACCACGGCTGCTACACTTTCCACACATTTTTTTTTATGGATTTTGACAACCTCAACATCTTCTTATAGAAATTTAAATATGTATGTATAAAATGAACACTCAACTGACCCCAAAAGATCTACACTTGACGGTTTGTCAAGCTCAGCGCAAATTTAAGAAATGAAATGAAATTCAAAGTCGAAGAATAGTTAAAGTTACTAGTGCCAACTAGGCAAAACTATGGCTACTATATAAACTAGTCATGGAATTGCAAATGACATCAATCACCTTTTGGTAACTACAGTAGGCACATCAGCTCTAGATTCAAGATGAAATTCTTCGTGTGCTTCGCTCTCATCGCCATTGCCACCTCCGCTATGGCAGCACCCAACAGCGGCAGCTCTGCTTCCATCACCAGCAGCAGTGCCGGAGGATCTGTTGCCCTGGCCAACCACGAATCCGAAATTGACGGTCTTTCCGGCCAAGGCTACGGTGATTTGACCCGTCTGCGTAAATCCGCTTATGGCGGCAGCTCTGGCGGCGGTGGCTCTAGCATTCCAGCTCCTCCTTGCCCCAAGAACTACTTGTTCAGCTGCCAGCCCAACCTGGCCCCAGTTCCATGCAGCTCTCCATCTTCCGGCTACGGGTCTGCCGGTGCTTACTCTTCGCCCTTGGCCAATTATGCTTATCCCAACTACGGCGTGCCCCAGCAGCAGCTCTACGACGCCGCTTACGCCCCTCAGGCTTACGGCTACCAATATTAGAGGATCAACGAGCCTGCGCACTTGAACTAGACACAGCTTCCAAAGCTGCTGAGAAATACTAATCTTTGCAATGCTAACAGAAAATGTAAAAAAAAATATATGTGGTTCAATTAAATGAACAAAAATCCGAAACCAAATTTATTTTATTTTATTCCTTACTACAATTTAATTTCAGAGCTTTATTAAATTATTTGGCATTGTTTTCACTTTGCTCTCACATTTTGTGGACCTTTTAGAATCCATTTCTATCATTTTAAATACATTTCCCATATTCCCAAGAAGAATAATGCTTTATGTTGTTATTATAATCAATTTCGTATGCTGAACAAGGGAAGAACGCAGGAACCCAAATTCAGCTAGGCAGAAATTTAAATTATGCTCATTCTTGTCAAATAAGATATACTGGCAAAAATAGAATTTATAAGCAAAAAATGAAAAAATTCTTTAATTTAAAGCAACTGGAGTATGCTCGAAAAGTAAACACCCTATATAATTTACAACTTTGTTAACAGAACAAGTTGTTTGAAAAGTGTTCTGTTACACTAATTGGTGCCTCAATTTGAAAAACTTTGTCAAAAAATCCTACTTAATTCTTAGAATATCTCTGTAAACAAACTTGAATGAAGCACAACTGTTAAATTATTTATCTTATTAAATTATTTAAGAATACCTTTTATTTTAAGCATTTGATATTATTTATAAGAATAGAAAGTTTCTAGTTTTGATAAAGATAGAGATTTTTAAGACTAGCCGGTTTGATTATCTTAGTATATCATATTGATGGTAAATATACCTTAAGCACTTTCAACATAAAATTCATACATTTTTTGATGAATCAGATTTCACCACAATCTTTCAGACAGAGTTTTCAAGCCGATCATATATATGTACTTAAGATATGTATAAAGTATATGCATATATGTGTATATTGCATATTCATTCAGTTTGGAAGAGCAGAGAAAGACAGCTGATAAAGCTAAAATGCAAAGCGTAAAACTAGTTGAACGCACTTACTTGCCAGCTATTTTATGCTAACTCGGCAAACTGTGACTATATAAACTTGGCCTGTGATATCAAATGGCATCAGTCACCTTTGGTAACCACAACAAAACCAACAGCTTCAAGATGAAATTCTTCGTGTGCTTCGCTTTCATCGCCATCGCCGCATCCGCTGTGGCTTCGCCCAACAGTGGCATCTCTGCTGGACAGGAATCCGAAATTGAGGGACTTTCCGGCCAAGGCTACGGTGATCTGACCCGTCTGCGCAAATCCGCTTATGGCGGCAGCTCGGGCGGCGGTGGCTCTAGCATTCCAGCTCCTCCTTGCCCCAAGAACTACTTGTTCAGCTGCCAGCCCAACCTGGCCCCAGTTCCATGCAGCTCTCCATCTTCCGGCTATGGATCTGCCGGTGCTTACTCCTCGCCCGTTGCCAGCTACGCTGTTCCCAATTACGGTCTGCCCCAGCAGCAGCTCTACGGCGCCGCTTATGCACCACAGGGCTATGGTTACCACTACTAGAAGAACAACTGGCCTGCAGACCTGAACGGCTTCCAAACATGCTGAGAAACAAAAATCTTGAAAATGTAAAAAAAAGATATGGTTCAATTAAATGGTTACCAAATTCAAAAAGCGAAATTCGAGCAATTGTTTTATTCATCCAACAGATTTCCTTGGATTATGACTTAAACTTTAACGGCCATTGCAGCTGCTCTGAGTAATTAGTCATTTTAGAATGCAACTGTATCACTTGCGTATAAATAACAATGAAAACAATGTTTAAACAATAGAATTCCAAGATAGTTTAAAATATAAAGAAATTATCTCCCTGTGGAATTTTATTCTACGAATTTATTTACACAGTTGTTCTTAAGTTTAATCGTATTTGTTGCATAAATATAAATACTTATTTCCAGGAATTTCTTTTACACATTTGTTTAAAAGAGAGTATTACTTACGTAAGTATATATTGATTTCCGTTTGAAATGTATGAAATTCAATACTTGCTCCCAAGTCTGTCAATTTATAAAGTGAAAATCTGCTAAGGGAAAAGCGATATCAAATGAAAACAGATTTTTGTAGCGGCCTTCAAACTTTGTTCAAACATTTTTCGATTATAAGAACGAGTGAGAAAATACCATAATAAACGAATAAAGAGAAAGAGAGATAAGGAAATAAAATTTCAGCTTGCAGAATTATTTATATAAAATGCATATCATTCGGATTTTCAATGAAGTATATTTCTTAGTGATATTTAATGGAACATTGAACTTTATACAGTCTCATGTCTGCAACAACACCTACATAAAGTTAAAATCCAGATCAGCATATTGTGTATTTTCTACTAGTGGGCACTTTTTCTTTCTCTCTTTATCTGTAGAAATTTAACTAAATTGCATATTGTTTGTTTGGGGTCTCTGAACCAAGCTGATTTTTAGCCGTAATTGTTGTTTTCAATTGGAATTTTTTCTACAGAGAAAGTAAAAGAACTGTCGATTGCGAAATGTCTGTCAACGTTGGCAATCCAAATCTACAGCAAAAACAGCAACAGTAAGAAAAAATTGCCAACTACAGGAAATTTTTTTTGGTAATTTGATCTGTCAGTGGCTAACATATGTGGGCTAGCTGGACGGCCTATGCAAATGTTTTGCTGAACCTCGGGTTCGGTTGGGTATTCGTTGTCGGGTTAGCGAACAGTCAACAGTCATGACTTGACCAGAGAATGCAGCGAGGATGTGTCAGAGATTAAATAGGAATTAACTTGAACCCACATGAACAGCCCTTGACCTACTAACCCAGTTGACCATATTACGTTGAAGGTTTTTCCGTTGCACACTTTCTGATTTCATTTCCGCTTGACGCTGCATTTTGTTGCAGCATGAAGACAAAACCCCCAAAAACTTGATCGCATTGATAAAAACCAACTGGCTAACACCCAATGCCGGCTAGTCTTAGTTTACATTTTCACGGCACGCCAGGTGTTAAGTTACCCACCCAAAAATCAGCATATCAACATGTCCATTCTGTGGACGTTTATCTCGCTGCTCCTCTGCTGCTCTTATCAGTTTCAGGAATGTATGGCCAATTGCGGTGGACGCTGCGTACGTAGTCCCATTGGGCACCTCTATCACGTCATTCCCGTTCGCCTTTATACGCCGCAACAGCTGGAGGATAACATCGAGCTGCTGCGCCAACCACGTCAACAGCAAACAGTGGTTGTGGAGAATAATTTTGGAGGATCCGGTTTTGGCAGGCCTTCGTTTGGTGGGTCACCGTTCGGCGGCCGCCCTGGCTTTGGAGGTTTGGGACGTGGGGGTTTTGGACGCGGCGGTCCATTCGGCGGTTCACGTGGCGGTTTCGGCGGTGGCAGTGGTTTTGGAGGTAGCGGCGGCTTTGGCGGTGGCTTCGGCGGTGGTTTTGAATTTGGACGCGGGTTTGCACGCAGCTATGGAGCAGAGGAGGAGGAGAAACAACAGCCAGGAGAGAAACAGCCAATAATACCCGAGTGCAATGCCCCCAACGTCCCAGTTCCGAGTTGTGCGAATAATTATGTGTTCTCCTGTGAACCGGTGCTGAAGCCAGTGCCCTGCTCAGCATCAAATAATCATAGCTGTTGAGAGACCAAAGGACTGATATTCATGTCTATAAATAAACCATTAACCTGAAAGTTGTATAAATTATGTTGAATTTGAGTGAGACGGGAATCATTGTAAAATTGGAAAACAAATACTGATAATCGACATAATATTGATTTAGTTGCGTTCGCTACGGAACATTGTGAGGAGCTGACGACTGTGAAACACACATATTATTGATATAACCCAGTCAATACCAATAAAAGTAGCTATGACATGGGAATTCCATCCGCTATTACTATCTATTTAGATGTTCTCAGACTTTTATGAAAAAGAAGAATCGAAGAAATAATTAGAATACCACAAAACTTAGTGATAATATTCAAATTATATCCGCGAATTTTGGGTGAGAAGGCTGATAAAGTATACAGAATATTATTATTTGATAACAAACTGAACTTCTTCTAAATTCAATTTTTATTTAGTTTACCTGAATTTACTTTATGTGAAATGAACAGACTATTTTCCAAGTATTTCAAAATCAAAAGTATTGGAGAACTTGAATAATGTTCAAGATCTCAATATTTTTAATAGGTGTTAGTGAATTCCCCAAGTAATTGTTAAAATAATAAATAAAAAATCAATAGGTAATATTTTTCTTTGTTAATTTCAGTTTATTGCAAAAGTAGAGCCAATTTTCCAATCTCATGATCAATCATTGCACTTAGAGGAATTCGCGAACAAAGGGAACTGCGTATTGGGGCACGTACTGGGAGTAGGCACCGGATGAGCCATAAGATGGAGCTGGCGCTGAGCAGGGCACGGGCTGCAGCGAAGGCTGACAGCTGAACAGGTAGTTCTTGGGGCAGGGCGGGGCTGGAATGGAGGTCGGCGCAGCTGGGGCTGGAGCGGCATAAGATGGAGCGGCTGGAGCTGGGGCCGGTGCAGCGTAGGAAGGAGCGGCGGGCGCGGCGTAGGCAGCTGGTGCAGGTGCTGGTGCTGGTGCAGAGTAAGCGGGAGCAGCGGGTGCAGAGTAAGATGGAGCAGCTGGGGCGGCATAAGAGGGTGCAGCAGCCGGTGCTCCATAGCCGCCATAGGCAGCCCTCGAGACACGAATGTTTTCGGCCAGTGGTGCCGGGATCAGTATGCCTTGCGTTGGCTGCAATTGAATCGTCTCTGCGGCGCAGCACATCGCCAGCATGGTGATCAAAAAGATGTGGTTAAACTTGAATGCCATTTTTCGTTAGTTGCTGCTGAACTGGAATCGAACGGTTGACTGTAGTTCAGCTGTGTTGAGGCTCCCAACTTTATAGCCCAGTCGAAAAACGCTGAGCGCACTTGAAAAATAGAAAATGCAAGAGCCGAAAGCGAGCAGACCGAAATGCGAAAATTGCTGACAATCTCAAACGGACAGCAGTTTGGTTTTGCATAACCAAGGAGAACGGCGTGGGGTGAAGCTCTGACCGGTTAACACCATTAACAAATGGACAAATTAAAGATAATGTTGCAATTGCTTCCACTGCTGCTTTTGTTGACCCCAAAACGGGTAATCTCAGCAGCAGCACCTGAACTTATTCCGTCATCAGTTTCTGGAATGTCACAGTTTACAGAGCAAAGAACGAATCAAAATGAAGACGAACACAGCTGGACACATCTTTTGCCTAGCAACTACTACTCGGAGTTGAATCAACAGTACTATGTGAGATTTCGCAGGCAGTCGATGCTCAGTCTTAAGGATCTGCGAATGAGACAGCCGTATCCATTTGAATATGCACGTTATCTCTGAAATTGTAATTTGTGACAAATAAATAAGTAAATATTAATTATGGAATTATAAGTGTGATATATATTTAGCAAATATGGTAATAGCAAGTACATATATTAGAATGATAAGCCGTCCTCAATAAACGTTTATTAAACACCAATATTTTCGGTTATTAAGCTAATACCCTCTTCAAGTAAAAATAAATAATATATTACTTATAACAACTCTTAATACAAGAAATCAAAAGTATGGAAAATTTAATTTTGTTTTTTAAAATAATAGAACTGGAAATGTTAGTTAACAGTTAGAATAGTCGTTATTTCGATAAGCTATCGATTAACGATTATAGGGAGTATGAGGCGCATGCTCGCGTGGGCGCATTTGACGTCACTACGTCGAAGGACTCAACACAGGCACAAACAAAACAAAATACGCAAGAAACCTGTAAGCAGCTCAAAGGAAAAGGTTACGCTTCAGTTCAAAATCAAATATGAAGCTAACTCTGCAGCGTTATTCCTGGCTTGTCGCACTGCAACTTGCGCTGCTGGCAGCTGATTTGCTTTTCAACGCTTTTGGGTCATGGATATCGCGGAATAAGCTCCAAACTGCCATATTTTGTTTTGTGTAAGTTTTACAAGCTGTGTCTTCTAATGTGTATATATTAATAAACGTATATATTTATATATATAATCATGTGTAGCATTCAAGACGCCTTCATTATTGTTGAGTACCTATTATTCACATTGGCGCTACATTCGACTTGCGTTTATCAAGTGGGCGCCTCCCACATTATCCTGCGCAATTGCAAGCTATTTCTGTTTTGCATCACCTTCTATTTTCTGCTGTCCGCCTCGCAGCACTCTTGGATTGTCTATCAGTATCGATTATCGGCATCGGAAACGGCTCAGCAATGGCCTTTGGCGCTCTACGCCTTGGCGGTTATTCAGCGCATGAGTAAGTGCCAAACTTCAAATATTTTTTTGTTACTGAATTGAAATATTTTAATATTATTTGATAGTGTCGGTTTTCTACTATTACACATCAAAGTCAACAGCTTTGATTATGGCCGATCCGCGCTACAAAGAGGAGCATCTCGATTGGATAGCCGAGCAATTGGGTGATAAGTAAAGAGTTCGTGAAAAAGGAGGATTGTACAGAAATATACATGTTTATTTTAGCTAGGAGGAGCATATTGTTAATATTAAAATGTATAGTTCAAGTACAATTAATAAATGTACAAAGCACAAATCAAATATGGAATGACCCGTTTTCTTAATTCGCACAATCGAGTTAAAATATAGCTACTAATTTTTAACAAAGTGTGCTGTGATTTGTCCCAACTATAAGATATTCATAAGTTTATAAAAAAATATGATCTAATATTCAAAAAAGTTAAAATCATGTATAAACTGAATTATATCTCCAAATTAACAAAATGTGATATTAATTATTTTGGTACCCGTGGCGCCACCTATAGTACATTGGGTATAAATAGCGCCATCTATCGCAATATAGAGGCGCACCGAAATAAAATAAAGTGGAAGAACAATTTGAATATGTTGCTCCCAACAATATTGTAGAACCGCTTTAAGTTATTAATTAACTTGACATTATGGAATTAATATAGATACTACAAAGATATGCAATACGAGTAAAATTTCTAGAATTGTTTGAACTTGTAGATGACACTATAGTCTTTGAATGCAGTTCAATGTTGTTGATACTTGCGATTCTAACGCATCATAAACTTCTGCAAGGATGTGGCCAAGGTGGAACTATTTTTTAACTTTAGTTAGGAGTCATAATCCATAATCCCACTCAAGTCCCAAAAGCTTAATAATTGCATCCTTTCCTCAAATTTTTGTCTGTAAAATTAAAAAGCTAACATACAAAAAATAAACAAATAAAATAATAATGAATAAATGTGTAAAGGAATAACACAATTTCTGTATTTTATTACAAAAACAATAACTATGCCTTCATGGCCATTTATGTGTATATAAAAGTAAATATTTATGTCGAACGTCGTTTGAATGGTTTGCTATACATATTTTACAATGACTATAGATTATTGTTGTATGTATTAGAATATATATATATATATATGTTACACATTCAAAGGGTAAGCACCATTTCTCGCTTGCTTCTCGATATTTATATTGTCCTTGATTGAAATACTAAGCCTAAGACAGTTAATTCTTCAAACATATTCATTTTACAAATATAGGCATAATTATTTTATAATTAGTATATATGTAGATTAATAGATAGCTCACAATTCATATGAGTCAAAAGTATGTATATAGAAAGTTCTCTGTTTTGATATGAAATTAGTGTAGTTTGTCCGTGGTCAATTGGCGAATACTACGTTCCGGAGAAGCTAAATGGCACGCCAAATAACTGCTCCCAGGACTGTCCAATAGCCTTCAGACAGCATTCGGCATTCGTCGGTGTTTCAAACTGCATATGCCACAATTCACATTTATTTTCGGTCTCATCCAGGAAATTTACATTATACTCGCACTCCGTTACTCGCTCCACCTCTACCAGGTTACTCATTTGCTGTGTGAGTGAGAGCTCAATCGACACCTGCTCCGCATTTGATGTCAACCAATTGAATTTGCCATTGCCAGCAATATGCAATTGTGTGTCCGTCGTGAGCAGTGTGCAGAGCTCAAAGCTACGCTTCTCCTGACCACATGTCCACTGGCAGCCGCTCAGCATGGCGCACATCTTCAGTGGTTCAGTGACCAGCGAACTGAGCCGCTGACGTACTTCATCTGCAGGATGTTGGATTACCTCGCATTCCGGCGGCAGCGGATTGTCTGGTGAGATATTAAGATATATATATAAGCTAATGTAGACCATTTATGCAGTCCACTAATTCACTCACCAGCCAAATACAATAGTAAACTGTCTGTGCGCAACATATCCTGCATTATCAGCACGAAATCACCCCAATCGCGTAGGTTGAAAGCCAATCCTAGTTTCCAGGGCAAAAGCTGAATGCGTGTCAAGCGATTGACGGTAACGCTAACCACCTGACGCAGCCACTTGGACACATCATCACGGGGCGATGCATAGGCTTCCATGAGGTAACACTTGCATGTGGAAATTACTACCAAGCCATCGCGCAGCGTTTGGGTTTGTTCATTATAAATCCGTCCCTTGGCCAGCCACTTGAAATGTTCGCCCACTTCTTTGAACTTGGTCTGATAGAAATAGAGCTTCAAACGGTGATCAATGTCATTGAAATCGCTATAGTTGAACTTGTATGGCTGAATGTCACATGCAGTAGTCTCCGCATCGATGAGATTCTTTGAACTAGACATTAGCATGTTGGTCGATTGGAAAAGGGCTGTCAAAGTAAATTAGTTGTGATTATATAAATCTTAATACCTATTATTACTTTTAATACTTTCTGTATTCGTAAACTGAATTAAATACATTTTTAACGCACCTCCGAATAGAGATGATAATCCCGCATCTTCGGCTTTCTTTAAATGTTTCGTTTCATTTTGGCCATTAGCGCCTGTCATTTCATTGCTAATGTTTTCTTGCTGACTTTTGTTGTTGCCAGCGGATTCGGCCAGCAGCATATTTTGCACACTGATTGCATCGTCCGATTCTTGAACTGTCTTCTCCGTCGATTGTTGTTTGCCCTGCTGCTCGTAGGTTGTGCAAATGCTGTCAGTCACCGAGCCCGATGAACTGCTCTCCGTTAGCTGAGCGTGAGCCAAGGTTTTGGACTTTGGTGTTGTGTCTGCAGATGTTGTGGCTGTAGTTGCCATCGTTCGTGTTGTGGCCTGATCGGCGAGCAGTTGGCCAACCTCGCGATCAATAAAACTGTGTGATTGGCTGAGGTCATCATCGATGGTTTGCAGATTGGGCATTTGTGAAATGCGTCGCTCCTCGGAGGTTTTGCGACTTGCGCTCTGCACACAATTTGGATCCAATACCTCAATACTTGACTGGCTCGGATTGGAAATGATATCCACATCGCTTTCATTGGCACGAAACTCCAAATCGCGTTCTGTGTTGGAACTGCCCACAACCGACTGATTGGAGTCAAAGGAGCACTGCGAATTGGTTATCTTCGAACATGAGCTGCTCTCATTCAGCGAATTGGCCGAGCCTGTGAAATTGTTTACAATTAGTTTGTTGACCTGGCAGCATTTTGTGAAACTATTATTTTTTTGAATGGAAGCAGCATTGCTTTGCTTTTTAGTAAAAGGCGCGCGTTTCTTAACTGGTGCGTTAGCTGATTTAAAATTTTGAAAATATTTGCTTTGTTTGTTAATTGTATTCATGCCAAAATGCTGCTTCACATTACAACAAGATGCCAAAAAGCAAATTGTTGTTAACAACATAGAAAAATTTATTTAAATACATATACAATAAATTGGCATATTAACTTGTTGTGGGTTGCATCAAATTCCTACGCTTGGGTGTGTTATTAGCGATGAGCCTGCTGTTGCCCACTAAATTATGAAATAGTATTTTACAATTGTAGTTGTTGTTGTTGTGGTTGGGTGAGCGAAAGATACAAAAAAGTACATAAAATATACAAAAGTTAGATTTAGTCTCGTTTGCCATTTTGATTAACTCATGTGTGTGTGTGTGTTTCGTGTAATTCATATCATGCAAAAAGAAAAAGAATAAAAATAATTAAATTAAAAGCAATAGCAAATACAATAATAAAAGAATTCAACATAAGCCCAAAACATAACTACACAAATATCAACAGATCACAAAACCGAAATGCATCATAATACATTTTACACAAATCTACTTGTGTTGTTTGTTTGTTTTTTTTTTTATCAAAATTGTTCCATTATTTGATCAACAAAAAACAGAAGACTAGCCAAGAACTTGCCAATGCTTTGATTGTCCTCGCTGCATTGCAATATCAGCGGCGTGTTAATAGGTGACTCTTCCACAATCAGTGCTGGTGACAACTTCGATTCCACTGTGGCCCCTTTGGATTTGTCCAGCGGCTCGCATGTATCATTTACCTCCGCCACGTAGACGCTGCGGCATTCCGGACAACGCAACTCTATAAGAGAGTTGTGTATTAGAATTTGTATGAAAGTAGTGCTCACCGTGTTATCGTCTACCTGCTGTTTTGTAATTCTTATTTTTGCGTTCTCTGCTGAACTTAATACCACAATTGACACAGCTATAGATGGTTATGTTCATATCGGTGAGATCACGCTGTGAAAGAATATCGCGCAGAGTCTTTTCTAGTTCCTAGATAAGATACAGGTAGATATGTATTAATTGTCTGACAAGTATTGCTGATATCTATTCATAGTCGCTCGAAAAATTAATTTAAATTTTTAACTGAATATTCGCACTTCATAAAAATGCTCCATTCTGTAACTTGAGTTTTCGAGGTGCCAATGTTGATTCTATATACCTGACATAGTGCATTCTCTACGCAATAAATGCGCTCCTGTTTATCCTTTTGCACTGTATCAAAATTAATGCGCAAAGTATTTGCTTTGATTCTCTCACAAGACTCCAAGAATTTTATGCTCCATTTCGTTTTTGTGCTAAGGATAGAAAGTAAGTTAGGTAAGTAAATATATGCCATATGCCATATATTGCACATTTCAAATACGAACCGTTCGCTGAGAGCATCCTTTTCACGCACATAGTTGGAGGAAATAGTTAAGAACAATGGCTCGCTGGTCTTGTGTTCATGGTAGACAATATAGAGTTTTTCGTCGGGTTCTTCGTCAGATACTACAGTAGAGTTAAATAAAACATCAGATTAGGATATGATTTAAGTGAGCGATTGCTTGGGATTTTACCTGGTACCTCCTCCAGCTCGGCACTTGCAGTCGCATAGCGATTAAGCACTTCCTTGTGCTTATCAATCTCCTCCTGTTCAACCTGCTGCTGCAGTGTATCATTCATACTCTCATATTGCGTCTCGGTGCTGTTATTGCATGATTCGTAAACTGTTTGCTGCGTAATGTCCGTATCGGTGTTGTCCCCATCTGCCTTGATGGGAGTCAGCGTTGCATTAAATGTTTCCCAATTAGTATTGTTCGTTGGTGTGGAGCTAATGTTTAAGGACTCTTGTTCTAGCTCCGCCTGATGTGCTGATGGCAGTAATTCGCCAAGGAACTCATTAAAATTCTGGCGCGCATCGTGACGCTCCTGTTCACTGGGCTGCGGCTGTAGCCACTCGTTTCCGTACTTGAGATGAAGTGCTTCAATTTGGTTTTTGGTCTCCAAATGGCTCCCATCGGTTGACTCTTGCAGCGCTTTCTGCTTCAGGCCATTTGCAGACTCTGTGGCAGAGACGGTTGAAGGAACTTTGTCTGCTGGTGTCTCATCGCCATGTTCTTCAATTTCCACCGTGCGTAGCTTCTTGGTGCGCCTTTTCCCTTCTGCTTCGGGAAATGAGTCCTTGCTATGGACTAAGAGCGAATGCTGCGATCCCACACTGGATGCGGGTGTACTGACGGATGCACCTGAGCTATTTATTGAAATTTGACTGCTGACAAGCCGATGACGTATGATGCCCCTATGGGGATGAGTGCCAACTAATGCTTTCTCCGCCTTGGACAGCGGCTCAAAGTCCAGCACGAATTTCACAGTGTTCGTATTCTTGTGTAAAAACTGCGATGTGCCCAGTCGATGCTTGGGATGGCACGCCAAGGGATTACCCTGCAAATTGAGCGTGGTGAGTGTCATTAGAAAGCTCAGCGGAAATAGTTGCGAATGCTCCAGCAGGCAATTGTCGGACAGATCCATATTGGTCAGAGCATCCAGATTGGTTATGTCCGACAGGTCCTCCACATAGTTATTGCTTATGTTGAGCACCTGAAGCCGCTTGCAGGCCTCCACATGTAGCTGCGGCAGGTGCGTCAGGCAATTGTAGCTCAGGTCGAGCGTCTTTAGATGCGGCAACCATTTGATGGCCGTCACGCTAGCGAGTTTATTGTGTCGCAAATTTAAATGCTGCAAGTGCTGAGCAAACTCCAGAGCTGTGTCCACGCAACGCAAATTGTTGTAGCTGAAGTCGGCCGACTGCAGCTCGTTCCAGACAAAACCATTCGAGTTGTCTCCGCCGCAACGAGTGATGATGTCCTCCACATTGTTCAGACTCTTGACGCAAATCAAATGCTGCAACTGGGAACGGAGCGCGTGTATGCCCACCACCTGGCATATGTTGATCTTGTGCACCTCTAGGCGGCGCAGTGCATGAAACTTGCCAATATCGATGGCGCCCTCAAAATAATGCTCGCCGGGAAAGAAGTTAAGCTTCAGCAGCGTTGTCTTTTGCACAAAGTCATGGAGCAGCTGAAGATCGGGAAATACACTGGACTTGGCATTGATGGGCTTGACCACCTGAAAAGCCTGTTGATGTTTGCTGGATGTGCCCAGATCAGCGCCAGCTCCAAAATCGCTGTCCGCGATCAATGTAAAGGAATCATTCAAAGCGCGAAGCAGCGGACCTGCAAGTGTATGTGTGATACAAAATGAGTTCAACAACGATAAGGCAGCGAAACTTAGACACAAAGCAATAGGTAGATGCGGTCACCGCTTGGTCATGTTTCGCCCGCATGCCCGCTCACCTGATAGGGTTAATGTGAATTCGGAGCTGAGGATTTTGTCACCATTCTTGCGCAGCAAGTTGGCCAATTCGGTTATCTTTTGTGGGTCCATTTCAGCAAGGAAGCAAAGGCCATATCAATAGCAGTGCCAGCTGTTGCAGTATCAGTTCTTTATTATTATTTTAATTGTTTTAAGTGCGTTTTGTTTTATAAGCTAATGTGCTTAAAGATTTATGCGCTCCAAATTTTTACAACTATCAATTAAAAATAAATATTTACACAAAATATATATATACACATATAAATAAAAGCAAATATTTAATAAGCACCGTCAAAAATTAACACACATAAATACAGTGCACATTAAGCAGCAAGCATTTTACGTAGTTCACCTAATTCTATTTTGATGTGAACGATTTGGCAGCTGCCCCAACGTAAAATAACAAAGGGATTTATGACACCACGGTATAGTAGATATAAAATGCACCGTTCAACAAATATATATCATGATTTGCAATAAATTGGCGAACACTTTGATAGCTTTACTATGCGGAGTTGTTTGCATAGCAGGTTGTAAGCAAAAATATTCCACTGGCAAAAGAAAAATACTTTTGTTATTGCTAATATCTGACAGTCAGCAAGAAACGTAAACACAGAGTTGTAACGCAAGTATTGCGCAAAGTGACCAGGGCTGCACAACTAATAGAACAGCTGTTTTCCATTAATCGATAAATTAATATTATCGGTTCGATTCAACTTTGAACAATTGGAATTGCATTAAAAACTAAAATAAAACAGATTTACCTTTATGTATTTTGTTTATTTAACACATTTTCATTTTACATTTAATTTATTTCTACGCCGTTCACTTGATTTTCACTAAAAATTACTAACGCAAATAATGCCATATTTCTAAGATTGCAATTTAAAATTAACCATTGTTGTTCCGTTTATTACGCCTCTGTTGTAAGTATTGTAATTGTAAAATTAATTGTTGTTATTTACAATTGTTTGTTTAGGTACATGCGCACATTTCTTGCTAATTAAACTTGTAAAAACTAAGTTAAAATAAAAAAGGCAGACTTCAAAATTTTTTTCTTCGGTTCTGTGGATCGCTGGATATGCGTTGGATTTTACAATTAAATTAACAACCTATAAATATTCTTGTCGTTGGCTGGGTAGTAGTAGTAATAGTTGACTGAGTGACCTCTGAAGACTGAATGAGTGGTGCTGAAAAACTACTATTGACTCTTGTTTGGTGCATAACATCGTTTAAAAATTTGTATTACTATTTTACAAAGTTTGCCTGCGGAATAGAAAACAAAACTCATTATTTATATAAAGTGCTCGGTGTGGGTAAGCGTAACATTCCAAATTGCATTCAAAAACAAATGTAAATTAACAAAGTAATATTCAATTATAAAATAACGTCAAATTTTGATACCTACTGATCTCTGCCGATTAGTTGCTGCCAATTCGTAAATATGTTTTCATAAGAAAATATTTTTCCTAAATATGCTTTTTGTTTTTGATATGTACAAAAAATAATTAAATACTTTATTAATGTTTAACAAAATTCATTTTTTAACAATATGACACTGACATTATCTCTTATGTACACATAAATTGAAAATATTTAACGGTTAACACATTAGAAAACCATTGTGATTTGGCGAAATCGAAATGCATGTTGAACTTGGCGAAGGAAACGATTTTCTGACTGTACAATCTGTGCTCAGATCGGTTGTAAATGCGTGTGTGCGTGATAGTAAGTAATCGCGTATGAATTGATTGGATATATACAATTGATTTTATCTTTTGTTTTTCTTTGTTTGATTGTTTTTACATATTTGGTGTAACACAGTTAGAGTTTTGGCGACGGCATGATGGTCGTATCCCTATGAGAAATCATATAAAAAAGAAGAGAAGAAAACAAATTTTTGTTGATGAAACATAAAAGTTGGTTTTGTTTTAGAAATGTACATGAAAAGGATGTTGGAGGTTTAGTAAGTGGATTGAGGTTATATGGAGGGTTGTGTTTTTGAATGCATTGATATGAATTGGAATTTGAAATGATTTACAGTATATTAAGAAAAATATGAAATACTATTTTGAATAATTTCAATTTGGTAATTTGGAATTTTGTTTTTTTCTTTTTCAGTTTTATTATTCAGCTTTTGTTATACTATAATTATAATTAATTTGGAGAAATATAAATCATAAATGCAACAAAACACAAAAGAGATTAAAGAAAGTGCAATAGGTGTACAACTAAATAAACGTAAAAATTAAATGGGCAAAATTAAAAATACAACAAAAACTAAAAATCTGGTGTTACTAGGAAAAATAAAAAAGTTTAATTGCAATTAAAATACAGTAGCATAGGGAAACTCAAAAAGGTTTTGTGGTGGGTAGGGAATTACGGGAAAGTAAGTACGGAACTCTTGGAGGTATCATGTGCGGCTGTGCAAAAAGCAAAACAATTGAAACTCAACACTTACATATGCTCAGGATGATTGCGTATGCAATCGATTAAATCATTAGGCTTAAGCTGATTTGTGCAAATTTTGTGTATGGCAGTAAATAGGGGGAATCTGAAAGTAAGTTGATATTTGGTTAATATAATAAATAAATTAGGCCTGAAATGTTTAGCCTAAGCATACTTGTCCTCCAAGCCTTTGTTTTTCAACATGTAGTTGACCTCCTCTGCCGTGGGTGGGCCCTGCAATTTTTGACCATTGAGCATTTCCTTCTCCAGTTCCTCAATAGTTTTGCCAGATGTGACAAAAGCCTCAGATACACGACGATTGCGACCGCCTGTGTGAAATGTTTTATATGAATTGAAAAAGTGTTTTAATATAATTGAATGTTAACTGCATTGTTCGACACGAACCATAGCACGTTGTGATAAGATCGGCAACGCCGCAGCTCTCAAAGAACGTGGACAATTTGCTGCCCGGATAGAAGACATCGACGAATCGAATCATTTCCATAAGGCCGAGACGAATGACCGCTGCCTTGGTATTGTCGCCCAGTTTGAGACCATCGACAAAGCCCGCACCACAGGCGACGATGTTCTTCAGGGCACCGCAAACCTCAACGGCATCGGCATCCTCCACAACGACTACACGGAAATGATTAGCCTGGAAGAGATCGCGCAGCACCTTGCCATATTTTTTGTCCGCGCAGCCGATTGTTGTCTCGCAAAAGTTGCCCTCGGCCACCTCATTGGCCAGATTAGCCCCCATCAGCACAGCGCATGGTATCTGATAGTAGATAATACAGGTTTAATCAAGATTGCGAAGAGTCCTCTTTGCGTATAGGCTTACCTTCAGATGGCGGGTGATAATGTGCGAAATTAGATCAATGCCGCCACCCTCCGCCTTATCGAAGCCCTTGATCAGTGATATGGCAATGGCGTTGGGCTTGATCTTGCCCAACAATTGCTTACAGAAATTTGGTATGAACTGATGCGGCACCACAAAAATGAGTATATCGGCATTCTTGGCAGCCTCAACCAGATCGGGCACTGCAATCTAGAAACAAAGAGAAAGAGACAAAAAAGAAAAAGTTAAAACACAATTTCAAACTAAGTTGCGGAAAGTGTGTATCAATAAACATGCCAAGCAAACGCTCTGATAAGCAGCTTAAATTACTCTGATAAGCGCATAATAGAACCTAGAACTAAAACACACCTCAAGGTTGAATGAATAAACTTTGCGATATTAAATACTTTCTATATTCTACTCAAATACATATCAGTTGAGACTTGTCTTTTAATATTATGTTAGCTTATGATTATATAAGGTATATTCAAATCTGGTTCAGCGCTGCTTGTTATTCGCAAGAAACTTGTTTTTTAGCGTTGGCGTAAGCCATTTTGATAAGCATTGCATAACTTTTTATATATGGTGTAAAGTTCAGGCGGTGCTATAAGTTTCTTTCGATTGTTATTCGCTTTTGATAAGCCAACCGGTTTTGAAACTGCCAAAATTGCTAATAATTTGTTAGCATTGCAAATAGTGGCTAAGACATTTAAGCTTTTGCCAAATGAAATCTAATACGCAAATCAAACAATGTATAAATTTAGGTTTTGTGTTCATTATGTTGTTTAGTAAATCGACAAATTCTTTTTTTTTTTACCAAATAGTGACTTGACCAATAAGAAATGATGATAAGCTAGAGCCGAATATTATGTATAACATATATTTATTTTAAGGAAAACTGAAAACCTGTCAATTTATGGCTATATAAATTTAATCTGTCATCCTATATATTTACATACGTATATGTATAAGCATATATTTTCTTGTGTCATAGATGCTATCTACAGAATTATGAATACACTTTTAAAAAATAGAGCGCCAAGCTATCAGACGGATGTCTGTTATCAGGAAACTACATATTTTCCCCTTGTAATTGGATTTTGAAATGTTATTTCCCTTATCGGTCAAATAAAATTAGAATAGTTTATCTATTGAGTTTATAATGCTTTTCTGATTTGACAATTGACTGAATATTTGACATTGTCCCATGGTTATTTGTTTATAACCAATTTGTTTATTTCTTTTCTTTTTTTTCTGTTTTTTAATTTGCTGTTTTCACAATTGAACATTTGCCAAAAATATATATATGTATATATCGTACATACCTATGCATATATCTACAGGTGCTGGCATTAAATTTTGTAGAAAAACAAAAGAAACACACACTTACGAGAAATTAAAGAAAAATTATACATATGCATGTATATGCATAATTGAATTCAAAACGCCACATATTTATTAGGTGGCCACTTTATTTGGACAACTTAAATAGCATGTTTGACATGAACGGCGAACAGTATGGCTTATCTATAATCAGCAAACACGAAAAGTCAAGTCGCACCTTATCAGCTGAACAACTAACTGTGCGAGTTGTTTCTATTTGTTTCACATGTATTTATGCATGCATACTCAATGCATAGATAGATATATGCACCTGTCAACGTGAATGTCGAAAGTGACATACCAAATTGATTTGCACACATTACACCAAAGAGAGAGCGGGAGAGCCACAATCAAAATAATTAAGAGAGAATAAAGAGAGTGAGCGCACGGCAAGCCGGCTTTGACCTACGTCAAAGACACTGAGAGAGAGAGAGAGAGAGAGAGAGAGAGAGAGAGAGAGAGAGAGAGAGAGAGAGCTGCCAGCTTGGCAGGAGGGTTTGCAAACGTCACCGCAAGGTGAAACTTTTTTTTTTGGCTTGTATGCTGTTGGCCCTGAAAAACTGCAGCGCGCGATAGACAGTGAGAGAGAGAGAGCGTGCAAGGTGAGAGAGTGTGTTTGGATTATAAAAATAGCTATCTGCATGCCACCCCCCCATACATCTGATTAGATAATTTGGCGACGGTCAAGATCAAGGCAACGGCGTCTTTATGTAAGGAGCAATGACAACTATGACAAATGCATTCGCCACTAATGAAAACTAATTCTAATACACCTCCATATTACCTAAGTCAATAATTGTTCTCACACCTATTGTTTTGAAGTGATTGCATAGCTATATATATTTATATAAATAAATATGTGTGTCCCTGTGTACTTACCACATTTGTTGGCAGCTTGTGTCCCTTAAGGTATTTTACATTCTCGTGAGTCTCATTGATAATTTCCGTTAACTTCTTGCCATCAATCATTTCCTCGTAGACGAACATTGTGACACGCTCCTCAAACTCGGGCAGCGCCGATGCATTGGCGCCCACAATTTTTGCAATGGCCGAACCCCTGCACAAGTTTCCAAAATACCAAAGTGCATTTAATTCAATTATTATGTAAGTGTTTTTGTTGTTAATGCACTTACCAGTTGCCAGAGCCAACGATGCAAACATTTATTTTATCCGCCATGATGCTGTTACTAATTATTGTTTTTTAATTTTTTTTTGCAATTATTGTTGTCTTTCCTTGCTATGGGAAAGTGTTTCTTATCCACTGTTTGAATTGAACGCGTGTTAGACACTTTTCACTGTGCGACTAGCGATGCGAATTATTTACAACGAACTGACACGTCGAAACTATAGCACATTTAATAAATACTATTCAGTAAAAGCATATTCGCGAGACCAAGACACGATAATATATCGATTTCGCACATGTTCACACGATAGTGTGAATCGTTTTTCTATATCGATTAATCGAATGCTAACAGCATACAGCTGATTTACTATCGATTTTTGTATCGCTTTCAAAAACAAAAAGTATATAAAAATTACATTACGAAATAGATATGCATCCCTTAATCCTTTAATAATCATTAAAAAATATTGTCACAAATATGAATAATTATTCTTACAATAATTTGCTAACAAATAAACAAAAATAACATTACAAATTATCTATTTCACTCAACTGAACTGTTAATCAGCCATAGTAACTGTTAAATCAACGTTTCCCGCGCAATTCAACTTCATTTTCAGAAAAGTAATTTTACGTTGAATGAAAAATTAAATGTCCGACTTATAGTTTGGTTGCATGCAGAATACATATTTTATATATATATATTGTAAAACCATCAATTGTTATAGCACTACTAAATCTAGTGGCCTCCATGTATATGTAATCTTTGGTGCGGCTAAGATAACAGTTCTTTCCTGTTTGTGCTTAAAGTTAAATTAATAGGTATTATTTGAAAATCATTCAATAGAAGAGAATACAATATTTGTATCTATAGGTACGACTTGACTCTAAATTAATTTGAGGTGCAGTTTGTAATTGCGATTCTTGCTCTTAGGCGCTTAGCAATGTTAACTGTTTGGCTGCATGGCCATAGGTGCTTCAGGATAAGCTTTGTCTGGTACATGACAAAAGCTAGGCCAGAGTCATGGCAAACCGCTGCCATGCCCACAAGCGGCAAACACATCGCAGACGTCCACCCAGTGGAGGTGGTTAATCATGCAGCGATGTTGTTACGCGTTAATACCTTCATGTGAGCTGGACCACGTGCTGAGCACTTTCCGGTTGCGTGTCTAACGTTGTTTGGCCTTCATGTCTACATATATGCATATGCATGTGTGCATATATGTATGTGTATGTGTGTGTGTGTGTGTGGGTGAATCGTGTCGCATCGAGTTTGAGTTTGGACTTGGGTTGGTCTGTGTGCTCGGGGTTGCTCTAATTCTGGTTCCTGCTGTTGTTGCTGTTACTGTTGCCGTTGCTGCCGTTGTGCACCCGTAAAATTGATTGCGGCGAAAGCTGGAAAGTTGCACGTTATGTTCGTGGCCTGACTTGCACTCCTGCTCAGCGTCTGTTGGTTTGTCTGTGGCGGACTCTGGGTCTACTGTGATGCTGCTTCTGGTTCTGTTTCTGGTGTGGCGTGCAGATTGCCTTGTTTCCATAGCAGCTACAGAAGCATCAGCAACGGAACCAGCGATTGCCCAAAATGTGATTTCATGCAGCATTGCAATGACGATTAAGTTCTGCGGTACTCGTACCTCTGGACTCATCCATTTCTATCTAGGGACAGGGAGACTTTACCATCTGCCTTTCTCTATTTCATTGCCTTGATAGTTTTGAAGGAACAACAAGTTAAAACTGACTTTATACGCTATACATACTAATAAAATTTGGTTTAATCTGATTACTGGAAAGCTCATAAGTTAGCAAGAGAATACATTTCTAAACAAATGACTTCAGATTGGGGTAGTGAATATGTTCAGGTTGAGTACGTTATATCTGAGTATAGAGGGTAACTTGATAGCCCTTTCTGGAGAAATTCACATATATATGTATATATAGCTGGAGAAATGCACATATATATGTATATATAGCCAATGGGTGTAAATAATTAACTGCTGTTGCAAGATGCAAATCCAAGTAGGTTGCAGAAGAATTATACGAGTATATAAAAATGAGAATTTCGACTTGAACAGTCAAAAGAGTAAGTCTCGCTCCTCTCTCATTTTTATTTCTCTTCCCGTACCCAATGTAAGGCATCTAAATCAATTTATTAATTTTAAGATGTTTTTATAACACTTAACGTGATTACAAAATTTCATGCATCAATTATTTTCCTGTTTGGATGCTAATCAATCGATTCTAGTTCATTTGCGAAATACAAATATACAAATCACAGTTATTATTAATAATATAATATTATATTACATTGAATTAAATTAATTTAGATTTCAGTTGACAGTAATTCACAATACCAGCAGCTTCACTGGACAAAGTTCCTGCTTACAGCTGCTGGAATGGCAGCTACCCTTTCTAATATTGCCTCAGCACGGCTCACTAGGCATATGAGACATTCTATTAACATGTGGCGCACATCAATCCTTTTGCCCGCACACACACACACGCACACACACACACACACGCGACAACAAGTGTCAGAATTCTCATAGATGGCCGGAGTTTTGCATAGCCATGGCCAATATGCAGCAGACCACCTTTTGGCCATGTCATGCGGCTGATGATTGGAAAGATGATGTGTGAGCGAGCATGGGGCGGGGCGGGGTGAATGGGCGATATGGATTGTTGTGTAATGTGTGTCCATAAAAAACAATGACGGACATTGGATCTGGGCATAGAATAATAGTATATCAAAATTTTACAGCAAGCCGCAAAAGAACGAAATAAAATCATTTACGCAAAACGAGACCCAAATTGAATACCAAGACAAGAATAAGCGAAGAAAATACACAACGTTAAGCGGATGTAGCATGCTTATCCTTTTACACACACACATACAGACACACACACAGACACACACACACACATACATACACACACACACACACACACATAAACAAATAGCGACATAGAAAGAGATGGATTTTATTATTTTTATTTTATTTAAACCACACAAAATACTTAAGACGATTTTGTGTTTTGTGGTCCAAGATGTATTGCCCAGGGCGATGCAAAAAAGTGTAAAAGGAAATGGAAACGACATCGAAGTTTTGAGCCAAAAAGGGTATGCAACATGTCCAGCGGTCGATGCGGTTCGTTCTGGACCATCTTCTTGGGGCCCATAAGCGCTTGCAGATGTGTGAACGGAAAAATAAGCAAATGTCCTACCTTTTGACGAAGACATTTGGCTCAAACAATAGCACGTTCTTTGATGACAGCACCAAGACAAGGCATCAATATTAGAGCCGCTCATGTCCTCTATCAATGCATTGAGTCGTTCACACAGCGTTTACGACAGCTACAGCTACAGTTACAGCTAGAAGTACACGCCCAACCTCTGGACAATGCTTAAGCATTACTGAATATGCGACAGCATACAAATTGAGGATTTTTATTTTCATTTTTTATGATTTACATTTTATATACGTATTTGCCTCGCTCGCTTGGACACCCTCTCTCAAATGATATAATGTTTTGGCACTTTTTTAATGCCACACAATTTCTTGGTTTCTTTTTTCTCAGCATGTTTTTTACATTTTCACTTTGCAAATAGTGTTGCCCAAAGAGCGCGTCACTTAATTGTTTTAATTGCTTTTTTTTTTTTGTTCTTCTTACATCCATTAACACAATTTGCTTTGGTTTGTTCGGGTCTGTCTATTATTTGTTTAGTGCCAACGAAATTTGCATGTTTTTCGGCAAAGTTTTTCCAGTGCATTAGACGACAAGCAGTTACTGAACTGGACAGCTAAAGGAGTGGGATAAATGGGGTAGAAGCATTATGCATTAGACCATTTGTACATCAGATGTGTGTGGTTAATCCATGATGTTTTCTATATTATATATATTACACATAAACCATAACGAGGGATATAAATATCTATTAAAAAAATCTATTGTCCTGGTAATGCTTGAAAGCTAGATTGTGATTTAATATGAGTACTTAGTAAGCAGTAATAATATCAGTTCAATATCCTGCATTTCCTGTTATGAAATCGTTATAATAATGTGACTAATTTTATATTCCTTAAACTTTGTGGGTGATATTTATTATTATGAGGTATTTAAGATAACATTAAAAGAATCTATTAAATAAATAGAGAGCTGTCTTCTTGTATTAGATTCGAAATTGCCTTTTCAGTATGAATTTATTGAATTGAATGTGTTTCAAGTATACAATTATTGAATTGGTGTTTGTTAAGTAATTTTCGATTGCATTTATTCTATAAGCTGTAAGGTACGTACCTACATATATAAATTATTTAATTTTTAGTCACTGAAGTTTGGAAAATTGATTAACATTCTATTAAGTATTCAATGCTTGACAGTTTACTTGATGCTTTTTCCACATTATAATTATATTTCCTTCAAATAATTATTTGACATAAACGTAGCCAAGGCACATTGTTTGGAAAAAGGGGAGGAAAAAAAACAAATTTTGTTGCCTGATCAAGCGGTCGTAAATTTGTTTAGACTACTTTTCTTAAAAAAAAAAAGTTCACAATAAACTCACCGCAAACTGTAATCCCATATTTGTTCTGAATTTGCCCCAAATCAAATTTGAAAGAATGAGCTCTTCATGTTCATTTTTATATCATATTTAAATTTATTTAAATGTTTTTGTGTACACAATAATTAATATTTATTTACTTGCTGGGGACAGCAGCTGTTGCGATTTACTTACTATTTCCAACTATTATTGTATATCTAGAATTTATTTTATATAACTTCATGTTTTTTTTTATTATTTATTTTTGTCATTTTATCAAAAATTCACTGCAAACCATTTTACAAATTTCAATGGGCAAAAATCAATTATAAAGCATTTGGCATTTAATAATTCATAAACACAGCTGGCACCAATATAAATATGTGTTACACTCGTATGTACCTCATGTATATTTGTATATATATGGGTATGTATAACTAAATGAAACATCAAACCAACAACTGTGTGTAAAAGGTAACAGAGACAAAACATACAGCATACATTGGGGCGCTTGACCTGCGGCAAAGTTATTCTTTCATTTTCCACGATTTCTAAACATGTTCAGCGAACAAAAAAATAAGAAAAGTCCTAACAAAAGAGGAGCAAAACATATGAAATTGAAATAATATACATCCAGGGCAGTTAAATTAAAAGACGCAAAATAAGCAAGTAAAAGCAAGAGTATTTATGGATGCCGACAATGTGGGCAGATTCTCGCTCCTATATTTAGCTTAATGTCGAAAAACTAAAAAAGTACAGATTGTGATGGATTGTAAAATTGAAATATAATCGTAATTTAGGTGCAGTAAGATTGTCTGGTAAAACTATAACACTCTCAGCTAGGGTATAATAAAGCCAAAACGTGGAAAAGGTGAAGCTGGAAAACAAAAAAATTGCCTGAGCAAGGGGTGCATCAGGCGAAGGGTGCGGGCGCCGGTGGCACGTTGCAGGTTGCTTGCCACGTTGAAATAACATGGGAAATTTTAGAAAAGCGACGACAAAACGTCGAATGAAAGATAAATAAAGTGCATGGCGCTGTGGAGACCAAACCAAAAATAAAATGTTAGAAAAAAAGGAACCGAATAACTCGCGCACACAGCTATAAATCAACGTGAAAGCAGCCAGAGGCGTTAAATGGGCGTGGCATGTATCTATTACATGAACGCCGTACGCTGTGAACTGTCGCAGCTGCAGTCGAGTTAGCAATTTTTTACATTTCATTTTTTATATACTCTTCTATTTTCGTGTTGCTGCTTCTTATTTTTTTTTTTTTTTTTTTAGTTCGAGCATAAATATTTGTGCAAGTGACAAAAATTGTTGACGCTTAAGTGCTAAACGAATCGATTTTGATAACATTTTCGGAAGCAGACCACGCCTAGGACACGCCCAGTCATCTACTTGTCAACCTGCGCCGGTTCCATGGTGTACATATCGCGCAACAGTCGCGCAATCGGCACATTACCGATGGTCTCCTTGAAGAAGAGCGCCTCAATTGTCGCCGCTCGTATCGTGCGCAGCGATGGCAACAGCAACAGCAGGCGGCCAAAGCGTGTCGCCTGCCGTGGATAGCGTAACCGCACATGATCGGATAGGATGCACTGTGCCTGATCCTGCAGCATCTCCACGGGCTGCACGTCGCACAATCCGGCAGTTTCGGGTGCAAAGAGTGCAATCGCCTTCATGCAGCCCACTTCGCTGCCATCGGGGGTGATCTGTCGGAATCGGCACAGAATCTCCTGAATGGTTTTCATTTCAATTTGAGTGGCTTCATCCTGCAGAACGCGCTCCTTAATGAGCGGTGACTCTAGTATAGGCGTCAGATCCAATGGTATCGTCCACTGGGCGAGATTAAGCAGAAATAGCTCCTTCCAGGATTCCTGATAATAAGTAAAATATATCACAATTACTTTGCAATCTTCGATTTTTTCTTATATTTCAGAAACAATCAATTTCTTTTTACATATTTTAAAAACAAGTAATTTAAATAATATTCTAATTTGCTTTATAGTATTAATTCATTCTATTATTATTATTATATTATTATGATTTTTGGACCTTTGTTTAATAAATAATAATAATAAATGTATTAATTTAAACTTTAGTTTAAGTTTAATATAATAATGATTTTTATGTGCTTTAAAAATTATTTGTTAAGTTATTTAAATAGTTGTTCAAGATTCAATTCACAAAACTGAAAATTAATTGCAAATCGTTTTTTCTTTTAGTTAAGTTTAATAAGTTATTAATTAGTTGACTAGCTACAATCCTGTACGCACCTGTAGTAGTAAATGTTGATCATTTTTGGACAGTGTCTGGAACGGCATCAGACACTTGACCCAACGCACGGCCATGAAGAGCAGACGCGCCGTCGTCTCCTGGAGCATTTCCCACGAGAGCAGACGCGAGTCTAGCAGCTGTTGCGGCAGCGGCGGCGGAAAGAGCAGCGCATTGTGCTGCACCTGGTATTGGATAAGCTCCTGACACTTATCCGGGCTGAGCAGCAGTTCCAGAAATCCATTCGAGGCGTTGCAGCCGCCACTAGGACGTGGTGGTGGCGTGGGTGTTGTCGGCGTGGGTGAGCCCGATGTGTAGCTAAGTTGTTTATTGTTAACATTATTATTATAATTATCGTTACTATTGTTGTTATTGTTTGTGCTGTTATTGTTGTTGTTGACGTGAATGCTGTGCATGAGAAGCGTTGTATTGTTTGGTGGCGTTGTGGCATTGTTGTTGGTCTGATGCGAAGCTTCACTGAGGCAGTGCGTCGAATTCTGTGGCGGATGGGGCGATGTGCTGGAAGCTGCCATGCTCTGCGAGTCGGTAAACGTTGGCGCTGGCGATACGCTGCCGGCGCTCAATGGAGGCGACGCTGATGGTGATGGCGTCTCCGTTTCTACATTAACCCGAGGACTCTCACTGCCCAGGCTGAGACAACCAACGCTTGCTCTTCCACCAGCACTGCGTGAACCAATGCTCGATATGGACTGTATTGAGTTGCTGGGCGATGGCGATGAGTAATTGTTGTTATTGTTGCCACCCATTGCTGCAGATGTGGCTTGGGCATATGGCGATGTGGAGACGACAGCGGCGACTGCTGTTGCTGTCGCCGATGCCGTTGCCGCCGTAATTCCTGGCAACTTGCTGGCCGCCTCCGCAATGAGATTGTGATGCAGCAAGTGGGGTGGAAAGGTCATGGAAACGCCTGAAGGACCACCGGGAGCACCAGCAGCACCACCGACACCAGTGGCCCCTGCACTACTGCCATTGCCGTGTGGTGCTAGCTGGTGTCCATGTGCCGTATGATGAAAGGCAGGTGCAGCCGGATGTGCCGCCTGGTGCGGATGTGTTGCAGGTTGAGCGCCAGTTGGGGCTAGATGAAAACCAGTCGGCGGTGCATGCGTCGAAATGTGCTGTGTATAGTTAAACGAGGCGGACACATTGGTTACCAGTGACACAGGCAAATGCCCTCCATGATGATGATGCAGTCCAGCGGCAGCAGCTGCAGCGGCAGCGGCATGATGTGCCGCCGCCGCATGGGCGTGATGATGATGATGATGGTGATGGTGGGCGTGGGCGGCGGCCGCATGATGAGCTGCCGCTGCGGCCGCCGCATGATGATGATGATGATGCAATTGCGGATGCAGCTTTGGTTTGCGGGGACCACGCTCGTGCTGAACAGCTAGAAATATCCGAACCAAATGATGTTTATCAAATAAGTAAATAAATAAATATATTCTAAGGTTTTAAGTTTTATCTGTAGTCGAAACTCCAGTTTTGACTTGAGAGTGATAAATTGACTCATACATTTATAATCTGCAACTGCTCAGTCCCCAAGACGCTATAATACCATAAACCGGAGATTTCTTTTTAACCAGCTTGCCAATCGCTGCTCAGTTCTTATTTAACTTTTGGAGCATTGAGACGTGTTAATTGCCCACATAAATGGGCAAATGTTGATTCAAATACTTCAAATAATTTCATTAATCTTTGTAATATCCACAGTTTGCACTGGTTTAAGCTACATAAGTGGTACAACTTATGGTGATGTTTTTTAATTGATTTTCAAGATAGACAGTCCATTTCACAGCGAAGATGGGGACTGTGAACTGACTTTAATACTCCCATCAAGAAATGCTGAATTTAATCAGACAGTTAAAATTTGAGATTAATAGATTTTATGGAAATTGTGAATTGGATAACGATGGTGTATATATGTGTATTTAATTAAAATCAAAGCTAATAATAAAACCGATATTATTAATATTAATTCCAAATAATAAATAATTTACTCTATTTATATTGGCCCCGCGGAAAAATTGCCTAGATGTAAATTATATTGTGGAAAACCTTAAACATTCAAAAAGATTGCATATGACTATTGTTGTCGGTTATAATGTGTGCAAGAATTTCCATTTCACTAATGTAATCCAGGTAAAAACACTAGAAATAACTGGTTTTTCACCAAAGGATACCAAAAATACATTAACTGCCGATAAAGCCTTTTTGAGCGATCCAAAAAACTTGGAAAGCTTTATATTAACTGGTAGTGATATTACAGAGCCTATCAAGTTTGAGATTCATCCTGAAACTGTAACAAATTATTAAAATTTGTATCAAATTCTACCCAATATATCTTAGTTGGACATAAGGAAGAACATAATACAAACTCAAGATAAGCAAGTGCTGGTATTTCTAGCCAAGAGATTCAACAATTCAGCAATTTACTACGACTTTGACTTTCGGGGAATCCATGGACTTGCATTTGCGAAACGGAAGCTTTCATTTTGTATGTGGCCAACTTACCTCATCAGATTGAGGATCGTGAAAGTATCAAATGCTTCGAGGAAAACCTAGAACTGATGGAATTTACTATTCAAAAGGATATTTGTATTTCATTTAAGACTTACGCTATAATCATTTTTGGATCTCTTGTAGGAATCGGTGTTCTAATATTGGCATTTATTTATTTGCTTACTACTAATCTAATGAAAATGTATTGTCATAAAGTATATTTTAAGGAATGTTATAAAAACCGTAAAAATATGACAACAATCAAAATAACAGCATTGATCGGAAAATTATCCTAAACTGTAAAATTAAGTGAACATTTTCTTTTTATCAAGTTGAATTACTTCAATGTGCTATATTCGCAAACATTGTATCTTTAGGTTAGCATTTTCATTGATTTCTTGATCTAATATTAAATTGCTGTTAAAAAGAAAAACGTATGCAAAATCTGTAAATATATTTGAATTGTATGTTTTTTGTACATCTCTTTTCTTAAATATCGTGAACACTTAACTAACTTTTCGCTGATATTGCGATTTTCTGGCGTAGCCATCATTTGATTTTCAATCGTTTTGTTTCGTTTGCTCAACTGTTTTGCATAAAATCAGTTCAAGTGTGTAATTGCGTTAATCTGCTTTTAAGTAGTTAAATAAATAAAGTTAATTTCAAAGATACTTTGAATGGCTTTCTTCTTTTTTGTTAGCCACCCAGCAAACTTTGTCAATGCTTTGAAGTGTGGGTTGTTGGCCTTATCTGTATGCCGAACCAAATAGCAAATAGCAAATAACACTTGGCTCTGTAGAAGTAGCTTCTTGAGGCGCACACACACACACACGAACATATAATAAACCGATTATTAAAATGCGCAGAGATACACAAATGAAAAGATACAAAACAGTAGTCCTCTAGTTTTGTTGGCCTGGTCGTGTGAACTGTTGCATATGCCCCAAGCCTGGACCTGGACTGACATGTCGAGTTCACCGGCGCACACATGAGCGTGAATATGTGAGTGTTTTATATGTGTGTGTCTGTGTGTGTGTCTGTGTGGGTTGCTGTCATGACTTTTATTTGTTTGTAATTAAATGTATCTATAGCGTGTGCTTGCTTGTATCTTGTGTGCGTGACACAGCGCAAAAGGGGTGACATTTTAATCCGCAGCTAATCGCATGTGTGAGTGAGCGTCTGTGCAAAGTGACTGCAGCCACTTGACGGCACCGGATGGGAGCAGTAAATAAGTGAGCGATGCAGCAGCGAGTCTCTCAAAGCTCTCAAAAGATCACAAATTTCAATTAAAGAAAATGCCAAACTCATCAAATTTTTACGCTGCGGGTTAAGCGGCATCAAACAAACTTGCGACAATGCTACTCGACAGTCTCTTAAAAACTGTGGTCTGCAAAAAAACTTCCAAGCCAGAAATCACACCTCCCGCCCTTCCCCCCAAATAAAGGGAATAGCAAACCCAACCTTGGGCAATGTTAACCCTTTGCACTAGACGTTTTCGAGTTGCTTCTTCTTCATTACTCATCCGTCGGGCAAACAAAGAAACGTGTGAAAAAGGCAAAAATTTAAGGACAAAAATTATAAATTTGATTTTCTTTTGCTTCGTTTTTTTTTTTTTTTTTTGTAACATCCCCATTCTCTTGCCTCTTCATGAACTTAATTCTTTTCTAACTTGAAGCGACGGCATTTTGTTTTCATCGCTGCCAAAGTTGGGGCTGCGAAAATATATATTAAGTTCCAACTGAAAAAGTTATGGATGCAAAATGCAAAAGTCGTGTTGCCTGCGCGCAATTTTAACTAACTGGAGGCACTTTTGGGTCTTACCTCGCAGCGATTTGATTTGTGTAAAATATAATGAACAGAGGTCAAAAGTAGACTAAGTGGATTGGAGAAAATTGAATTAATTAAAGTGTTTGTGTAAATATATTTATCAAGGGAAGGATTATCTTGTACTAATGTTAATTAGTTTAAATAGGAATTACTTACTTCATCAATTATTCAGTTAAGTTTTCGAGTCTGTCATTATCATTTCAAAGAATTTTCTCTTGAATTAAGGAATGTAATTTTGCAATTTTTTATCAGGTTTAAAAAACGAACTTAAGTTATTTAATTGCCCTTTTAGTTTGAGTTGTGAAACTCTGATGGAAAATGCTATTTATAATTATAAAATCAATTTAAATTAAACAATATTCAATCTACAGATTTAAATAATTTGAATTTACTGTTGATAACTAATTAAACTTATAAGCAAAGCAAGCTTAACTAAAAAAAATGTAATCTTTGACTTATAAAATTGTAGATCCTACCTTCATATAAGTACGTACAACACCTGCGCAAACTCTCAAGCGTGGAGTAACCAACTTGAAGGGGAGAAAAAAAATTACAATCTACAAATCTAATTAGCAACTCATTACGCATCCTCAGAGCGTAGAGCAATAAAAACCAGAGATAAAAGAAACGGCAAAACATATTGACCGATTTGCTGAAGCTAATCAATTAATTAGGGTAGAGAACATAAGGCAGCACCCAGAAGTGAGGACGCATCGAAGCAAAAACAATTATGTCAAAACCGGGGCACGACCAGAACCGGGCAAAGGCAAAAATGTCAGAATGCCAGACAGAGAAATGCGGTAGAAAAATTAATGATAAGTGGCAGAAGTGAGGAGTGAGAGAGCGAGAGGGGTGATGCAGAGCGAAGTGAATGCTTAACAGATGCCAAATTCCCAGAGCTGAGCGCAAGGCGACTTCACGACCGAGACACGCAAAAATCCCAATGAATGATCATCAGCCCAAAGCCCAAAAGTAATGGGTGGGTGTCCAGTGCTTCTGCTCGTAAGCAGATAAGCACAAACCATGCCCAGCAAATCAGCTGGCGTCGTATTGAGTGTGTTAGTGATACGGTTATATATTTGGATATTTTATATACGTGGATAATAAACATAACGCCAGAATGTTTGGCTGGCAAATGAAAAGTAAATAAGACAATACTACTAAATGTTACGAATGGGGAAACAAAAAAAAAAAATACTCCGTGAAATTGGAAAAAAATAACACTTGAAGTGATTCGATGCGGTTGGCAAAGCGTTGAGGGGTGTCCTTTACGAATGGTGGGGTTGGAAGTTGAGATGAGCATCGCATTTGGCTTAACAACTGTAAAGTGCATAATAGTGCATAATGGCCATTGTTAATGTCAGCTCAAAGAGTGCGTAGAAAGGAGGAAAGGGAATCAGGAAATACAGGGAATGATACTATGATTACTTCTTAATAAATTGTTTTATTTTGAGATGAAAGATAACAATTTATAGGCTAGTACGTGTGGAGATTGTAACAGCTGTCAGTTTTCAGAATCTACAATATATTTAAAGCTTTAAAAATTCATTACAGCTCATTTATTTAAATACCTAGAAAGTTACCCAATTCATTGTAATTGTGATAACAAAACCTGATGTGCATTTTTTGATTATGTAAGTCGCTTTCTGTTTATACATTTGTATAAGATTGAAGATTTGTATAATCTTTTGTATTTTTGATTTTGATTATAAATTTTGTTGAAATATCTTAAATGAGCTCATTTTATGTCAATAATTTCATCTGTCAAGTTCGTAGCCCGTTATTATTTTTATCATATAAGTATTTGATTATGCATCATAACTTTTAACAATAGCCCATTTTGAATTTTTACAATAACTCTATCTATCCTTGCCTTTTCCCCTGGTGCGCTCAGCGGCAGCTGCAAGGTTCAGGAGGCCAAAGGCTTTTACGCTCTGACTCTGTCGTCAGGGCTAAGAGAGAGAGAGAGAGAGAGAGAGATAGAGAGAGTGATTTTAAATCCGCTTTTAATGTTGACACTGACACTTTTGTCATTCACAGACACACACACACGCACCCACACACATAAACACACACACTCATACAGATTTGGTGTAAGTGCATGACACATGCAAGCCAGGCGCATTTACATGTTGCCGTTCGCACACTGCCTACCAAATGTGTATGCACATAAAGTAGTAGGCTATAATGTCAATTAAGAGCAGCATTGCAGCTCGTATATAAACATGCGTACATATTTGCATATACCTGTATATATATATTTGAGTGTGAGAGTGTGAGTATGTGTGCGAGAGGGTGTCTTGTGGGTTGCATGGCATTGAGTGCCCCGCAGTCATGTGAAAATGCAATGCGTATACGTAATATGGCGGGAACAATGCATGCGAAGCGGGCGGGTTACAGGCTGCAAATAAATATACATACATATATATGTATATATACATAAATACATATATATGTATGAAAATGTGTATATATACAAAATCAATACGTTTAAATGTGGTCATGAAATTAGTCGCCAGTCAGCGCCAAAAAGTCGAGTCGATATAGATAGGGAAGCATAAACAACGACAACGTCGACAACAACAACAACAATAACGACAACTTCATTTGCCTGGCTCCATTTATACTTACAACCACAAACCGTAGACGATGACAACGGGCTAAGTTACAGCACAGTCTGTTGACAAAAGGGCTTAACTGCCCAAAAGTATGTAGAATACGTAGAAGAAGGACAAGAATAATAGCTAAATGAACCAACTACGTTGTACTGTGAACCGTTTCCACTTACAGCTCCTTTTTCATTAAATTTGCACTTGGCTGATTTTGTAGCAGTTTTTACGACAATTTGTTGTTGTTGTTGTTGTTGTCGTTGTTGCTTGTCTTGTGTATTCTGCATCTGTTACTTGGCCTAGTTGGCCTAGTTGGTAGGTTTTCGTTGAGCATTTTGTTTGCTATTAGCTTTGTAAACTTTTCGATTTGTGGAAAGTGCTAAAGTTACAATTCAATAAGTAAGATTAAATAAAATGGAAACGTTCATCAATATGACAATCATCCGTGTTGCCATAAGTCATTGAGGAAATTCATGAGTGTGCTCTTATTAATATCGATTGCTTATCAAGATTTTGAAAATTGATTTAATATATACATATAATAATAATATTCTTAATAAGATTAAATGTAAAATCTTAAAATTTAAGTATATTAAAACTTAAGTGAATTGATGGAAAGCTCAAGAGTAATAATGCAAATCCTTATTTGTAATTTAAAAAGCACCAATCATCATTTCATTTTTCAATAATCTTTGCACTTCTAATTTAAGTTACTCTAAAGCTTATATTAATATTGCCCAAATTCACACTTAGTTAAATGATTTACTGGCTATTTTGTTCTTTTAAGTATTTATAAATGAAATTATGTTATTACATCTTTATTTTACAATTGCCATCATTAGAGCTCACTTTTCAGCTCATCACACAGCCGGTAAAGATAAATATCAAAAAATGCACACGCACACGCCAATGAAAAGTAGACGACCAAAAAGGACATTTTGCTGCTCGCTTTTTTATGCGAATGGGATTTGGGAAAGCGACACAAATCACTCAAAATGAAAAATCCGCTTAAAATGCCGCGTAAATATTTGTAAAGAAAAAAAGAATCCAAGGAAAAGCTGGAGATGGAAATGGCAGCGGAGTGGGAATGGAAGATGGAAATGGCAACTGGCAACTGGCAAATGGGTGGGGGCATCATCACTATGCGTGATGATGATGATGATGGTGCTGACACTTTGTTGGTATACAAATGCAAATACCATTAAATGTGACAAGTGGCAACATAATTTGTTAAGGGAAGCTCCTTTCTTTCTTTTTTTTCTGCGCCCTGCCCAAGATATTAGCATACACAAAGCGGCCAACATTTATAAGGCAGAGGAGGGACTGTGAAATGTGCGCTATTTGTCATATTTTTCCACGATAACATATTTGATAAGGCTGAAGGACTTTCATTCAGCTGTGCAACATTAATTTCGAGCACTTGCTAACACTTGCAGCTTTTCTAATTAACTTTATGGGCAATATGGAGACCAAACTGAAACTAAACAAAATGAAAATCAACTGAAAATGGCTAACCACATATACTCTTTCTCCTCCACAAAAAAAAAGAGACAAAATACAACTACTCACATGTTGGCCCAAAAAATGTAATACAAACGTGCCTTGAACGATTTTTGTGGCTTTTTTGCTTTTTGGTCTAAACAACAAAAGCACTTTGTCTGGCCATATCCTGGTGCTGGGACGAAGGAATACCACTGTTCAAGTGCGAGCTTTGTCAGTTATTTGGTTTTAGTATGTGTGCATGTGTGTATGTGTGTGGGTGTATGGGTGTTTGAGTGTATGTTTATTGTTTATTTACGGCAACCAGCCAAGAGAAACCCCAAAAAGGCAGCTAACATGAGGCTTTCTAGCGGCAAACTAAGAAAATGCTCAAAAGAAAAAGGACAAACACATGTCCTGGCACGCCATTGGCATTTTCTAACCACATAGAGCTTGATAGATTTGTAATGCAGCTTGTGACATTTATGCTTCGAGTGGATCTGGGAAATAGTTTACAATGAATAGCTAAGAGCATTTTAGCTTCGTTAATTGTTAAAGAAAATTAATATAAATATTCTTGCTATAATTCTTATTTTATTTTTATAAAATTTTAAGCTTAAATATATATATATAATAATAATAGTATGTAATATTTAAATATTTGTGATGCAAATGTATGCTATAATCCTAATCAGTTTATGTAGTCTGTCGCCTTTATAGTGTTGTTGACCTATGAACTCAGCTTTTAATGCATAAATTTAAGATTATATTCGAGAGTATCTAATCTTTGGCTTTTCGAACTTATTGTTCGTTTTTTTTTTGTTGTTGTTGTTGTTGATGTGTTTTGCTTTTGCCAGTTGTGCTATTGTTGTCACCTTCAGAACGCTATTATTGTAAGGCAAGCTCATGGGGGCGTTAACTATATTGCGTGTGGTAAACCCTGCTCTCCACTTCCATTCCCCGTCTATAAACTAACTTTGCTTCTGGTTCATTTCAGGCAAATCTTTTGCCCCTCGATATCGCTCTGACGTTGGCTAACGTCTAACGTCTGAGTTTGGTATCATCATTTGATTGTCAATACATTTTAGTCGCATTTTCTGCGATGGGATAATGCATGTAATCCGCTATTAAGTGCACATTGTCAATCGACCCCCCCAAAGGCGAATTGTATGTGAGAAAATCTGCAACAATTCTCACGCTGTTTTCCCCCCCTGGCCGCTGTTACTGTTATTGTTGTTGCTGTTGTTGTCGTCCTGTGCAGTGAACCCATCAATGGTTGATGCTAAATGGTAAATTGTACCCATAGAGCTGTTGCCATACAGTCATATACGACCATAGAGAGCCGTAGAGCCATAGAGCCATACAGCCACGAATGGAGCTGTTGTATGGCTGTTGTATTGCTTTCATTGCCACTGTTGTTATGTATTTTTATGCTACATTTAATGTTGGCTTAAGAGCTTTAAAGCTAGCATTGTTGCATTGAATTGAGTGCGTTTCGTTCGATTCAAGTGGGTTAGCTTGGGTTTGGGTTTCGGGTTGGGGTTTCGGGTTTGGGTTTGGGTTTGCAGTTGAATTGGGAGCGGTCTGTAAAGCTTGGTCAATCGCATTGGTCAAATAAAGTTTTAACAAACATGTTCGTAATATGCAAATCATTTAGTGACTCAATTGAAATAAGTGTTGATCTTTTTATTGCTAGTCAGAACAGAAGGATTGACAAATATACTAATGGCAAATGGCTTATTGTTATCAATAGACATTGTTAACATGTCAGTTGAACTTAATGCAACAATAATTCATTAAACTAAAGGAATAGTTCGCATACAAACGAACGATGGTCATATTAAATCGGCCAAATATGCTGTTCAACATTGTATATACTATTTGGAGTCGGGGATATTTGAAATAACAAAATTATAATATAGAATTAAAGAATATATAAATATGTCGATAATACGTGAGCAGATTTCTGATGTTTTGAAACAATTTGTCACTAAAAAAGCCGCATTCAACTTTGAAATCTGGGCAATAACTTATTGATCCACAATTTATATAAAAATGTAAATTTAAACGAATGTTTGATTAATTTATTTTTATAAATATACACTTAACATAAATCAACCCCAGCTAGCCCATGTTACTGCAACAAATTAAAATCATTTCTCTATAATTTATGCAGTACACAAAAACAGACGTTCAAAAATCAAGCTCAGCATTTTCAATTGTGTGGCTTCTATTTAAGTGGCGGCGGAAGCGAGGTGTTCGCATAATTTATAATCAGCTTAATGACAACTACAACAAAATACCGAGTGGTAGAGCTCTTAACGGACTCACTTTGAGAAGTCTTGTCGAAAAATGAGCGTCGCCCAAAAGCCTGCGGCATTTTGGTTTTCGAATTTAATGTAATTTATGCCCGGGCTTTCACCGGAAAAGCAGCCTCTGCTAATTTGCTGCATAATTAAATGAATTTGGCAAGTAAAACAAAGATTTGCGGCCAACCCGTCTACTTACCATCCTTATTCATGGCCGATTGAAAGCATTTGGCCAGGCGACAGGCACGGCACTGATTCCGATGGGTTTTGTCCACCGGACAGCGACCCTTGAGATCACCGGTAGCCTTGCAGGTGTAAATTCGATTGCGATGAATACTACGCTTGAAGAAACCAGAGCAACCTATTCAATCCAAATAGAGCGGCTCAATCATTTCAATCAGCTACAGTTTGTGTTCAATATGACTTACCATCGCAGCTGTAGATCCCATAATGTTTACCCGAGCTGCGATCGCCGCATACCTTGCAGGGTATGTCCAACAGGCGATCGCCGGCTGTGAGTACAAAAAATTAAAATTGGTATTTGTTTTAATAAATTTTAAATTTAAACTAATTACATATATAAATATATTACTTAAAATTATTATTATTAAGACCACCATTTTTACTTTTAATAGATTTGTTAAGTAGTCAAAAATCACGTTCGGAAATTTTTTTTTTAATTTGACTATTTTAATATGTTGTAATACGATTTTCAGACGAGTTCAAATTGTCAAATTGTCATAACACAAATTATTGCAACATTTCTTTAAATAATAGTTATTTTAATCATATTTTTTCCGAATTAAATTAACAATTAACTATTGAGGCGTACTGAGGGCAAGCAACATAATCTATTGTTGCGAAATCCGATCGAAAGTGCGCTTAAATAAACTTTATGCTGTCGAGACTAAAGTGGGATCGGATTTAAGTAGATATACGCAACATATCCGCATATTTAACTTATATTAAGTGTTAAGCCCGGCCTCAAAGCTCCCCTTAAGCAAACACAGCGCAGCACGCAAAAAAAGTGATGCATACTTTGCAGCACTGCTGCCGTTTATTTGCATGTTGTGTGTGGGCGTGTGTGTCTGTGTGTGTGTGTGTGTCGCGGATTAGCAAGTGAGAATTGCACAAAGCTAGCACATAATGCGAGTTACATGAAGAGGCAGACCTTTTGGCCGGCACGTTTCACAAATTAAGTTGAACACTCGGCACTTGTCAAAATAAAACGAGCCGTTTTCGATTGTTGCCCTTTGTTGTGTACCCTTTGTCCTGTGACATTTGACATATTGTCAACTGTTGGTTGCGCTTTCGGTTTGCGACGACGCGTGTTGCCAATTTTCACACCCTGCGCATCGGCAATTGTCCGCAGCATGTTAACACCTCTCGAGTGGTTGTGCGTGCCCATTTCCCAGTCAGCTACGGGCACCGTTGACGGCCCTTGGTCGTGGCTCCGTAGGGTTGCATAGATGACCCCTTTTGAAATCTACATCAAGTAAGCAAGTAAGCCATTATATTTTTTTTTTTTTTATCATTGGCCAATGTTTTCTTTTTGAAAAATTTTCAATGTTGATTTTAAATATTTTTGTTTATTTATGCTATGGCATTTTTTGTTAGCTTAGCAAGTTGGGTAAACTTCCGATCGGCGCGAGTGTGTATTTTTGAGTGGGTTATATATGCATTTAAACTATATACAATATGCTTTTTGACTGGTATGGAAATCTCGGCGTTGTTTTCATAGGCTAAAAAGGTTGGCTTAGTGCAGTTAGTTGGGTTTGAGCAGACGTGGGATTTCAACTGTTTTGGCGTGGGAAATGCGAATTAGACCCATGAAAGTAATGGGTTGAATTTTAAGTAAATATTGCTTGATCGATTAGTAACTCTCACAATTTCGAAGTATATTTTTAATATTAAGTACTTTGAATTTGGTTTTATTATTGTTTAATTCCATTATTTCAGTTTCTATATTATTTATATATTTATTGATTTTAATCAGCAGATTCCTACTTTATTTTCATATTTTATAAATTTCTTTAAATATATCTATATTATAAATAAATATGTTAAGCTAAATAGTAATGAATAAATTTAAAAATAAAAATTTTTTAAAAATGGCTGCTTTGGCTGGAGTTTAGGTCCTGTGAATTTATAAATATAAACTTAATTATAAAAGTGATGAGAATGGGGTATAGCGATTATAAAAGGATAATTCCCTTGCATTTCTTTAAGTTATTTAAATTTTAAGTCATTCTCTGTATATTAACATTTTTCTTGCAACGTTTTTAAATAAATTTCTCTGAACAAAATTTGATTGTTAAGATGCTGCGATATTGGCTAAGTAAAGCCTCTTTGAAGTCAAAAAATGTCCGACGGCTCTAAATGATTTTCAAAAATTCCGTCGGCCATGCACTTGTCCCATATTTAAATGTTTTGCAAATAGTTTTGTCGCCAAGTTGTTTACCTGTTCCCATTTTCCGTTGATGGAAATATTTAAACCCTAAAGTATCCAGCGTGCTTAAGTGTATAATGACTCTGTCTCACACACGAAATTGGCTACGAGTAAGTGAATTCAGTTTTGTCAACAAATTTATGGGAACACAATGCGTATTTGGAAAAATCACAAAACAACTTTTGACAACCGCACGCCAAAAGTTTTGGTTACATTTGCCGACGCAAAGGACGACGACAACGACGCTGCTGTGGAGCGGATGCGGATCGTTTTGGCTGACGGACCAACTGTGAATGGCGCAGCCAGCCACCGAAACAGTTGCAGAAATAGTAGCAGAAGCTGAAACTGAAGCTGAAGCCGAAGCAGAAGCTGCAGCTGAACCGGTGCCGCAGCCAAAACTGAGCAGAGCAGACCGCCAATTACGAAAGTGAAGCTGCCAACGGAGAGGTCCTTTTTTGCAGTCAATTTGACAGGACGCAGAGCAAAGCCAAAGCCACCCACCCCATTGGGATGGGACACAAAGCCACAATCGTAGCACACCACGGGGCGTCCGGGGAATGCAAAGGTACAGAAGAAAAAAACCCGAGACCGAATGAGGAAAATGAAAATGGCAAAGCGCAGGGCAGCACGGCACAGCACAGCGCAATGCGACTCGCCGCGACGCGAACGGTGGCAGCGAAAAACCAAAACGTCGACGAAAAAGTCGAAAATTTACGAAAAGCTACAAAATGTTACATTTCATCCCTTGCGAGTGGGCGCTGGAACGGGACAGGACAGGATGAGACGGGACGGGACGGGACAGGCGGGCAGCCAACCGGAAAACGCCCTTTTTTCTGTGCCTGCCGCCTGATGCGATTACAGCAAATGAGGAGACTTCCTGCCGTCCACCATTTTACTTTTTTTCTTCTTTTACGCTATGCGACAACCACTCTCACACACACACACACACCCACACACACGTGCATATATATGCTGGCCATGCACACTGCGACATATCCTGTGGCTTTCGACAATTCACCACAAAATGTCAAGAATGATGAAAAGCTAGCGACGGAACGAGGCCGATGCGTCGTCGTCGTCTCTCTGCATGTGTATTGGTAATGGTATCTGTTGTCCTGCTCTCTGCATGTCTTGCTCTCTTTCGCTCTCGCTGTGTGAGTCTGTATCTGTATCTGTATCTGTGCTTCATCAAATATCTTTGCCAGCAGAGGAGTCGTGTCGCTGCTCTTTGGGCTGTTGCCTCGCTGGCTTCTTCTTTTTCTGGTGATTTTCTTTTTGGTTCGTCCTGCGCTTGTAGGCTGTCGGATTATTAGCTCTAAAGTCAGGATCTCAGCAGCAATGGCTCTACAATTTGGGGCATATAGATACGGCAAGGCATATCTTAACTGTGCGAGTCCTTTTCAATTTGCTGTGTTTTGAGTTTAATAAGTCGAATACAGAAATGGTGTTTGACAATTAAATATAATTAATGAAGCTGCGGCTCTATTTGGAAAATATATTTCCTTATGATTGTAATGATATGAAACACTTGTAAAAAATAAAAGGTATTTAATATTACAAATTACATCGATTTAATTAAATACAAAATATAGATTTCGTTTCTTAAATATGTTCTATAATATATGTATAATAATAATATAAGTACTTAAATATAATTATGAAATATGAAAACTTTCAAGCTTAAACTTTAACTTGGCCAACAATATCTATTTAATAATATCTTTTGTAAAGTACTTTTAGTTCATTTTATCCTGCATTTATTTAGTATTACAAATATTTAGGTTTTTAAAAAAGTGTAATATGAACTGAATTTGAATATTTCAGAGATTTTATTCAACATTTTCGACGTATAAATTACTGTTTTTATATTTCAATCTTATGCAAGCGTTACATACCCATGAGAGGCCAGGCAGCGTATTTTGTTTGGAATGGGCAAGGACATGCCATATGCAAGATATACGACTGTATATTTATATGAATGTAGTGTATTCTGATGTGTGCGAGAGTGTGCAAGCTTGTGTGTGAGTCGAGAAATTCGCAATGGCGTATCCTGGGCTGGCACTGGCTGGTTGTTGTTGGTATGTTGATAGGGGTTGATTTACTGACTCTCATCTAAATTGAAATGACTTTTGTGACATTGTGTATTGGTTGCACACACACATTATGTATTGGTGTGTGTATGCGTGTGTGTATGTGTGTGTGTAGATGGCTTAGCGCACAACGTCTTATATATGAGATTACGCTTTGGGGGTGGAGCTTTGTTGTAAACGACATTTGGCAGTTGCGAGTGGACCTTCAGCGCGGCTATTACACACTCAATTTAGATGCCTTGTGGTTATATAGTTGCATACACTTCACACATACACACACACACACACACACAGTGTCGAGTAGGGCTCAGCCCAGAGCCGACGTTTTGATACAATCCTGCGGTAATATTAACCAGTCAGAACGCAAAGTCATTTGCAGCAGCATTAACTACTAACTCATACTCAACATTTAGGCGTCCCTCCCCTAGCCACCTATCTCACCCCAACTCGTAACCATCAACATGCACGCATACACCCTCACACACACACACACACACACACACACACACACACACACACACATATGCCAAATTTGCGGCATCAAGAAGTCGCATTTTTTCCCGAATACTCCCTGTCTCTGCCATGCCCCACTGCTGCTGCGACCTTTCACGAATCTCATTTGACCACGCCCCATGCTAAAGGAAACTCACCACTTTATTAGTATCAGCGCAGGCGCACTCTGCACCAAATTCGAACGTTGTTCGACAGTATTTCGAAAATAGCAGGCTCAGAATTTCTGTCGTCGCTTCTCGACTAGCTCGAGAACTGTGAAGCGCTGTGTTGTTCATTCCTTTCGAACACCTTACACAAATTAGAAGTATTTCCAGCGCACATTTTTGTTTTGTTTTTGTTTCTCTTTCTTTTGAAAAAAAACGCACCGATTTGCCAGCTTGTAAAATTCGAATCCATTGTTGAAAAAAATTTTTTTTCGAGTGAGTATACAAAAAACAAAAACTGTAAACACTATTAAAACGTAATATTTATCATTTATTTACGGTGCGTCAGCACTGAACAACAATGGATGGACGCTCGCATTATAATAATTCTCAACACAATTTTGGCCATGGATTGAATCTCGATTGCCCGAATGGAAATTGTTCTCGCATGAATGCTGGGAGCCGACAATCGTGTTGTCCTGGCTGCAATTGTTGTCCTGGCAATTTTCGCATGCGCGATGGAACCGACAGGCAGCCATCTTGGACTACAGGCAATGGGCGTCGGCAATAAAGAGCTCAACGCTGGCATTTCTGGCAAATCGGTGCGTGATTTCAGCAGACTTCCATGCCGTTATCGCACTGCTGCTATATAGACAGGATTTATCTCTCTCCACACATAATGTTTTCTTTTTCGTGTGCAGTGATATTTTAAATAATTAAACAACCAACATAACAGTTACACAAACTATTTGCTAGTATTTATGGTCTTTTTTGCGGAGAAGGCTCAAAAGAACTGTGCAGGCAAAGGAGTTTAAAAATAAAAAGTTGACAACAAATTGTTGGGTATTCTGTTATTTACCGATCTTGAGAGAAATGAGATTCCGATGTTTTGGTTTAAAATAAAATTGTGGATTGGAAGTTCTAGTTCTTTATTGCTGGTATAATGTTACAATTTCAGGAATGAAAATCAAATTTGTGACCCTAATCGTATTTATTGCCATATGAAGGTTAATTTTAAGATCTCAGATTCGTGTATGTTCGGCAACAAATCTCAAAATATCTCGAGATATATACCCTTTTCCCACATTCCATACTTACCAATTACCATCATATCCAATTTAAATTACAGTCTTTGTTAACATAATCTGTTTTATTAAATCGTATTTTGCTCCTTCGCATATGTTCTTATTACACGAACTAACAATAAATATATATATATATATATATTATTTTTATAATTCATAATATTTATTTGAGTTGATTTTACTTCGTGTATTTGTTTAGCTATGGTGTTCATTTGTATTCCACCTTATTGGCTAGGGGGATTCCTTCGTATAACTACTCTTCACGCTGTTCATTTGAAATGTAAGAGTTTCGGGCTTAAAGTCTTTACTTTGGATAGTTTTTGAAATGTTTTAGTTGAAAGTGCTGCGTTTTTCATACTGGCGTGCTTCAAGTCTTTTGAAAATGTATTTGGATTGATTTTGGGATTCCATGCAAGAGCTCTGGCTTTTGGGCGTTTATTTTGTTATAATTGAAATATTTGTTGTTAGTACAACAGTAAGTTTTGTATATAGCTGTCACATGTATATAATATTTGTAAATTATTATCAATGCAACATGTAGATGCTCTACAAAATACCGAATATCTTTTTAATTACTACTACGACCATTTTATTTATCTAAATAATACTCCATCTAAATATCTTTTATTGTTTGCTTCGTTATTTGTCTTTTATATTTACAAAGTTTTTAGTTCAGAGTCAGCTGCCATAATTGCTATAATAATGTGTTTTAAACTGAACAACGATGTGGCGTTTTTTTTTTAAATGGAAATAGATGATAGACGAATTTTTGATTTATTAAAATATCGACTAGTGAACAAAAATTAAAAGCCCCTATGACAGCATTCATATATTTTTACTACTATTTTTAGTTGTCTTCCGTTTTATTCGTATATTTTTGCTTCAGCTTTTAATTAGCAATTTTTCATATTGCTTTAACAATTACGGAATTCATTAATTACATCAACATTTATCATTGCTTGTTAGTTTATTGTTGTTTTTCATTTGGAAGTAAAGTATCTTTCATATATATATATATTTGTATATATTCGGTTTTTTGTATATGTGTATAAATATTTTTTTGTGTGAGGTTCGTGTGTTGTGTGCTAATAAGGTGTTCTGTCTGCCCATTAAAAATGTCTGTCTCCAAATTTGTTTGTTTATATGTAAGTATTTGTTAGAAAATTTCTAAAGTTCAGTTTTGTAATTGATATAACTGGCGGTGCTTGTTTGCGCTATTTAATAAGCTTATTATTGATTTGGGTGTTTGTCAGTGTTTCACTTCTACATACATACATACCCTATATAATGGAAAATGTATTTGAAATAACAATATTTTTGTGCGCTGGTCGCATCGCTTAAGTAGCCTAAATACATGCGCAAAATTTTATGATGCTACACACACACACAAATTGATATTTATTTAATTACACAATTTAATTACTTCACTACAAATTGTCAATGATTGTGGCATATATGCAATATTAAATATTTATTTATTCGGTGTATAATAAATAGTTAAAATTAGGTATAAAATTATATTGCAACATGTTTTTACTAAATAAAATATTAATCAAAAAAATCATATAATAACAGCCTTTTGATGTTCCTTGCGCAACACATTTTTGTTTTTGGTTATAAATAGTATAAATAAATATGCAATTATACATTAAATAAATAAGTAGTTTCGTTTGAATACCCCTAACGTCTTTTAACAGATACGGTTGAGTTTATAGAAAGTGAACGCAGTTATTATATTTGTTGTCTTATCATAGGTACACATCGCATACGACTGTAGTTCATTCAGTTGCCTTTAATTGTCCAGCGAATTCGTGCGCAGCTGACTGTAACATGCCTGGCATACCCGAACAGGCTTCAGAATACGTAGACGGGATATTTCCGATTCGAAACGACTGCACTTGTTGCAAAACACCTGGCCGCAGTTACGGCAATGATGCTTGCGCTCATAAAGCGTAAATCTAAATTTGTTTGGTATATAAATTATGTTCTGATATATGTTTAAATCATGCTCAAAACTCACTTCACGTGACACTTGACACACTGATCAGCGACCTCATCCTTGAGCCAATGATCGGCTACACCACGACCTGGTTGCTCCGTTACACTCCAAGAGAAAATGCGACCGCGTGCATCACCTGTGTTTTATAAATTACAATCAATGAGCATTCGTTGTTGGCAGTATTCAGAATATTTGCACTTGTACTTACCCACATATAGTATTTTATGATCTTTGGATACCGTCAGCGCTGTTATGCTAGCCGGTTCGGCATTATCTTTGCGATCATAGGCCGTATGCATGGTTAGCTTTGATCTGAACATTAATTGACGTTGCCACTTGAAGCCTGGGAAAAGGGACACAAAGGTTAATACATGCAAAGCGTTTGGATACAATTGGAATACATGTTTGGTGTTATAGGAATATATATATAAATATTAAACAAAATGCACCTTTCTTAAGCGCCTGTTCGCCACGATATCTATCATTGTCCAGCAAAACAAAGCCATCTGTTAAGCTCGTATCCGATTTACTAGGTCGTATGATGTGCTCTTCTGTATACATTCGAAATTAAATAATAATTAAATGAATTCAGTACATTCAACAATCATTGTACTCACCCTCATTCGGCTTGTGCTCTGAACTGGTGCTTGGCTCCTCTACCGTTGCCGATTTCATTTCATGCAGTGATTTAGCGCCCGTTATGGAGCTTTTTCTACGCTCGGTTGAAGGCTCGACTTTAACAGTAGCTTCGGTGGATTTGTTCGACTCGTTGCTGTGCTGCGAGGCCTCTGAAATGCTGCTCTCCGATGCTGATTTCACAATATCTGCAAGGTGTTTGTAATTGGTAATTTTAGTGAATTCATTGAGACAATGACCGTGTTAACTAACCATGTTCTTGTTCTGGTTGTGAGAGACTCTTCATTTGTTTAAATAAATTCATTTTGTCCGCCTTATCTTTCGATTCATCAACTGCGATTAAGTCGGGCTTATCCTGCGAGCTCACTTCCACGCCCCGCTTTAGCTTGCGATCGATGGGCACTTGAGTGTGCTCCAGTGACCACATCTGCAGCGAAAGAGAGACTTTAATTAGTAATTGTTGTAGGTAAAGTTTACATAAGTATTTCAAAATATAAAGATAACTCAGCCAACCACACAAACCATTGTTTTTGTCTCACACTCACCCTCACAACGCCATCCGTGGAACCCGTCATGACCACATTTTGTTGATCCCATTCGCGTATTTGAGAGAAAGCAACGCACAGTATCTGCTGCATGCGATCCGCGCTGCCCACACATGTATTGACCATGGCCAGAGCATCGCCGTTGATGGACCACACATGTAACCAAGTCGCCGAGCAGGTGGCTATTTCACCCGTTAGCTCATTGATGGCCACGGCAGCCACAACGCCCGCATGTCCTCGCAGTTGACGCACGAATGTGAAACGTGTCATGTCCCAGACAATTGCAGTGCCATCACGAGATCCAGAGACAATGACATTGTAGGCAGCGCTGGCGGCCAGACAGGTGACCGCATCCGTGTGACCATGCAGTGAATGCCTCACGCTGAGACTCTTGCGATTCGAATCGAATTTCCAGATGGTCACCACAGAACTGGTGCCGGCTGTGACAATCATTTTAGCATTGGGACAGGCGCAGGTCAGTATCTCGCCGGAATTCTGGGCCGCTGCCTCGGACACAAACGAAGCGCGATCGGTGTCGTAGAGGCCGACACGCAGCGAGTGATCGGCAAAGCCCCAGGCAATGTATTTGGTATACGATGGCGGCATCATCACCTTGTTCTGCTCCACGGCAAACACTGTTTTGTCGGGCTGCAGTATTTGGCCAACTGGCCCCTTGAGCTCCTTGATGGGCTGCAGACTGGGCTTCAGATTGTCGAGATTGTGGAAAAACAGACGATCGCTTTGCAGCACGGTGCTGTTGCCCTGTATCAGTGCCGTGGGATCGATCAGTGCCGAGTGACGTGCGTTGCCCATTTTCTTAGCTGGATGCGCTTTCCTGAACAGCTGTTTCGGTATTTGCCCAAAGTTGTTGATAAAGCCAATGGTGGCATTCTTTTTCAGTGGATCATCAATGCTAAACAATTAATTAAACATATATGAAGTTTAATTGGGAATGAGTAGCTGCTTTACTCTTACTTGTAAATATCCACATTGCCCTCGTAGAAGAGATGATGGAACACATTGACGGCATCCGAAGCGGCGGGTCCCTGCTGCTTGCAGCCAAATATCAAGTCAATCCACTGCAAAGGGAAAATTGAAGTATTTTTTAATAAATGTTGACAGTTAAAATTAATTTCAATAATAGAAAAGCTAGTTGGACTGATGATGAATGTAGAGGTTTTATTTTTGTCTAAACTTTATGGAGTCGGAGATTCTTCTGTGAAATATTAGCAAATCACCTTTCGAAGAGTTAACTTACCAAGTGCAAATGCTGACTGACATGATCGCACTCCAAAGCACTGCGATGCAGTCGTATAAACTCCCGGGGATCCTGTTTGGCCCACGGTGGCATAATAACATGATTCAAGGTCTCACCATTTTGCTTGGTGCCCAAATCAAAGTTATTGAAATTGCTAAGGAACTCCGGCAAGTAGAAGAATTCGGGGATCAGCTCCTTGACATCGGCCATGTTCAGTTTGGAGGCCGATAGCCATGCCTCCTTGATGCTGTGGAACATGCGATCCGCCAGATCAAAGTGACCACCCTGAAGTTTCAGGAACGGCTGTGCGAACGGCTCCAAACGCACCAGGTAGGAGCACACAATCATAGCGGAGCTGTAATGTGTGCCATAGTGATAGGGCGGAGTTTCGCCATGTGGATCGTCCCACTCTTTGAAACGTTTCTGAAACTGTTCCAGACGCTCCTCCGACTGTGCGCCCATTGGCCGCGAAAAGTCACGGAATGTTTTGGGATTCGTAAAGTCCAGCTCCTCGGAATCGTAATCAGCGAGTATCCAGGGAAATACCGGATACTGCATGAGATCGTTGTAGCTGCGGCCGGCAAGAGTATTCAAATGCATAAGGTACTGGAAATTGGAGATTTCGCCACGAACCCAGCGTTGCGTCACCGATGTCTCACCAATCAGGCCGCTGAACAGACCCGATGTTTGCTCCACACTCGCCGTTCGCTTCTGTCCAGCCACAGACTGCTGCGCATTGTCATTCAATGCTGTGGCCAGTGCCAAGAAGCGTTGATTCACCTTGTTGCGCACTTTACGCGGAAAACTAAGCAAATAGTTGCGTCCATCCTCGGAGAAGATCTCCAGAGCAATCGGTTGGAGTAGATAGCGTCGCTTGTGCACCTCGCGTATCTCCTCGTAGGCAAACTTCGAACACTGCCTCAATTTGTGGCTAACTGCGCGCGACGTCGACGACTGCTGGCCGCCCGAATTGGGTATGATTGGCTCGTAGGCGCCAGGTGGTAGTGTATCAATGTCGCGAATCTCTCGGTTCTTTAGCAGTGTGAAACCATCAACGATATAGCAATGCTCCTTGCCAAAAAGCAGCAGACCCTCAAAGGTGTCCAGGCCCTGAACACGCGCACAGCGGAACATAAAACCAATCTTCTCCTGTTCTTCAAGTAAACGCAGAAACGTCTCATTGTCGCTGGTCATCGAGGTGTCCTCCTCCTCTTCATCATCCTCGGGGGCATTGCCATCGAGAGATTCCTGGGGGTAAGGCGCACCATGCGCCAGCAATTTGGGTGATATTGGCGGCGGTGGTGTTGATGTCGAACTGCTTGGCTCCAGACGATGTGGCTGCGTGGCTTCCAGTGAGGATTGCTGTTGCATCGAATGCTGCTCCGCTTCGGCGAGAATTCGCGGCTGCTGTTGGCCATGCAGAAAGTAGACTTTGCTATCCAAACTGGATGCCACCTTGTACTTGAGCTGACGATTGTCGGCCAGCTCCAATTCCGGCCGGTACGGATAGTGCAGATAGAAGAGCTCATTGCGCATCGTCTTTTTGCGCATGCGATGCGGTCCCTCAGTGGTGTCCATAACCCACTTGTCCAGCGTGCAACAGCCCGCCGGTCCCCAGAGGCCGCGTTCGCGTGTTAGCTCCGTTTCGGATTGCACCCAATCCTGGTAGACGTAGCGCTGTGTGTGCTGCAACATTTGCTGGTATTGCTTCGTGCGCAACTCCAGCAGATCCTTGATCAGCTGCACATGTATTGCGGTCGCCTCGTACGCCGACTCCCGGCTCATATTTGACTTGGTACGCACCAGTTCGTCCTTCTTCACCTTGCTGCGACTGGCCAGACGCGTCAGACCACCGGTCACCTTCTGAATCTTGGATTGTATCTGATTGTGCAGCTCCCACGGCACGCGATAGGAGGCCTTGCGTTCGGCATCGACGTAATTGAACCATAGCTTGGAGGCCAGCTCCATTACCTGCTCGCGTGTCGTCTGCAAATCGGGTGCCTTGGAGTTGGCCGGTGGTGGGGTAAGCGATATCTTGAAGACCTCCTCAATGGCAGGCTTTTTGCACACGTAGAGCTCTTCCCAGACGCGAAAGGCGGCGCCCACAATTAAATTGCGTCCCTGTGGGTAAAAGAGGTAAAAGTATTAAATAAAGATATTAAAATTGCTCAAAACTTGATTTACAGTTTTTCTCTCCGTAAATTAAACATCCAATATCGGAAAAAGCTTACCTGCAACTGATTGAGATCCTCATCCTTGGGTTCGCTTGTCTCCGTTTGTGGGTTGACATGCCAGGTTGTGTTGCGAGTTGTCGCCGGCTCCAGAACGATCTTCATGTCAGCCGTGAGCTGCATTAGACAATAGGTGAGACAGCCAATGAACTCTAGCTCGTGATTGCCAGCGCCAAAGATGAGTAGACGATGCTGAATGATCTTGTGCAGCGCCTCCAAAACGCTCATCTGCTCGGCAATGGATTCGTCGGTGGGACGTGACAGTAGAAATAGAATGCTTCGATTCAACGAGTGATGCAGTTGCTCCAACGACAGTGACGAAGATCGTCGCTTTGCCTGTCCAATAAGCTTAATGACAAAGTCAAATATGTCGTGCGGATTTCGGGTGAGGCAACCCTGCCACAGTTTGTCCACAATGCGCGCCGTCAAGTAGAAGACATTGGGTGCAATGTGTTGCGTGTGGCTCTGCAGCAGCGGCACCAGTGGCAGTGCCGCCTGCTCACCCACCAGCACATCGGCGGCGAGCAGATGATCCATTAGAGCAATAATTATCTGCGTCTGGTATTGCACTTGCTGTGGCAGCTCCGCTGTCTCCGGTGCGGCATCCAGCACCATATCAATGACTGGCGTTGCTTTGCCGTGCATATTTAGACCCAGTGAGTCCACGACAATCACGCGCAGAAAGTCAATGATGCACTTGCGCACCGGATGCACGGTAATCTTCGGTTGATTTGCTACGGCTGCGTGCAGCTCTTCCGGCGGTGGCAGCACAAAGCTGCTGCCAGTGTTTTCGGTGGGCGTGGAGGCGCCACTATTGGGCTCCGAGTCGGCGGAACGTGCATCCTGTGGAAAGAGCACCGCAACCAGTGAGGTAATCACATCCCCAGCCATCATGACGGGCGTAAAATCGTTGAGATTCTGATAGAGACTGAACAACAGTTGGATGATCGTCTCCGGATGACTATGCAGCCAGGTAGCACAATTCCCGCCATGCACAATGGCACGCACCATGGCCAGAAGCACACAGACGCCCTCGGGGCACACATTCAGCTTGGGCAGCTGCGTATTGGCTGAGACTGGCGCACCCCAGAGGAAAGACCAGACGCGATCCAAATCGAATTTCGTATGCTCGGTGGCCAGCACTTTGACCGGCTGGCCCATGATCAGTGCGGTCACCAGGAAATACAATTCGGGAACGTCCAAATGATGTTGCAACAGCCATTCAAGCATCTGGAAACCTGTAAATAAGAAGAACAAATTGTTATTGATTGATTAAACAAAAATATATACAAATTTACAAAACTTGATCTCATCTTAATTTAAATTTTAATATAAGCTAGCAAGAAGGGGTATCAATAATAATAATCTTACTTTAGATATTTTACTTTTAATAGTTAACTGTAATCTTTTATTAATACTCAGCATTAAACAAATAAATAACTATAAATGCGTTTCTGTACTATTCTAAAATTTCAATCCGAATTTGAGTTTACTCACCCGGAATATTTAATGCGGCCGTGCGCACTTCTCCCGCAATCTGAGTGGGCAAATGCTGAATCTTATTTTGAGGCGTGGCCACAATGACGGTGCCAGTGCCGTTGCTGGGACGCGTATTCAGTTGCTGGGCGCCAAGGCCGAGCATCTTGCGCTGCGAGACCATCTCTGTGAAGCGTAAATAGCCGCCATTGTGAGTCGCCTCACGGAAGCGCTCGATGAAAGTTTCAGTGGCACAGACCACGACAAGAATGCGCACAGCTATGATGACCGTGGTGAAGTGAACGTGGGGCTGCATGAAGAGCAGCAGCCAGTCCATGCCCAGTGTCTTGGATATGTCATCGCAGATGACATAATTAACGGTGTTGCGTGGCGTGAAGAGTAAACCGTGCAGCAGCGATAAGCAACGATTGCGCAAATAAATATTCTGAGCAATTCCATCCTGATCCTCTGCCGGCGCCTTCATGCTGGGCAATAGAACGGCCCGTTCACCCTTGCAGGAATGCTTGCACGGCAGTTTGGCGGCCACATACTGACCGAAGAGCAGAAGATCTGTGTGCCTGGGCTGGCCACCGAGCAGCGTCTCGAGCAGATTGAAGAGTATTTCACGCGTGGAATGATCATTAATGTGTGTTATAATGTGCAACAGTTTGACCAGCAGCTGCAGATCGCGCATAATCTTGATGTTCTGCTTCTTTTCATTCGATTCCACCACCAACTCCAGCAAATGCTCCAGCAGCGAACGCAGCAAACCATTCGGCGCATTGTGCCAGATCTCCAGATCACACAGCAGATCCTGAAAGGCTGTCACATTTGGTATAGCTGACATGTCGTGGCCACTGTTCACCGTGCCCACCAGTCCAAAGGTCAGGTGCAGTATGTGTGAGTTCAGCAGATGTTTCTTCTTCTTGAAGAACATGCCCAGGGTCTGATAGCAACGCTTGCGATCCATTTCCGCTTGGGCCGCACGATTGCTGCGCACCACACAGGTCAGCGCCTTGACACCCGCATATAGCGACTCCACATCCTGCGCCATGGCAATAATCCCAAGCAGCACATTGCAGCCACCGACGGTGTCAATCATTGCCGAAACTGGATGCGGACTAAAAACTCGCACGCCTAAATAGCCAACAACAACGCCGCCAAGCGATCGGCCAGCACCGGCCAAGTGACCAGCCGAATTGTGAAGGATTCTATAAAAATAAAAATTTATTATTAATGAAATATATTATGGATCACATTTATTTTGAGTCTTTGCAGTTACTCACTTGATGGGCGTGGCGTTCTCATGTGAATTCATGTTGAGCTGCTTGGCAATGCTCTTGTTGTCCGCCCGACTGTACACCTTGCGTATCTTGACAAGCGTCAGCTTGGACACTGCCTTCGCATTCAGGCCAAGCAGAACACGATCCTCGGGCACCAGCGGCGCCAGTGGTTCCGCCTGTTTGCCCAGCTGTGGCGCCTGCAGCGAGCCCATGTAATGCGGCCCCAGCTGATAGATGGTCTGCACCGTCTGCTGGGTGAGCACATCTTCCAGCAGATGGCAGACACCTTGCTTCCAGCACAAGCGCGAATAACGACGCCAGATGGGTGGCGTACCAATGTAGCCAAAGATTTGGGTGGCTGAGGTGAGATTGGCGCTACTGGCGCCCGGATGCTGGGCAATGTAGTGCAGCTTTTGCGTATGCATGGGCACACCATCCAAGTAGAGCGACAGACTGGAATTCTTGAGAACTGCACGATTGAGCACGACGACAAGATTGTGCCATTGACCCTCGTGCAACAGATCTGGACACCAGATGCGGGCAATGCCATCATCAGAGCCCTCCGGCTCCCAATCGCCAATGCCTTCAAATATGAATAATTTACAATTATGAAAGTTCAACTATAAATAAATAAATAATAAACTAAAAACTTACTTTTCCTGGGCGTAACTAGCGTCTCCTGTGTGGAGACCACAATAGCCTTATCCCTAGCTGAGAGTAGTATGGACAAGCAGGCCAAATTCTCCTCACGTGGATTGTGAATGGTGCGCACGAGCGTGAGAAGACGCACACAATGCGGATCTGTCTTGGGATCGGAAAACTTCTCCACACAAAACCACGTCGAATAGCTGAGTCCGGTTTGCGGTGGAAAGATGCGATCACCGGCACCGATACCGCCAATCGTATTCGCATCGATGGTGCCGCCAGCTGTTGCAGTGGCTTGCGGTGCCAGCGATGGTAGATAGAGACAGCCAAATCCTTCAGCCGACATATCCAATTCGACAAATGGCGGCAGCGTGCTAGAACCATGGGCACGAAAATCGCGCGGCGTTGTCATCGAGACCAGCGTCTTGATGCGCGTCAGTGGCACCGGACCGCCCTGTCGATACGGCTGCTGCAGATCAATGTCTGCGCAGGACAGCGGCTCGCCGAGACGCAAAAATTGACGCAATTCCGTCGGCTGCAGCGCCTGCGCCGCCAGACGCTCCAGTATATATTGCATGGGCACGTGCAGCGGATGCAGTTCCTCGGCCAGCGCTCGTCGCGTCAGGCTCAGCAGCTGCTCGGCCAGCCCGTGATCGCACATTATCTGCTGATTGCGTTCGCTGCGCACCAGCGACTTGATGATCTCGCTTAGGTACACCTGTAGCTGTATCGCCTGCAGCGGAGACGTTTCATGTTGCACGCCTGGCAGCAGTTTTAGCATGCATAGAACAACGCCCGGATGCACAATGCGTGGTTCTGGTGTGGGTTGTGTCAGATTGAGTTGACTGGGATGCGCTGGCGCCGCCAGCTCCTTGCTGGGCGAACGTGAGTGTGGCGCTGTCTCACTGAAGAGCGTTATCACACCGTTCAAATTCGGTGACTCAAAGTTGTCCAAGGCAATGCTGTACAGCAGCCGAAACACCACACATACATAGGACAGTAAACTGGGTATGTCCTCGGAGAAGCTGTAAGTAGTAAGTTCATGTATAGTAGTGAAATATCGAAGTGTAGCGGTGAAAACGATGAGAGTTAACCAAAATACAAGCCTGCATTACAAAAATTAAGGCCTCTTGCTTTTTGAGAGTCTAAAGTTGACACAGTTAGATTTGGGGGTTACTCACCTGAAACTCAATATATCGCCGCTGAAAACGTCATGGTAGTATTTGAGTAGTGTCTGTTGCGGCTCATAGGTTCCGGTGAAGTCTTGCAGCGCTGTGTCGCTACCAAAGCAGCCCAAGAGACGCAACGTGTCGCACAGCGAACTGTTGCAGATCTCCTGATGAAAGAACTTGGCATTCGCCGGCTCAAAGCGCATGGCGGTGGCCAGCGTCTGGCAGACGATCTGCAGCAAGAGTATGAGATCCTGTTGGGCAATGGTCGTCTGTGGCTGAGCCATGCTGCCATCCAGTGAGACAAACACGCTGGTCAGATAGACGAAGCCACCAACTTTGCGGAAAACGGTGCGTGTGCGATGCGAGTCCTTCAGGCAACCCAACAGCATATTGAGTATCTGGATTTTAAACTCCACCTGATGCGGACTGATGCTGTGCATCAGTGAGAGTATGTAGAGCATGTCGTCATCTCCACCAGCGGAGAGTATCAGCTCCCGTACGATGCCCAGAGCCTGTGGGCGGCAATGCTTGAATTTGACCAGCTCGTGGGTGCACTTGGCGCCGCCGTATTCGCGGAAGATTTGCGCATTATTGCTGGCGCCACTGCCAAGCAGCATTGTGAGCGCCTCCATCACATGCTTGCCCAACGTATCGAGCAGATCCTCCTGTTCCTCGGTTATTGGTTGAACTACAATGAATTCGTCACCATTGGTTATTTTCCGCACATAATCCGCATAGTGATTCAGGCAGGTAACAAGGATCTCCAGTATGCCCACCTCGCGATAGACGTCCTTGAACACGCTATTGTGGCGCAATATGTTGAGCAGCGTCTTGAGGCACAGAATGCTGCATGAGGTACTTTGATTGTGCTTGAGCAGTAGCGACAAACTGATGAGCTCCTTACAGGGTACAAAGTTCAACTGAAATACTATAAACTCAAGCAGATCATAGAACTTCTCCTGTATCTGTGGACTCTTCTGATGAATGCGTTCCGCAAAACTACTCAACGTATTTTCCGATTCGAGTATAAAATAATTGGCATTCTCCGAGTGATACACACGCGAAATGGCATCCAGTATGGTGCAGCACAGAGCGGGCGTTGTCGATCTGAGAAAGACAGTCTGCAGCACCTGAAATGCGTACACGTTGCGCACACAGGTCTCGCGTGAACTGGCCTGGGGCAGCTGGAAATTCTGCAGTTTGAAAACCGTATTAAACTGGGCGGATGGGGGACGCAGCTCGTAGAAACCGCACATGCATAGCGATGAGATCATCAGAACCAGATTGCGTATAGCCGCCTGGATTTCTAGCGTTTGACTGCGTGCATTATCGAATCTGAAAGGAGTAAAAGTAGTCTAATGTAACAAGACAATTGGATGATTTGCTTTCCCACTTACTTGAGCAAAAAGTCACTGAGAAATACGTAGCCCTGGGAGGCGCGAAAGTCGTCCATTAGTACCTGTGATACTTGACTAGAATCCTTGAGAAAGCAAAAGACGGTGACAAACATTTCGACTATTTCCAGCGGATTGCCAAATGTCAAACGTTGCATGTTGTCTACGCACAGCGCCATGCAGCCCTTGGCTAGAATCATAAAGAGTTAGTTGAGCCTTTGCTGGACAGCTTCTGTTTGATGTACTCACAATGTATATAGGTAACAACGGCATCGGTTAAGCCATGCCTTGAGATGGTGGTCAATATCTCTGCCGCATTCTTGCGCCACACAATATTTTGAGCGGGGCATGGTGAAGTGATGGCGGAGAATAGTAGCGTTAGATCATCCATACGTGCAAGCTCCTCGGCCGGATACGGATACGAGCACAGTTTCACCAGCAACTGCACAAACACCTTTTGCAGCAATGTTCGACGCTCCTGGGCATTGAAATCGCTGGCACTCGCACCATCCGCGGGCGGCTCATCATCCTCCACTTCGGGCAGATCGAAGAACAAATACAAACACTTGACCAGAGTTGAGGGCACTGCGGCAGCTGTCATGACCTGAAAAAGAATATCGAACAGCATTCTATGAATAATAATTTAAATAAATGAAACTTATTTAATGACTTCATCACAACCACAAAAATAAAATATAGAAGTTTCTGTCGGACAAAGTAAGAGCAGCAAGTTAAGGGGACTTCAAGGTCCCATTATGTAAATTGAATCTTTAATGCATAGTGATTGCCAATATGCATAATATAGACACTTACTTACATAATATAGACATACATACTAAAGTGCTTACGCATAAGTAGTTTATGAAGCTATCTACTTTGGCATTCAAGCAAGGGCAGCAAGTTTAGGAAATCCTCACATACTGCATAAATAAATTTATAACTGATTAACATACATGCTAAGCATATGCATCACAAATCACAAAATACATATTCAAAACAATGCCAGATAATAATAATGTACTACTACAATTGACAACTATATTTACTAGTAATTTGTTAAAGTGATTTGATTATATTGTGATTCTAAACACTCCAATCCTCCACAAGCTAACCTGTATAAGAGAGATATCGCCGTTGGCTAGAAGATTCAGTGTAGCGAGCAGTAACCAACCGCTGCTGGTGTCCTCCGTTGTTTCCACCTCGAGAAACTTGACGATGGCTATGGATGCAGCCTCGGTGCTCTGATTCGATGCACGTTTGCGAATCTCGCTGACCATCAGACGGGAGACCTGCTGGCAAAAGGCGACCACATCCCAAAACTTTTCGCTCATATCATTTGCAGGGCAGCTGCTAAACACCTGTTTTGCAACACAAATCAAATAATTCGAGTTAAAAATTTAGCATTGACGAAGACAAATTAGACTTACTTTGCAGAACAATGGCAACATTTCATAGAGTTTGCCATCGCGTTCGTTTTCGCTGAGCGGCTCCTTGGGATGCGTGTACTCGTTGAAGAGCTTCTTCAGTGTGGCCAGACTCATTTGGATGCGTGCATCAAGCAATGCTTCCTCGCCGCTGCGCCCATTGGGAGCACTGCCGCTTTGACTGGCATTGCTGTTGCTACTGGTGCTGCCCGATGCGCTGCCACTGCCAGCGCTTGCCGCGCCACGCAGCTTACGCATAACGTTCATATTTCTGCTTACTTCTGCTGCTGCTGGTACTGTTGCTGTTATTCTTATTGTTATTGCCTCTGCTCTCAAACTGGAAATGTGCAAAAACAAATTGAATTACTGATTGGTGACTGAAATTCACATCATCCACGCTCGTTTAATATTCTACACTCTATTGCTTTGTCTATAAAATGCCATAATTAACGTCTCCGTTGGCTGTTGAATCACCATCGAGTTTAGCAATTGTCTCGCAAAATTATTATTTCAAATACCCATTACTTATGGATATATTGTTGTATACTTATGGTATATTGTGTAGAATAGATTCATTTTATTGCAATTTTGTTGTGTCAATTTACACTCAAAAATATCGCTGTAGCACATTCTAATTCTGAAATTGAATTACAACTGAACACATTATTTAAATAGAACTCTAAGAAAATAAATTTTTGCATTCTTTGTTTTCTAATTTTTTTTCTTAATTTCTTAAAAATTCTGGATGCTGTATAATAGAAAAATATTTTTTTTTTTATAAATTATAATATAAAGACAAAGATTTTAGTATTATTTTTTTATAAATAGGACTGTTGTATAAAATAATTAATTGCAATTAGAAATGTCCTGTGAGCGTGTATCGTATTGAGGAAATTAGGTATAGGGTATTTTGCAACTGGGTACTCTCGAGTACAACACTTGTTATCGTTGCTGTTACTGCTATTTAAAGTAAACACAGGCAAACAAACACACACACACATTCAGTCGAACACCGCAAGCTTTTTAAAGCGCAATATTTTGTTCACAGTTCCATCGATGTGAACGAACGTGCGAACACTGACTGCGTGTGTGTGACTGACTGACTGTGTGCTTTTGGTAGAGTGCACAGTGAATACGTTTCGAGTGTGGGCGACGCTTTCATTTCGAGTTCAACGGGGTTAAATGGGCTAAATGCTTTTGCTTTGCCAGCTTATCAATAAATCACACATAAATATTTACACAGATTGCTCACAAGTGTGTGTATAATAACAATAGCCAGAACAGCTGTTTGCCGTTTGCAGTTTGAAGCGCACTTTTATCGCACAGTTTTTATTTGCTCTTAGTTGACAATTGGCAATTGTATTTGGTATTTATATTTTGTATAACATTTTTTTGTTTGAATACTGCTGCCAACGCATTTGGGTCTCAAAACGGGGACAGCTAACGGCAGCTCGATTTGTGTTTATCCCATTTCACACACTTTCGTTTTGTGCTCTTTGTTTTGCTCGTGTCAATCGCGATGCTACGACAATATTTATTGATTTTTCTGCTCTCTCTCTCTCGCTCTCTGTGTCCAGCGGAGCACTAGCAATGAGTTGAAAATTTTCACACGCCACTTTTGCATAGTTTGCACAATTTTCCGCACTTACTTTTATTGCACATGATTAGTGTGGTTTTTGTTTTGCGTTTTTCAGTAGTTTCATAAATTAATTCGATTGTTTTTACATTGAAAAGAAAAAAAATCGTTTTGTCTCACACAAATGAATAGATGTTTAATAGTGGTGAACGATATTTATGCGACTTGTTTGAGATGACAGAAAGTATCGGAAAGAGCGTGCGAAGAGTCACGGTAACTTTAATAAAATTAAATAATTATCTGGGTGTTGAAATTTGCAAGTTTAAAGGCAAAGTGTACTTCAATTAAATTGCTTTAAAATGTGAGAGTGATGACCGCCATTGCTCTGTGCTGTTGTTAATGATATTTGAATATAAAATCACGATATTGCTCATCGCTGTTGTCAGCTGTCCGTTCTGTAATGTGGAGCATTATGCGCGCGTTGCCAACCGACTGAAAACGGCCAACTGACTTGACGTGATTTAAAACGGATATTCAAAAAATCATGCTTGAAATTCTACGGTGTCATTAATTTTTATGTATACACCACAAGAAAGAAAGTCAAATAAATTCATGACAAACGTTGAATAGTAGAATGGCCAATACGAACTCGCAATCGCAATCACGCGTATCGGAATCAAGTCGCACCACCGAGGATGACGATGATTCCTCGTGTGCCATTTGTATAATGCCACCGCGTCCGGGCACTGCGCCGAAGAACTTCCGGGAGCTGCACATTCCACGCGATATACTGACGCCGGTCGACTATCCTATACAGGAGGCGCAGCGTTGGTTGACCCTCATGGGTAGAAATGGAAGAGTCTATCGCTTCCCACTGCCCACCATCTTACCGAAGGTGATTCAGACGCGTTTCGTGGCCAAGGGTGAGCTACCCAAGGATGTGGCCGTCGATCGTCGGCGGCGACAGTATGCCAAAATCAATTTAATGGAGGAACTGAAGAATGCCGGTCTCACCGATGACATCCTCCAGCCAACGGAAGAACAATACAATCTCATGTCCGAGTTTGCCTTTCCGCACAAATTTCCGCTGAGCTACTTCGATGACAGCAACTATGACATCAGCTCGCCGGAGGCATGGTTTGAGTTGGGCGTCGTTGGTGATGTTCATTACCCGCTGCCCGCTCGAGCTTATTTACCCTACAATCGAAGTTTGCGCAGCTGCCGTTGGGTTATGGCTGCCGTTACGTCCTACAACGAGAAATTAGATTTGTGGACGCTGACCTCGCTGGACGATGAGTGCAGCTACGAGGTGCCCAAGTTGCAGTTCATGTTCCTCGCCGAGGATCCCCACAAGTACATCCAGCGACTGCAGTCGGCGGTTCACGAGCGCCACAAGGGTGAGCAGCTGATGTTGATGGAGCTGATTGTGGATTGTGTGCTCCACGATGACATCGAGTCGACAACGCTGCAGAGTTCCAAGCCTATTGAGGCGATACTACAGAAGGCGAATGTCTCCGAACAGTGCAAGCGTCGCCTACGCTCCGAGGTGAATATTGTCTTTGAGAGATTGATGGCGTTGTATGAGCTGGAACAGTTCATCATTCACATGCCCAAGGAGTTTCCGCAATTTCAAAATATCTCCCTCAAGGAGTTTATGCCCACCGCGGCACGTGTTGATTTTGCGGATAAGGAGCGCCATGAGCTGCAGGCTCTTGGCATTAATATCAAGGAGAAACGTTACGGTTGGCTGCGGGCCAGTCTCTTCTATTGCGGGGGCGGCATTGAGTCGATGATGGGCGTGGCCGGCGAATGTCAGCACATCGAGACACTCACCATATTTGTGGTGACGTTCAATAAGCCAACGGCTCTCGCGGACTTCCTGCAATCGCAAGAGTCGCATGGTAATAGCGTCGCTACCTTCCTCAAGGTCTACTGGCCACAGAAGCTGACCACTGTGATTACGCTGGTATTGCGTGCCCTGGGCAAGGGTTGGCTGGACATCTCCCTGAACAATTGGACAGTCTATGCCATGTGCAAAATATCCCGATTCCTTCTGCAGGTCAAGTTTCGCATGCAAGAATCGATGGAGGTGCTGCTGCTCACCTCCCTGATGAACTTTTCGCATCTGGTGTGCGATCCGTGCTTACAATTCCTTGCGCTCAAGCACAACTATAAGTGGACTAATAATTTTATAGAAACGGAGTTTCCCTTTCCCAAGCCCGTTTTTGCTTTAACCATTGGTATTAATGAGGATCGCAAAGTGTTCTACTCCACCAATCCGGATGAGTTTCAGCCATCGCTAATGGATATCTATAAGCGTAACTTGGAGAAGACATCGGGTGTGCGGCTCATCGATGCGGATGTGATGACCAATTTGAAATTTGCCCATAATCTGTATATACTAACTGTGGAGCTGATTGAGGACAAGTATCTGGAGCAGAATGAATTGATGCGACGCTGCTATGCTCAGGCGGTGATTCCGATCAAGTCATATGCGCGACTCTATGAGAGATTTATTGACTTTTATTTGCTGAACGTCACCGACTTTATGAAGGACTATAAGGACGCGCGCAAGCCTTCGTCTCGGGTCAAATGGGATATATTGGAGTACAGACGGCAGAAGGAGGAGGTGCGTGAAATCCTGCCTGCTTATATAACAATTGGACCCTTCTGCATCAATGTGGACATTCTGAAGCAGTTTATGATCAAGAAATATATTGAACTTGTGAGAAGGATCTTTGACTACTATGTGGATCGGATGTATGAGACGAATGAACTGTTGCTAGAACGATGCCAGGATGTGTTCCACAAGATCGATGTACGTCCCATTAGCATTGAGCATTTGTACGAGATCCGTGATTATGGATTGATTGTGCCGGACATTGTCGAGCAGCTCCGTGCCGATATACAGATTATGTGGCTGGAATACGATATGTTGGATAGTTTCTTTTATAATCTGAGCGATCATCAGTTTGCCATGAAATGGAATGCATATGCCTGGCCACATCAGATCCTTATGCGGTTGGCCACGCTCAAGGACGAACAGAAACTGGATATTGAGGAGTTTCTGCGCCAGCATTACAGCGAATGCCAGGGCTTTGAGGAGCGTCTGGAGTCGCTGAATGATGAGGTTCAGGCATTCTCACTTATCTTCAATCCGAATCGTGCACAGGAAACATCGGTGGATATTAAAAAGACGTGGGCGCTGATCAAGGATCTGGAGAAGATCGGACATACGTTGCAGTATCGACAGGAACTCTTCGAATTGGAGCCACTGTCCACAGAATTCCTCACCAGCATCATCAACAGCTTTGCCCCCTATAAGCAGTTGTGGTATGCTTGTGCGAATTTTCAAAAACTGGAGGATGCCACTTTGGGCAATCCGATTTCATTGCTCGATTTGGATGAGGTGTGGAATCATTTGATGCTTTTGCGCAAGGAGCTCGTCGAGTCCCTGGACAATTTCAGTGAGAAGGCCGAGATTATGGAAGTGGCTAAGGTGTTTGTAGGGAAAATCGATAATTTTGTGCCCGTTTACAACAGCGTTAAGGATCTGCGCAACGAGAACTGGATGTATTTGCATTGGTTGGAGCTGAGTCATACCCTTGGCCAGGAGGTCAAATACACGGTATCCATGAATTATCAATATCTCATGCGTAAGGGCATCTTGAACCATCTGCCCGCGGTGCACGAAATCTCTGTCAAAGCCAGCAATGAGGCCAAGGAAATCTTGCGTGCCATCGAGGAGGAGGAGCGACGTAAACAGGATGAATTGGATGCCCTATTGTTGCGCAAACAGTTGCGCAAATGTCGCAGGGATATTATCTAGAAGATTGCACATTTCGTTGTATGCCAAGACCTTTCCATTCATTGCAAATTTTTGATCTCGAAATTCGATCTTATCTTAGTATATTGAAATAAAATGTTGTCGACAAAGCCAAATAAGTTTTTTATTCTTCCAACATCTTATTACTATTTTATATAGCTCTTTTTGGAACCATCGCTTGGAATCTAAAATTTATGTGTAACTTTAAAGGTAGATTGATGAAGAAAAAATGTATGACGGATCTGTGTAACATGTAGTTGCCCCAGGAACGATCAGTACAAAGATTATTTCCTGTATGAAAAAGTATTTTTCTTCACATGATTGCATTTTTTTGTTTCTTGTTTGAATTATTATTATATTTACGAAGTCAATAGTTTCATAAGGATTTTTATTTCGATGTTACTGCAGAAATTAAAATAGAAAATAATATTTCAAGAAAGATGCAAACTTTTATCAGCCATCAGAGAGAAAAGAAACATTATGAAGATTAGACCACTATTTGTGGCAATTGCAATATGTGATCCATTTAGGCGCTTATCCTGTGACTTAAAGAACCTGACAGATACGGCCAAGGGCAGCTCCACTTGCTGCTCACCGGCATCGAATTCAAGATCATGTCGCTGCCCCACCACCAGCCGCACATGCTGCAGCACACTTTGATGGGGCACTTGGCCCGCCTCTAGCCACGTTTGATCTGCCACATAAAACTCATAGCTAACGCTGAGCAGCATGTTGCGACAGCTGAGGGACTGCAGCTGCTCATCGTAAAAGCCCAGAATGGGTGGCAACTGTTGGCCGCCATCCGCATAGCTCAGCTGTAGTGGCAGCCACTTATTCAGCTGTGGCCTTCCCAGCTGCGAGATGTATACTTGGCCAATATCCTCGAGACGTGTGCAATTGTTCGGCAATAGCTTCGCCCAAATGTGAGATTGCAAGTGCTGGCAGTAATCCGTGTGATTGCCAAGTTGCGGCTGCACTGGCGATAGTTCACTCAACTGGCATTGCCTGGCCAAATCCACACCGAAGGCGACAGCATGACGAGCAGCTGAGTTGTGTGGGGAGCAAGGAGTCAGCCAGTGCTGCTGCTGCTGATCCTCGCTAGCGTTGCCCTGGAAATAACTGAGCAACGTTTTGCTGTTGTTTTGTGTTTGGAGTGTGGTCACAAGAATTGGCGCTCCTTGCACATAGCCAAGTGGTCCGGAGCTGGGCTTGGCCTTGATCGCATTTATCGACTCGAATGACAGCTGATAGGTTAGCCAAATCTCTTCATTCTCGTCCTGCTGGTTGGCTTCCCTCAGCAGCAATTTGGCGGCTAGAATGTGGGTATAATTATGCAACAATTGCAGCTCAATGCTGTCCACCAATATATCCACTTCCGTCTCATTCGCCTCCAGGCACAGCTCCTTTGGCTTCAGCAGCAGCTGTTGGCAAACTTGTATGTTAATACCCTGCAAATCTTGGTCATCCAGTTCACGTGGCTTGGACAGCAACTGGTGGCTGTTTGTGAGATTGAGCAGCGTCCACAGATTCAGCTGCAGCTGCGAGGCATCGCTCATGAGGCAGCTGCTGTGCATTGGTTGCAAGTGCAACAATGTTCGCTTCAATTGGCAACTGGCGCTCTCGTATCCAATTGGCAGCTCGAAGTAGGAAACAGTTTTGCTATCCGGCTGCCAAAGCTGTAACGCTTCTCCGTATTTGTAGTGAGCCGTGAATTGTGTGGCAAGTGGCAACTGGGACTCATAGGCAACCAACAGCTCTGGCCATTTTTTGTATTGCTCGGCATCAAAATTGTTACTTTGAGCCTACGGAATAACAGAAATATTAAATAAGTTTGGAGATATGTAAAAATATATAAAGTGAATTAACACCTTAAAAAACATAGAGGAAAAGTGTGTAATCGATAATAATGTTATGTTTATATCATACTGGTCACAGTTCAGTAAAGTTTAGCCAGACTATTGAAAACATTTCACTCAAACTTATTTCGGATATGGGATTCTTATTAAGTAATTTCACAGCTTCGCAGCTTCCAATAGTAGTTTCTATATTACTTTGCTGGCAGACAATAATTTTGAATGCGATCGATTGCAAATATGCACCTAACTGAGAGCATTCTACCTTTAAACTGTAGCAACTATAATTATAGTCATAGTTGTAATAGTTTGTAGATTTGATATTTAAAGTATTCCATTATTAGTCACCTTAATTTTGGGTGGTTTTGAGTTGCTGCGAAAGACGCACAGCCAGCCATCGTTGAGCTGGCAAGTGGATAGCCCATGATTGTACTGAAAGTCCTCTAGTCGCCTGCGGAGTTGCTCCTCCGTCGCTGGTTGTGCGCAACTAAAGACCAGCAGTGCTTCCGGAGGACAATCGCGATCACAGCAGCAATTTAATTCGCAAACATCACTGTGCAAATCACAGGCGCAGTAATTAAAACTCTTAATCTTTAAGGGTGGCAGTGTTTTTGGCGACTCTGTGGCATTTAAGGGCTGTGTTTCAGCAGTTGCAACAGTTGCAACAGTTTTGGTTGTTGGCGCTGCAGTTGTTGTTGTGAGTGGAGGCTTCTGTGTCTTGCGTGGCGGAAAAATCTGCGTTGTGGTGCTGGCAGTTTCCGGCAAAGGGCTGTCTGTGCTAATTGGATCCAGAACAACAGTTGTTCCAGGAATCTCCGTAGTTGTTGTTATTGCTGCTGCTGTTGTTGTTGTTGTACTTATGTTGTAGTTGTGGGAGATGCCAATCTTGATGCATTGGTGCATTGGCACTGAGAGCAGACTCAAGTACAGACACAATAAAGCTCTCTTTAACATGATTACTACTTAAATTCTACGCCGTATTCCTCAAATTTGCGGAAGATCAAATTAAGCTCGACAATGATTTTGCCAGAGGTGCGCGTTTGTAGCTTGTAGCTGTAAGAAGAGATCATTGAGAGACTCAGTAATAAAAATAAGTAAATTAATTATTTCTTAACTTTAATTTTTCGTCAATTATTGTCATATTGTCTTTGTCAAGGTCTACCTACCGATCCACGCCCGAGTAAAGTGTGTCAGTTTTGTGGAGCGCAACGCCGCCGCCACCAAAACGTTCCTTGATGCTCTGCCACCAGGTGTTTGGTGCAATCTTCCAGGTGTTTATCTCAACACGATGGTGTCCGGGTGAGGCGGGCACGTGGGCAACACCGTATCCAACTGGCCAGCACTGCTGCAGAAAATTGACGGCGTACACCTCGACCAGGAGACGAGGCCAACCCTGAATTCCAGCTGTGCACAAATGCACGTCCAGAGGCTGGGCAAAATCGGCGCTGTTATGAAGACGATGGCTGGAAATGGGTGTTTGTCCCTGCAACTCGCCCTGAACTAAACGCCAAATGTTGCCTGGAATCGATTGTGATTAAACTGGGAGTATAAATAAATTGCACAAAGTTCTGATTCATTTTCTTGTTACCGCTCTGCAAACTCCACTTGCAAAACAAATGTGGCTCCTCGAAATCAACAGCTTTCAGTATTTGGCCAATTATGTGCACTTCCGCCATCAATTGTTCTATATATATATATAAGCAAGTTTTCACTACACTCTTTTCAATATAAATATTTATTCTAATATTCAATTTTTTCAACTTCACTTTTGAGAGACATTCGCGTAACTCGAATTAATGTTTTGGCAGCCAGTCGACGTTGTCAGAGCAACCGATTGTTGCCATAGCAGCCATGCATTGCCCATATTCTGCCGCTGCCAATGTATAAATGCAATTGCATACCATATCCAGTCATATTAATATTTTTAATGAAATATACCGTGTCTTATCTCGGATTAAAGTTGGTTTTGACAATGCGCGGCATTATTGATGCACGTTTGAACGAAACGGCTATCGATAAATAAGGCTTTCGTACGATATTTTGTGTGGTGCTGCCAACTTGTTCAAAACGCATGCGCAACACAAAATAGTGTGGTAGCTTTGAATTTGAAATTAAAAAAAAAAACGTTTATACTCTCGTGAAATTGATTTATTTTAAATACAATTTATGAAATATATATAAACAGTAAAATTTTGGTGTAAACTAAATATTATACGCTTCTGAATTTTTAATAGCTTAAGCACGAATAAAATAATAATATATTGATTGTTCATATTAATATTAAATACCTTGGTTTTCTCATTTAAACTACTGTAAATATCTAAATGAAATATTATATATTTAGAATGTGATTTCGTGAATAAATTTTAATGTTCTTGACCTAATTAAGCAGATTTATTAACTAAAAATTTTGTTTTTGTTACGATGACAGCGAGAGAACTGGACTGGTGTCAGAATTATTTATGACCGTACCAAGGATCTTCCTTAATTTGCGGCACATTATATCTGATCTTAACGGGTGCCAATATATGCATAATCATATGCTTGCATTCGCTGGAAGCCGTTGGATTTTTGGGGAACACCAGCGACTGATTAATGCGTTTCAGCAATATGTGTACATTGGATCCGTCATAGGGCAGGCGACCAAAGACCATCGCATAGCAGACGACGCCACAAGCCCAAATATCTGACATAAATGGATCGTAAGCAACTCCTAAGGAGACATAAATATATATAATATATATAATTATGTTGCATAATTGTGTTACCTTTTAATATCTCTGGACTTGCATAGGCATAACTGCCGCAAAAGGTCTTTGACAGCACCACCTGATTCTCGGTGGTGCGCGTGTCCTTGCGCGCAAATCCAAAATCGATTAGCTTCAGATTCCAGTTATCATCTAGCAATAAGTTTTCACACTTTATATCCCGATGCACGACACCCTTGCTGTGTATATACTCAATAGCACTGATCAATTGCCTAAACAGAGTGCGCGACTGCGCCTCATCCAGATATTTCTTATCGCGCACATAATCCAGCAATGTGCCGTTCTCAGCCAGCTGCATTATCAAATATACTCTGCGGATAGTTGATTCAATTAGGCTAATTGTACTTATAATTTAATGTAAATGTGGATTGCTCTAATGTATACAATGTATAACTAATGGAATCGTATATATATATATATATATATATATATACATATGTATATCTACATATATTCTTGGCAACAATAACAATCCAGCTAATATTATTGTTGGACTGCTTGTCAAGGCCAAAATACTAATTTGAGAGTGATATATAATAATAGTAATAGAATAATTATTATTCTATACTTTTTCAAATAAAAAACCATCGAGTGCACGTAACTTTAATCCAAATATCATTTAGTCTTCTCACCTATGACTGGTCTCGATGCTTTGATAGAATGTTATGAGATTATCATGATGCAGACCCTTGACAGCCTCAATTTCGCGTGGTAGAAACTTTTGCGTGTATTCGGATGGAGCTTTGACCTTGGAAATTATTTTGACGGCCACGCGCTTGCCGTATTCCTCGGAGAAACCGATCTTGACCTTAGCATAATTACCCGTGCCAATCACCTTGCCCAATATGATGCCATGTTCCTCGAGAATGGTCTTCTGTGGCTTGGTCTTCTCATCTTTGGTCGCAGGAGTGGAAGGTTTTGCCTGGTTGGTTTTCTCGCTATTGAACGTGTAAACCTTCTGCTCAACCCGTCGGCCCGAATTCTGATCAGTGACTAAATCTTGCGATGAATTTGTAGTAACTGCGAACAGCGCACAGTTGCAGTTACTCTATATCTCTATATCTATATATATATATGAATATATTGGGTATTCACCTGGATCACCCTTTCGTTTTGGAGCGGTCGCCATTTAAAATGGTCCACCAATCTGATTTGGGTCAACCTGCACCAGGATGTTAACGAACTCGTCGAGTGCTGTTGTCGAACAAAATCCAAAGTATCATTAAGAGTTTTTCCTTAGCATTTTTGTTACAAAACTACAAAATTTGACTATCAGTTGTGACATTCTTTTGCCAGCATTTTTGTTTTCAAATCAAAGTATTAGGGCAATGTGATCTCTCCTTTCATTGAAAAATATTTGACTTAAAAATTACCTCTATAAAATAATTTAATAATTACATCTGCAAGCGCATTAAATTTCCTTCGAATCATATTTTATCGTTAATCCCTCGCCATTCCACAGAAGATCAGATCGCTTTTATTTTCATTTGTTTTCTTGTTTTCCACGAATCCAACAGGAATTTCTTCAACTGCTTAATTGATAATAATTGTATTGGAAAATCAACAAAAGCAGCATTTCAATGCTCACAATTTAATGGGCAAAAGAAATGATTTTTTAATCGAATTTGTATGCTGAAGGCATTGTGGTTGCCGTATTCATGCAGTTACCAGTTGTGTAATAACTCAAGCAAAAATCAAATAAGCCCCACAACCAACAACCTGCCAAAAGGCGATTCGACACAACCACGCAACCATGCAACCACAAGTGTGTGTGTGTGTGTGTGTATGTGTAAGCTGGCCCTAACTTTTACTGGGCGACTCACAATTTGTCCGCGTACAGCGCCCCTAGGCATTGGTTACCTACATTTTTACTTAACTTTTGGCGCTGTTTGAGTTTTGCTTTATGAAATTTTCACATTTTTTGCATTACGTTGCTTTTATTGTTCGGCCCCTTGTTGCCCCAACCGACCAACAACAGCCACCAGCTACCTGCCACGCGCATCGGCTTGTGTTAAAGTAGCTTAAGGTCATTCGAGTGGTTTGTAAATTTCAATTGGAATGCTCACAAATGCAAACACAAATTTTTACACACACATTTTTTAAGGAGTTTTTTTTTTTGGCGTGTTTTCTGCTTTCTTGTTTTTTCTTTACTTCTTTTTGGCATTGCCTTTCGTTTGCCTCGTACCATTGCGTGCAAGTGAAATTTTATGTTTCATTTAAAATTGAAATGTAGCTGGCAGCAAAACAAAGTCGCCTGCAATTGGCCATGGAATTTAAGGCAGGTTTCTTTTGGTCCCTACAATTGCTACACTCGGCCCCTCCACCCCTCTGCTGTCCTCGGTTCTGTATTAAATAAAATATTTATAATTTCATAATGAAAAAGAGCAGCGTGCCAAAGATAATGCGAACATGGACTATACTCTTTCTATCTTTTTTTTAATCAATGGCCGAACAAGATATTTTGACTTTCCCTTAAGAGTTGTCAGACATATTAAATAAAAAATATATATATTTTTTTTCGTTTCAATTTTATTTAAGTTTGATGGGGAATACCACCAGCTATATTTTATATATAGTTTGATGACGATGAGTAAATAGTAATTTACTATTCAAAAATATATATATTTTTATTTTATTATCGAGATTTTATTAAAGTTTGGTGGGGAATACAATTTAATATTTAATATGTGTTTTGTAAGCGAATTTTTACTTAAGCTTGAATACGATTTAATATTTATAATGGATATAATGGATTACATTCGAAGCAACATTGGCAAGATCATCAAATTGATGTGTGAGAAATATTAATTTTGAGAAACGTCCTGATTTGCAAGCATTTAAAGTGTATTTCGAGTTCGACTTCCTGTCTGAATTGTGGATATGTTGTTTTGTGGCCAAGCTGCCCGGACGCTGCTACCTGTCGCCCTTTTTGCAGCATGCATGTTAATGCTCCGCCATTACGTTGATTTCACAATATCCTTGCACATCCTGTCCAGGGCACTCTTGCTGGCTTCGGAACGCCCCGCAACTGTGCAGCGCAATGTCAAAATTGTTTGTGGCAGTTGCCGCCGCAGCTGCGTTGCCAGCGGAAATGCCGCTACCCTTGGGCAGAGAGGTGAGCTACAAGCCATAACGGCTATGAAGGGGCAGTGGCAGCTTCCGAACACATACACAGACGGGCGGCGTCTCCTTTTGTGGCATACGCAAAAGGGGCAAAACAACAAAAATGACAACTGAAATATGCGATGCTGGGCAATATTTGTGAGTCAGAGTCAGTCAGGGATGTGTGTTGGGGCTTTGGTCCTGGCATCTGCCGGTTTCTTCAGCTGCTGCTGCTTCTGTTGGTTCAAGCCTGACTTATCATTGGCCCAGTTCACGCAGTGAGCAGTGGCGCCATCTACCGACACGCGTTTGCACTCAGTGACGTGTTTGCGCATAATGAGGCCAGCACCTTTGTTGTGGTCCATATATCCTTGTGTACAACTGAAACACGCCATTCATTTGTGGCAATCCCTGGTAGCCACATGCAGCGCCCATTGCAGGCTGGATTCCTTTCCCTGATCTCCTCTGCTCTGCTGTGCTGTGCTGTGCTGTGCTCCAGGATGAGCTTACGTCGTTTTTCACTTATCCGCTTAAGCCGATGTCTCCGTCCTCTGCCTTCCTAGTCGTAGTTCTGTCATTAACATCACTCGACATTTTATTTTTTTGTTGTTCTTGCTGCTTCGGCTGCTGCTGCTGCTGCTCTCTTTTTGCATAAGAGTAAATGTATAAATAAAAAGGCAACTACAACTCCTCCCACCGGTCAGAAATAATCGCAATGCAAATCTTTGTGCAACGGAAATGAGAATGAAAGAGCTGCAGAGCACGGAATAATCATAAGGCTACAACACATTCTTGGATAGCGGATACCCCAGCAGGAAATAAGTGAACGTCCAAAGGATATTCTGCAAATTGCTAAGGTCATGAAATGCAGAAACAATAGGTGAACTGAAGTTTAAATCACAATTTTTGTGAGTTATTTTTCTGAATGAGCATTCAGAAAAATCTTAAAAATTGCCGAAGCTTAAAAGCGAGGTATACTTGAGATTCTTATAAATTTTTTTTAAGAATATAATTATACAGAAACGTTGGGTTTTCCAGAAATTGATTTTCCTGTGTGCACTCTTCAATTTAGTTGAAAACCGTACTTGCAAAACATGTTGCCTTATGGAGTAGTATTATTTTGTCCAAGGACATTTTAATTAAAAATTATAACTGCCACCCAAGACACAGAAGGTTTGTTGGACAACAGCTCAGTCTGATTGCTAGCTGGACTATAAAACTGAAGACAATTTCCCCATGCAAAAGCCATGACCTAATTATATATCTCTCTAATAAATATGTAAACAACTATATATGACAGGCTATGAATATTAAAGGGACAATTCGACATTTTATATCACTAGGCAGTAGGTATATTGCATTTGTTATGAAAAGTTCACTTTAACCAGGACCAAGCCAACTACATTTTCTAAATACAATTGAATCAAGGGTATAAAAAGTTACGGCATTGCTGGTTCTTGTTTTATAACACAGCCAAATGCTTAAAATATTCTTTATTATTATTATTATATAGCAAGCAATTAATTTCACAAGTCAGCGAGTATAAATAAAAGGGCTTAAGCTGAATTGCAAGCAAACAGTTGCTCCCAGATTTCAAGTGGCCTGCTACAATGATCATATTAATATTCTGATAAAACAGCGTCAAAAAATGTATTCTGATATAAAAGAACATTTTTATAAAGCAAATTTGTGGCCAAAATATAGTTTAATATCCAATGCATTGAGCTGTTTGTCTCAGTAGTTGGCTATGATGAAAACATACAAATAAAAATTGAGGCAAATTGTGGCTACTTTTGAATGCACAGCTTCGAGGCAGAAGGGCAAAAAGCAAAGTCAACGAAATACAACATGGTTGAACAGTGTAATCCCAGTGCTGAAAGGGGGCAGGCAGCTCGTAGACAACGTAACTTCTTTTGGCATAATAAAATAATATTTTGGCACTGCTCCAGACCAAGGGCCAAGTGAAACAAAACCAAACAAAACAAAGCAGGCCAAACAGCCTGGAGAACAACAGGAGATGAAGTGGCTTTGGACTTGGCTCGTGGGTTATGGCCATGACAGCGACAGCAAAAGTAGCAGAAGTCAATGCAGTCAAGTGGTCCAGTCTCCAGTCGCCAGTCCCAATTCCAGCTTCAGCTCAGCACCGCTCAGGACTTGGGCAAAATGTCCGCTTGTGCAGATGGCAAGGCCTGTTTTGAGAGGTTGGGCAACCTGTCAAGTTCAAGAATTAAAAAAATTTTAAGCAAACTCAGCCAGGGAAATCAAAACAATAATAATATTATAGATGTGTGTGTGTGTGTGTGTGTGTTGGCTGGCTTGTGTGTATTTTTTTTTAGTGTGCCTGTTGGCTGGCTTTTACTCTGCTGGCAGCTTTCCCGACTTCCTGTCTAGCTGCTATGATTTTATTTGCATGCAAGCGCGTGTCAATGTAAACTCTGAGCCCCAGACGCGTTTGGCATGACCCCGACCCCGACCCCACCCCCACCCCCAGCCAGATGCACCACTAGTCTGCACGCCTCCTCAACCCTCTGTGGCATTTGTTGCTGCCTTGCGCTCAGTGAAGCGTTGCCTGTTACATTTTTGGCAGGACGCCGAAAAGTATGCAACGTCTGCTGCGGCATTGTGCATGTCTGTGCATGCCTTTGCGTAGTGGTTCAGTAGCCCTACCACCAACCCTCCAACCCCTACCAACGTGCATATTATTCAAGCTTTTTGTTGGCTTTTCCCTCAATGTGCTAAATTTTTAGGCATTTGAAATTTTGTTGTTTGCTTATGTTCCAACGCCAATTTTTATGTTTAAATGCTCAATTTTTGTGCGCTTTTGCGCTGGCAAAATGCATTTAAATTCATGAGCCGGCAAAGGAAAATAAAACTGCATGAATTCGCGGTAACTCGCAGCTTCTGCAATATGCATTTATGTGCATATGTATATGTGTCAACAGCTGCTGTTGCTGCAAACAAAAAACGATAAATGAGCTAGCAATTTTTTACTGACCGAATGGGACAGTGCTCTTAATAAATCAAAAATATTTTAACTATTCTGAAACTTTTGATATATTACGAAATCTTTTTTTAACATGATTTATAAATGCAACAATAAGACACATTAACTTATATCGTCATTATTTTC